CTCCCTACACACTTGCTACACACTTCCTCCCCCCTCCCTAGACACTTCCTACCCCCTCCCCAGCACACTCCCCCATCCCCCCCTCCCTCTCCAGGAGATGGCGCCGCCCTTCCTCGCCCAACGACTCCTCGACGAGATGTGCTCTCGCCGTGCGCTCAAGCAGGCGGCCGTCAAGAGAGGCGCCGTTCACGCGCCTCCGCCTGTGAACAGGCGCCCCCTCGACGAGGCGGGCGGGGCGGTGCCTCGAGGCGAGGGAGGGCTCGCCCCGCCCCAGCCGCCGCCCGCTGGAGCCGGCGCAGCAGCCGCCGGCGAGCCGCGTGCGCCGCCTCGGTGGGCCCCTCACTGACCCCGCACTGAGGGGGCGGCAGCTGAGGCGGTAGGGAGGGGAGGCGGCAGGGGAGGCGACAGGGAAGGCCCGTCCCCCCTTCCCACGTCACGCGACCGAGAGAGACCCGCCCTCGGCTCCGCTGAACAGAGGGCCGGCCGGGAGGGCCGGGGACCCGGGGGTGGGTGCGAGTGGCCGACGCCGCGGCCGCGCAAGGGCCACGAGAGGGGGAGGGAGGGGCGGACGAGAGTCGCGGTCGCATTGGTGAGTATCGGTGGTGAGAGCAGGGGCGGTCGGCGCAGGGCGCGTAGAGTACACATGCCGAGAGAGAGATAGCGATGTTAGCGCAGCCCACCTGCACCTCTCAGTGGACAGTGCGCTTCCCTCATCCCTGCTTGACCTTGAGCGCTCACCTCAGGACTCAGGTGATATCGTCTCCTTTTTTACACAGATGTGTAATATGTGTGAGAAGCCCCCCGCGGAAAAATTAAGGCAAAAGCGCGAATCGATTATTTCGACATGATCGAGACTTGAGAACATGAGATCTCTCCAGCTCACAGAGAGCAGCACGTGCCAATAGAGCCAAGTCACGTGCCGACATCCCAGGCAACCACGCTGCGCTTCGCTGGCCACAAACACCTCAAAGCGCATGCTCACAAGCATCCACCCTCTTCCGGCTGGGGCAGCCCTAACCTCTGCGTACGCCTATGTCCTAACCTCGTAAGCGCTATCTGCGGTGGCCGTCGGCGACCGCCTCGAGCCCGCAGGTCCGTCTTGTGCCGGGCCGGCTCGGCCTCCTGCGGCGGCGTCGGCCCGCCTCCCCCGCCTCCCCCGCCCGCCTGCCCACGCCCCACTCGACGAGCCTCACCTGCAGGATCTCGGCAGAGTCGCCGGCGGCAGAGAGCCTCGCCCAGGGCCGCACTGCGGGAGGGAGCCCCCGCAGCGGCGGCAGGTCGACCCGCTCGCCGTCCGAGTAGAAGGTGAGCTCCCCGCCCTCGATCTCGAAGCAGAGCAGCCCGTGCGCCTGGGGCGAGCGGCGCGGATGAGGAGAGAGCGGCGCGCGGGCACCGCCAGGGAGGCAGGCAGAGCACGGCAGGGCGGGGCAGGGAGGGAGCGAGTCGGTAGGCTTGAGGAGGGCAGCAGCGCGCCGCCGCCCCGCCAGGCAGAGGCGCGCCGCTGCAACCGCCGCCAGCCTCGCGCGGCGGCGGCGCGTAGCCCTGCCGTGCGAGGAGAGCCGCCTCCCTCTCTCGCAGGGTCGCTGCGCGCCGCACCGCCCGCCGCTGCTGCCACTCTCTCCGCTCCTACAGACCACATGGCCCGACCCTCGGGTGCGCCTCTCTCTGTCTGCGGCCAATGGTGGGGCGGTGCCCGCCTCGAGCCGAGCGCGGTGCGCCATCTCGGCATTGGCGTGCTGCCGCCGCAGCGCCTGCTGCGCCCGCCGGTCCACGGCGGCCGTCACGAGCGCGCGGCGTAGCAACGAGACGCCCCACGCGCGGCCGACGCACGACTCCTCGCACACGCCGACGACGAGGTCCGTATCGCCCAACTCGGAGATGGCCGCGACGTCCACCCGCACCGCGCCGGCCGTTGGGAGCACGTCCGAGCCAAACGCGTCGATGTGGGCAGCGCAGTCACCCGGCAGCCGCGTCGCCGTCGTGCCCGAGAGGAAGAGGCCTCGCGTCAGCTCGCCAGTGCGCCAGCGCGAGCGGGTGCTCATGAGCCGCCCGCGGAGCGGCGGCGGCAGCCGGCTGAGGGCCGACCTGCGCATGTGTGTAGGAAATTCCTATGAGCCTGGGAGCGAGCACAGCCAGCGGTCAGGACAGCCAGCCGAGCACACGCTGGTTTTCTTCTTTTCTCAGAGGCTGGTTTTCTTCTTTTCTCGCTTCTTTGAAGATCTTAACCGACCCCAGGTATCCTGGTCACCACCCGACACTAGAAGAGTGGCGAGAGTTGGGGCTGCGGCTACGGCTGCGGCTGCGAGAGGGGTTGTGGTGTCAGCGTCGGAAAAGTCGGGCTCGGAGTCATACTCGGAAGCAGGCGCAGCGGACACGGTCGCGGGGATTTGGCAGAGGCGGCGAGAGGTGGGGACATCTCACGGACTGCATCTGCAACACACGGCTTTACGACGTGTCTAGACGCAACCAAAATTAAAATATACTGCGGCTTTAGTGCGCTGGCGGTTAGGCTGTATAAGGTTTTCCTCTCGCACCCCGTCTGTTTTCCTTTCCTTTTTTCTCTACAACACCCTCTCTTTTCCTCTCTCTTTTCCCGGGAAAACTCCGTGGAAATCGTCAAATTTTGGGCTCTCTGAGCCGAGTCGAGGCTGGTTTGGGCCCAAAATCAGCCAAATTTTAGGCCAAATCGGCAAAATGCCGGGAATTTTGCGAGAACCCGTGCATACCTGGAATTTACCCTGCGACCGCCTGGGTATTTTGTCGATTTCCTCAATTTTGCCTTAGATTTTGCCCCAGACCAGCTCTCAGACTCAGGGAAAACAGCGAGTTTCCAGAATGGAGCACCAAACACCCTCTGTTTTCCCTGGAAATTTCCGGAAACGCAAAGTGCTGGGGACCCTCTGTTTTCCTTTTTGTTTTCCGGAAAACCTTATACAGGCCAAGCTGGCGGCCATCTGGCATACATGCTGGCACAAAAACCAAAAAGTTGACACTCCACAGATGTCCACAGAATCGGAAATTGGGCTCGGCACAAACCGCGATGCTCGAAGGTCGAACCGCGCTCTCACAAGAATCACATCACAAGGTGCCCCGGCGGGGCTTAGCGACATGAGATCGCGAGGCTTAGGCTTGACCGCCCGGCGCATGGCAATCTGCCCGCCGGCGCACGCTCCATGGAATGTGCGCCTCTCGGCTTGGTCAGTGGGTCAGGTGGGCGTCACTCGTGTTCGTGTCAGAACTACACTTTCACCACGGCTTGCGCCACCGGGATCTCGCTCGCTTCCAGCTGCGGCTGCTGCGCGGTAGGCGTGGATGGGGGGGGCACGGTGCGTTGCTTGAAGCGGCTCCGGTGGATCGTGCCGGCAAGGATAGAGAGGAAGGCCAGGCCGCCGACAGTCCCACCGACGATGGCGGCGACGGGAACGCTCGAGGAGTCGCACCAGCCGTCGACATCGTTGTTGAGGGTCTGCGCCAATGCCTGGCAGGCGCCGCCGTCACAGACCTGATCCTTGTACATCTCGCAGTGGCCCACGCGGCAGTTGGCCGGGTCGGTCCAATAGGGGAAGGAGGTGCAGGAAGGTGGGGGCGAGGGCGACGTGGTAGCGCACTGGGAGCACCCGCTGCTTGCGAGCGTCTGGGTGTTGAACTCGGCGCCGGCGGGATTGTCGTCGCCACAATAGTCAGACCACACGCTCTCGCAAGTTGCGCCTGCGGCAAAGAATAGGTCACAGCCAGCGTCTGCCCCGTTCTCCCAGTCAATCTGGGCGCACACCAATGGTGCCGGCGGTGGGGCCTGGCCTGGCGGGAATGGTGGGGGCGGCGGCAATGACGGCGGCTGGTCAAAGTCGAAGCAGCACGTGTACTGCCAGTCATTGATCGCGATTGGCAAGTAGCCGTCGCTGCACGTCTGCGCCTCCCAGGTACCGTCCGCATAGCAGTCGTCGCCATCGCTCGAGCACTTGGACGCGTCGCAGTGGCAGTGAGGCGGGTAGCATGTGTAGCGACCTTCGTTGTTAGGCTCGTCGGGGTGAGGGCTGGCCGTGTAGCCGTCGCTGCAGGTCTGCGCCTCAGACTCGCCGTCGGCGTAGCAGTCGTTGCCGTTGCTCGAGCACTTCCTGTCGTCGTGCACGCAGGGAGACGGCGGGGGCGGTGGGGCCTGGCCTGGCGGGAATGGTGGGGGCGGCGGCAGTGACGGCGGCTGGTTGAGGCCGTACGACTTTCGAGTGCAAGTTCCTGAGTGAGCTGAGCCGCAACCCATGATGAAGTCAGAGTTCTCCCCCTCGCTGCAGGCGACGTTGCGCAGGCACAGCGTCCCGTCGCAATCTGCCGTCTCATCATCGACCATTGTGCAGTGCGAGTCGCAGCACCATGTCGTCGGAGGGTTCCAGGGAGTCCCACAGCAGTGATCGCAGTCGCAACCCCCCGCGCCGCAATAGTAACCGAGCTCATGGCAGGTCACGGTCAGAGGGGGGGGCGGCGGCAGAGGGGGGGGGCCCGGTGGCGCAGGTGGCGCATAGCAGCCTGCAAACGGAGAGCACTCGGCGGTGCACTGTGCAGGTACGTTGGCGGGGTCGCAGTCCCCGTTCGCTAGAACACAGTGGAACGTCGACACGCAATCGTCGGTGGAGCACACGCTCGGAATTCGGGTGCAGTCCCCAGGTGCGAGCTCCGCCACGATCTTGCCGCACGTCCAGGGGATGCTGCCGGCGATTAGGGTGCCCACCTCCGGGAATCCCCCGGTGTCCAGTGCAGCGAGGACGGCCGAGGCGGAGGTCGCAGAGCTTCCAGCGGCAACAATGTCGCAGAAGCAGGCGGCAACCTCATGATATGAGACGGAGCCAATGAGCAGCGACTCAAATTGTGACGCAAATTCTGGACCGTAGAAGGCCGACTCAAAACACTCGGGGTCGGCACAGATTCTCGTGTACGCTTCGTCGTACTCATCCGCGGTGTCGGCCGTCGGAAGGCAGGTGATAGGATCGGCAGAGCAAAGGGTGAGTACGTCAGACGCACACGAAGAAGAGCCAGCACAGCCCACAAACAATGCTGAACAGGAGCCGGCATCACCCAGAAGGCCGAGGGCCCCTCCGTCGTCGGTCGCGAGAAGGGAGGGATCTTCGACGATGCTGGAAAGATCAGATGCCGAAAAGCCACCGGAGACCAGGTCGCACACACAATCCAAGATCTGCTCAGCGCTGCATGCTCCAACCTCGGGGAACGCGTCCGGAGAGCCAAGTATAATCGCGCGGCAGGACGGGTCGGCGCACACAGACGCGTAAGCTCTGTCGTATTCGTCCGTGGCCGATGGATCAGAGAGGGCCAAGAGGTCGCTCGAGCAGTCCCCCGCGACGCGACCGTCACAGCCCACAAACAATGCTGTGCAGGAGCCGGCATCACCCAGAAGGCCGAGGGCTCCAGAAGGATCTTCGACGAAGCCGGAAAGATCAGATGCCGATAAGCCACCGGAGACCAGGTCGCACACACAATCCAAGATCTGCTCAGCGCTGCAAGCTCCAACCTCGGGGAACGTGTCCGGAAAGAGGAGTATAATCCCGCGGCAGGACGGGTCGGCGCACACAGACGCGTAAGCTCTGTCGTATTCGTCCGTGGCCGATGGATCAGAGAGGGCCAAGAGGTCGCTCGAGCAGTCCCCCGCGACGCGACCGACGACGGCCGCGAGAAGGACCAGGCGCGAGTGGCGCAGCGGAGTTGCCATACCTGAGAGTGGCTAGCGGAACGGTCCACGTCAAAACTGGGGAGGACGGGCGCCCCAACATCGGAAGACGGGCGATCGGGGTTTGTGTAGACTACGGAGGCCCTCGGCAGAAGCCTCGCGCGCTACGAACCAACCCAGAGGGGATTTTGGCCTACATGTACTCAGTGACCGTCTAAGGGGCCCTAAATGGCCTGGAATGCCATATCTTTTGTGCCTGACTTGTGGGGCACCTTTAAAAAACTAGTATGTCTTGGAGTGAAAAGTTTCTCGACGAGGTGGGGATCCGTGGTGTGTGGTGAGCAGATTCCCAGATTCTCCAGATTCCCCCTCGAAAACCGGCCGTTTTAATTCATTGCGGCCGCGGGTTTGCTTGGATTACTTTTCCCTCGAAGACATACTAGTTTTTTGGCGTTCCGGTGCCTACAAAAAATATCCGAGATTCCATGCGTGCATGGAGCTGAACACAGGGTTTGCGGCGGTCACTGTCCTACCAGCGAGCACAGTGGGCCGCGGACACCCGTGAAGGCGGAGACCTTCAAGGCCTTTAAAATATTGCGCTTTGCCTTTGGTGCGTGCTGGCGGGCTGTATTTTGCTTTACATGGATTCCGCGTCCGTGGCTCACAGGCTCCGTGTACCGCACACGTCGCTTCTCGTTATTTCTGCCCGTGCCGCGCGACGCCGATGCGCGATGGTGTATCGCGGACGTAAGACGTACCCCGCAACACCCGTCTCTCGAGTCTCGACCCCCACGATCGTCTCGAGACATCATCATCAGACACGTCACAACCCGGGACCCAACTAGACCAACTCTCTGCTGGTCTGAGACTGGCGCGCCGAGCCTCTCGCCGAGCTGTAGGCACTGCTATCGTCCGAGATGTCTGCATTCACCAAGTCGCCGAGAGTGACGACCTTGGACGAGCCGGGCCGCTCGCCGCTCACGCCGACACCGTCGTAGAGCTGCTGCTCCCCGCGGCCGGCGTCGGTCGCGACCGCGGCGGCGGCGGGGCTGGCGGCAAGTCTCAGCCAGCCAAGGCCAGTGAACTGGGAGAGGTAGTGGCGCAGCCCCCCTGCTGCCGCCGGCGCCTGCCCCGGCGCCTCGTCGTCGTCCTCGTCCTCCTCCTCGTCCTCCTCGATCGCGGCCTCGGGCTCGAGCCTCGCGGCGTGGGAGTGGCGTCCGGCGGCCTCGGACTGGCTGGCTGCGCTCTCTGGTCGCGCAGAGGAGCGGCCAGAGAAGTCCCACCACGAACGCTCCGTCACGCGCGGCAGCGCCTCGCGCACTCGACTGGGCGCGGCCGCCTTCGCCTCGGCGGCGGTCGGCGCCGCGGCGGCGCCCCTCTCTGCCTCGACCGCCGCGGGCGCACTCAGCGAGCCGTAGATGGCCGGAGAGGCGGCGGCGCGCGAGGCGCCGCGTGGCGTGAGGAGGCGCTCGAGGGAGGGGAGGCGGTGCGAGACGCGGCTCGACGCCTTGAAGGAGTCGTGCAGGCTGCTGTGCAGGCTGCTGCTCGCAGAGGCGTGGCTCGAGCGGCACAAGCTGCGCAAGTCGGCCTGCGAGAAGAGCCACGAGCCGCGCGCGCGAGTCGAGTCGAGCTCGTCGCTTCTCGCGTCGCGCTCGCCGCCCGGGTTGAGGAGCAGCTCGACGGGCGACCTGTCCACAGCGGCAGCCGTGAAGAAGCCGCCGCTCACCCCGCGGGAGCGGTGCTGGAGCGGCGACTTGTCCGAGGGCGGAATCTCAATGGCGAGGGTCAGAGCGTAGTCAACCTGCTGTGGCAGCGCCCTCGTCCGGCCGTAGATCATCACCACGACCAGCATCGCCTTGGCGACGGGCGGCCAGCCCGCGCAAAACGAGAGGCCGACCTCGCCGGGCGGCAGCGAATCGATGAACCACTGCGGCGTACCTGTTCACACCTCAAACCGTGAAGGGACGCTGCGCGCAGCCGCTCGAGTCGGCGAGGAGCGGCGTGCTCGGGCGGACGTCGGAGAGCTCATTCTCGAGCGAGTAGCCCATCGACAGGCCGACGTTGCCAAAGGCGGAGCACACCTGGAGGGACCACGTCGCGGAAACAGGACGTGTCACGGACGTGTCACGGACATGTTGCGGACGCTGCCAGGCGGTGAGCAGAGAGCGCGACGGCGGCTTCGTATGACAGTCTAAGCCATATCCCGACTGTCATACGAAGCCTACCTCGAAGAGCGCGTCGAAGGCGGTGCGGGCAGCGCCGTGCGGCATCTCCGGGTCGGTGGCGAGAATGACGAACCTGCAGCCGAGATGGGCGAGATGAGATGGGCCGAGGTGAGGCCATCGCAGTGGCTCCGGGTCGGCGGGCGAGGGGCGGACCACGCCATCCAGGCAAAGAGCAGGTCGCGCTGCAACGTCGGCCCGCCGATGAAGCTGACGATGGCGCGCCAGGCGGCGGAGAAGTGGTGGCGCAGCACGTGCCGCCACGTCACCTGCAGGGACGCGTCGCGGACGCGTCTCGGGCCTCGGCCTGACGGGCGAGAGGCGGTGCGCGTGCCGCCAAACCAACCTGCCCGCGCCAGAGCATCGTCTGCAGCTGCAGCACGCCCAAGTCGGCCACCGACCCTGCCGACGAGGTGCGCTCGCTCCCGCTCCCCGAGCGGCTCGCGTGCGACGGAAGCCGCGCGAGGGCGAGCGAGAGCTGGTCGATCTTGGCCGCCTGTGCGGAGCCCCCTGCACGTCAGGGACGGGGCCCGCACGAGGGCGAGCGAGAGCGAGCCGAGCTGTGCGACCATCCGGTCCCGAGAGAGCACGTCTGGCACGGCCTGAGGAGGGCACGCCTCGGCCGCCCCGTCGGACGCGCCTCCGAGCTCGCCTCGCAGGCGGACGCGGGCGGTGGCGCGCTCCGCCCACCGCTGCGCCCTGCGGCCGGCGAGGGAGAGGTCCAGGGAGTGTCCAGGCAGTGTCTGGGAAGTGTCTCGCTGCTCCACCTGTGGCCGGCGAGTCGCTCGGCGACGGTGAGGGGCTCGGCCGGCCCGCCGCCGTCGTCCACCTCGCGGGCAGCCGCCTCGTCGGTGCCGTGGGCGCGGCCGGAGACGCGGCGCGAGGAGGAGTGGACGGCGATCATGAGCGGCACGGGCGCCATCATCATCGCCAGCATGTACATGGCGAGCACGGGCGTGTTCTCGTTGGCGAGCGAGTAGAGTGCGAAGCCGGCGTGGCGGGTCTGCACAGACATGAAGAGGTCGTCTGGCAGCGCGGCGCGCATCTCGTTGCGGCAGTCGGGGTCCTCGTCGCACTCGACCAGCTCCGAGAGATTGCCTGCGGGACGCGTCGTGGACGTGTCGTGGACGCGGCCTGCACGCGGCACGGCGGAGGTGCGGGAGAGGCGGAGGTGCGGGAGAGGCCGCCTCCGACGCGGATGGAGCCGCGCCACGGCTCGTGGACGAGGAAGATGTAGTTGGTGAAGGCCTGGGTCGTGAAGGGCGTGGCTCACTCACGCACGACGCGGCTGTCGGGGCGAGACAAGGTGTCGCGGGCAGGCGTTGGCGCACGCCTGCGCCAGCCAGACCGCCAGCTGGGTGAGGAGGAGGAGCGTCGTCTGCTCGGTCGAGAAGAGGAAGCCGTACCTGCCGTGGCGTGGGCGTGGGCGTGGGCGTGGGCGTGGGCGTGGGCGTGGGCGTGGGCGTGGGCGTGGGCGTGGGCGTGGGCGTGGGCGTGGGCGTGGGCGTGGGCGTGGGCGTGGGCGTGGGCGTGGGCGTGGGCGTGGGCGTGGCGTGGTGGTGGTCGGCGAAGGCGCACATCTTTCGACCGGAGAGGAGCAGGTGGCGCGCCTGCGGAGAGGGGTATGGGCGTGTCATGGGCGTACAGCCGGAGAGCGGCGGCGGCGGCGGCGGCGGCGCGCCCACAAGCGGCGTGCGTCATCGATCGGGATGCACCAGAGGTAGGCTCGGATCGACCAGCGGAGGAGGACGGGGTAGAGCACGTTGCCTGAGGAGCGGGTGCAGGCGAGTGAGCGAGATCGCAGCGAGATCGCAGCGGAGAAGGGCAGGGCAGAGCAAGCTGCCTGCGAGGACGAGCACGGCGATGACCCACAGCATCAGCACGTTCTCGTTGAAGGACTCGAGCGAGCCTGGCTCTGTCGTCATACCGGCCTGGGGACGTGTCGGGGACGCGTCGGGGGCCGCATCGAGGACAGAGCCCGGCTCCGTCGTCACGTGCGTTTGCAAACGCGGCGATCGACACGAAGGCCGCGAGCTGTCCGGGCCGGCAAGGCAGCTCCGTGGCGTTTGGCGCGGGCTGGCCATCGAGAGTCGAGAAGCGCGGGTAGGAGCAGACGCCCCTAGCCTCGGGGGGCGAGGAGGCGACCTGCAGGAAGGTTCCGAGAAGCGTCCGAGATGCGTGGCCGCAGGACGCACCTCGCCTCGGCGGAAGAGGAGGAGGGGGGACCGCCGCGTAGATGAGTCCGAACCCGAGCAAGAGGAGGACCGCCTGGTAGGTGTAGATGGCGCACAGGAGGAGCCGCATCGAGTTGAGCTCGACCAGCCTGCGGGACGTGACGTGGACACGTCACGGACGTGGGGCGGACGGTGCTCCGCGTCGAGGAGAGCGCGACGAGCCACTCGGGGCAGCGGCGGAGCTCCTTGAGCTCGACGTGCCTGGGGCGGGGACGGCGTCTCCTCACACGCGGCGCACAGGCGCAGCTCCTCTCGCCCTCCTCTCGCCCTCGCCCTTGGCCCGACGCTGCGCTCCGACGCTGCTACCGGCTGATGACTGATGGCTTGATCCAACTGATGGCTTGATGACAACGGCAGCCGACTAGGAGACTAGTCGCGGACTTGAGTCCGGGAGGCACGTTGCGGCGCAGCGCCGCGTGGCGCAGGTGCAGAGGCACTGCCGAGATGAGGATGGAGGAGCCGCAGACCATCAGCGTGGCGAGCAGCGCCTGCAGCAAGGCGCCGGGAAGCTTCGGAGAAGTACGGAGAAGGTGCGGAGCAGGCCACGACCGAGGCGAGCAGCGCCTTTGCGGCGCGTCCGAAGGCGGTGATGTTGAAGGTTGCGAGGCCGGTGCAGGTGCCCGCAGAGAAGGCGGTGAAGAAGGCGTCGGCGAGGCCGAGCCCAGACTGGCGAGACTCGAGGCTGTACAGCACCGCGCCTCCGAGCGTGCCTGCGGGACGTGTCGCGGACGTGTCGCGGACGTGTCGGGGATGTGTCTCGCCCGAGCCGCCGCGGAGTGCCGAGCAGAAGCTGCCAGCACACCACCAGCCCCTTGAAGGGCACCTTCCGGTGGTGCACCAACGAGGCCTGCAGCGGAACGATGTCTGGCACCTTCCAGTGCGCCGCGGTCAGCGTCCGCTTGATGCGCACGCCGAAGCTCGCTTCACGCCGCGCGCTCGGGACGCCGCCGCCGCGACTCGAGGCCGCCGCGAGTGACGGCGAGGTCTGCGGAGTCGACCACGGAGACGGCTCGGATGGGTCAGACCCGGCACCCGTCGGAGGAGGCAGCGCGGCGACGGCGGCGAGGCTAGGCGCCGAGCGCGCGAGGATGCCCTTCCAGATCTTGGCCCGGCTGGCAGCCTTGGACTCGAGTGACGCTGCGAGCGCCACGTCGAGCGACGACTCTGGAAGCGTGAGCAGGACCCGCTGCGAGAGGGTGGGAGGGATGCCGCCCTCTGCCGGTTCGTCGCGAGCGGCAGCGGTGGCAGGCGGGTCAAGCATCGTACGGTAGGGGCTCGAAATGGAGGATGCTGGTGGGACGCGACACGAGTATTGGAGCAGCGATGCGGGAGGAGGCCGCGGTGGAGCGGTGGAGCCCACTCGGCTTCACAGCCTTGGTTGGGAAGGCCTTCGCGCCAGTTTGGGGAGGCAAACCCTGCCCGCCCCCTAGAGCCCCAGGTACCGTAGGGTGCCGAACTTAAGGTAAGGTAGCTTGAGTTAGGGAGCCCTTTTCCTCTTCCCGAACTCCTGTTCTAATGTACCTAACTCCTGCTACCCACCTCTCGCTCGGTCCAGCCGGACCGGCACACGGGCCACGCGGCCCGCACCACTCTGAGGCATCTCCCTCCTACGCTACGAGCACCTACGCTCGAGTACGAGTGCCTACGCTACTAGATGCCCTACTCCTCCTCCCCCTCCTCCTCCTCCTCACTCGCCGAACCCTCGTCGTACGCTCGTACCACGGTCCACGCAGCGAGAGCCGAGGCGTCGCCGGTACCAAAAAAGAAATCCCCGGTACCGAACTGCTGCTACCCCGTGCCTAACTCAGTGCAAAGCACCGAACCTCACTCAAGCTACCTTACCTTAAGTTCGGACCCTACGCGCGACGGTAGGGCATCAGAAGGGACCAAGAGGAGTGATCACTACCGCCGTAACGAGCACTACGACGGACGTTATTGAGAAGAATCACAGCTTCCTGTGGGATGCAGCAATTAGGAGCTCCGCGAGACCGAGCCGTTTTTTTTATTTTTTGCAAAACCCGTGTAGCGGAGTGTGTGTGTGCGGCCGTTTGCGGCGGGCGGCTTGCTGCTCGCGGCGATCGCGAAAAACTCGTCTCGTCGCACACCAAGAGCTTATGCTCTGGCGAGATGTGAGGCGCATGCGCCCAGGAGGGGAGGGCGCATGCGTAACGACGCTGCTAGAGATGCCTTTCGGGGCCCAGAGATAAAACTTCTGATGCCATGCGTGACCTAGTAGTGTCCCCAGCTATGGGCGTGTCCACGTTGGAGCCAGGTGTGGTGTGGGCGCGAGAATAGCTCCGCCGTCCGTTCATGGAGGCAACCCGCAACCGATACGAGTCGACTGGTGTGTGTGAGCGAGTATTCTTGATACGAAACCACGACGACACACACCAGTCACACACACACACACACACACACACACACACTGGTGTGTGTCGTCGTGGTTTCGTTCGTTCGTCCTAACAAACAAATCTCTCTCTCTCAATTTTGCACGAGATTCCTTGCCCCAGACCAGCTCTCAGACTCAAGGAAACTCGCGAGTTTCCAGAATGGAGCACCAAACACCCTCTGTTTTCCCTGGAAATTTCCGGAAACGCAAAGTGCTGGGGACCCCCTGTTTTCCTTTTTGTTTGCCGGAAAAGCTTGTGCAGGCCAAGCTTTTGGCCGGTGCCCGGTGGCCTCGGCCTCTTCGGAAAGGGTACCTCCGGCTGAGCCCTGGTCTGACAGCCTGACAGCAAACCCCGGACAGCGCCTGACAGTGCCCGACAGCCTGACAGCGTTGACAGCACTTTCTCTGACAGCCTGACAGCACGTATCTGACAGCCTGACAGCAGAGCCTGACATCAGAGGCGTCCCGTCGCTGTCAGGCCCTAACCTGACAGCCTGACAGCTGCCCGACAGCCCGACAGCACACAGCGGCCTGACAGCAGCGCTGACAGCCCGACAGCCCGACCAGCCCGACAGCAGCACAGACCGTACACAGGCCGTGCAGCCTCTTTCTTGTGCCCCATGAGGGTATAACAAAACTATTACATGCAAAGACATGTGTGTGTGGTTCATGTAGTCATGGGTTGGTCATGGGTCTCTCTCTCAACCCTCCCGCCCCACCTCTGCGGACCCGCGGCTGTGCTACTACAAATGAAGCTACCAGCTAGCCTTCTGGGGCCCTACAGCCATATGCCTACAGCGTCTGGGTGGGGGTGGCCGCCGCCGTCTGTGCCGCCGCCGCCTGCGCCTGCGCCGCCATCTGCGCTCCCCAGGCGGCCGCCGCTGCCGGCGTGATCACGCCGTAGGAGGGGGGCAGCTGCGTAGCCGCCGGCGTCACCGGCGTCAGCGCCCCCGCCGCCGCCCGGCCAGCGGCCACAGCGGCGTCGACCGCCGCGTTGGTCGCAATCTTCTGCTTCTTGCGCTGCACCCGCACCTTGGTCTGCGTGGTGCGCTGTGAGCGGGCGCTGCCCAGCCACTTGTGCGCGATCGACCTGCGACCGCCGTGAGAGGAGGGTGAGTGTCCCGCGTGTGGGTATTGATGGACACACGGCGAGGAGAACGCACGTTTGCAGCTCGGCGAGCGTCGGCTTCTCCGCTTCCACCGGCAGGTCGGCGAGCCACGCGCGGGGCACACCTGATGCTGAGCCGGCCGAGCTGACTGCCATGGGCGCACAGGATGCTGCAGATGCTGAGGCCATGCTGAACCAGCTGATGCGGACGGGGGCCAACGTGGCGCCTCCAACCGGCGGCGAGGAGGCCAGCAGCGCAGAGTTTTTTGAGGAGATCCGTAAGCTGCTGGCAGATTTCAACGTCTCCATCCAGGAGGAGTCAAAGGATCGCAAGCTCCGCTTCCACGTCAAGCGGCTCATCAAGTCCCATCAGCAGCGGGGCGAGGATGTGGATGAGGAGCTCGACTTCTACATGGATGATGATGACGGTGACCACGCCCTTGCCTGCCTGTCACACACACACATAAGACGTGCATTCTCATCTCTCCCTCTTCTCTTTCTCTCCGCAGTTGCGGTGCTCTTCACCATGGAGGACAGCTCCAAGGTCTTTGCCATTGGCAACATCGAGCAGGTGGCCGTCGCCGACGGCACGGTAGACGCGCGCCGCGCCACTGGCAGCTCGAGCGCAGAGTACCTGCGCCAGCTCTCGATGAGTCAGCGCAGCAACGGGGTCTTCATCAACGACCCCAAGGGCCTCTTTATCCTCCGGTGGTACCGTGAGGTGAAGGGTGACGGGACCCCCCCAGACGGCCCGCGCTACCAGAACAGAGCGTGCAAGTACTACAAGCTGACGAGCGACAACGATGGGGAGGCCTTCCGCTGGACCAGCAACTACCAGATCATCAGCAAGGTGTACCTGAAGAAGCACTCCACCCTGCCTCTCTGCTATTCTCTCAGTGCGGCAGACAAGAAGATGGTGACGTCCACCATGAAGAAGATGGTGGGACAGGAGGCAGAGTAGAGACTAGAGTATGTGCAGCAGAGTCCTGCTGGTCTCCTCTTGATAGTGTCATAAGTGTGGCTGGTGTGTGTCAGATTCTTCTCTCGTTCCTCTGCCCGTGCCCTGGTCTTGTCGTTGTTTCGCACCCATGTCTGTATGGCAATCGAGGCTGCCTTCCCCACTACCTGTAGTTCACTCGTCACCTCTCCCGCGAGCTCCCTTCTCTTTCTTTCGGGTATGGAGTCCGTGAGTGCGGGTAGCGTGCAGGCAATCACGGGCGCTATTTTGTCGTACTCCTCTTCGGCGAGCGCTCCAAATCTAGACCCTTTCGCCTTTAAGGAGGCTGCCCTCGCTCGTCTCAGGAATGTGGCGGTGTCTTTTGAGTCCGGCGCCTCCCGTTCAACTCTTGCTGTCGCCCTCGCTGTGTGTTTGTCGAGCTTCCGCATGAAGTGACGCGCCTCTTCCTTATTTCCAGCGCAGCTGCCGCTCAGTATGTGCGCCAACGACGCCTGTGGTGGCTCACTGTCCCACGCCACGCCGCTACCGCACCAGCATTTCTTACCGCGTACCTCAAGTATCGTAGTCTTTGTTAGTATCGAGGTCTCGTGAGTTTTGGCACTGATAAATTCGCGCGACTCGCGGCGAGCCGAGCCAGGCCACGGCGCTCGGCCTGCTGAGAGAAGACCTACCCCGACGGCAGTGACAATTTACCCGACATCAATCGTCGACGGCAAGCTCGAGAACTGCGCCTCCAAAGTCGCCCAGATTCGCCTCTCGCGGCGCGCTGAGTTAGTATCGCCGGTGCGCCAGCCGGCTCTGCTCCACAGCAGGGCATGCCTGACTGGCTCCTGCTAGCCGTGCGTCCTGGTGGCATCCATTGCCAGCTCAGGTAGCCTCAGGAGGTCGCCTCGCGCACAACTCGGCGCCGCACAGCACCGCTCCGCGTTACTACCGAGTTAGTATCGTCGACCCACAGAGACTGCTCTTCTGTAGGTGAGCCGACAAACGCCGGCCGGGTCGGCCCCGCCGCCCCCATCGCCGCCGCCGGGGCGGCGGCGGCCTCGGCGGGCCATCCGGCGCGCCGCGCGCCCGACGGGGAGGTGTTCACCACTCCTGGCTCCTCACCCCGCCACGCCTTCGTGCAGACGCCGTGGCACCCGCCTCAGGCGCCGCTCGGACTCGGTTGACGGCTGCCCAAGTGCTTGGCTCGTGCCCAGCCGACCGGCAGGCGATGCCCACTCGCTGCTAGGCTAATCCCGGGCTGTCAAGCGGCGGTGTGGTGCCGTGAAGGGCAGCGGTGCCAAAACTACGACTATTAGTACCGTGCGGGGGCAGTGCATTTAATTCTGTCAAAAATCGAAATGTGCTCCGTGGGACGTATTGGGCTAGAATCATACGTCCGGGAGGCCCCCCATGCGTGCCGCAACGACCCACAGTTCTGGTACCACTCTCTTCACGTTCACAGCTCTTAAGTGTGCCATAACTCCGATACCTGAGGTATTTGCAAAACCGGCAGCTTCGAGTGTCTCGAGTGATCGGCTCGCAGTGTGGTGCATGTACATATGGGCCTACTTGACGACGACGACGACTACACCAGCGCTGTTGCCACTGCAGGCAGCTTCCTCGGCGGCACGTTCACCGCTCTCGGCTGGTGCGTGCCCCTCCCGCACGCGGGCTGCCGCCGCTCTGGTGCGCACGTCCAATTTTTGCCTCGGCCGCAGGTGGCTCTTTGTCGGCTACCTGCTACAGGCGGGCGCTGAGGCGGAGTGGGCGTCCCCTCCGCCCGTCAACTCGACGCTGCCGCTCGCGCCGGCCGGGCTGCGCAGCGGCGCCTATTGGGCGCCAGGCATTCTGCAGACCGCGGCGCTGGTGATGCTCAACGCCCTAAACTGGGAGGCGGTGAGCGAGGACACGCTGGGCGATGCGAGCGTCGCGCTGCGCGCGAGGCTGTGGGTAACGGTGTGCTTTGTGGTCATGTTCACCGCGCTGGGCGGCGCCATCTGGATCCTCGTAGAGAATGCAGCCGACGAGCGGGCGTGGAAGGGTGCAGGCCCGGCGGTAGTCGCGCAGAACGCTTGCATCTTTGCAGGCTCGCTCATCTTCCGAGCATCCCGCCGGCACGGCGAGCACGCCATGTAGATTGGGGAGGGCTACATGTATTTGTCAGATCTCTGCGGCCGTAATCAATAGCGGTGAGCGCGCGCACACTTTGGATTTTGGAATGCGCAACGGTCGCGCGCTCTCGTCCTCTCGAGAGCTGCTCTCCAGCGGGTCCCGTCGAGAGCGGCTCCATGTGATGCCTGCGAGCGGACAGAGCCCAGAGCCGGTGCCGGCGGCACTGCGCACTCCGCGGCACTGCCCCCGCCGCGGCACCGGCAGCCCGGCGACGAAGTCCGGCGCGGGGCTCGCTAGGCCTAGGGGCGCGGCGGCGCCGGCGCGGCGCGCCGTGGACGGTGATTGCGGGACGACAGTGTGTGTCACGCCGAGACGACAAAGGTGAAAGGACACGTCGACACGAGGTCACGACTGTATGGGTCAGACTGTGCCTCTCGTCACTCGTGGACGTGCGCACGGGTGGACGTGCGGGCTGCGGGCCGCGTCTGCGGCCGCGCGGCCCGCGGGGGCGGGCGGCGGTGCTGGTGGTGCATGGGCGCACGCCGCGCGCGCGTCTCGACGGGATCGTGCCGGCGTGTTTCAATCTCGACAGTAAACTTAGAATCCAATCGGCTCCGGCTCAGGTCAGAGGGCCCAGCGACTCGTCGGTTGGGTGTAAACGGGCATTGCCTGTGGTCTTCAACGCACAAAGGGTGTGAATAGAGCTCTCTCAATCCTTCTGAGCACGAAGACCACTCGAACTCTTCTGCAGACTCTAGTGTTTCCGGTTTTCATAAGCTGTGAATAGTTATTGCGCCCGCCGCAGCCCGCCCTATTCACCTGGGTTTCGCGCCACGGGCCACGAGAGCCCTGTGGAAGAGCCCAGCTGGCATGTTCTATCGCCCGGGTGTCGGGCTGTCTGCATACAGACGTCTCGTCGCCGTGGCCGACGCATGGCTGGTCCGACGTGTGGAGGAGTTTGACCTCAGCCAGGCCGTCGGTGTCGGCGGGCTGACGGCGGCCGCCGGAATCGCGATTCGCTCTGCCAGCTGCCAGCAGCCTCGTGTCGCCGCTCTCGTTGGCGCAGCAGCAGCGATTGACCTTTGCGCCGTCGCTCGACGGCGTCACCGCCCATCCGACCCGCGCAGCTCCTTCAGCTCCTGCAGCTCCTGCTGTCAGTCTTCTGCTCTCACGCACCTCACTCGCCGCGCGCGGATTGTGCGCCGCGCCAAGCAGGACACGTGCTCATGCAAACAATGCGAGAACTTGGTTGCGCCGCTTAGTGGCGGCGCTGCTTTAGAGGAAGCGGCAGCGTGGGAAGCAAAGCAGATGGAGGCGGCGCGGCATGCCAAGGAGCTGCTGCTGGCGGAGGTTGAGCGGCTAAGTGCAGCAAGGGCCCAAGGGCAAGAAGGGCAAGAAGAAGAAGAAGAATGTTGGCGTGGGCGATACGGGCGCCGCTAGGCTCAACGAGGAGTGCTGTGCAGTTAGAGAGCTCGTAGGACGTAGCGAGCTCGATTTTGATGAGAATTTGATGAGAAATATCTCAATTTTGAGCAAAAAACGCCAAAAAAAATCGGCCCCAGACCCCGTTTACACCCGAGCTATGCCCCACGACCTGAGCCGGAGCCATCCACACACACCACGCCCACGCCGCCGCCCACAGCCCACACTGGCCGCGCACGGCACGGCACACGCGCACACACTAGAGATGTGCTCTAGCGGTCGGCACGTCCAAACACACGTATCATGCGTAAAGGAAGGAGAGAGAAGGAGACGCACGCGGTTGCTGCTCTACCAGTCAAGTCAAACGACGTGGCCATCCAGAGGCTCTAGACCAGCGCCGCTCCCCGGGCCCGCTCCTTGAGCTGCTGAATCTCCTTCTTTGTCGGCTTCGGGCCCTTCGGGGCCGTCGGCAGGGTCGCCTTGTATTGAAACCCGCGGGACGCAACACCGCCGCCACTGCGGCTGGACGTCGCGATCAGCACCACGAGCAGGAAGAGGATCACCGCGCCAAGGACGGACGAGTCAGCGCATGAGCCGTAGCCCAGGGGGCCATCGAGCTGCTCGTCGTACCAGGTCAGCGTGCCGTTGCCGGCGACGAGCGAGCGGTTGAGCGGGATCAGACACGTGTGGTTGAATGCGCCCAGCAGCCCCGGCACCTCCTCCTGGCCCGCGAGAAATGCCGCGGACTGCTCGGCCTTCTGCGCTTGGTACCCTTCGTACGCATAGTGCTCGGGGCTAAGCGCAAACTCGCCGTTCCGCGCCGTGGCGTCGTCGCCGCCCATGCCCAGGTTCCACATCACCGCCTTGCCGAGCTCGCCCGCGTGGTACGCCAAGTGCTCCATGACTCGTCTGGCTTCTGGCTCTGGGTCCTCGTTGCAAGGTGGACGAGGACAGACGCCTTGTTTGCGTGTGCGTCCCGCAATCGTCCTTCCAAAATCCTGCTCGTGCAGGTGGGGACCCTGTCCTCCTCCCCCATCCCTCGTCTGGGTTTGTCTGTTTTCTTTCTTTCTTTCAAGGCAATGCGGAAAATGATTTTTCAGCCAGGAGGGAGGCGTCAGAGACCACGCCGTCGCCGAGACGGGGCAGACGGCTGGCCGGCTGCGGCCGCCGCAGAGTCGGCTCGCTCGCCCTCGCGCGCGTCGCCGTCGATCGGATCGACGAATCGAGCGACCAGCGAGGGCCGAGGCCGCGAGGGGAGGAGCGGCGGATGAGTCATGAGAGCTCGCGAGCGACGCGACTCCGCTACGAGGGGAGACACCACCCCACCATGACCACCACACGGCGAGACAAAACCGTCAAAACGGCGGCTTTATATGATATATTATATCGAAGCTTTTGCTTGCAGCTTGGCCTTGCCCTTGGCCCTTGGGGGGCCTTCCGGCACCAACCAACTTGATTGATTCCCGGATCGGCGTCTCCCCCTCCCCCTATGTGCCGCCACCCCCCTCCAATCCGTAATTCCGTAAAATCGCGCGAAAAGCGCCCTAATCGAGCTGAAGAGCGGCCCCCAGCCGCATGGGAGCGTGCCCCATAGCAGGAGGCGTTAGACGTACTTTTCGGAAGGACTTTCGGCCGACGTCCGTTCCCTTGGACACGTCGACAAATGGCACCGACGCAGCTCAGCATTGTGCTGGAGCGCCTGCTCAACGAACTCGGAATAGCCAACCTCAGTATGTTCGAGGCTGTGCTCATGCACGATACAGGCGCGGTGCTCGACGCGATCCGAAGCACCGCTGCAGCCGCAGAGGCTGGTGCGGCGGTTTATGCCAGCTCGGCCACGAGCAATGTTGTTGTGTGCCGAAGCAGCACTGCTACCGCTGGCGCAATCTCTGTTCAGCACGAGGGCAGCATCTCCCGCACTCTCGTCAGCACAGACGCGCAAACCACGCTAAAGGGCTCGGACATCCATGCAGCCGCGAGTAGTGCGACTGCTGAGATGCTGCTCCGGCAGGAGTTGGAAGAGAAGTTGCGGTCACAGACCAAGGAGCTGGCTTCTGAGCAGCGCTCTGCGAACGCTATGAAGAAGGCGCTCGCATCGGCGCGGGATGAGCTTGCTGCGGCACAAGAGCTGAGGCGCTCCGACTGCGACAACCTGAGGACAGCGCAGCAGGCTGCTAAACGCGACATCAAAGCGGCTGAGCGGATGGCCGACCAGGAATCATGCAGCTCGAGCTGAGTGTGAGTGGCGTATCGGCGAGATGCGGGCCAAGATGTAGGCCGAGCTGCGCGAGCAGCTCGACGCGCTGCAGATTTCGATGGAGGCAGAGGCGAGGCGCGCTGATGCCGCAGAGGCAGAGAGGTCAAGGCTGTACGACAAGATGGAGGGGATTATGCGCACGCGTGAGGGGTTGATAGACGCACTCGCAGAGGCGCAGCGCAAGCGCGAACAAGTGATTGTTAAGAGATATACGTAGCGTTACAGTCGTACGGTCGTCGACCCTCCCACCGTGTGGGCCGCCCGGACCCGGAGAGCGCTGCGCGTGCAGGCAGCGCTGCGCGAGCATTGGAGAGGCCAGCCCCCGGCTTCTCAGCAGGTCGCGAGCGCTGAGTCTCTGCCTGCCTGGTAGCTGGGTGCGGTGGGGGACTCCCTGGTGGCTTTTGGTTACAAATTTACGGATTTACGGATTTACGGATCGACACCCCCCTCCCGCCCTCCCTCCCCCGCTCCCTGTCCCGCGACCCGGCCGTGAGACGCCGATCCGGGAATCAAGTTGGTGCCGGCTTGACCCTTGAGGCGGAATAACATCAAGAGAGTTTTGTCGCATGAGCCAAAAGGAGGAAAAAAGGTGAAAGGATTGAAGGAATAAACCGACTGAGACACACAGCAGTTCACATAGACATACACCTCGCCTACTCTGCACAAATGGATACCCGCCGCAAAACCTGCGCTAGGGGTTTTCGCGCACGTGTGCCCCGAAGTGCACTTTCGCGGCGACGAGCTCCAGGCAGTGGCTCTAAAAGTCCCAGATCGCGAGGGGCCTCTCCCGTGGCGGAGGAGCGTCTGACGGAGGAGCACTTGGAGGAGCCTCTGGCGGAGGAGCCTCTGGCGGAGGAGCTGGCCGTGCCTCAGGCTGCCGTGTCCCCAGCGCCGCCGCAGAACCTGTCGCCAGCCCATTCGTGCCGTAGACCTCTGCGTATGCGTGCCACTGCGCGGCGAGGCACTCCGTGGTGAGGCATGGACCGCTGCGCCGCGCGCCCTCCTGGCCATTCTGCAGCGAGTCCTCCACTGCCGCGCGGCCGGCTGCGCGGACGAGCTCCTTCTTCCTCGTTTTCGCGGCGGCGGCGGCGGCGGCACGCTGCTCGTCTGAGGCAAGCGCCGGGCCATCGGCACTCTGGCGGTCGACTTCGGCCAGCGTCTCGATCAATGTGGGCGGGCGTACCATTAGGACCGCGACAGCACTCGCAGCCTCAGCGAAAGAGCGGGCAGCAGCGCACAGCCGAGCACGGCCGCGCCCGCCTCGAGTCCCAGCAGTAAAACAAATCGCGCGGCACGCTCCAAGTGCTCCGCCTCCTCGCCTGCGGCATGGTTCTCCCTAAAGCCCTCAATACAACTACCACGAAGAGAGCGGTCACGACAAACGGTAAAACGCTTACGGGTCATCCTTCCACCTCCACCTCCTCGGAGGGCCCAACTTGAGAATCGTGCTTGGGCCTTTGGGTGGGTGAGTATGGTGAGGTTGTTTGTTAGGTCGTCGGCGCGAATGGCGAGGTCTCGACCGCCGCCGCTCACGCCAGCGGATGGCCACTGCCGGTGTTTTTGGCTTCGCCACCGTCCAAGGCGTGCGCCATGCACTCGCCGTTATCGAGCGTCCGAGCAAGCCTGTCCGACGAGCGGCTTGCTCCTTGCTGTGCAGACGCCTTCTTGTCGCTCTCGTCGAGAGCGTTTTGCGTCCCGGCGGGTTGAGAGAAGATGTGTCGTCTGATGTGTCACTGCCACTGCGGGACGCGGCCACGAAAGGTGTGCAGACCCCAGTTCCGGCGGACGCACCGAGCGTCGGGACTCGGTCTCAGCAGACGAAGTCTTCCTCGTGGGCTCCACGGCCCGGATCGCGAGCTCGATCGATACGCGACGCGCTCGGCCTCCGCTGGCGGCTGCCGCAAGAGCGGCTGGCTCACGACAGCGTCTCGCCGGTCGCCGGATAGGAGAGTACAGAACGTCTGGAGTGTGTCTGTGTACGTGAGATCGGTATTGATAACAAGCACGGTCGATCCGTCAAAGCGATACAGGTCGTTCCTATCACGTTGGAGGGCTGGCACAGAGAGCGACAAGAAGGCGTCCGCACAGCAAGCCGCTCGTCGGACAGGCGTGCTCGCTCGATGTCGGCGAGCGCATGGCGCACACTTTGGACCGTGGCGAAGCCAAAAACACCGGCAGTGGCCGTCCGCTGGCATGAGCGGCGGCGGTCGAGACCTCACCCTTCGCGCCGACGACCTAACCTCACTCGGAACAACCTCACCCAAACAACCCAACCTAACACGAAACAACCTCACCCAAAAAGCACGATTCTCAAGTTGGGCCCTCCTCCTTCTCCTCGCGCTCTTTTGGCTGTGACACGCACGAACTTGCCGCCCTCCAGTCGGTCGAGTGGCGGCGACCAGAGGAGCACAACACGCACCGTCGTCGAGCGAACTTGGTGTGAGCTGTGTGTGTGTGCGCGTTAGTCAAAGAAAGAAAGAAAACAGACGACGGGATGGGAGGACGGCATGCCGCCATACCACATGTGTCTCCTCTGAGAGCGTTGCTGTCAGGCTGTCCAGGCTGTTCAGACCAGGACTCAGGTCTCTGGGTTCGTCAGTCCGCCCCATGTCTCGCCGAGTCCCATCGTCGATCATTGTCCCGGCTTGTGACGAGACATCACATCGATATTAAACTCATATACGGGGTGTGGACCGTGAGTTGACCAGGGGGGTTGTACGCCCGGCCCTCCTGCTCGGCTCCAGCGAGTAGACAAGTGTTGTCATCAACAGAGTAGAAGAATCTGACCTCGGGGCCGATGTGACCAAGCGCTGGTAGCGTGGTTTAACCTCACACCCATGGTCTCACAGTGTGCCGGCAGTCGCCGAGCAGTCGTGTCGCTCACACAAGCCGCAGCACAAGTGACTGAGGGCCAGTGAGGGCGAGCCCATCGCTGTCACAGCTGTGGCAGCCGCACAGTAGGCTGTGCCATCTGTGCAGAGTGTGTGAGTAGCAGAAGGAGCTTCACTCCAGGCTTCAGGCGCAAAGAGCTGCATGACACCGAAGGCGCTGTTGAGGTCGCCGAGCGCGGCGCAGGTTGAGGGACACCGTCACCGACGAGCGCGTTGGACTTTTCACTCCGGACAAACGGCGACACGCACACGAGCTGCGGCCGTGTGGCCGTCATAGCGGCGAGGCGCGGGACCGTCTGTGGCGAAGTGGGTCGCGTCCCGCGCCTCGATTGGCCTCAACTCACGGTCCACACCCTTTTTATGTCAAACAAAATGTGCGGATATCGTGGCTAGAGGCTAGTTCCATTTATTTCACTCTGACACGCTAATCTTGAAAACGTCCAACGGAGCTCCGTGTTGCTCCCAGCGCCCTCCCCCGCGCTTCCTGCGGCCCTAGCCGATGGTACTAGCATGGGAGGTCATCTGGCTACCACGAGAGCGACCCAACTCGTCGACATCGTCCGATGGTGCCTCAAAGTCAGCCTTCGGAGGCTATCGTGGCGTCGAGCCGGCAGTGGCCGTGACATGTGGTTCCACCACCCCTCGTAGGCTTTGCCTCTGACCGCCACCGTTCCCAGGCTGCCTAATGGGATGGAAAGGAAGGCTCAGCGAGCGTATAGAAGCGTGCTCGACCTCGTCGTGGCAACCTGCACGGCAGCGCTGGCAGGCGTGATGAGCGTCAAGCCACCTGACCCGAGACGGGTCGCAGGCGTCATACCGAGCGCGTCGAGACTGTGTCCTGATGTGATCTGCACGGGTGAGTCACGTCGGCGTCAAAGGAGCGACGTGCGACCTGTCAGAGCTTGATCTCCGATCTCAGCGGCGTCGAGTCGTCTCCGGCGGCGATACTTTTGTACCTCCCCAGGACGCGCAGAGGCAGCTGCGACCCCGCCGAGTGGACGGTTGCACACCGCGCCACCTGCTGTGTGCAACCGTCTACTCGGCGGGAAGGAAGGCACCGCGAGGTACAAAATGGCGCAAATGGTCAAAATCAAGGTTTTGACTTTTGAAACGCGAACTAGCCCGTGTTATCATAACACGCGTGGCGGAGCGGCCCGCGCGAGACCGCGAGCTCCACAGACCACAGTGGTATAGTGTCTCTCATTCGTGGCTATCAAAACATATGTCCTCAAAATATATACCACACCTAGTGTACGGGTTGTTTTGCACCGGGTGCCGGCCGCCGGCGCGCGGGCTCGAAGACGCGCGCCAGCGCTCGCTCGAGCTCGCCTCCGCCGCTCAGCGCCCCTCCTCTGGCGGCGTCAGCAAGCCCGCCTCGACGAGCCCGTCGCAATTCTTCTCCACCAGCGCCCTGCCCTCGGCGAGGCTGTACCCGTTCATCGCGAGCGAGAAGAGGCGGAGGCCGTGCAGCCACTCCCCCATCCCGGGGGTGGCGTACCAGCGACGCAAGTTGCGGAGGGAGACGAGCAGCGGGTGGCCTATGGGGGCGCGTGCGCCGTGGGCGCACCGCGGACGTGTCCGGGCGGGAGCCTGTAGGAGGGGAGGGGTGGCGAGCGGGAGGCGGCCTGCAGAGAGCGGCCCCACCTGCCCCGCCACTTGCCCGAGGGGCGGCGCCTCTCCCTCCTCGGGCGGGGGAGGGAGCTCGCAGAGCGCGTTCTTCTGGGCGAGGGAGAGGCCTCGCTGGCATTCGAGCCACGCCACCACCGCGCCGTTGAAGCAAAAGCCCGGGAACTGGAACAGCTCCTGCACGGTGATCTCCCCCTCGGAGCTGAAGACAGGCCGCCGCCCCTCCGCCGCGCTCGCCCCAAAGTTGAAGGCGCCGGCGGTGCAGTGCACGTACGTGGTCAGCTCGGCGGCCGACCGACCCCCTTCGTTTGCCCAGGGCAGCGCGAGCTCCGAACCTAGCCGAGGAGGCGCCGAGGGGACGCGTCGTGGACGTGGATTGGGCGCGCGTGCCGGCGGATCGGTGTCTGCGCGCCGTCGGCAAAGACGAGGTCGCCTGCAGGGAGGTGCCGAGGCGCTTCCGGGAAGGCTCCGTGGAGGCTCCGAGAGGCCGGCGGCAGAGTCGCCGGTGGAGGAGAGGGAGGCGACGCGGCCGCGGCCGTGGATGACGCTCGGCGCGCCTGCGGGTGCGGGGCGGTGCGGGGTCGAGGGGCGGGGCGGCGAAGGGTTGAGGGGCGGGGGGGTGGGGATGGGGTGGGAGGTGGAGAGGGGGGCGCGTGCTTTCGCGCAGCAGCTCCGCCTCCCGCCGGTTGAGTGTGGCGTCCATGAACTTTGTGGGCGTCTCGTTGGGGAGGAGGCGGTACACCTGGGGGAGAGAGGGGCGAGGGAGAGGGGCGGGTCGAGAGGCGTCGAGACTGCAGCCTCGCCTCGTGTCGAGCTCGCGCCGCCTCGGGGAGAGAAGGTGGGGTGGGGGGAGGGAGGGGAGGGAGAGCGCCTTGCCCTCCTCCTCGAGCTTCGCAAAGGCGGACTGCAGGAAGGCGGACGAGGAGAGGGCGGAGGGGGGGGAGCCGGCAGCCGCGTGCGCCTGCGGAGGAGGGGAAGGGGAGGGCTCGGGGCGGGCTCGGGGGAGGCGACGGGCGGTCGAGGCGTGCCGCTGCGCGCGCCTCGAGCGCGGACGCGATGAACTCGATGCATGTGTTTTGGCGGAGCGGGCTGGGCGGGTCGCGGGCGGTGATCCATGGGAGATGGGGCACCACCCACGCGATCCGGTCGAGAGGGACGCCTGGCGGGGGTGAGGGGAGGGGGTGGGGTCGAGGGGCGGGACGGGCCGGAGGGCCGGAGGCGAGGGGCGGAGGGGCGGAGGGGCGTGAGGGGAGAGGGCGAGGGCGCGAGGGGAGACGGCGAGAAGGGCGTGAGGCGCCCAGCGTCTGCCGGAGGAAGAGGACGGCGTCCTGGCCCGTCTTGCCTACTGGCGGCAGTGCGCGTGGAGGGGACGACCGCTCTGGCAGAGGACGTGCGTGCCCGCCCGCCTCGCCTCCGCCCAGCACGCAGTAGCGGCGCCCCTCTCCCGCGCCGCGCGCCGGCAGCTGGTTCGGAGGGATGAGGTCGACGCCGTCGCCGACGCTGAACTTTGGAGGCACCAGCAGCGGCAGGTCGTTCTCCGTGTACCGCGCGTCCACCACCTTGCGGAGGGGTGGGGAGCTGTGAGGCGCGCGGAGATGCCTGGACGCCCAGGTGTGTCCGTGAGTTTGAGTCTACGCTTCAACTCTGTGCGTCCTCCGCCTTTGAGGCGTCGACGCCGACGCGCGAGCCCGACGCGTCGACGTAGCTCGCCGAGCCAAAGTCGTAGGCGGCGCCGCCGACAAACGAGACCCGGTGCCCCGCCTCGCCCCACCGCGAGAGCAGCGAGCGGTAGTAGTCAAGGATCTCGTCCCGAGACGCGAGCTTCTCCGGGTGCTGCGTGAAGGCCTCCAGCGCCGTCGACTCGACGCCGTAGTTGCGCGCGGGCTGGTGCAGCGTCACGTAGTCGTACGCGTCGTTCCAGTGCCCGCCCGGCTGCTCGCGCTTGTCCAGGAGAGTGACCGACACCGGCTCCGGCGCGTGGAGCAGGAGAGTGTCGACGAACGACATGCCGGAAGCGCCCGCTCCCACGACGAGGTAGTCGCACGATGACGTCTCCGTCGCCATCGAAACGAGCGGGCTTGACCTGACAGCGAGCCGGGAGAGGGCGGCGAAGTTGTGGGGAAAGAGGAGGACAGAGGAGGAGGACAGGCCGACGGCCATTCCAGAAAGAGAATTCTGGCGGGCCAAGCCTCTCTCACAGCACACTGGCACGACAAGGGCGCGGACTGGCGCGGACTGGCACACACACAGGCTCACAGAAAGAGAAAACCCGTTCCCAAAGAGAAAAACGCCCATAAAAATAAAAATAAGTAAAACGAACCCCAAACGGAGAAGGACAGGGATCAGGGTTCTCACCTGCACAACCGAGCATTATCTTCTTCGAACGAGCGCGAGCGCATCGCGACACGGAGGCGGGCTGGGCAGAGTTCACCCACACGACAGGGTCCCAGGGATTCCTCCTCGTATAGGACAAATTGCACGCGGTGGCACGGGCGCAGGCGCGTGCCTCCTACTGGTTGCGCTCTCGACGCCCCCGCGCGCGCGCGCGCACACACACACACACACACACACACACACACACACACACACACACACACACACACACACACACACACACTCACACATGCATGCATGCACAGACAAACAGCCGCTTCCCCTTCCTCCTAAGACCTTCCCAAGGGCGAGGACACGCGCAGGCCGCACCTCTAGTGAGGCCCGCATAGTATGTGGGAGACTCGTGCCGCCGCCCCTGCCACCCCTGTGTCAGTGTGCCTGTGGTAGTGAGAGACTGCCAGCGAGAAGCTGGAGGCAGGTCGCTAGACTGAGATGAGACCGCCAGTGGAGTTGGGAGTCCACCGTGCACCGCGCTGCGAGCCTGTCGTGTCCCTTGTCAGGAGCAGGAGAGCCCCACCTGTGCCCCTGATCGTCCTTCCAAAATCCTGCTCGTGCAGGTGTGGACCCTGTCCTCCTCCCCCATCCCTCGTTTGGGTTTCTCTGTTTTCTTTCTTTCTTTCTTTACCGGCGTTTGCACAGCGCTCAGCGGGAGCAGCCGGCGGGACCAGTGGCGCGATCGAAAAGTCGGCCATGAATCTTCATGCCATGATCATTCGGGTTGCCTCAAAATTTTCTTCGCCTGGGGCGGCGCCGGCAGCGCGGGTTGTCATCTACCTACAAGTGGCGTGCGTCGCAACTTGCGCACGGGGGCTGAGTGGAGGGCGTGCACGGCAAGTGCTAGGGCAAGTGGCGGTACTTTTAGCTTAATGGCTCTCTCTCTCTCTCGCTAGTAGGGTTTTGACCCATGAGATCGTGCAATTTTTATCCAGGGTTTACACTTTTTAGCACGGACCGCGGGCCGGACGCCTGGACGCTGGAGCGGGCGTGCGGGGCTGCACAGAGAGACCCGGAACTGGCCGCCACGTGTCGTCTAAGTTCGTGAGCTCCGATCACCAGCGTCTAAGACTAAGTCCTAGCCCCCGTCGCCTTCCGGGGGCTAAGTTCAGCGCTCGCCTGCGAGCAGGTCTAAGTATAGCAGGTCTAAGTTTTGTGGGCAACCCTCTACCCCAGTCTGCTACGTACTACCCAACGCGGATACAGGCTTGAACGACCACAGGCAGGGTTCCAACTTTTCGCGGGGTGCGGTATGGTGTCGCACAGGTACACGGGGAAAGGATTTCATGCAGGAACACGGCTCACGGGCACGGGACTGGCGCGCACCGACTGGCCGACTAGCACAGGTACACCAGAACACCACGGGAGCCGCCCAAGCGACAATAATAACAGACAGTGTGCACACCCCAACAGCGGGGCGACCGCCCTCTCCAGGTAGGTTTGCCGCTTACTGTCCCTCGCGAAGCCGTCCCACTCGTAGAATGGAACGCTGATCACCCTCCAGCCAACCGCCGCGAGGAGGCGCCGCTTGAGCAGCGTCGGCCCATTGGGTTTGCGCACGCCCCGGCCGTCGGGCAGCAGGAAGTGAGAGGGGCCGTCCACCTCGACCGCGACGCGTGACGAGGGCAGTTCCAGGTCGAGCGAGTGGCCGGTGCGCGGCTCGAGATGCTCCTCCTCGAAGCCGTGGTGGACGGCGGCGAGGGCAGCCGCGACGGAGCGTTGGAACTCAGAGATCGTCACTTGCGTGTCTTGCTTAGCGTCGCAGCAGAGCTTACGCTGAGACTCGGAGAGGAGATGCTGCTGCCCGTCTGCCCCGCGTTTCTTCGGCAGGCGGCGGACCAGCTGAGTAACAAACTTTCGCACGCTCAGCACCTCGATGAGGTCACATGGACCACCAAGAACTGGCACGGGCTGCAGATGCAGCGCTTGTCTGTCGTTCTCCAAACCGCCGTGGCGTGGCAGACGGTGAACGAGCTAGCGTGCGGGGAGAGCGGCATTGTGCACGGAGCTAAGTGCATTGCCGTTCTTAACGGAGTCGCTTAGGCGGCTCCGGTGGTGTGCCTGTGATAGTGCTAGCACGCGCCAGTTCGCACCTGCCTGTGTCGAGCCTGTCTGCTGTGAGAGAGAGTTATTTTGTTAAAATTCTTATCGCACTCGAGTAGTGTCGTGCGAGGGAGTTTTGTTGTAAAATTCTTATCCACAACTCTTTCTCACAAGAGGCACGAGGAAGACACAAAGTTGTTTGGTATTGCTAAAAATCTCTCTCTCTCCGAGGAAGGGACAATGTGGAAGATGGCTTAGTGCTAGTCTTCCCCCATCCATCGGGAGGACGACCCCGGCTAGTCGCCGACCACACCCACAAAGAACCCTGCACAAAGATCGCACGGGCGGGGACCTGTTCCTTTTTCCCAATCTCACTGCGTCCGTTTTTCTCTAGATACGTTCCCCCACACTACTATCGTAACCAATTGGATCTACTCGAGTATCCCCCGTTCCCCCCTATCTCGTGGCTCGTGCTTCTGGTGACGCCGAGGTGCGGCTCGCGCTCGCCGCCGGCATCCGGCGCTCCATGAATCGCACCCTGCCTGTCCTCGCAGGTGTCCGTCCGTCGACCTGAGGCCCGCCAGCCAGCCATCCCAAGCTAGTCCCCAACAGACGCAGCACCGCCAATCGACACAAGCCCAGAATCGTACACACCCCGGAGCGATGCCGATCAACGCGGCGGGACCTTGGCAAGCGTACTTGGGCCGATCTCTACCGTCGGCTACATCGCCGGCCTCGCGCACAGCCTGCATCGGTGAGCATATTCTCGCCGAGTCGACGCCTTTGCGCCACTCGCATATTGGTTCATCCTTGGACCAATATGCTCGCTCGCTCGCTCATCAGAACGAACGATCTACTTGGTGCGCGAGCGGAGAGGCGCATCGCCCCCTGCCCATCATCACCATCACCGCAAGCATGATAGCATGATAACTGTCCTCGCGCCGTCGTCCGCATCACCAGCATCGTTCACCGTCTTCACCAACATCCTCGCCCTCATCCTCGTCACCATCCTCATCCCCATCCTCGTCAATATTCTCGTCAACACCCTCGTCAACATCGTCGTCAACATCGTCACCATCCCCTTCTTCACCGTCGTCAACATCCTCCTCCTGATCGTCATGACGCGGGCCCCGCTGCCCGCTGCCTCGGGCATCCCATCCCTTGCATGCTCGGGCAACCCCGCGCTGATCATGAGGCTCGTAGGGGGGGAGAGCTCGGGGCGAGCCGACAGGGACCTGGCCTCGAGCAGGCGCGCAGCTCGCGCACGCTCTCTGTGTTCACCGACACCGTGTGCCCTTGAACTTTCTCGGAACCTTCCCATAGGTGCCGCTTGCCCCGGACGAGGCAAAAGGGATGCACCCTCCCTCCGCCCCCTTCCCCTCCCAACGCGCGCAGCCTGCTTCGGAATCGCGTGCAACATGAACATGCAGCGCCGGCATGCCTCACGCAGTGGGAGGGGCTGCCTCTCGCCGCAGTGGGAGAGGCTTCACTCAACCCCGCCAGCGGCTCACCCCGACGGCGCGTCTAGATCGTGCGCGGCCTTTCCTTGCTTCTTTCGCGAGTGGCAGGCGCACCCCCTTCCCCCTCCTCCAACCACCCCCCCCCCCCAAGCCCCACGCGCCCGCTATGCGCCCCTCTCCGACGCTAAGCGCCTTACGTCTCGCCACTCCGACACCGCGCCACCTGTTCACCTGCGCAGCCGGCGCGCCGGCTGGGCCGGGAGCTGCGATGGCCGCCAAGTCGACGGAGCTCAGCGAGTGCGAGAAGGAGCGCCAGCAGGCGCGCTCTCACTGACCGTCCGCTGCACCCTCCAGCCCCGCGGCGCGAGGCGACCACTGCCTTCACGCCACATCCCCCCCCCCCCCCCCACACACGCAGATGGTCTCGACCAGCAGAAGCTCGCCCGATCGGCATCACGTGCTCGTGCAGGCCAGTCCTCCCCGCGTCCCCTGCCCTCCCTCTTGCACAGCCCCCCCTCCTTGCCACCAGAGCTCCGCTCGCAACCGCCCCACCGCGGCCGGGAGGACCTAGCGCCCAACCACCCATCGCGGCCCCTATCCATCTCAGGACACCAGACACTCACCTCCCCACCTCCGCGCAGCCGGCCGGCGATGCTTGGCGAGGACGGCGAGGAGCGACCTGGGCCGGGGGCCACTGCCTGCACGGCGAGGGCATCCTACTCGAGAGGGCCGTCGGGCTTTTACGGGAGGGGCAGAGCCCCGTCCTCCTCCTCGCCGTCTTCGTCATCGACAAGAAAATCGTCTGGTACGAGTCCCTCCTCCTCCTCGGCTACGCGCTCTACGTCTTGTGGATGACCAAGAACCGCAAGATTGCAAAGGCCACGTACGACCGCCCCCCACGAGAACGCCGAGGGCGCGGACAAGGCAAGTGCATATCGGCTCCAAAAGGCTTCTCGTGGCCGCTCACGTCACCACCGCCTTCCGAAGCAAGCACTTGTCGATGCCGGAGTCGATGCGCGACAAGTACTTGCTTCATGGTCGCCCACGCCGCCCTCGCCCACGCCCTCGCCCTCGCCGCCTCCCCCGTCGCAGCCGCCCTCCCCACCGCCACCCTCGTCTCCGCCCTCACCGCCGCCACCCTCCCACCCGCCGCCGCTGCCGCCTCCGTCGCCGCCACCCTCGCCGCCGCCGCCCTCCCTGCCGCCGCCCTCGCCTCCGCCGCCGTCCGGCATGCCGCCACTTTCGCCCTCGCCTCCAGCAGCGCCGCCCCCGTCGCCGCTGCCCTCGTCGCCGCCTCCCTCGTCTCCACCGCCGCCGCCACTACCCTCGCCGCCACCCTCGCAGCCGCCCTCGCCGCCGCCACCATCGTCACCGCCCTTGCCGCCTCCAGTTCGCTCCGTCCCCTCCGTCGCTGCCCCTCCTGCCCGCCCTCGCGCCACTTCGCATCGCCGTTCCGTCGCCCCTCCGCCCGCCCCCGCCCCCCCCCTCCCCTCCCCTCCCCTCCCCTCGCCCTCGCCCTCGCCCCCCATCGCCCTCGCCCTCGCCCTCGCCCTCGCCCGCGCGGCCTCTCTTTATTGCGCCGTCGCTCGCCTGCATCACTCGCCCGCGACATGAACTTAAGCCCGCTCCCTCGTTGCGCCGCCCTCCGCAGACTCAACGTCCAAGCTTTGTCCCCCGTCACTTTCCTCTCATTTCAGACCCCACACATGCGCACAAAGCTGTTCGCACACCCGGCCAGTGCAGGCGCCTTGCCTCACTCCGCTCACGGCACCCATTCTGTCTGCTGTGCAGGACACGATGGGCGGCGGCGACGAGGAGCCGGCCGCCGAGTCGACGGCCGATCCCGGTCTACTCGCATCCGCGAAGCAGCTCTTGAGCCGCACCCTCATGTCGCTCTGGGGCGCCAGCCTTGGACGGCCAACAAGCTCGCGGCGCGAGTGCGATGCGGAGGACCCACCTTCGCCACCGCCGCAGGCGATCCAAAGGACCTGGCTTAGGGCCAGCATGGGTGGAAGCCCCTCGCCGCAGTCCTCACCGTCCTTCCACCCATGCCCGTCGTCCTTGCCACCAGCCCACAAGGACCAGAGGTCCCTCGCAGGGCCCGCCTCGAAAGTTTCGAGCACCCCTCTTCCGGCCGCCCCGGCAGACGCAAAGCCGCGAATGTGGCAGCTGCCGAGGGGCATGAGGGTGGCCTTGAGGGGGCGTGAGTCATCGGCAGAGGATGAGGATCTGCTCGTCTTCGCTGAGCGAGCCGCGTGCTTCGCGCGCGCAGCCCTCACCGCTTCGAAACAACACCTGCTAATTTACCCGCTCCTCCTCCTCGGCGTGCCGTTCCTGGTGGCGGTCGTCGTGCACTCGCCCGACACTTTCATCGACAAGGTGGCGGTCGCCGCGCAGGCCGTGCTCAGCGCCAACGGCCTTGCTCTGGCCCTCAGCTCACTCGCCGTTTTGTACGTCGGCGAGCGTGGGGCGGCCGCCGTCAACGCTCGGATGTCGCAGACAGAGTTGGCTCTGAGCGCCGCGGTTGGGACCTTTGCTGCATACTACAACGCGACTGCCCTTGCCGGCGTTGCTCCCCCCCATTCGCGTGTCCCCTTCGTGGGCCTCACTTGCTTGTGGGCGGGCGTGATGCGAGCCGGATGCTCTCGAGGACGGTACGCGTTAGACACATCCACGACACACGACAAGTGCACGACAAGTGCACGTCCCTGAAACGTCCTGCAGGTACGCGCTGGTCATCTCGAACAGGCCAAAGGCGCGGCAGCCGGTGCAGGAGGCGAAGTGGGATCCGGCGCTCGAGAATACCAGTCGCTCCTCCATCTTCCTGCGGCTGCGCAACGCAAAGCTGGCCGCATACCGTCTCGTCATCATCTTCAACATGACGTGGGCTGGCTTCAGCGTCGTGCTCCTCGCATGGAGCATCCAAGCCGCCCTCATTGTGCTCGGCGCGAGCGCGCAAGACCTCGTGTCGGCGAACGGCATCGCGGGCAGCAACGCCCCGCTATGCACCAGCGCCCTCTCCCCCTACGTGTGTGAAAGGCTACTCACGAAGGGTGGCCTCGTCGGCCTATTCTTCACAAACGGCTTCGTTCGCGTCAACCATTTCTCGATTCCGATCACGGGAACCACATCTAGCGGCAAGACGCTGCTGTTCGTCACCCCGGTCCGCCTCTGTCCCAGCTTGCCCCACGCGCCTCGCTGATCGCACCGCGCCAACCCCCCTCCGCCACCACCGCCGCCGCCGCCGCCGCCATCGCCGCCGCAGCCTCCATCGCCACCGCCGCCACCGCCGCCATCGCCACCGCCGCCACCGCCGCCACCGCCGCCATCGCCACCGCCGCCACCGCCGCCATCGCCGCCACTGCCCCCGCCCCCAATGCCGCCTCCGCCACCGCCGCTGCCGCCATCACCACCTACTGATCCGTCGCCACCACCGCCGCCCCTACCAAGCCCCCCGGAACCGTCTCTGCCGCCTCTACCGCTACCGCCGCTGCCGCTGCCGCTGCCGCCGCTGCCGCCGCCACCTGCACCACGCACACAAATGCACGCGAACCACCCATCCCCCCTCCTCGTCTCCACAGGTCCTCGCGCACACGCTGACGCTCCTCTGCTCTGTGGCGCTCCTTGTCGCCCTTGCGACGCACGACAGCTTCGCCTCGCGGCAGTCGAAACAGCACCTCATCGCGCTGCTCGTCGCGCTGCCGTTGCATGCCTTTCACCTCGCGTTCGGCGCCCTCCGCGCGATCGACTACGCCGTCGCCAAGCACCGGAGGCTCTCTCGCGGCCCGATTTGCGTCGATCTTTGGAGGACAGAATCACGATACGGGACCACTGAGCTCAACTCGGCGGAGTCTTCCGTCCACTCACAAGCGTGGTACAGTCCGTATTCGATGAAGCAGGGCTCCGAGCGGAATATGGCTTGGAGCACAGGCGCCACCACCCGCCCATGTCGCCTCCTCGCCACGCCACCCTTCTCACCGTCAGCCCCGCCCGGATCCTCAGGTGCAGGCTCGAGCGCTAACCTCTCGATGGACGGCTCGATGCACGGCTCCCTGGATGGGTGCGTGAATATCGGCGGGGTGTCAGCGCCGCCCGTGTCCCACCAGCGGCCTCTGCGCATCCTCTGCGTCGATGGCGGCGGCAGCAAGGGCACCGCTGCTGTCGTGCTGCTGGAGGCGCTCGAGCGCGCGTGCGGCCAGCCGCTGCACGAGATGTTCGACATCGTCGGTGGCACATCGATCGGCTCGGCTCTGACGACAGCGTTGGCGCTGCAGCAGCCAACTTCGATTATGAAGCAGATGATGGAGCTCCTCTCGTGGCGCGGCCACGCCGTCGCCAACCGTGGCAAGGGCGTCCTCACGCGCGCATCGAATTGGCGGCTGCTGCAGTCAGGCGCCCGCATCGCCACGAAGGACGTTGAGGAGCTGCTCCACTGGTGCTGCAATCAGGCGTGCGAGAGCATTGGCAGGAAGGGGATGGAACCCATCCAGCCCGCCACCGCGCCCGCGCCCGCGTGGGCGAGCGAGGAGGAGCGCGCGAAGTGGCGCAATAGCGGCGACCATGCGCTCGACGGCCGCCATCAACCAGTCACGCCGTACCTCGCCACAGTCGCCTCCAAGATGGAAAGGGGAGGGGAGATCACGCCGTGGGTCAACACGAACTACGCGCGTGACGGCGCGTTTGCGCACTCGGGCGCAAATGACTGGACCGCCTTTGAGATCATCCGGGCGTCGTCTGCAGCGCCCACCTACTTTCCGCCGTTCGTCCGTGCGGACGAGTCCACTTTCGTCGACGGCGGGCTCGTCGCCAACAATCCCGCGAAGATCGTGCTTGCGGAGGCGCAAGCACTTTTCCCCGGCCGCCCGATCGGGTGCTTCGTCTCGATCGGGTGCGGCAAGGACACCAAGAGCGAGGACGAGAGCGTGGGCACCGACAAGTCGGTGCTCTACTGGGCCATGAAGATGATCTCGATGCCGACATCCGTGTACGCGACGCACAAGGAGGTGCAGCAGCAGCTCAAGTACCATAACCACCCTTCGCTGCCGGAGCCGTGCTACTTCCGCCTCGACCCGACCCAAGACTTCGATATGGGCGAGAGCAGGGAGGCGGCCGTGAAGGCGATGGCGAAGGGGGCGTACGACTATGCGATGAAGCAAAAGGAGAAGAAGGTCGGCTCCTCCATTTAACCCTCTCCCCACACACGCACGCACGCACGCGCATCACGCTTGCGCTCGCACGCACAGCTCAACTGGCTGCCACTGACCCCACTTGTCTTGAGTTTGTTAGGTCGACCGCGTTGTCGCCAGCCTGCTCATGCTCTCGGGAGCGATCGACGCGGACCCTGTGCTGCTGCAGCGCATTGCGAGCAAGACAGCGGACCCCGACCGCGTGCAGAGGGCCATCAGGCACAGCGGAGGGACGCCGGTCCATCGTCTCCGAGCGCACGACGAGCGGATGGCGCGCCTCGCGAAAGCACTGGGGCGCGAGGGCTGAAGCCCCCTGGGAAGATCGGCATATCTTCCATCATGATCAGTGTGGGGCACCGAGAACCCCACCTGGGGTAGTAGACTAGAGACGGCGGCTCAACGTCGCGGTCCGAGTCGAGGCCTAGAGATCGAGCATGGGGTAGTAGACTAGAGACGGCGGCTCAACGTCGCGGTCCGAGTCGAGGCCTAGAGATCGAGCATGGGGTAGTAGACTAGAGACGGCGGCTCAACGTCGCGGTCCGAGTCGAGGCCTAGAGATCGAGCATGGGGTAGTAGGCTAGAGACGGCGGCTCAACGTCGCGGTCCGAGTCGAGGCCTAGAGATCAGCGCCGGCGAGCTAGCTCCCTCGTCACACACGCGCACGGACGGAGGGACCGGGCGTTCACTAGCGCTCGCTTGTGGGTAGGAACGGAGTTCTCTCTCTTTCTCGCGCGCGCGCCGCGCGCGCCGCGCGTGAGAGAGAGAGAGAATCTTCTTGTTCTGTATTTTTTGTAATCTTAGACCCGGGGAGAGTTTGTTGTTTTGAAATTTACCCTGGCACATGGACATGGACATGCACATGCTACATGTATTGTCAGCCCCCGCTGCGCCCTTACTCTGAGAGTGCCTCGCGCGGAATATTTCTTTCTATCGCGAAAATTTCGGGAACGCGCGCCCTAGCTGCCAAGGCGCCAGCCGAGAGGCTGCCACAGCTGCCATGAGCGCCGAGTCACGTTCCCTGCGCCGCATCGGCGACCGGTCGACGGCGTTCGACGAGAGCGGCCTGTCGCACGAGGAGCGGCTCGACGTCGCCCGGCGCCACGCCGAGCAGGTCTTGGCCGACCGGGTCCGGCAGGCGCCGCGGACGGCGGCACTTGCAGAGGCGCGGGGGCCGATCCTCAAGCAGTCGGCGCTCATCGGCGCCGCTGCGGGCTGCCTGGGCGTCGCGGGCGCCAGCCGCGCGCTCTCGCGCCGCCAGATGCTCACCGCCCAGCGGCGCCGCTGCCCCGATCGTCGTAGCCGCGCCGCTCGTCATGCCGCCTGTCATGATGCGGCCGTTGCTCGCCTCGCCATGGCTCGTCGCGCCATTGCTCAATGGGCCATTGTGGCTCAGCGTGCCATCGCTGCTCGCGACCTCTGCACCAAGAGTCGTTGCAGCCGCGCCGCTCGTCTCGCCGCCCGTCATGGTGCGGCCATTGCTCGCCGCGCAAAGGCTCGTCGTATCGCTGCTCGCGACCACTGCACCAAGAGTCGTTGTAGCCGCGCCACTCATCATGCCGCCCGTCATGGTGCGGCCATTGCTCGCCTTGCCAACGCTCATCGCGCCGTCGCAGCTCATCCCGCCGCGGCTCATCGCGCGATCGCAACCGCCGTCGCTCGCCCTGCCATCGCCACTCTTCGCGTCCGCGTTGCTCATCACGCCAGCGACGCTCCTCGCTCCGATGGGACATGTCTGCACACTTCCTCGTGCGCGCGTCCACACCACAATAAACTAATTTTTGCGCAGCGGCGCCGCCAGGCGCCCGCCCCGGCGGTTCACTTCGCTCCGCTCGTTCACCGCCGGGGCGGGCGCCTGGCGGCTCCGCGGAGCTCCTTTGGCTCGGCGCGGGCGGGGGCGCGAGTAAAAAGAAATTTACCGCATGTGCCCTATCCCGCGCCTGGGTTCCGGCTCCTAGCCAGATAGGGGGTCTGTTGCCACTGAGTCGCGCCAAAACGCCCTACCTACCTACCTATTGCGGGCGCCAACCGCCAGGCTCCGTGCCCCACCTACCTACCTATTGCGGGGCCGCGCAGCGAAGCGAAAAATACCCGTTGGAACCCGTCCCGGGCGCGTTCGCCGGCGCTGCCGTCCCGGGCGCCGCCACCGCGGGCGCCGCCGCCGCACCCGTCTCGGCTGGCGTCCCAGCCGCAGGCGACACGTCTGGCATGGCCCCGTTCGCGGCAACGCGCCCGTCTCCCGCGCAAGCGAAGCGGGTTTTTTTCCCCCACCCCCCCACCCCCCCACACCACCGCCACCTACCTACCTATTGCGGGGCCCTCTGGGGCGGTCAAAACCGGACCTACCTACCTATTGCATAGGGGCCAGCCAGTGGGAACAGACCCCCTATCTGACTAGGAGCCGGAACCCTGCGCTCGGCGAAGGCCGCGAAAACACAACACCCGAAAGCGCGGTTTTGCGTCGGGATGCGGGTACCTCGCGAGACTCGTGTTTGAGGTGCATCCACCCCCACCCACCACCTTCCCGGCAGCCCCACCCGCTCGCTGACGTCCTCACTTCTCCCCCCTGCCCCGCCCCCCCTTCAGGCGAGGCCCTGGCCACCAAACTCGCGCTCGTCGCTCCGGGAACGGGCAGCAGCGCGACGCTTTTCGAGAGCGAGCGGCGGCGGCGGCGGCTCAGCACCAACCTTTGCAACGCAGGGGCTGGCTGCGTGGGCCCCCGCCACCGGACTCCGTCGGGCTCGCGTCTCCCTGCCCGCGCGGGAGCTGAGGGGAGCGCAGTGTGTGTGTGTGTGTGTGTGTGTGTGTGTGTGTGTGTGTGTGTGTGTGTGTGTGTGTGTGTGTGTGTGTGTGTGTGTGTGTGTGTGTGTGTGTGTGTGTGTGTGTGGTGTGTGTGTGTGTGTGTGTGTGTGTGTGTGTGTGTGTGTGTGTGTGTGTGTGTGTGTCTGTGTCTGTGTCTGTGTCTGTGTCTGTGTCTGTGTCTGTGTCTGTGTCCCTGTCGTGTCGTGTGTGTCGTGTGTAACTCTCGCACTAGCTCTCGCCCTCTTGCTTGGCCTTTATACGTTTTTCTCGCCCAGTACTATCTATATTCTTTTTCCGTATTCTTTCCGTATTCTTGTCCCAAACAGGGCCTATATTCTCAAATATTCTTTATATTCCCGCTGAAAATCGCTGAAAATCGCTTCGAAAAAGAATATAGAATCGGAAGAATAACGTATAAAGGCCAACCTCTTGCAAGCCTGCCTGGCGCCTGGCCCCGCCCTAACCGCCCGGCGGCCCGCACGCTCGACCGAACCCGGACGACGTGCCGTGTTTCCTTCTGCTTCTCTACGAAAACACACGTCAGCGCCATCGAGAACAACAAGACTTTGGCGAGCCAACGCAGCCGAAAAGAAAGAAAGAAAACACGCAACCCAAGGGAGGGATGGGAGAACGGCACGCCGCCACCACACAGGGATTTTAAGGAGAGGAGGGTGTGATGCGCTAGCCGTCGCCCACCCTGGGGAGTCTGCCTCTTCGTATCAACGCAGCCGAGAGATAAAATCTCTGCGTGGTTGAGTTTCTTGCTAAAGCCGTGGGGCAGGTGCACAGGCGCGAACTCGCTCCTGCGCCACTCTTCTCATCCGAGACCAGCATGCTCACCGCGCTGCTCGCTGCGCTCTCCGCGCCCGAGCAGGACCGCGTCGCGAGCTTGCCAGGTTATGGCGAGCCGCCCTCGCCTCAGTTCTCTGGCTACCTCGACGCCGGCGCCGCGGAGCCGGGCACGAAGCTGCACTACTGGTTCGCTGCCGCCGAGACTGCGGACTGGGCCAAGCGGCCCGTCGTGCTTTGGCTCAACGGCGGCCCCGGCTCCAGCAGCCTGCTCGGCATGCTGCAGGAGCAGGGGCCGCTCATCATCGACCGGAACGGCAAGCTGATGCGGAACCCGTACGCGTGGACGACGCTCGTCAACCTGGTGGCGCTCGAGTCGCCGGCCGGGGTCGGCTTCTCCTACTGCGCGGCGATGAAGGCGGGCGGCAGCTGCTCCAACACCGACGTCTCGACCGCCAGGGCGGCGCACGCGGGGCTGCAGGACTTCTTCTCGGCCAAAAAGTTCCCGGAGCTGGCCGCCAACGACTTTTACATCACAGGCGAGAGCTACGCGGGCGTGTACTGCCCGACGCTCGCGGCCGAGATTGTGTCCAACCCGCGCGGCGGGCAGCGCATCCGCCTCGTCGGCATGGCGGTCGGAGACCCGTGCACGGACAACGCGGCGCAGCGCCAGTCGATGGACATGCTCTGGTGAGGGGGCCAGGGGCTACGGGTCCAGGGATAGCAGGGCCAGTCGATGGACATGCTCTGGTGAGGGGGCCAGGGGCCACGGGGCCAGGGATAGCAGGGCCAGTCGATGGACATGCTCTGGTGAGCGGGCCAGGGGCCACGGGGCCAGGGATAGCAGGGCCAGTCGATGGACATGCTCTGGTGAGAGGGCCAGGGGCCACGGGTCCAGGGATAGCAGGGCCAGTCGATGGACATGCTCTGGTGAGGGGTGTTAGGGGTCAGGGGTCAGGGTCGATTGGGTTTCTCTGGTGCGAGATGAGCTGCCCGCACGTGCCCTCGCCACCTCTCCGCACGTCCCCTCCGCACCTCCCTCCGCACCGTCCTCTCCGCACGTCCCCTCCGCAGGTACGCGCACAAGCACGGCCTCGTGCCCGAGGCCGAGTACCACCTCCTCACCGCCTCGTGCGGCTACGAGCCGCCGCCCTCGCACCTGACGGCGGGGCAGTGGCGCGTGGCGGCGGACGGCAGGCGAAACGCGTCGAGGCGCGGGAGTGGTGGCCCTGCCCAGGACGCGTCCCTGACACGCCCGCGGCTGCTCTGGCCGGCAGGCTCGAGGCGCAGCTGCCGGCCGCGGGAGGGGAGGCTGCCTCGCGGCCCCTTCTCCCTCTGGGCGGCCTCCCAAACAAGTCCGCCGCCTGCACGGCGGCGCACCGCAAGTACCTCCTCGCGGCGAGCAGAGGCATCTCCCAGTCGTGGGACAAGCAGTATATCAACGAGCTCTCCCTCTACGCGCCCGCCGGGCCGTACCGCTTCGACCTGCCGGGCGCGCGGAGCCGGCGCGCCGCAGCCCACCGCGAGGCGGTGCGCGTGACGCGAGGCCCCCCCCCCCCCCCCCCCCCCACCCGCAGGCACGTGGAACTACCGCACTGCGGCCTACCTCAACTCGCAGCCCGTGCGCAAGGCGCTGCACGTGGCAGGCGCCCCCTCCGCCTGGCCCGGCCCCGCGCCGGGATGGAGCTACAGCTCCTCCTACGCGGCCTGCAACGTTCGCGCACCGCCCGGCACCGACTCGATGGTCGATTTTTACCGACGCCTCGCCCCCGCGCTGCCCGGGCGGATCGTCGTCTTCAACGGCGCGCCGCCCCCCTCGTCCGCTAGCCCGCCCGCTCGTCCGCCGCCGCCGGCTGGCCCGCCCTTGCCCCGCCAGCGGCTCAGGCGGGACCCCCCCCCCCCAGGCGACACGGACCCGTGCGTCTCATACGAGGGGACGCGCGAGGCGCTCCTGCGCGTCGGCTTCAAGGAGGTGCAGCCGACCCGGCCGTGGTTCTACAACATGACCGCCGCGCCGCCCGAGCTGCTCGCGCGGAAGGACGTCCTCTTCGGGGGCCTCCTCGCCTCGGCTGGCGCGGGCGCGCAGTTCGGCGGGCAGGTGACCGACTACGAGCACGGCCTCTCCTTCGCCACGGTGCACGGCTCTGGCCACATGGTCCCCACCTTCCGCCCGCGCGCCGCCCTGACCCTGCTGCGGCATGTCGTCGAGAACTCGACCTTTGCGCCGCCGGTGCCGAGCGACGCCGCCCTCGCCGCAATGGGCGGCCCCGAGTTTGACGGCTTCCTCGACAAGTGGGTGGCGGCGGCGGCCGGGCCGGACTACGTGGGCAAGCGGGGACGGCGCCGGTAGCGGGGCACGCGAGGCCTCGAGGTGTGACGTGGAGAGTGTCCCGCCGCCATTTTTCGTGTCAGATGATGCGAGCGAGTTGTGCTATCGAATACGCTCAACTGACAACTCGCAAGCCTGTGCTCCCTCGCACCGCGCGCCCATCGTGCATCGAGGAAGCGCCATCGTTGTTTCAAACACCGCACATAAAAACACTCTTGTCTCTCGTGGACTTTTGGATCTTGGTCTTGGCTCTTGCTGGAACCTGGGCGCTGGGGGATGCTGGTGTTGCTGTTGGCTGTTGCTATCGCTGGTGTGGCCAGAATCTTTCGCGATATCCGCGGCGGGATACCTACGGCAGGGGATACGCATACGGCTTTACGGGGGATACGCATACGGCGGGAGATACAGCGGGATACCGGGAGAGAGATATACCAGGAGATAGTACGTTCTCTTACTTCCTGCTTAATTCTAATCTAATCAATCATGTCCTCACCTCTTCACGTCTCCTCATTGTTCTCTCTTCTCAATTCATTCAAATTTCAGAGTGAAGCGCTTTCATCACCTTCAAAAGGCGGCCATCAACTGCAGGCATGAAGGTGCGCGCCATGCGGTCATCGAAGACGCTCGGCTTGTCTGCCGGAAAGTTCAGGCCGCACGATGCCTTGTACTCTTCGTATATATCTTCGAGGGAGGCAAAGCATGTTTGGCAGGTATTGCCTCTGCTGGTATCGACTCGCCCCGTGAGCGACTTCTTGACGACCCAGTCGAGCAGCGTGCGGCACTGCTGGTGCAGGATGAAGCCGAGCTGTGCCGTCTGCGGACTGCGCATAAAGGGCATACTGGGGCTGGACGGGCATTTGAGCAGCTCGTCGAGATGGCACCAGCCCCTTTGCGGAAAAGTGGAATGAGGCGTTTTCCAGGTGCCGTGCGTCGTCGGGCGCACGATCGTCTTGACGACGCTCCGGGCCATGGGGTGGCGAAAGCTGCCCACGTTGTAGTGAAGCTGCTGCAGCAGAGTATGCGACACTCTTTTGGGGGGACTTTTCAGCTCGACTGCCGTACCTGTCGTGACTCGTGTGTTCAGTCGCATCCCGCCGCACTTGCGCTCTGCCGTGCAGTGCGCGAGCATGTCTGGCAGACAGCCCCAGCCGTGGGGCACTACGCGCTCGTCGACATCCCAGCAGGCCACAAACGGAGCACTGGCTTTCCTGCGCGCCCTGAGAATGGCGTCGTCGTACGCTACAGTCTTCCGTGCCCCGGCATCGATACCAGCGTTACTGCGCCCGCCTCCGTGAATGGACTGAGCACGCCGCGAAGCATCCTCTGATCCATGGATCCATTGTCGTACAGTAGCACATGTGACACGCCGAGGAGCAGGTGCCACAGCAGCCACTCCTGCAGCATGTCGCTCTGATCGCGCACGATGGCGGCAAGCCATACCGAGGGGCGAACTTGGCCTCGGCTGGATATGGCAGGGGTTGCGCCAAAGTCGGAGGCGTGGCAGCCACGGTCCATCACGCCTTTCACGACGCTCGCCCGCCCCTTGGACGACCTGGAGAAGCACAGGCGCATCACCCTCATCCGCAGCGCCTCAACGCTCGTCTGGTGCAGCGCAGCTGTCCGTCGCATGTCGGCCTCAATGCAGCTTGAGTTTGGCGTGGCGCAGGCAGTACCGCCCACGACCTCTGTGCCCCCCCAGAGTTGACGCCCATGCAGCCAGTAGCAGAGCTGCTCGGCCGCTTCGCCCACGCCTGGCACCACGCACCCGACATCCCACTCCTTGGTACACATGCGCCCACTATGTAGAATGGTGTGCGCGGAGCAATTGGTCGCAGACTTCTTCAACGAGAAGCTCGTCTCCGCGGACAAGCCGCTGCTGCAAGTGCCGCAAGAGCTCGCGCAGCACACCTTTCCCGCACGCAAGCCGTGAAGACAGAAGGCGACCTCGCGGCGGCCCTCGGCGAGTGGCATGCCGCCGTTTTCACTTTTCATGGCTCATGACATGGCAAGTGTGTGTGTACGTTCGTCCCTGATAGATCCGATAATCGGCCACAGACTTGCGCCGGCACCCACACCGCGCAGCGAGTTCCGCCACGGCAATGCTCGAGGGCCACTCCAGCGAGGTGGACCGTTGGAATGCGGAGATAGTGTTAGTGACTGCACTCTGTTAGGGTGCCCACAGGACCCAAAAAAAGAAAAGAAAAAAGAAATGGGCGACCGCCGATCGCAGCACTTCGTGTTGGCCAGTCGAGATATTGAGAGTGTGACTAGGAGGGTGGGACGCTGGGGATTCTCAAAGGTATACCCTTGGAATGGCCGGATCCAGCCTTGAAAGTACGAGATCACGCGCGCTTCGCGCACAGCACCGCCTGTTCTCCGCGGCTGAGTGACGACGCGTGCCGTGTACCAACAGAGTTGGGCGCGCGCGGCGCGACGGCGCCCGCGAGGGAAGGCGCGGGTGCAGCGGCCGCCGGCGGCCGTACCGCCCGCCAGCCGGCGCAGCAGCGGCCAGCGCAGCGGCCGCCGGCGCAGCAGCCAGAGCAGCCGGTGCGCGCCTTGCGAGGCGAGTACTGCCGCCCGGCAGCCTTGAGGCGGCCGGGCGGCAGTACTCGTTCGAACTTTGCGAGCTGTGCGCGCGCCGAGGCGCGCGCGGCGCGCGCCCGCCCGGCTGCCTATAGTACAGCCCTTGAGGAGGAGGAAGAGGCTGGCTGGCAGTGCTGTATGCCGCCGAGGGGCAGTTTTGGGGTGCTGTCCCCATCCCAGGGGGCTGCAGAACGCGTCCGCAGCCGGGACAACCCGCCCCCCCAGCCGAGGCCGGTCGAAGCCCACTTGGGAGCAGCCATATGAGGAGTCCTCTTGGTGCTCCTGGCGGCCGTTTGAAGGTCGGGCGCGCGCCGAGGGGGGGGGGGGGTCTTGCTTGCTCCACACCGAGCACGAATTCCGGATTTTTCCACGGCCTAACAATCGTTGCTGTAGTGGCGCCAATGGCCGCCTCCCGTCGCGCCATTGGCACCCTAGCCAGCAGTAGCACCGGAGGCAACACCACCAAGCCCACAAGTCACAAGAGTGACGGAGATGCTTGCCACGAGCACCGTGACGCCCGACCCTGTGAGCACCGTGGGCGTATACGGCTGCATACGGTGAGATGATGCACAGCATGGCCAGACGAGGAATGCAAGGCTCGCCAGCTGTATGTTAGTGAGGTATATGGATGTGATCAACATGTGTGCATCACAGGTACGCGCAGCAGCGCATGTAGCCGCTGATATCGAAGACAGCGCAAACAGGTCTTTTTGCGCCACGCACCCGATGGCCGTGCAGGTCCAACTGCGTGCACAGGAATGCTATCAGCGCGTCTCCGCCATAACTGGACATGGCAATGAAGCAGCTGAGACGTGATAACACCGTTGCTGGGCCAAGGAGGTGCCGCTCACCGCCGATTGTTAGGACTGTCGTCGAAGGCGAGCGGCGGTCGCCGGGCAGCAGCTCGTGGCGATCGTCGATCCGCGAGCTGCCAAGCTTGTCACAGGCCGGCACTGGATCGAGGACGATGGCGCCGCGCGGCTGGAGGCAACGGAGAAAGGCATTGTGGAGCGGCGAGGCGATTGTTACGAATAACGAATTTCGAGGGTGCGGAAAAATCCGATCGCGTGGAAAAATCAAGTATTCATGAGATACCAATCTCTCAGCGGGGTAGTTTCCTGGCTGCTGGTCGGGCGGTGGTTGGTGCGGTTGGCTCCGGCTCTGCCAGTCGTCGAGGGCAATGTGAAAGACGGTTGTGCCGCCCCCGCCCCCTCATCCGAGGGGACCCCACCGGCGTTGCGGACACTGTGAGGGACAGGCTGCCTTGTCGCTTGTGGCTGCCTTTGGTCCGACACAGAGCCATTCTGCACGGTGCCAGGTGGGTGGGACGGTCGAGGTAGTCGGCGCCGGACCTGTGCAGCGGGTAGAAAACACGCTAGACACGCTAGACACACTAGACTCGTCACGCGACACAGACACAAAAGACAGGACACGAGACGAGGTAGCCTCGATGGTCGCTTTAATTTCTATCTCCCGGAGCCGGCCGGTGCGCGCCCGACCCACGCCCCCTCTCGCACCCCCCCGATCCCCCTGAGAATGATGGCTTTTTAACTATATGAGTTGCTCGTTTTACATGAGCTCTCCATTCTGGACGCACTTTGCACACTCTGGCAAACCCGCCGGGCTGTGTGGACTGACTGCCAGTTCGAAACTGGCCACGGCCAGGAAAAAAAGTGCAGCCGTGCCCGAGTGGTTAAGGGGATTGACTAGAAATCAATTGGGCTCTGCCCGCGCGAGTTCGAGTCTCGTCGGCTGCGTTTTGTTTTTCATTCTCTCCGTTCCGCTGGCGTGAGAGAAGACTCTTCTCTCTCGGGTTCGTTTTGATTTTCTTTTTGTTTTCTGTTTTCCAACAAAGAAATCCCGCAGCTGACATCCCTCCTAGCGCTGCGAGGGCCGCGAAAATCTTGAGCCTCCATAACTGATGCGTCTGCCGGACTCGAGCACCTTGGAAGAAGCCGTTCATGCCCGGCCATCCTCACCGCCCGAAGCAGCTGTGTCCGCGATTTCAGCCGGTCTCGTGACCGCCCCGCCCCGGCAGGCGCGCATTTGAGCGAGGCCGTCCTGCAGCGTGACCCCGCACATCCGCACCTGTTCGCCCACGCCGGAGGGCGCAGTGGCGTCGGAGCTGCCGGCATCAGCGGCCCGCCGCCACAGGCTTTGATCGAGGGCTATTGACATCTAGGGATCCCTCGTAAAGAAAGAAAGAAAGAAAACAGACAAACCCAAACGAGGAATGGGGGAGGAGGACATCCCTGGTTGTTTCCGCAGGCGAACGTGCCGCGGAATTTTTAAATCTGGCGGCAAACCCGCTGCGCGGCAAGTCCATGTCGACGCCTGACTCCAAGTACTGCGCCTTCACCCCCTCCAAGCAGCCGGTCCTCCCGCCCGGCGGCTTCGCCCCCCTCGACGCCGCCGAGGGCGCGGGCTTCGCCGCCTCGCGCTGGGCCGCCCATTGCGCCGCCGCCTCGCAGCTGCAGGCCGAGACGGACGCCGCGCTCGACGCGCTCAACCTCTCCGCCTTCAGGGAAATTGGGCTCTTCCTGCAGAGCGGGACGCGGCGGCTGCAGCTCGCCTGGGCGGGCAGCGCCCGCGACGCGCCTCCCGGCGGCCCTCGCCGCCTGCCGCCGTACACCGAGCTGCCCGCCGCCGTCGTGCACACGGCGACGGCCGACCGCAGCCTGCAGCTGCGGCAGCTGCTGCGGCACGTGGTGACCAACGTCTCGCCGCACGTGGCAGTCCTGCGCGCGCGCGAGTGCCCCAACCTCACCGCGGCCATCCGCTCGCTCGTCAGCCAGCTGCTCGGGCCCAACGTGAACACCGCCCCGGCCTGCGCCTTTGACCTCGCCGTCCTCGCGGGCTGGCACGCGGACGTGGCGGCGAGGCGGGCGAGCGGCCGGGTCACGCCGCAGCCGACGGGCGCGCCGCCGCCGCCGCCGTCGCCCCAGACCGCCGACGCGAGGGTCGGCGCCGCCGGCGCCGAACCGTCGCAGGCCGCCGCCGCCGCCCCCGCCGCCCCCGCCGCCGCCGCCGCCGCGGTCGCCGTCCCGCACGGCGGCCCGCCGCTGGTGGTGCTGGTCGAGGAGCCGGAGCACTTCCCGCCCGGCCTCCTCGACGGCCTCGTCCACGCCTGCTCCGAGGCGAGAGGCCGCCGCTCTCTCTCGCTGCACCCCTCCCTCCTCAGCCGCCCCGCGCGCGCCCGTCTGCAGGCGCGGCAGGTTGGCGGCGAGGCGCCGCTGCCGGTCGCCTTCCTGCTGCCTCTCGTCGCCGCGGCGGGGGACGGGAGCGGCGGGCTGGGCAGCCTGCTGCAGCGCTCCGCCCTCGTGCGGCTGAGCGCAAACACCTTCCGCCTCGGCGAGCGCAAACACAACTTCCGAGACGCTTCCGCGCACCCGTCTCCCGTCACTCTCGGCACGGGGGGGGGGGGGGGGGGCGGCCCTCGAAACGCCCGGGCCTCAACACCCCCCACCCCCCCCCACACACACCCCCCCCCACCCCACCCCACCCCCCCACACCCGTTCCCGCAGGCTCTGCTGACGAGTCGCTCGAGTCCATCGCCGAGCGCCTCCTCCTCTCGACGAGGCGCCGCCCTCCGCCGCCCCTCTCGACGCCTGTCCACGACACCCGTCCTCTCACTGCACAATCCGCCCCGCGCGCAGGCTGCCTCTGCCGTCGGCGGCCGGGCTCGCAGCGGCTCCGCTCCCCGCCCGCGCCAGAGGCACGTCCGCGACGCGCGCCTCGGCCGCCGCCCATAGGCTCGACCAGCTGCTGTCCGCACTCGAGCAGTCGCACCGCTCCGCCGCCGCGCTCGTCGAGCAGCTCAAGTTTGTCTCGCTCAAGCACCACGCGACGCAGCCCCTCTCCTTCCTGCCGCCCCTCGACGCCTCCGCCGAGCGGCGAGCCCACCTCGCCAGCCTCCGCCGCCGTCGACGACGACACGTCCGCGACACACGACGTCCCGCGCACGCGCCCGCAGGCGAGCCGACCTCGCCGACCTCTGCGGCGCGCTCGGCGACTACCAGCTCGCGCGGCTCGCCGAGCTCCCGTCGGTGCAGCGGGCGGTCGGAGGCGCGTCCGGCTCGAGGGGCGGCGCGAGGCAGCGGTCCGACGGTGCGGAGGCCGTGCGGGAGAGTCTGCCCGACTGGCTGGCAAGCCAGGCGGGGGCGAGGCAGCAGCGGCGCGCCGGGCTGCTCTGCCTCCTCGAGCTGGCCGCCGAGCTCTCTCCGGGGGCGAACCGCACGCTCACCTCGGCGCGCGCCATGCTCTGCGAGCTCTCGTCGCAGCGGCCGGCCGAGGCGAGTCTCGCCCCCCCCTTCCCCCCCCCCCCCCCGCTCCCCGCTCCCCGACCCTTTGCGCGGCGCGTCCCCGACGCGCCTCCCGGACGCGTCCGCAGGCGTGGAAGTCGACGGACCTGCTCACCTCAAAGCTGAGTCAGGTCGGCGCCGCGGCCGAGCCGCGCCTCCGCCGCGCGCTCCAGCGGTGCGCGGCCCACTTGCGCGCCGCCGAGCCGCCCGGCCGCAGCTGCGCCCGCCTCGCGGACCGCGTCGACGCGATGCTGCAAGAGCCGAGGGCCGGCGGAGAGGCGAGTGCCGGGGGCGCAGAGGCGACGGCCGGAGGGGAGAGGCCCTCCGCGGCGCCCGCGGCGGCGCAGCGATCGTGGAGCGCGGCCAAGCGGCGGCAGGCGCAGCTGAGCGGCGCACGGGGCGGCGGCGGCGCCGCCGGAGGAGCCGCCGCAGCGCTCGCGGCGGAGGCGGCGGTGTGGGTCCGGGATGTGGCGCGCGAGGCGGTCGGCGCGCCCTCGTCGCTGCCGCTGTCGGAGCTGTGGCACGGGGAGGACTCCGAGGCAGAGGCGCCGCCCGCCGCGCTCGAGGACGGGGCCCTCGCCTGAGCCCCACTTCGCCAATGTCTTCCCCGCAGGCGGAGGCGCTGCTCGACGCCTTCTCCCCGCAGCCGACGCGCTGCCTGCAGCAGGCGCTCGAGCGCACCCTCAAGTCTGCCGGCGCCAAGCGGAGCCGCCCCGCCGCGGGCGAGGGTGCGGCCGGAGGCATCCGCAAGCTGCCTCGCGGGGGCGGCGAGCCGGCCAGCGAGCCTGGCGCGGAGCGGAGCACGGCGCGCGTCCGCCGTCCCGTCGTGCCGCACTGGGACGCGCGCGCGCAGCTGGAGGGCGTCTCGGCGCTCGCCGACGCTCCGCCGGAGCCAGAGCGGCGCGGCCGCTCCGCCGGCGAGGGACGCGAGGGACGCGAGGGCACGGGGTGCGAGGGCATGGGGGTCGGCGGAGGCAAGGGGGCGGAGGCCAAGGGGCGCCCGCCCGCCCGCGGCGCCGCGTCCACCTCGCTCGTCGGCCCCGCGTCGGGCTCGCGGCTCTCCGCGGCGCAGACGGCCGCCGCCCTCCCCCTCGGCTGGGCGGCCGCCGTCGCCTTCGACGTGCTGTGGTCCTGCGAGGAGATGGCCGTCGGCGCGTGCGAGGCGTTTGAGCTGTTCGAGAAGCACGCGGTGGTGGCGCGGGCCGCCGAGGAGGAGGAGATGTGCCGCGCGCAGCTGGCCGCCCGCTTCGTGCTCGCGGTGCAGGAGCTCAGCTTGGTCGGCTTCTGCAAGGTTGGCTCGCGCTCGCGCCGCGGGGTGCTGCAAAAGCTGCTGTGAGGGGTGGCGGCGACGGGGGGAGGGAGAGGTCCACTCACATATAAAGAGCGGAACAGCGACACGAGTACTAAGTACCAACGTCGTACGAAAAGGTGAGGCGGGGATTTCGCGCGCTCGTACATCGAAGGCCACGGCGCCTGCCGCGTCGGGAGCCTCGAGGTGCTCAACAAAGATTTTTTAACCACACTCTGGTCACTGAAGTAAGAATATCGATAACTAGACGCTAATCTGCCAGAACATCCGCAATATCCCATGCCACAGGCGGATCGTTTTGGACTGAGGACTCGCTCCCTGGCTTTGCACCACGGGCGCGGCCGCCACGGGCGCGGCGTGCCGCGGGCTTGGGCTCCAAAGCTCCAGGACTATCCATCAGCATCGCTGCAAGATGTGGCAAGCACGGGGCCTGAAGCTGCGCATGCTGAGGCGCAATCCCAAGCAGCTGGTGCTGCGTGCCTCGCTGCTGCGGCAGCAAACTGCAACCGTTTACGCAATCTCCTGGATAGACTGGACGCGCCGGTTGGGGCCGCTCTGTGCTCGCTTCCCCCGCGCACCGGACCTCTCGCTTCGACGGCCCCAGGAGGTCGGGCAAGGCCGCGCCAGGCAAGCACGGGAAAGCGAGGCCGGAGGCCGCCATCATCTGCTGCAAGGGGACGTACGAGGAGGCACCCGGCCCTGGAGAGCACCTCGCTGTGGCGTACTGGGCAGTGGGCCACCCCTCGGGCCCTGCATGCCGCGCCACACAGGCCGGGGAGCACGCGCCCATGGCATAGGAGCAGCCGCCAGAGACCATCCCACGACCGTCGCGGTTGCAGCTGCTCGACCCCGGGAACGTGTAAGCCGGCGGGTAGAGCAGCGCCCCTCCCGTCGCGCAACCCATCGCGAGGCCCGGCGCGCCACTCGGCACGCCGCTCGGTGCGCAAGCTGGTGCTCCGAAGTCTGCAAACTGCAGCCCGCCGTTGCCGCCGGCGACGGGGTGTGCCGCGAGCAGCTGCGCCGGCCGCTGCGCCCCCGGCGACGTGAGAGAGGACACGATGCTCGCTTCGACAGCGGGGCTGTCGCCCATCGCGGCGTACGCGCACATCGAGTCGAGATTGATGCTGTCGAGCAGCCCCTCCTCCGAGCCGTGCTCCGAGGCAGCGCCGCCCATCCCGTGCTCCGAGGCAGCGCCGCCCATCCCGTGCTCCGAGGCAGCGCCGCTCATCCCGGTGCTGCTTGCGTCGCCGCGGCACACGTCGCTCTTGTGGTCGCCCGTGATGCTCGAGTTGGCGGTGTCGCTCTCCGCCTTCGCGCCCGCCACGTCGTCGGGCAAACCGCACTCGGCCAGCGGCATACTACCTCCCCCCTCGGTCGGCGGCGGCTCTGTGCTCGCCGGCTCGCTGCTGGCGTCGCCGCCTCCCCGGCGCGGGGGTGGGCGAAGCGATGCGCAACCGTGCAACCCCACCGCGCCTGTCGGATCACGCCTGTGCTCTCCCCACCCGGCGCCGTAGACGCCCACCGCGCTCTCGCCAAACGAGGTCGGGCGCTCGCACGTCGGACGCTGCACCATGCCGCCCACCGCGCCGCCCGCCGCCACGACAGAGCGCTCCGCGTCGAAGTTGGCCGGGAGCGGTACGCAGCCAGGGGCGCAGGCTGGAGGAGCGCAACTACCACTGCTGCCGCCGACGTGGTGCGTCGCTTGCAGCAGAGCGGACGAGCGAAGCGAAGCGGGAGAGCGGTGCGAAAGCATCGTCGAAGGCACCGCTCTCCCTTCGAGTACTGTGGTGGCCGCAACAACATCGGCAGCGCGAGGGGGCGGCGGCGGCGGTCGAGCTTGCAACTCGACAGCAGCACGGGGCACGTCGGCAGCCGCGATGGGGCGAGGTGGAAGCGGCGTGTCGCCCCCCGCCACGCCCACCCCCGTAGACACGGCGCCACTGGCCCGTGCCGCTTCGCCCGCCCGCGGGGCAGGTACCTCACTGGCAAGTGCCGCGGCGGCGTCTCTCGCCATCGCCAGCTGCAGAGCCTCGGCCCGGCTGCTCGGGTCGCCTGGCGCACGGAGAGGGAAATCCGTCGAGGCGCGCAAGGGAAGGGGGGGCTGGGGGCTGGCTCTTTGGGAGACGGGCGGAGGGCGGGCGTGTCGATGGGCGCGGGGCGCAAGAACGCCGTGTAGCTGCCCTCCCTCGCCGGCTGCTGCATCGTAAGCTGGACGCGGCAAAGCCACCGCCACCACGGGGCGCCACGCCGGCGAGATCTCTGCTGTCCGCGCCGCCGGCGGTACAGCTGCCCCCTGCAGCACCACCCTGCCCTCTGTCGCGAAGCGGACCGTCCCGCCCTCGTGCCAGAGTCGGCCCTCCAACACACCGCGTGGCGGCCCGGCGACGGCCGCGTCCTCGTGTGCCGCGGCGGGCGGGCCTGCCGCCAGGGGAACCGCCGCCACCGGGCCTGCCGCCCGACACTCTACAGCGGGCGGCGGCGCGGGCGGTGGCGGCGCAGAGGCCGCAGAAAACGGCGATGGTGCTGACGGTGCGGCAATCGGTGCATCCGAATCGCCCGCCATGCCGGTACAGCAGGGCGCGAGCCCCGATGCTTCCCACGCCGCAACCTCCGGCGCAGCCGCAGCCGCAGCCGCAGCCGCAGCCGCAGCCGGAGCGGCGCCCGGCGCAGCGTCGGAGGGGGCGCCGTTGAGGCAGCGCTCGAGTCCGCCTGAGGAGTCACGCCTCCCTCCCTCAGGACACGTCGAACGGCAACGCTGCGTGGCGTCTGGAGTGCTCGCCCGTGGCAGAGCCTGCCGCCTCGCGCAGCCGGTCGAGACCGCGCTGCTGCGTGCGGAGAGCCTTGCGCAGCGCCGCAGAGCGGCGCACGTTGAGCATGTCCTCGCACTCGGGGTCGAAATCGCCTACGGTGCAGACAGCAGCCGATCTCTGGGGCCGGCCTCGGCACGGGCTGCGCGACGGTCCGCTGGTCGCCGGACGCGAGCTGCCTGCGAGCGAGAGGAGTGCGCTCGGCAGCGGGTGGGGGACGGGAGGCGGGGGTAGGAGAGGAGGCGGGTGTGGGAGAGGAGGCGGGTGTAGGAGAGGAGGCGGGTGTGGAGAGGAGGCGGGTGTAGGAGAGGAGGCGGGTGTGGGGGAGGAGGCGGGTGTGGGAGAGGAGGCGGGTGTGGGAGAGGAGGCGAGGGCGAGGGGGTTGCATCTCGGCTCCCATCTCGTGTGCATCTCGGCTACAGCTGGCACCCTTGCCACGACGTGAGTGCGTCGGCGAGCTGCTCCGACCGGAGGGCGGCACACCACTGCTCCGGGGGCTGGTCAGGCGAGGGCAGGAAGGCGGCGAGGCGCTCCTGATCACGGCGAGGGTTGTGTCAAGGTGGGGCCGGCCGCTCCCCGGCCGCGCCTCGCCTGCTCTCCTGCTCTGCCGGCTCGAGGCTCGAGAAGGCAGCCCACCCGACGACGAGCGGAGCCAGCCGGAGGGACGGGGCGCCGAGCGGAGAGAAGCGGGACTGGAACCAGTCCGACTCGTCGGCGCGGCCGAGCTTGCGGCGCCGCTTCGGCCCCTCCTTCCCGCCGCCAGCCTCAGGGCTTCGCTTGCCCGCCGCCCCGCGCCCGCCCCGCGGCGGCGGAGGCGGAGGCTCGGCCGCGCCCGCCGCCGCCGCGCCGCCCGCCGCCGCGCCGCCCGCCGCCAAAGCGGGCCGTGCGTGCCGCTGCTTCGGGCGCGCTCCCTGCTGCTTGCCGCGCGGTGCGGGCGGCGTGCCGCTGCTGTGCGGCTCCTCGTCGCAGGCCAAGTCTTTGCGTCGGAACTGCGCCTTCCCGCCGCCCGCCTCGAGCTCGACCAGGATCCACCTGCGGGCGAGCGGGGCGGACGGCGTGGAGGCGCAGAGACGCGCAGCTTTGCCGCCGCGACGAGCGTCTGCGCCCGTTCTGAGAGCGGAGCACCACGCCGCGCCTCCCCTCGTGCATCCCGCCTAGTGGAGACACTTCCGGGAAGGGTCCGGGAAACCTCCCTCCCCCCCCTCCCTCCCCCCTCGCGTGGCTCGCCGGTGATGCACACGTCGCGGCCGACGAGGCGCGCGCTCATCGCGCCCCCCTCCCTCGGGCCCGCCTGCGCGTCACCGCTCGCCTACGGCCTCACCTCCCTCAAGTGTGCCGGCGCCTCCCGCCCCAACCGGCGCCGCACGCGCGACTGGCCTGGCCCGCCTTTCGCTTGGAGCTGCCGCCGCGCCTCGCCAGCCGCGACGGGTCTCGGCTTGCCGCCGCCCCGCCGCCCGCCTCCTCCCCTCCGCCCTCCTCCTGCTCCTCCTGCTCCAGCCGCTGCACGCCGTCGATCACAACCACAGTGTCCTCACTCCTCTCCGCCTCCTCCTCCTCCTTCCCGTCGCCCTCCGCCTGCACGCCACAGCGCGCCTCCCCGCCGCACGCCTGCCCACCCACAGCAACGGCGCTGGCCGCGTCGTCCTCGGCCGGGGTCAGCCGCGCGCGAACAAGCCCGGTCATGGTCACTCCGTCGGCGCGCCGGATCGCATAGCGGCCCTGAGACCGCTCCACAACGATGCCACACTCGCCCGCCGCCTGCCCGCGGGACACGCTCACCTGTGGGGCAGCGACGTCGACCGTCGGCGGGAGGAGCCTCGCGCAGCCGCTCGCTCTCCGGCCGGTGTGCCTGGCCCTGTGTCCCCGGTCTGTGTCTGCGTTGCGGTGCATGTGTGTGTGGAGAGAGAGTGCAGGTGTTGCCGCCGTGCCCAACCCAAAGCGAGCCAGTCCTGAGTCCCACACCCGTAGCTACGCAGCCCAACGGGACGCACCGCAGTGCCAAGTTCGAGAGGTGACAGCGACAAAGATCCCCTGTGATCATCCGATGTTGCCGTCGACTTGCGAGTGCGCTGAGAGCGTGCCGGCTTGCTATCCGCCGCCGCCGCCGCCGCCGCCGCCGCCTCCACGACCTCCGCCGTTTGAGCCTGAAAAGACGGCGGTTCGCCGGGCACCGGCTCCGCCATTGTCTTTCGCAACGCCGGCAACCTGGAGAAAATCACGCCGGGGTACCTCCAAGTGCTCCAGGCAACTAGATAGGGACAAGCCGCAAAGCGCGGTGCGCGGCGTGCAAGCCCCACCCGACTGACGGGCAGGCGTGGGGCGCGCCTCCACTCGCCGCTCAGGATCCAGACCAGCGTGCGGGAGAGCGAGGCGTCGCTGGGGTCCGGGCGGGGTCGCCCGCTTGCTCTAGATGAAACGTCTAAAGGACGAAGATGCACGGAGTGCGACCAACTCTGCACGACGGGCGGAGAGGACGGGCACTACTCGAGTAGACCAGGAAGGACTGGGAGAGTGTGAATGGAGGGAGGGACACGCTGGACCGGGACACGCGGTGGTTCGGACATCCCCCCCCTCGACGGAGTCGAGTAACTCCCGATCGACGAGAGGAAAGTGTCCCTCAGAGTAGAGAGCCTGTGGCTGCTCTACTAAGCCACGAATGAAGTAGCGGACAGCGTTGCAGGGGCCGTCGGCGATGCTGTCGATGCAGGCGACGGTGCAGAAGCTGGCAGCGCTGATGCGACCGATGTAGGTGACGACGAGAGAGCCGACGACGCTGTAGAGGCTACAGGCGAGGTCATCGACACAAGCTTCGGCAGAGAGGCCGATGGTGCTCTCGCCGGCGCCACCTCTTCGAGTGGAGCGGCGGCAGAGAGGCCGAGGCCGATGGTGCTATCGGCGCCACCGTTGAGTGGAGCGGCGGCAGAGAGGCCGATGGCGTCATCGGCGCCGTAGTGGAGCCGATCGGCGGCAGCAACGGAGCCGTCAGCGCAATGGCCGCCGAAAGGAGCGACGGCGAGAGCGATGGCACTGCCTTCGGCGAGGCCGTCGAGTCGTGCGAGAGAGCCATCGGCGAGTCGAGCGACGGCTGGAGAGCCATCGGCGAGTCGAGCGACGGCGAGAGAGCCGACAGCTGAGTCGGCGACGCAGCCGACGGCGAGGCCATCGGCGAGGCCGTCGCTGAGCCGAGAGCGACGGCGACAGAGCCGTCGGCGAGTCGAGCGACGGCGAGAAGGCCGACAGCAGAGCCATCGGCGAAGCAGCCGACGGCGAGGCCATCGGCGAGGCCGTCGCTGAGCCGAGCGACGGCGAGAGTGCCGCCGGCAAGTCGAGCGACGGCGAGACGGCCGACAGCTGAGTCGGCGAAACAGCCGACGGCGAGGCCATCGGCGAGGCCGTCGCTGAGCCGAGCGACGGCGACAGAGCCGTCGGCAAGTCGAGCGACGGCGAGACGGCCGACATCAGAGCCATCGGCGAAGCAGCCGACGGCGAGGCCATCGGCGAGGCCGTCGCTGAGCCGAGCGACGGCGAGAGAGCCGTCGGCAAGTCGAGCGGCGGCCGAGGAGGAGGAGGAGGAGGAGGAGGAGGAGGAGCAGCAGGAGGAGCGGTGGACGCGGATCCTCCTTGAGGGAGCGGTTCGTGTCCTGGGGCGAGAGGAGACGAGGGAGGAGGAGGTTGCACGGCTGGCTTTCTACGAGATGCAGCGTGAGGCTCAAGAGGCGGCGGCGGCGGCCGAGCTGCCTGCGGCGCGTGGGGCTTTGGCGAAGGTGCTGGCGAAGGAGGAGGCGTCGGTTCTCGAGGCGTACGCGGAGTGGGAATAGGAATTGGAGCGGCCCATCCTCGGCGCCATCGCGGTCGGTCGTGGCGGCTTTCGGGCGGCTCTCGGCTGAGGCGCGTGGCGCTATGGCTGACGTGCTCGCGGCGGAGTACAACTACCACTACCATTTCGGCTCGTGTCGACGGCAGGGGGTGCGGGAGAGGAGGCGGGGGGTGGTGGCTTGGGCCGAAGGGGGCTCGGGCTTGAGGCGTGGGGAGGTGGTGGTGGTGGAGGGTTGGGCTGGTGACCGGTGCTGGGAGAGGGAGGGGTGGAGGGACGAGGTCCGGGCTGGGCGGCTTCTGCTGCTCAGCGAGGACCTCGAACCCCTGCTGCGCAATGGTGGGCGGGGCGGGGTTTCCCGCCCCACCGGCCATCGGCGGGGTAGGCGCGCGGGTGGGGGGGGTTGGGATGAAGGGGACGAGTGGGATGGGGATGGTCTTTTCGGCGAGCACCGCGGTGCTCGCGGATTCGACTGTCCCCCTGATTGGGGGTCCGACGACGGCTACGGTGAGGACGACGGCTTCTGAGGAAGCCGTCGCCCGTGCCTTGCCTGTCGCGTGAATCGTGTCCGCCTATTAAAATTCTTTTGCGCGGCGCCTTCGTTTTTTCGCGCAATTCGGATGCAAACGCTCTCTCTCCTCACGCTCTCGCTTTCGCTGCAGCGCCCTCCGCTGCTGGAGCGCCGTGTCGCGCCGCCGCTTTCGCTCGGGGCCGCCGCTTTCGGCCGCCGCCACCTCCTCTCTGCCGTGCCCGCGGCCGCCGCTGCGCTCTCGCTCTCTCAGCTTTCGGCGCCGGCCACCGCCGCAGCGGGCGTGCCCACGCAGCAGGAGCTGGGGCGGCTGGCCCAGGGCTACTCGCGCCTCCAGTATCTGCTGCAGAACTGGGAGAAGCTCACGACAGTCTGCATCAAGGGCTGCGTCGGCGCGCCGGAGCAGTGCGGCTGCATCCGCGACCCGGTGATTGTGCAGTCGTACATGGGGTTCAAGTCGATGGAGGACCCGCTCTTCAAGGCGGACCAGCTCATGATCCGCGCGCAGCAGCTCGTCGCCTCGGACAAGGACCTCGACGCGTACACCGACGCGGTGGACCGGTGGACGCGCAAGTGCGACGCTGCCAACGTGATGGCGTACACCTCCTCCTGGGGCGAGGCCAACCCGGGAGGCGGCAAGAGCGAGGTGGAGCGATACCTCGCAAAGTCACGCAAGGAGGTGGTCGAGAGCGCCGAGATCCTCAAGACCATCATGGACCTGCTCGACATCCCGGAGGCGTCGGCAGACTCATTCGCGTCGGGCGTCAAGAGAGTCGAGGCCAACCAGCGGCGGTGAGGGGAGGCGCTTCGTGTGGAGAGTGGCAGCTTCGATTAAAGCTATCGTGGCGGCGCCCATGTGTCTGCGTCGCGCCTCTTGGGAAGCGGTCGCTGTTTAGATTCAGAGACCGGCCTGGCAGCGCCGCGCCGCCGCCGGGCGGTCGCGCGCGGGCGGCCGACGGGCGTGCCGGCGTCGCGGGCGCGCGTGCGGCGTGGGGTTGGTACAGCATGTCATGTATTTGATCGTAACAAGAAACTTCGTGTTATACACCCAATCTTGTCTTGTCCCCCCTCCTCGCCCCCACGGCCACGCAGGCACATCAAAACGACCCCGCATTCCCCCTCCTTCCGGTCCCGCGCTCCTTTTGTCCGCCACGAACCTTGGTCGCGGCGTCGCCTCTCGAGCCCTGCCGCTCTCGCTTCGTCTTGCGCTGCTTTCCGACGGAGAGCCCCGCAAGCGAGTCGTCGTCGTTGGCTGCCTCCTCCGCGCCCGGGCGGCGAGGCTCCCACCGGAACGCGCACGAGCTCCCCGCCCCGCCGGCACAGACAAGGGTGCGGCTGTCGGCGGCGAGGGCCCCGAGCCGGTGCGGCGCGGGCAGGCTGATCGAACCCACGACCGGCGGCGGGGCGGAGCCGCCCACGCGCCGCACGTCGTAGACGAGGATCGCCGGCCCGCCCGACGGAGCGAGGAGCAGCTGCCCTCCACAGCTGCCGCCGTCGTCGAGGTGCACGCAGCCGCCCCTACCCTCCGCCCGCACGAGACCAGCCGGCCCACTCGACGGCGGCGCCCTCGCGTCCCACAACGCGACGCCGCCGCCCGCAGCGCTCGCCGCGAGCAGCCGCCACCACGCCGAGTAGCTCGCGCTGGCGACGGGGCGGCACGGCTGCCCGCCCGCCACCGTCGCCTCGACCGCAAACGAGTGCGCGAGCGTGTCGACGTCGGCCGCGTCGCCGCCGCCGCCGCCGCTCCGCCACACGGCGGCGAGGCCCTGCGCCGTGTCTAGGAGGTGGACGCCGCCGTCGGCGGTCACGCTGTAGAGCTGGCCGCGCTCGCCGGCGGCCGCGAGCGAGACGTCGAGCAGCTCGCGGGACGCGCCGACCAGCACGGCCGGCTGCAGCGCGCGCAGCCCGAGCAAGACGCCTCCGTCTGCGCGGCTCAGCGCGATCTGACCCTCGCCGCCGCTCGCCACCAGCGACGCCTCCGTGCCCGCCGCGAGGAGGAGGACGCTGCTTGGGCGGATCGGCAGCGCGGCGCGCGACGTCGGCTCGAAGTCGGCGGCGAGGTCATACACGTGCACTGCCCCGCTCCCGTCGCCGACGGCGCCGAGGTCGCCGGCGGCGTGGCAGCAGAGTGGCGCGTGCCGGAGGGTGTGGCAGCTGAGACGGCGCCCGCTGCGCACGGCCCAGAGTCGCACGAGCCGGCCGCCGTGCGTGCTCAGCCCCCGCTCGCCATCCAGGGCGACGGAGGTCATATCCGGCAGCGGGAGCTGTGCAGCCTGCTGCGCGCCCAGCCGCCGCCAGCTTCCCAGCGCGGCCTCGCTCACACAGCATCGCCGCCTGCTGTCGATCTCCCGCTCACCGGCGAGCGCGTCGGCTCCCGCGCTCTCGTAGCGGTTGGTCAGAAGGCTGCCATTGCGGTCGCCAAACATGCGCAGGAACTGGCCTGCCCACAAGCGCCGACTCGACGTCAGCTCTGCGAGAAAACTGCACGTGCGCGCGATCGCACACAGGCTGCGGGTGTCGAGGTGGTGCTCGAGAAGCACTAGCCACACGTCGGACGACAGGTCGGCGTAGCATGGCCGGCCGCCGGGAGTAGGCTGAATTGTTGCTGGTTCATCAGGCCGCGTGGCTGGTGCATCCGAGGCGGCGGTCGTTCGCCGGCCTGCTCACCCTCTCTCGCCGACAGCTCATTGGAATGCTCGCTGTTGCTGGAGCGCTCACCGCTGGCTCGCTCCCTGCGAGCCGCGGACCGCCTCTCCTTGGCATTGAGCGTGCCTGGCATGCAAGATAGCGCTGGGGAGCGGAGAGCTGTGGAGAAATCCCGCGCCCCGCGGGCCGCCTGGCGGACGTCATGTTTTCTTTTCTTTTTTTGCTGGCAGGGAGTCGGGAAGCCGCACAATGCTCGGTACGCGAGCTGGGGCTCACCTCGGTGCGGCGGCGATGGTGGGGGTTCGTGGATCTCTATTCACGTTTGTCTCTCTTACCGTGGAGGCGGGAACGCGGAATGGCTTGGGGGGGGCACCCCCTACCCCCCTACCCCAAATCCCCTGACGCTGGTACCTCTCCTAACCGCCCAAAACCGTACGTCGCGAATCCTGGTGGCAACGAGGAGGCGAGGAGCCTGGTCGCGGGCGGGCGGCGCCGCGGGCCGCGGCGGACATGTCGCGAGGAAAGAAATTCCTCTAAGGCTAGCCCTGAGAAGTGCTACATGTAGTACAGAGCCCCTGATACCTCACTGCCCCGGCGGACATCGCGAAAATAAAAGGGAAAACGGATACCTCACGCCTCCGACACCTCGTGTGCTGGCTGTCCCCCCACCACCTCGTCCTGAACGTGCGGCGGGGGTACTCGAGCGAGAATGGTCCGCTCCACCAGGGCCAAGCGGGTCTCTCCCACCTGCTCTGCCGTCTCCGGGCGCATCAGCTGCAGGCCGCGCTTCGCCTCGACGGGAGCCCAGCCGCATGCGCGCAGGACGCCGAAGGCGACGGTGCCGGTGCGGTGCAGACCTGCGGAGCAGTGCAGGAGCACACTCTCCCCCCTCGAGAGCGCCGCCTGCACGTCGGCCACCGCGCGCGTGACCCGCTCGGCGGCCTCATCTGTCGACAGGTAGTCTTCCCTACCTACCTTGAGCTCGGTCCACAGCCAATTCAGCCCTGCCGCCCGCGCGCCGGCGCCGATGCCATCGGCGCCCTCGTTAGCGCCGAGGAGCGTGCAGATGGTTGAGCAGCCTGACTGCTGAAGCTTGCTGAAACTTCGCCTGGAGGGACGGTGCCACAAGCAGAGGCGGCCGCCGCCGAGAGGCAGCCAGCAGATGGCGCCCTTCTCGCCCGGTAGCTCAAAGCGCTCGCCATGAAGATCTCCGACAGCGGCGAGTTGTGCGATCGGCACAAACGGCGCAGCACCCACAAAGCGCTCGCCGACCGAGGCCAACACTCTCTGATCGTCGTGTAGCGGTGCGCCCGGCTGGAGGATCGTGCCGTCCTCCGTGTAGAAGGCCGTCACGCGCTTGAGGCGCAGCTTGCTCTTGGCCGCCGAAGCGAGCGCCTCCAGGTCGGCTGCGGCCGCGGTCACGACTACCGTTCGCTGCTTCTGGTTCTGGTTGTTTAATAGAGTAATGCGCTTCATTACGACGCGTCGTCCTCCGCTGGCTCTGTCCCTTCTGTCTACTGAGAGTGTCCTGAACATGTCCGACGATGGCAGCTGTGATGAGTGTTCAAATTTTTGGTGTGCACCCTTACATTCTTATCCCCATCTCGACTGGTGCTCTTCTAGTCGCTAACTGTGCTGATTTACTGGAAGCCCATATAGGCACGTTACGGGCGCGCCTTTTTCTTCTCGGCGCGGAAAAGTCTCGGAAGGAATGCTGGACGTGCTGCCTCTCTCCCCAACTCACGCGCCGACGCCGATCTAACAACCACAACGCGCGCCAACGTCAGCATCACACCGTGGCGAGTCCTCTCCGTCCTCTTCAGCGTCGACACCGCCCGCCGGATCGCGAGCGAGGAGAGCCGTGACATCGTGCGGTGCGTGTGGATGCTTCTACGGCACGACGTCCCGCCTGTCGCTGTCGCGCGGGCCCGTGACGTCTACACGGGCATGCGAGGCCTAGATTGGCGCGGCGCGATGTGGGCGCCTCGCACCCTCGCCTCGGCAATGACGGGGGTGCTGCTCGATTCACTCGGTGCCAGCTTCGTCAAGCTGTCCCAAGTGATTGCGCACTCGCCGATGGTCGCGCCTGCCGTGCTGGTTCGCACGTGCAAATCATCCCTCGCTCAGTGCTCGGCGCCGGTGGTACCCTATGACGAAGTCGAGTCCCTGATCTGCGACCAGCTGCAGATCGAGAGCGTCGAGGAGGTGTTCCAGAGCCTTGAGCGCGCGCCGCTGGCGTCGGCGAGCATCGCGCAGGTGCACGGCGGCACGCTTCGCGACGGGCGGCGCGTGGTGGTCAAGGTTGTGCGACCAGGCGTGCGAGAGCGCCTCACGGTCGACTTGGGCGTGCTCTGGCTGCTCGCCCGGGTGGCCGACGTGCTGATGGCGCCCCTCATCGCCGAGCTGCTCTCGAGCTCGGCTGCCGCGATGGTGGACGAGGTACGAGTGCCCATCCTGGCCGAGTGCGACCTGACGATCGAGCGCGCGAATATGCTCCGGCACCACCCAAGCCGCCCAAGCGGGGCTCCGTCGAACAGTGCCTCCTCACACGCCCATCATCCCTGACCAGGTACCGCTCGTGGCTGCGCTCCTCCGCGGCCGTCCGCCGTGCGGGACTCGACGGGGCGGTCACCGTGCCGGAGCCGGTCGAGGCCGCCTGCTCGACCGCTGTGCTCACTGCGGAGCGGATTGACGGAGAGGTGCTCTCGGAGATGCGCGAGAGGAGCCGCAGTGAGAGGAGCCGCAGTGAGAGGAGCCGCAGCACGCCTGCGACGGGGGATGCGACGTCGGAGGCGGCCGACGAGGCTGCGGAGGCAAGCGATGCGCCGCTCATGCCGCAGGGTGCGGGGGCCGCTTGGAAGACGGCTCTCGCGCGAGCTCTCGCCGTGCAGGCGCTCTCTGTGCTCGACGACTCGGGCGTGGCCGGTGCGGGGGGCCTCTTCCACGCCGACCTGCACGCAGGCAACATGATTGTCTGCGAGCGCAGCAGCTCGATCGCCTTCGTCGACTTTGGCGTGTGCGGCAGCCTTCCGCCGTGGCTGCGCGGCGCGCTGCTGCTGCAGGCGCTCTCGTTTGTCCTTGGAGACACGGCGTATTTCGCAGAGGGGTTCGCCTTCGCTCTCCGCTCAAAGCCGACCGCAGCCGCAGCCCCACCTCTCGACACGGCGGCCCTCTCCGCCGACCTCGCCCCTCTCTTCGCCGAGCTCGCACCTATCAACCCGCTGCGACCGGAGGCGGACGGCACCATCGACCCGGCGCTCTATCCGCTGCTGTTGCGTGGGCAGCTGCTCCTGCACGAACACGGCGTCCAGCTGCCGAAGGAGTTCGCGCTTCTCATCAAGACGATGCTCTTTGGCGCAGACTACATCACCCTCTTCCGCGGCGAGGAGATCGGCCTCCTCTCCAGCGCCCTCGGCTCGGCAGCGGTCGCCTACGCGGTGAGCAACCGGCGCGAAGTGTCGCGCGTCCTGCAGCCTCGCGCCATCGCCAAGATCGGCGCGTACACGACGCGACATCAAACCCACGCCGCGGCCAGCTTGGTGCGGGATAGAGGCCGCGCCCTGCTCGGCACCGTGTGGCGGTGGATGCTCGCCGCCGTGTACCATCTCTCTCCCATGACCACTCTCACCACGCTCAAGCGCTCCAGGACGGACGCCTGGGCGCTCCTCTTTCTGTTCGTCAGCATGGCGGCGGCCTTAGTCGCTTGGCTGGCGAGCGAGTTGGGTCTCCACGGTGCTGCCGATGCGGGTGTTGGCACGGCCTTGATGTTCAACGTCAGCGCCGGCGGGGTTCAATGACAGTGTTGACGGCCTCCAGTGTCCCGGTCTGGTGTATAGCGCGCGGTGGGGTCAGCTCGTCGTGCGGAAGATCAAGATGTGGGGCCGCGCGCAACTAACTGCTGAGCGCGAATGGGCCCGGGGGGGGGGCGTCGGGTAGCGTCAACGCGAGATTTTTTTCTAGATTCGAGTACGTACTCAGCCAGCTGGCTGTGTGTCTTGTGAGCCTGTTTGTGTCTGTGTGTCGCTCGTGCGTGTCGTCATCATCTGTCCAGCGTCCACCCATACCGCGTTGGTGTCCAGTCCGAGCCTGGCTCGTGGCTGTTCTATCTTCACCTTCCTACATACACACATACATACGTACTGGGAGAAAAGGAGAGCGGGTTGTGTTCTCTAGGCCCCTAAGGGCCCTACGCGCGGCGTGAGATCTCTCTCGTGATCTCTCTCTCTCGCTTTGTGAAGAAAGCCGAACATACACACATACAGCCGGGGCGTTGCTATGGCGTATGGGCGGGGCATCATTTGACTAGGCCCTGAGCGCCCGCTCCAGTGGCGCAGGCGTGTGGCGGCGCGGCCTCTCTCGCGGGCCGCGGCGCAGGGGCGGCCTCTCTGGAACCGGTGCGGGCGGGCTCTGGCGGCGGCGCGGGCGGGCTCTGGCGGCGGCGGCGGCGCGCCGCCGTCGTCTCGCGGTGGCATATGAAATCTGCTACCGGGTGCTCGCGGACTTGCTATGGACCCGCGAGATCTCCATCCAAACACGGCCAGCGAAGTCTCCGTTCTCCTTGGCCCTTGACAGACGCGCCTCACTCTTTGCGGCCGACACGTTGGACCGCCACGGCCTGAACCATTGTACTTGATGAGCATCGCGCGCGTCGAGGAATCCTTTAGTAATCCATCCTTCGCCACTTGTCTCGCTAATTTGCTCACATCGCCAGTAACTGAGCGTGGCATCGACGAAGAAGGTGGTGGCAGCGCTCCGCGGGACGAACAAAGAAAAGTCGACATGCCCCTTCCAGTACACCGTATTTGCCCGCAGCATGTGATGAGTGACCGGCACGTTAAACACCAAGTCTGGGCGAGTCATGACGACCCATGCATATGTCTGCGCGTCCCGCGATTCAGCCAGCTCCACCAGAAGCATGCAGCGACGGTGACGGTCGCGGGCGCGAAGCAGACGATCGTATGGGACCTTTGGGTGATGGCCTTGCTTCAGAGCACGCCAAGCATGCCCAGCACATCGCGAGTCTGGGTTCCTGCTTCCAGGCTTGCTGAACCAGTCGTTACGAGGGCCAGCAAAGCCTTCTATCGCTGGTTCGTTCAGCGTGACAAATCTAGGTCGCAGCTCCAACAGGGCCACTGCCAGAGCGGTGAGGTTCGCGTCACCTTTGCCAATGCTGCCAGCCTCGCCAGCCCTAATCAATGTCTCCTGCGCGTGCTTCGGACTCCAGTAGTCCTTGATGTCTGCGCGGATTTCGAGGTTCATAAAGACATCCACGTGTTCGGAGATAGACTCGATGAGTCGATGTCGCATGGAGGCATACACAAGAGGGTTCGTGACGCCCGCAGCTAGACCGACGATCATCACCGCGACGCGGGGACCTTTGCTGAGCGGCGATGCACCCCTGCTCTTCTTGCTGCTGGTCCACTCTTCGTGCTCCCCATTGAAGCTACCCTCCTTGACCCTCGAGTGTTCGGTCAAGGGGAGGCACGGCTCACCTGTTTTGAGGAGGGGCGACCCCCGCGGGCGTCCGCCCGCTGGGTACTTGTATTCGCAGGTGAAATTCCATGGTTCCGGTGGCAGTTCCACGACACATCTCCCCTGGACGCCAAGCGCGGGCACAGCACCGTGACACTTTGATGGCCCAGCCGGCAGGGTGGCCAGGCGCCTTTTATCGATCGCCGCCGCACACTGAATGCTGTCGCTGCAAGTGCCGAGCGGTCGCGCCGAATGGGGCATATATGTCATGTTCAGACCGTAGTCCCCATTTGTGGTTCTCGAGACCTCGAGAGATGGCCGAGGAAGAAAACACCCCAGACTTTGAGTTTGTGTGCCCCACTTGCTCGGGGAAGCCGGCTTTTCGGCCACCATGTGTGGGGTGTTTTGACCATGGTTTTGATCAAAACCCGCGCCGCTGACCGCGACGTGCGCACGTGCGCTGCGTTTAATGGATATACAGAGTGTGTTGCCCGCACACATCGTTGAGTGACTCTGTGGGGACCAGACGGTTGCGCACAAGGAAACACACTGCGCTGACCTGACACACACGCAAGTAGACCGACTGCTCCACACCTCCTTCTACTTGCGGCGCGGGCCACTCGCATCAGAGCCCACCGACTCCATCACAAAGCTGGAGCCTGGCGTGGGCCGGACAAGGCGGCGCAAGTGTGGGTCTGCGTCGCGCTCGCGGTAGCCGGAGCACACCTGACCGTCGGCGCAGACGTTGAGCAGCGAGTCGGTGCCGCGCGCCCAGAGCAAGCCCCCGGGCACGACGCCAAAGACGGTGGAGAGCGACAAGCCGTCCGCACGGCCGTGCGCGACTAGCGGCCGCTCGTGGGGCGGCGGCTCCACTGCAAGAAAGGTTCCCGTCTCGACGCAGCGCAGCGCCACCCAAGCCGTGCGCGAGGCGTACACCTGCGCCTCGACCGCGAAGCTCGAGAGCCGGTTGCCGTCTGTCGGGGCGGGGCTGGGCTTAGGGCTACGCGGAGCGAGCTGCGATGCGGGGCGGAGCTGCGGGGCGGAGCTAGACCGTTGGCCGTGCCGCTCCTCGCTCCGGCTCCGGCTCCTGCTCCGCCCGCCCCGTCGCCGCCCCTCCCACCGGCCGCAGCGGCGGCGGGGGCTGGGACAGGCGAGAGCTGCGCCGAGAGGAGCCGTCGCTCGCTCGCCACGCCCGTCGCTGCAGGCTGGGCGGACGTGGGGGCATGGCCCGCTGTGTCCTTCCCGGCGGCCCGCCACGCTTGCAGGTCGAGGGAAGGCCCCACGAGCCGCTGCAAGGCCGCAGCTGCGCCCGGAGGGGTGGCGGGCGGGGTGGCGGTGCTCGCAGGCCCGCACTCGTCGAAAGGCCTTCCGAAGGATCCGCCCGAAGGAGAGGTAGCGCGCTGCACCGTCGGGCAGGCCGGGTGGACGTAGCACCAGGGGGTCTGCTTCTCCAACTCCCACGCCCCGCACGAGCCGCCAAAGCCGTGCGAGTTGCTGCGGCGGGCGGCGTGACGCGTGAGCAGGGCCAGGGCAGAAAGAGGCGGTGCGTGCGGTCGGCGCCTGAAGCCGGAGCAGTTGCAGCCAGATAGAGGGAAAAGGCCGAGAGGCGCTTGAGGCTGGCGGACTGGCGGAGGCCGAGGCGGTGGCGGCTGGGACGTCGCCGGCGGCGGGGACAGGGACGTCGGCGGCGGAGTCGTGGCGCGTGGCGGCGGGGACGGTGGCAGCGGAGGCGGGGACGGCGCGCCCTGTCGTCTGGCGCACACGGCTGAGCAGTCACACCCTTGCAGCGGCTCGTCGAACGCCCCCCCTGCGCCCTCGCCCTCACCCTCAGCCTCGCCCTCGCCTTCGCCTTCGCCCTCTCCCTCTCCGCCACCATCACCCGCGCCGCCGCCCTCTCCACCACCCTGCCACTCGCTCTCTGAGGCCGCCTCCTCCATCACCCTATCCTCGAACGGATCCCCCGTCAGGGGATCCGTTCCCTCGCCGTCCGCCCCGAACTCGCCCGCCGCCGAGTCGGCCTCGCCCGCCGGGCAGACGTCGTACTTCCTCCCAAACGAGCCGCGGCTCGACTCGTCCGCTACCTTGCATCCGTCCGACACATAGCACCAAGGCTGTTGGTACGCGTCCTCCCATGAGGCGCACCACGCACCGAACCCGTAGTCGTTGGCGAAGCCCGAGCACACGCACCCAGAGACAGTCTTCGCCTTGTGTCGGGCCCAGGCAGCCAAGTTCGTGCTGCGGGCAGCGTCCCGCAGGACCTCCACGAGCGAACTTTCGAGCACCATCACGCGAAATTGGGCGCTGGCATTATGCGGTGCACCTCGCGGCGGCGCGTATAGATTGCCGTCGTCCATGCTCACTGTGAGATGGGTGCCTGTCTCCACAGACCGAATGGAGACGATGGCTCCGTCCCGCGGCTGCCAGGTCCGCTCGCGAGGAGGAGGCGGCCGGAAAACGGCTGCGAGGAAGAGCAGAAGCGCGCAGCACGCCGCGGCGCTGCATGTGACGCCCCGTCGATTCAGCATCATCAGGCGTCCTCTACAGCAACACTCTCGATGACGTGCGAGCGTCGACTTCAAGAAATCGAGTGCGTTGAGTGGTTGAGGGTTGAGGGTTGAGGCCCCCCCTCAACCATCTGGTTGACGGTTGAGACCCCCCGTCAACCCTTTAGTTGAGGGTTGAGGCCTCCGGGGCCTATTCACAGGCTCGCGCGTGATCACAAGATAAACTGGAACAGCCTGCCGCCAAAAAATCGCTTCGCCTGCGGCGCGCTCTTGCGCTCCTCGTACCTCGAGCGCAATCCAAAGTAGGAGACGCTCACTGTCGCCATTCAGGCGCCTGATCTTTCAGCAAAGCGATGGCCTACCAGGTACGAATTCAGATGCGCGCCCGGCAGAAGACGCTTGTGCTGTGATGCCGCATGCAGTGGAATGCGCACAGAGAACGGACGGCAAGAGAAGGCAAGGGAAGGAAGAGAAACGGCTGGTGAAGCTCAGCTCACGGCGTAGTATTGCGGTCACTAATCATCCACGGCAAGAGTCACGGTGAATGCTGCCGCATAAATAAGCAACAGAGTCGCGGTTGGCGCGATGGTCTTGTCGCGGTTAACGACTTGACGTTGCACACGGCCATAGACGCAGGATCTTATTTGGCAAGCCTCAAGCAGCGAAAGCAGGCGCGAGGAATAATGTCAATCCTGAGATATCAATTTTGGCGCTAGTTTCGTTTCCTGGTACATCACGACGACTTGGGTCTCATGTAGCTCGACGGCTCTTCTCGACGGCTCTTTCTGGTTGGATCAGACAGTGCTCTCAGTCAACAACACAATGCCGAGAGCAGGGCGGCCTTCGAGCAGGCGGCCTTCGAGGCAACTAAGTTCCTGCTGCATTTTGCCACTCAATGTACAACTTGATGGCGGGCGGACGTGTCGAGCATGGATCGAGAGCATGGAAGGCGGCCATTGCTCAAACCTGTTCGAGTTGGCCTCCGGGAACAAGGGTGCGTGGCCGGCGCGGTCTGTTTCACGTGCAATAAGGGCAACGCCATCAAAATCGCGCGAATATGGGCCGACTCACATGCCTCCGACATTTCTCAGGGCTCGGACGGAAGCTCTGCAGACAGCCAGACCGCTCTGCGCGGTCGGACCGACTTTTTCAGACTTTACTATTCTGGATACTGAGGGTATGTGCTGCTAGATCTCACTGAGCTGAGCTCGTATCTGCCTTTGGTAAGCAGTTTTGAGTTCGGTATTGTCTCCGGAGATGGAGGGCCGCGTCCGCGGACGACCATGACGTCGGCCGGGACCCCCCCCCGCGCGGGGGCCTTCGATGGCTGTCAGCGCTCCTCCGGGCTTTGCATCACACCTCCCATTCACGCACGTAGCCAAGTACTCGTAAAAACGGCGCGTCAAATGCAGCATCCAGGCATCTAAAGAAGACGACATGAATGGTTCACAGAGAATGTGTTCAGACTTTGCGCGGGTGTGTGCACGATGGGAGACGGTGTTTGCGCTGGGTCCTAAAAAAGGTTCCTTCGCCATGCGCGGTCCTCGCTGACCCTGCCAAACTCTCTCGCCGCCGTTCGCGGCTCGGCTTGCGTATGCGGTTGGGAGCTTCGAGGACATGCAGGCGTCCCGCCCCCTCCGGTCATCCCCCCCGGCTCCCAAGTGCGCGGCCGCGACGCGCTGCGCACCCTCTTCCGCGCTGCGCCCGCTCTCGGCATGGCCGTCGTCCGCCGAGATCACCTCCTCTTCGCGTCGCAGGTGCACAACCAAGGGCTGGCCATCTCCGTATCCATCATGGTGAAGCCAATGGGCCAAAAATGGAGGGAGCGCCCCTCCCAGGTGGCCGGAGGGTACACCTCGGGTCGGCGTGCTGGGGGGGCGCCGGTGCGCAAGCCCACTTTCCGGGCGACCCCGAGGGGGAGGAGGCCGGGCGAATGGCGGCAACTCATTGTTAGTGTCCCGGGCCGCTGCGGCACCGTTTATACGGCCCCTCGTGATGTCTTTCCGATTTTGTATTGTGAGTCGTCCTCTGGCCAGCCGAGGGGCACCAGAACGGCATGTGTACTGCTGCTGGCTGCGGGCGCGGAATGGGCTTTTTTTAACTCGCAACCAAGTATACTATATAAGGACACCCTCGGGGGGGACACTCGGCGCATGTGCGACACGTCAGGGTGGAGTTGGCGGTGGCCGAGCGTCGTCTCCCGATCGACTCGCAGCGGAGTCGAGGGGTGAAGCGCGTCGCGCTGCGACACTCGAGAGCCGGCGGGATGGCCGTGGGGCGCGGCCGACTTTGATGCCCTCGAAGGTCCAATGCGCAATCGTTCTGTGAGACCCACGCGTACAGGAAAGGGGGCGGAGACGCGCCATTCTGCTGGTACCTTTTTTGGGACCCATCGCTCCCGCGTTCCACACAGTGTGTGTGGACAGCCATTCCGCGTGGTTGAGGGGTTGAAGGGGCCTGTTTATCCACTTGGTTGAGGGTTGAGGCCTCTGTCAACCACGTGGTTGACAGTTGAGGCAATCGGCCTCAACCACCGCTCCTGGGCCGAAAGAAAGAAAACGTGAAGTGAGATGGGATTTAGGGACATGTGTCCCCGCCATGCACGATCTTGGTGTGAGGGATCTTCAATCCGTGTCCCCTCACCCCTCGTCACAACCCGACACGGAAGAGCGGCAAGAGTTGGGGCTGCGCCTGCGGCTACGGAGCTGCGGCGTGCCGGCGCAACGCCCCACCGAAGTCCGTCGTTTCTTTGTGTCTTCATAGGCACGGGACCGGCGCGCACCACTGGCACCAAATAAAAAATAATTCGGCATCTGCATTTCTCCTTCCCTGTGGCAGCCTGATTTCCTTTCTGTCTTTCACAACTTAAATCTTAATCCAGGCTAACCCTGCATGATCGTCACGGCGTCCCGTGTGCCTAGCCGGCCGCGGCGCCGCCGGCGGCTCTCAGCGTCGGAGGAGGCGGCAGCTCATGCGGGTCGGCGGCCAGCAGCCCCTCGACGTACCTCCGCGTGCGCGGCGACCTGACGTCCAGGTCCTGCAGCTGGACGACACGCTTCTCCCCGGCGAGCGGCGCGGGAGACATGGCGAGGCTCCGCCCGAGCGGCGCGGCGGGGCGGAGAGTCCTCGCCAGGTACGCGGCTCGCTGCCGCAGCGGAGGGAGCGCGCACACGAGCAGCCCGAGGCCGAGCAGCGCGCCGGCGGCGATCGCGAGGGCGCGGTCGAAGGTGGCGCGGCGTGGGCAGCCCGACCACGCGGCGATCGCGACGGCGACGCACTGTCCGCACGAGCCGCCCGACACGGCGACTGCGTGGTCCGGGTCGAGCAGCGGCCGCAGTGTCGCCGGCTCCGCACGGAAGCCGAGCCAGACCTGGCTGAGCCGGCAGGCATCCTCGCACCGCAGGGCGACTGCGCGGCCGCCCGTGTCGCGCTCAAAGGCGGCCAGCAGGTCGGCTCTCCGCACGGCCCCGCCCGCACTCGCAGAGACGAGCCGGCTGCCGTGGCCCGCCGCCGCCACCCGCACCGCCTCCTCCTGCCAGCTCCAGTACTCGAGCTGCGCCGGCTGCTGCTCTGCCGACGGGGAGCAGCTCCCGTGCTTGGACCACTCGTGTGCGGCGAGCGAGCCAAACGCGTACTCGATCGCCCACGACTGCCAGCGGCCAGAGACGTTGTAGTCGGCGAGCGCCTGCTCCGTCGGCTGACAGCCATCGAGGCCCTCCTCGCGCTCGCACACCCGGTAGTCGAGACGGCTCGCGTTGCACCACTGCGGCCACCGCCAGCCAGCGTGCGCGGACGCGTTGGTATACTCGGGCCACAGGCCGTGCAGCGAGAGATTCTGCCGCGCCCAAGCGCCGAGAGATCCCGCCATGGCCGCGATCAGGCGAGGGTCGGCGCTCGCAGATCCGGGGCAGGCGCGAAGCGACCATTGTGGCTGCCACTCCAGCGCGAGGACGTAAGAGGTGTAGTCCGCGGGCGGAGGACCCGAAAGGCCCGCGGACATGCGGAGACGAGGGAAGCGCAAGCTCGTCGGCGGTCTCTCGAGGTTCTCGGGGTGGATATCCTTTGGCCGCGTTGGGTAGCGAGGATTGGTGTGACGCGATCCACGAAGCGCAACCTCGTCGGCGCCCGCCTGCTATTCACAGCACAAGCCCTCGCCGGGGGCTCGAGCATGCGCAGCGAAAGCAGACGGATCCCCTAGGAAGAAAAAGAGAGAGGTGGTCTCAAATCGCCAGGGTCTGTCTACTCCCTCGCGTGCACCATAGGGCGCTTTCGAGAGGCAGCCATTTTTTGATTAGTGCCAGGCATCCCCCTTAGTACGCCACCCTCTCCTTCGCCGCCCCTCGCCCCCACCGCCCTCCTCCTCCACCCCCCGCCCTCCCCCCCGCCCTACCGAACCACCCTCCCCCCTTCCCGCCCCTCCGCCTTCGCCATCCCCCATCTGTGCGCCCCACCCCGTCCGCTCCCTCCCGCTTGGCGCCCATCCCGCCCTCCGCCCTCGCCCCCCGCCCCTGTCCTGGCTGGCCTGGGTGGCAACTCCTCATCATCACGCGCCAGGCGGGAGGGAAGTGGACGGGGCCCTGAGCCGACCTAGCCCTAAACGGAATGGGGCGCCCAACACGTGCCCGGATTACTGTGCCTTCCCCGGGTGCAGCCTTTCGGTTCGTGAAGGGTCGGTGCGTGTCGTGACCCCCTGGAACACCCGTACCCCCGCACCATCTCCATCGCTTGGTTCTATAACCTCTGCCACCACCGGGAGGCGGCCAGGGCTTCATAGACTCGGTCGAGAGACCCCAGATTGGCATCCATGCCTCTCTGGACAGGGTGGCCCGCCACAAGGACCCCAGGAATTGCGACTCGCCGCTTTCCTCCCGCTGTGATTCTGTGTGAGCTCTGTGTCTTGATTTGCCAACAATATACCTAAAACAGCAACGCGGCCCTTTCTTTTTCCACGCGGTATGCGAGGCCGCAGCGCTCGCCGTGCCGCCGGCACGGTGATGATGCGCCTGTTGCTCGTCGTATTGACCGCACTCCATTCAAACGCCGCCGACCACTACGCAACCTTGAAGGTGCCGCGAGGCGCCAAGCCCGACGAGATCAAACGATCGTACCGGCGCGAGGCGCTGCGGTGGCACCCAGACAAGCACACTGGCGCCGCAGCAAAGTCGCAGGCGCAGCAGCGGTTCGAGAAGGTCAACGAGGCTTTCTCGGTGCTGTCGGACCCGCAGACGCGGCGGAGGTACAACCTCGAGCTGGACGCGGAGCGGGCCGGCTTCCGCGCGGGCGGCGGCGGCCGCGGTGGCGTTGCGAGTGGAGGAGGGCCGACGCAGACCGTGCGGGTGCAGTGCAGCCTTGAGCAGCTGGGAGGGTGGGCGCCGGTGCTCATCCCGATCCCGCGCCCGGGCGGCTTCTTCGTGCGCACGGGAAAGCTCCCGCCCGGCAGCCGGCCCGGCGACACCGTCCTGCTTCGCGGCGTCGGCGGTGTCGAGGCGCGCGGAGAGAAGACGAGACGCGCTGGCGTAGAGACCGGATCCTCGCCTCGCTCTCGCAGCGCCGCAGGCGGCGAACCCGTCGCCACCTCACGCGTCGCCGCGCCCGCCGCCCACAGGTGCGCCTCGAGGTCGCGGCGCGAGACGACCGGTCGCCTCGCTTCTCGCGGTCGGGCGACGCGGGCCTGTCGCGCGTGGTGAAGCTGCACGCGTGGCACAACGCGCTGAGGCCGGCCGTGCGCGTGCGCACCATCTGCCGCCAGCGCGTGACGGTGCGACCGCGCGGGAAGGCAGTACGGCACGCGACGGGCGGCGAGTCGCGGCGGGCGCAACGGGGCTGCGTCGGTGTCACCGCGGCGAGCGTGCGAGCGTAGGTGCGGCGAGGCGGTGCGGCTGGCGGGGTACGGGATGCCGCTGCGAGGCAGTGGCGCGACGCCCGAGGCCTGACGCACCCTCGCGAGCGCACACTGACGCACGCGCGCTCACAGACCCCATCCGCGCACGTGGGGGCGGGTGGGTGGGCGGCGGTCGCGACAGTGGCTGGCCAGCGGCTCGTCACACGCCCCGCCACGCGTCTCAGGTGTGCGAGCGCGGCGACCTCGTCGTCGAGCTGCAGCTCCGGTCGGTCAGCGAGTCGCTCTCGCGGACGGCGCGCTTCGCAGTTTTCTCCGGCGCCGCCGGCTTGTTTGTGAGCGAGGCGCCGCGCACCACCACATCCGCCGCCACAATCCGCCGGACTGCGCCACCCCACGCCTCAACCGTGAGCACGCCTCACTCACACTCGCAGGTGCTCCTGCGGCGCATCGGCATCGCACGGCTGCTTCGACTGACGGCCAGCGCGGCGGTGCGGACGCTGGGTTTGGTGGCGATGGTGATCGCCGACCCGACGCGGTGATGAGGTGGACAGGCGTCTTATCCCCTGACTTTTCAAAGGTAGGAGAGGTAGAGCTCGCTAAGGCGGGGGCAAAGTGTAGTACGTTCTGGTACAGTCTTAGATTTTTTTCATCAAAACACTCTAAGTACTAAGAGGTAAGGTAAGGTAAACTTCTCCACACACAACACGAGGTGGTGGGGCAAGAGGGGGGGCAACCCTCGCGTCTCCACGTCTGACGACAGGAGCCCCACGGCATTCAAAGTGCAAGGCCCAGTGCGCGTGGGTGAGCGGTGTGTGTGTGTGTGTGTGTGTGTGTGTGTGTGTGTGTGTGTGTGTGTGTGTGTGTGTGTGTGTGTGTGTGTGTGTGTGTGTGTGTGTGTGTGTGTGTGTGTGTGTGTGTGTGTGTGTGTGTGTGTGTGTGTGTGTGTGTGTGTGTGTGTGTGTGTGTGTGTGTCACGTCACTGCATCCTCCGCGAGAAATGAGACGCACGAAGGTATAGTATAGATGAGACTTGCGAGATTATGACATCCCAGGTCTACGGCTTTCGGTCTAAAGTAGGTGGTGTCTGGTGACGCGCGCGCCCCGCCCCGCCCCCCGCGGCGTGTGTGGTGACATCTCTGGGGACAGCGTGCTTTGTAGCTGACACCGCGCTCATCCGAATATCTCGTCCCGCAGCTGGTGTGTTCTCGGCATCCCTTGTTGGGGTAGAGTCCTGAACGTGCTAAGATGCGGCATCAGATGGCGCTGCTGGGTAGGCTGACCGAGATCATGCCGCGCCCAGGAGCTGTCGTTGGCGCCGTGCGTGGCCAGACACGCTGCGCGTGCCTCGAGCAGACCTTTGAGCATCGCGTCGGTGAAGGACCCATTCCATCCACCGTTCCATCCTAGGGAGAGCTGCCCATACCTCGCTCGCCTCCGATATCCATACGCTCGCCGACCCTCGCCGAGCGCCAAGGCCGTGTCCGCATAAGGGTCGACCGGGCCCTTGTAAGCCGCAAAGGCCACGGCGCCGACAGCACGGGCGAGCTGAAGGTACTCGCCCGGAATGAAGTAGTGCTTTGGGAAGAACTCGACGATGGCGGTGCACGGCCTCGCCCACAGAAAGTTGACATTCTGCGCGCCGTGCGGTGACAGCAGAATGTCCTGCGCGTGCACCCACTGCGCTTGCTCCTCGAAGCCCAGATCGCCCAGATCCGACATGTAACTGAGCGTAGCTATCTCGCGCGCGGCCAACGCGCGTGCTAGGGCAGCCATTGCCTTATCGGCATCGACGATGCGCCGGCTGCCCTTTCGATTCACGAGACCGACACGTACAGGAAGCCCAGCCACCGTGGGCCGCTCCGCCTTAGGCCCGCCCGTGAGGGCTTGCCCGACAAAGAGCCGATTTTGGAGCTCCGTCGCGTCGGCGCGGCCAACGAGCCAAGCCTGCTCGCTGCCGGTCCAGCCGGTCCGGAGCCTGCGCAGCCGGCCCCTCACGGCGCAGTCTGCCGACCTCTTTCGCCCGCGCGGTGCCACGCTCGCGTTGATGAGGCGCATCAAGCCGATGGTCCACGCCGAGTCACCAAACTTGATACCGCTCGCGAGGCTGAAGCGGGGCGTGAGGGCCGGGTGCTGCCGGAAGAGGGACCAGCACGCCAGCTGTGCTTCGGCCGCGTGAGGAAAGTGCACGAGTGCCTTTGCAAACGAGTTTTCCTTGTCGATGACGCATTCAACGTGCGTTGGCACACATCGCCTGTCGGGGCTATCGATTGTGTAGTCGTCGAGTGACAGAAGGTAACCGGCGCTGGCCAGAGGCTGCGATAGCCTCCAACGCGATCGGTTCTGCTCGTCGCCGATAGCACTGGTCGGAGAGAAGAGCCTGCTCCTTTCTCTCAGCACCCGGTCACCGAATGCGACAGCCGAAGCCATGTCGCAACGGCCGTGATGCCGGTGCCGAGGCGCAATGCTGAGCGGCTGGGGCAGTGACGGCGACGGCGGTAACAAGGAAGGAGGGGCGCTGAGTTTGTTGCGACGGCGACGGTGGTCAGGGCGGATCTGGCGGCGAAGTCGACTTGCCGGACGGACGTTATCTAATCCGAGGTGTGTGAGTAGAGCCGATTGTTGGTTAGAAAGTGCTCCCAGGTAGATCTCCCTCACCAGAGTGCCAGTGCGCAGAGAGAGAGAGATTTCTAGTACGATATCCAACAAATATCTCTAGCACCACACACATCATTTTTTGGGCCTCGATCGATCGGCAGCCGCAGCCGCAGCAGCCGCAGCAGCACGAGTTGGAGAAGCAGCCGCAGCAGCAGTCGGAGAAGCAGCAGCCGGAGCAGGTTGTTATAAGTTAGGTCATAGAGAGCACAGTGGTGTTGGCTCAAAACCGATGAGAGACAAGAGCTCACACACAAAATTATACACGAGTCTTTCCGTCGGCGCGGGTTTGTGGCTTGTGCTCACGCCACAGAGGCGCAAGACCGAGTAGACTGCGCCAGAGAAGAGAGAGCGGATCACAGCCCCTTCACCTATTCGCAGCAGGGGGAGGTGAGGAGCCGCCTCGCTGCGTGGCAGTGGCCGAGCGCGAGGAGCGCACAAGCAGCTCCGCAAGCACATCCTGCCAGCGCGCTACGCGGCGGATGGACAGGTCGAGGGCCTCGTCGGTCGCATTCCAGGGGTAGGCGCCGAAGAGCAGAGTGGGGATGCCCGCCGCGGCGCACTGGCGCGCGTAGGTGAGCGAGTCGTCCACCAGCGCGACGGCGCCGATCCGCTTGCACATCTCTGGCTTGCTCGTCTTGGCGCCCTCGCGCCCAAAGTGGTTGCCAAAGTGCGCCGCCGTGAAGAGGCCCTCAAAGTGGCGCGCCAAAAAGGCGCGCGTCTGCGGCTCGATGTCGCTCTGCCGCGACGTCACCACGTGCAGCTCGAACTTTGCGCGCAGCAGCCGCAGCGCCGCCGCCGCGCCCGGCAGCGGCTCGATCCGCGCGAAGAAGTCGGAGGCGTGGAACTCGTACACGCGGTCGAGCGCCGCCTCGCGCGAGGCGAGCCTGCAGCCGGCGACCTCCCAGAACATGTAGCTGTGGAAGTCGGCGGCCTCGACGCTGGTGCCGTGGACAGCGTTCGAGAACTTGCAGAACGCTGGCAGATAGCCGCAGCACACCTCGTCGAGGTCGACCGCAAGCACGGGCTTTGGCGTCGCAGCGCGCGCGGCGCGGCGCGCCGATATCCGGCCTGCGGACGACACCAGCAGCAGCGCGGCAATTCCGAGCGAGCCACGGTCCCCCGCGCCAGCGCTGCCCGCGACCGCCTCGGCGCACTCCTTGAGCAGGATGGCTGTAGCGACGGCGATGAAGATGGCGATGCCGGCGTCAATCTCGCGGAGGATTGTGGCGAGCATGATCACGATGAGCGGCCGGGCCGTGGGCAGGCCGTGAACGCGCGCGCTCCCCCGCGAATTTCTTTTTATTTTTTGATTTAGGAGTATCGCTTTGCACCTTGGATAAAGGGGGGGGCGACAGGAAGAATTTGGACCTGAGTTATGTGTACGCCAACTCAGGGTGTGTGGCAGCCAGCTGGCTGTGTGTCTTGTGAGCTTGTTTGTGTCGCTCGTGCGTGTCGTCATCATCTGTCTGTCCAGCGTCCACCCATACCGCGTTGGTGTCCAGTCCGAGCCTGGCTGTTCTTCACCTTCCTACATACATACATACAGGAGGAGGAGGAGGAGGAGGAGGAGGAGGAGGACGTGGACGAGGACGAGGACGAGGACGAGGAGGACGAGGAGGACGAGGAGGAGGACGAGGAAGGAGGAGGAGGAGGAGGAGGAGGAGGAGGAGGAGGAGGAGGAGGAGGAGGAGGAGGAGGAGGAGGAGGAGGAGGAGGAGGAGGAGGAGCAGCAGCAGCAGCACCACCAGCACCATAAGAGGGCTCCCGCGGCGATCAACACCGCACCTTTTTGTTTTGAAGACCTCGATACTTAGCGCACTGCTCGGGCGAGAGCTCAAACACGTGCCGCGTCTCGTCTTCGCCGCCGGCTACGCGCACAGACACAGTACGCGGCAGCGCCGACACGTCAACCCGCGTGTACGTCAGCGACGGGTCCCGCACGCCGCACGAGGCGCATGCGTGCAGCGGCAGCGCGTGCGCCATGCGCTCGTCGCTCCACTCGCCCAGCAGCCGCCGCTTCGTCTCGTCGGAGACGTGCACGCAGCGCTGCAGCAGCGCCGCCGTCTCGTCCTCGGGCCGCTCCAGGTCCATGACGACGTTCGTCGAGGCGTGGAAGCGCGTCTCCAGGTCGATGGCCGCCTGCTCGGCCGCGGCGAGCTTGCCCTGGTCGACGCACATGCCGCACACCGCGTGCGCCGGGCAGCCGCACTGGCCGCGTTGTGGGCGCACGGTCTTGGCGACCGCCGGCGCTGCGCGCCGGTCGTGCTGCTCACGCTGCCGGCGGCGCTGGTCGCGCGCCTGCCGATCGCGCGTGTTCGCGGCGGCTGCATCTCCTGCTCGTTTCGCTCGCACCCGAGCGGCTGTCGCCAGGCGCTTCAGGTCGGCGGTGCTGCGCGCGCGGCCGTCGGCCAGGCACAGCCACATGTCCTCCTCCTCGGCAGGCTCGCACGGCTTGCCGTCGAACTGCGGCTGGCGCCCGCGACGATGCTTCGCCCAGGCCGGGCACGATGGTGCCGCGACGAGCGGCGTCGAGGCGACGGCCATCGATGGGTCCAGAAGACTTGGAGACACTTCTCGACCAAAAAATCAAAAATCGAGCACAATTGCGTTACATGGGCATGGCCGGGGTTTCTGCACCGAACGATCTTACTTTCGGTCTATCGAAAGTGTTGGTCGATAAAATTCTCTTTCGTCGCACCGCTTTCCACTGTGTTTCGAGATGACGACGGCGCGGCGGACAGAGCAGGAGGAGCTGGAGGCGGCGCTCGCGCTCTCCCTCCAGCAGCAGTCGCCGAGGCAGGACGACGACGACGAGCTCCGTCGTGCGCTCGCGCTCTCTCTCGCAACAGAGAGCGCGAGCGGCGGCTGTGCCGTCTGTGGTGGGGCTGCCGACTCGGCGACGGCGGCGCTGCTCGCCGTCATATTTGGCGAGACGTCTCCTGCCGTTGCGCAGCAGTGGCTCGGGCAGGGCATCAGTTTTGCTGCGGCGCCGGCCGCCTCCGGGGACGGCGACGCACCCGCCTTCACGGCCGGCCTCGCGCAGAACCAAGGCGGGCCGTGTGCGGTGCTCGCCGCGGCGCAGGCGCGAGTATATCCCCGGCCGTGCCTCGGTCCCCAAAGCCCCTCGCACGTACCCACACCCTCAGCCAGATTTCGCGCCCTCTCCAGGCCTTCACGCTGCGCCGGCTGCTCTTTGACCCGGAGCCGCGCGCGCGCAAGCTGCAGGGCGCGCAGTCGTGGCTCGGAGAGGCGAGCGAGGAGGCTCTGGCGGCGCCGTCCGAGGCGGCGGCCGAGGCGCTGCTCTGCGGGCTCACAGATATTTTGTGGCAGGTCCAGAGCTCCGCCGCTGACACTCCTCCCCACCCCTCCTCCCTGCCTCCCTCCCCACCCCTCCTCCCTCCCCACCTCCCCTCTCCTCCTCCCTCTCCACCTCCCTCCCCGCCTCCCTCCGTACAGGCCGCCGTCGCGCCCAGCGGCGCCGAGGGCGTGCCGCCGCCGCGAGGCGTCTCCGTCGTGGCGCTGGCGGAGGAGGCGGCAGAGGCTGCTCCAGAGACTGCAGACCCGCCGCCGCTGCACGAAGCGGTCGGTGCCATCGCGGGCGCGGCGGCGGAGGCGCGGAGCTGGGAGGAGACGCGGGCGCTGCTCTCCGCGCGCGCGTCTCGGCTGCGGGGCGGGAGCGGTGCGTCTGGCGGCGGCGTGGGCTTGCCGGTCCGGAGAGGTCAGCGCGGCTCACACTTGGGTTGTGCCGCCCCCTTGCAGGTGCGCTCGGCTTCCTCTGCTCGGTCTTGCTCACGCGCGGGCTGGCTCTGGTGGCGGCGGAGCGCGACGACGGCGAGGCGCCGCTGCTCGACCCGACCTTTGGCCATTGCGCGCAGGACGCCGCCTAGACCCGAAACCCGCGCAGTCCCCGCGGCTGCCTCTGACTGGCTTGACCCTTTTGCCGCTCCCGAAACGCGAGCCGGAAGCCGAGAGCGCCGCCCGAACCCCATCCGCCGCAGGAGGCTCTCCGCCCGAGCCCAACCCCCTACCGCTACCCCCCACCCCGCACCCCCCACCCTAGCCCCAACCACCGCGCCGCAGGAGGCTCTCAGCCTGATGCTGACCGGCGCAGCGGCGCAGCGCCTCTTGGAATGGAGAGAGGAGCCCGGGGGGCGGAGCCTGTCTCCCGGACCCGCCTGCGGAGCCGCCGTAGGTCGCCCACCTATTCGACGGAGAGAGGAACCTCGGCGGCGGCTTCGTGCTGCGCGGCATCCGCGCGACGCCGCCCGTCGGCCTTCTCTCTGAGCTAGAGGCGCTGCGCTACGTCGAGGTCGCGCCACCTTCCCACCCCCGTCCGTCCGTCCTTCCCACCCCCGTCCGTCCGTCCGTCCGTCCGTCCGTCCGTCCGTCCCGCCCCCGTCCCTCCGTCCGTCCGTCTCACCCCCGTCCCTCCGTCCGTCCGTCCGTCCGTCCCGCCCTGCCCTCCTGCCGACATGCTCTGCCTTTCCCCCGCGCAGGTTGGGTCGCGGCTCAAGTGCCCCTCGAGCCCGATCTGGGTGGTCGCGTCACAGACGCACTACTCCATCCTCTTTGCCACCTCGGCCTCCGCCGCCGCGCCGTCCGCACTCGAGGCGCGCCTTGCCGCCCTTGGCCGCGCCCACCGCCGCGGAGGCCCCAGCGCTGCCTCGTGCCGTGGACCTTGCAGGCGCTCGAAGAGGAGCTGCAGCGCCGGTTCGCAGAGTTCGACGGGGACGGGTGCGAGCTGCTTGCCCGCCCCGTCGGCGAGGGGGGAGGCGCGTCCACGACGCGTCCACGACGCGTCCACGACACATCCTCAGGCAAGGCTTCGTCTCGATCGAGGCGCTGCGCCCGCTCGTCTCCTCCCTCCCGCCAGAGTACAGCGGCGTGCTGCCGGACTACGACACGCTGCGCAAGGAGGTGGACCCCGACTCGCTCCTCATCGTGACGTGGGACGCATTCCAGCGCGCGACGCTGCCGCGCCACCCAAAGGCGTCCGCCCTCCTCGCCGCTGCCACGGCGGCGGCGGCCGCCGTGCCTCTGCCCACCGCCGACGCCGACGCCGCAGCCGCAGCGGCCGCCGTGGTTGGCGCCGAGGCTGCGCGAGCGGCGGCGGAAGCGGCGGTCCGGGAGGAGGCGGCGGCGGCCGCGGCAGCGGCCGCCGCTGCCGCCGGCGGTATAGTGACGCTCTTCCATTATAACGGCCTCTCGTCGCGTGGCCACGAGCACAAGCGCTGCCTGTCGCGCGTGTCGCTCACGCCGGGCGGCGCGCGCGGAGTGCCGCTCGAGCCGCGCGGGCTGGCGGCGGTGCTGAGTACGCGGTGGAAGGACGCGGCGGTCGCGTGGGAGGGGGCGGAGCCCTCCATCTGCTAGCATGCCTCGTGCAGAATGTGGCCAGCCCACCGCGGGCCCGCCTGGTGCGTGCAGTAGCCACATGCCGCGCGGTGCCGGTGGGCCTCGTGCGCCCCATCCCGTGCGCCCCAGTATGTGTGCGCATGCGCTGCGGCCGCAGCGCATGCGCTTGCGCACACACACAGCGGGGAATTGTGGGGGAGCTGGGAGGGGTTAAGCGTCAACATCAAGAGCAAGAGAGCGGGGAGGCCCAGGTTCATGTGTGTGTGTGGCGGTGTGCTCTCTCGACTTTGTCGCGCGCCTCCTCTCTTCTACCAACCGGATAAAACGGACCGCGACTCTTCTCATCGCTCAATTTTGTGCCGAGCTGCGAGAGAAGTGTACGCAAATATAGCGCAGCGCCTTGTCTGTTTACGTTCATCGTTCTGACTTCTGTTTGAGAACGAGTCAATAAATAATAAATAAATAAAACGGACACCTCTGGAGATGGGTAAAAAGGAACAGGTCCCCGCCCTGTACGAGTCAGGGACAACGAGCGAGTTAGTTTTTCCCGCCGCGCCGCTCTTGATCGCCGCGGGCGCCCGAGCACGCGCCTCTCTTTCTAGATGATCACTCTCAGCCTCACCCGCCGCCGGACAGGAAGTTGCCCGCAAAGACGGAGAGTCCCATCAATGCCCAGATCGGGGCAGCAAAAGTCCGAGCAAAGACTCGCGGTGGTGACCAGTACTCGCTCAGCAGCAGCACCAGCTCCTCATCTCCGCTCGCCGACCAGACCATCTCGGCGGGGCCGTCAACGACGGTGATGACCGTATCTTTCTTGAGCGGGTACGTCTCGCCTCCGACGGAGAGCGTTCCCCTGCCGCTCTCGACGATCCGGTTCGCGCCCTCAGGAAGCGTCTCGCTCAGTGGCTTTTCGGCGGTGACTGCAGTGTCGAGCCAGATGTTGTCGTAGTTTCCAACCAACCCAAGCTGTCGCAGCCGGTCGGCGGTTGCCTGCTCGAGCTCGACAGCCACCAAGGTTGGTGAGGGCGATCGAGGCCTCTGCGTGCGATAGGCGATGGCTCCATGTGGTACACCAGGCGGCGTCGTACGCGCCGGTAACGAGTGCGCAGTGGTTACGGAGAAGGAGGTAGTCGTTAGGAGCAGCATTAACGGCGTCATTGACAAAACACCACCCACCAAACGCCGACAACGCAGCTCGCGACCTGGAGACCTGGACAGTCGAGACCAGCCCGCGCAAATCTGAGAGCAGCAAAACAAAATAACGCGCCGAAGCTGCGGACTCGCATCGAAGCGCTTTGCATCGAAGCCCTCGACGCCCGACTCGAGTTCGTCGTAAAGACTCGTGGCCACCACGCGATGCGAGCCCTTATGCTCTTCGCCTTCATTGCGCCCGCAGTGTCGCTCGGCGGGCTCACAGTCGGCGGGCTCACAGCGCGGCCTCGTTCCGCGATGCGAGTGGGAGTGCAAGGCCTTCGCCTTGCGGAGCCGGGTGAGGAGGCTCTGCTGCAGCCTCCGTCTCGCCCACGTGCCCACCACTTGAACGGTCGAGAGCCGCCATTGGGACTTGCCTTCATTCGTGCGCAGCCCGCCGTAGGCGAGCGGATGACTGAGGCCGAGCGGCGGCGCGCTGAACCGGTTCATGAACTGAAGCGGGCGAGAAAGAATCCGTTTGTGCGTGACGAGGAGGGCAACCTGATCGATGAGCGGAAGCAGCGCCCGAGGTAGAGAAGAATTCGCCCCAGCAGATCGTGACGCGACACAGCATGACGCGATGCGAGAGAACGGGCCCTTCCCTGCGCAGTCATCATGATGAACTTCCAAGCGGCCATCGGAGACCCGTCGAGAGTCCTGGGGATAAGTCCGTCCGTCTCTCACGCACTCTGACCGCAGCGTCCCTGACGTCGCTCTTCGCGTCTCTTCTGATGATACGTGGCTGGGTTCACAGCGATTGTAGGAAAATGACGAAAACACTTGACGGTGCGGCCTTCCGACTCGCGCCTCCGCCTCACTGGCACTATTGTAGCCCTGGCCGGTGCGCGTGTGAAGTTGAAGTTCCGGAGTGAAAATTCGAACGCGTTCTCTCACGGTGACCACCTCAGAGGCACCTCCGGAGGCAGGCCGCCGCACGCCGGCGACACAGCTCCAGCTGTCGAACTGACCCGCAGCTCCTCTCAGAGCGGGAACTGTGACGAAGGTTGACTGAGGCGGTTGTCAGGAATCATCATACGGATCACATGGTGGCTCTCTCATGACGGGAGACTGCCCGACCACTCCTGGGTGGCACTGCCACCGGTGTCGCTCGACGTCCTGTCGACAGCGTGCCGACAGCGACACAGACCATGTGGGACGCGTCGAGTATCCACCTCTACTGCTTACCCAGCCTTCGAGTGTATCCTGACTGTGGTCCCACACCCACTGGTGTCCATCTCAGAGACCGCAGGAGGTCATGAGGGTCGATGGGAGTGCCAACCCCACAATGCCTAAAAACCCAGCCCAGTACCCCACAACGTCTCAACGATGTCTCGATACACGCGTATAGGGCTAATATGTATTTTGCTTTTTTCCGGGGCGGCGGCGCTCCTTTCACCCGTGCTCCGACCATGGCTCCGACACCAAAGTAACGCTACCCGCGACCCCTCTCTAAATTGTCAGTTGTCACATGGCTCGTGGGTCCGAGGACGAGCTCCCCCCGCCCTGATGAGTCACCGGCCAGCAGCGGCCGCGGTGGCCGACCGCTTCCGCGACAAGCCCTCTCGGCACCTGCGCCGCGCACCGCCGCGCCACGTTGTGCGCCTGCGAGGCGGCCATCACCAGCTGGCGCCGCTGGCCGTCGATCCTCGAGATGTCGCCCATCAGCGCGCGCAGTTCCTGCTTGGTGCGGAGGACCGACGCCTCCGCCACCAGCACATGGCGGGCGGCCTCATCAAGCGCGCGCTGCGCGTCGGCGATGCTGCGCGCGCACGGCGGCGGCGCGGCCTCTCTCTGTGGAAGCCTCCAGCTCGGCTGGTGGGTCTCTTCGCGCCAGGCGGCATGCGCGGCAAGGAGGCGCTGCCGCTCGCCGCTACGCCTTTCGCGCACGGTACGCGCCGACTCTGCCCGCTGCAGTGTCTGCCTTAGGCGCGCCTGCGTAAGCCGCTGGCTGCTGTGTGCGCGCTTGCCGTCGGCCTGCAGCCGCTCGGCCGCCGCGTCGACTGCGTGCGCCACGTGCGAGGCCGTCCACGACGCGAGGATGGCGCGCCACGGCACCGGATCAGCCGGTGCTGCTGTAGCATAAGCAGCGCCCATTCCTGGAAGCCAAAGCGCAAGCGGCCGCCACAACTGGTCAGAGCTGGCGATTCGGAGCAGGCGCTGGCAGGTGGCTCGTGCAGCGCACACGGAGTGGGCAGGCAGGAAGCCGGCGATCAGCGTGAGGAGCTCGTCGACAACGACGTCCAGCAGCAGCGTGGGCATCACAGGTCTTCGAAAGTGGTCACGTGTAGAAGCAAAGAGACGGAGGAGCGGGGCCGCGATTGGCAGACCACTACCGCTGGGTCCGGCTCCTACCCAGACAAGGGGTCTGTTGCCACGGTTGACCCTATGCCCCCGTAGGTAGGACCGGTTTTGACCGCCCCAGAGGGCCCCGCAATAGGAGGTTGGTGGGTGGGTGGGGGTGGGGTGGGGGTAAAAAAAAGGCTTCGCTCGCGCGGGAGACGGCGCGTTTAGCCGCGAACGGGGCCATGCCAGACGAGTCGCCTGCGGCTGGGACGCCAGCCGAGACGGGTGCGGCGGCGGCGCCCGCGGTGGCGGCGCCCGGGACGGCAGCGCCGGCGAACGCGCCCGGGACAGACAGAGGGCTAACGGGTATTTTTTCACTTCGCTGCGCGGCCTGGGAAATAGGTAGGTAGGTGGGGCACGGAGCCTGGCGGTTGGCGCCCGCAATAGGTAGGTAGGAAGGGCGTTTTGGTGCGAGTCATGGTCAACAGACCCCCTGTCTGGGTAGGAGCCGGAACCCTGGGCTGGCGAGTACGTCCACTTGGAGCACTTGGAGTGCAGTCATCAACCGCACATCCAGGGCCGGGGAGCTCAGAAGCGCACCCAGCGGGCCGGATGATTGGCATCGGGTTACGGGCTAGAGAGCCCTAGCCCCGGGGGTGCGCGTTCGCAGGGCAAGGGCCTTAAAGTAAACACAGTTCTCCGAGGGTTGGACCCGCGTACCGGGTTTCCCCTTAACTGCAGGACGCCCCCTCTACTCGGAGCTAGTGGACATTACACTGGACACCACGCCCAAACAGACACTTGCTTAGTCCTCGGTCCCGGGGCTCCACCTTCGGTCCTCCCGGGGCTCCGGTTCTCCCCGATTCGCTCTCTTGCTCGCTTGCCGAGCGTCATACGACGGCCGGTGTGGTCGTTTCCCTCGTTGTTGGTGTCGCTTCCTCCGCTGCCGCCTTTCGTCTTCGCTAGCCTCTCCCAGCTCCACCGGTTCTGCGTGGTTGTCCTCTCCGCCACCCTTCGACGGCGCACGAGCAGGAACCGTCCGAGGGTGTCAGCCTTACGCGCCAGTCAGTGAGCACCGTGACGTCACTGCCAGGGGGCAGTCCGCGTCAACGAGTCGGTCGGGCGCAAACCCCGTCGGTAGGGGGGTGGTCCTGCCGAGGCCACATCGGGTGCATCCCCTCGCGTGGCAGATGTGCTCTGCCCTCGCGACCCATGGCGCCCCTTGCTGGCTCTGGGGGGAGGGCGGGGGGGTCGATGTCCACGCCTCACTTTTTCACAGCCTTGTTATTGAGAAGAAAATACCTCCTATGGCGCTGTGCGCTGGTCTGTGAGAGGTTGAGTGCGAGCCCTGGAGGCCCTGGGGATGGGGTGAGACTACCCGCGGGCCTAGAAAAGGCCCGCGCGCAGGGGGGTGGGACATTGAGACCGGTCATGAATGAGTGCGCGACACGCATGTTGCGAGCAGCGTTGTTGATGTTTTGCGCGTCGCCACAGACGGCGGCGCGCGAGAGCTGTTGCGAGTGGTGCTCTGGGCGAAGCCCCGGGCGCTGCCGGAGGCTGTGCCGTAGTCGGTGCGGTCGACGGCGCTCGGGCTGCCGACCTCTTTGGCGAAGTTGAAGATGATTCTCTTGGTCGGCGGCGCAATGCCGCCCTGACTTTCGACGAGACAAATTTTGACGATTCCGTTCTTGACATGGAGCGCGTCGTAGTACTGTCCCTTGTGCTCTTTGTACTTTGACCCAGCCTTTGGCTTTGCCGGTCGCATGGACGAGCGGGCCCTGTGACTTGTGGCCGCGCTCTTTGCACCCAAGAACCTTGAGCAAGGTTTGGTCGAGGGTTTTTCTTGGAGCACTTGCGACTTGGAGTGCGGTCATTAACCTCACATCCACGGCCAATAAATAAATAAATAAAACGGACATCCAAGCTAGGGCTGGGTCGAGGACAGACACGTCCCCACCTTTGCAGGATTTTGCAAGGGCGAGGGGGAGGGGGCGCATCGCGGCCACTTCTAGCACTTTGCCCCGCGAATTTTTTCCCCGACCCTACGAGAGGTGCCAGTCCAGCCCAGTGTCGTGAGAGGAGCTCCGGCCTGAACGCGATGGCGGCGCGAGCCGCAGCGGCGATCGACGACATCGACGCCGCCTTCGACGGCGCGCTCGGGCTTGAGGAGCACTTCCTCGCCGCCGGCTACGCAGAGGGGACCGTCCGCGGCGCGGCGAGCGGCCAGGACGACGGGAGGCGGCTCGGCTGCGACCGTGGGCGCGAGTTGGGGCGAGAGCTCGGCCGATTCCGCGGGCGCATCGACATGCTGAACGCGCTCGTCGCTGCAGGGCCGGCGCCACGGCACTTGCCAGAGAGGCGAGCGCACCAACGCAGCTCTCTCCCCTTCCCGCGTGGCGTCGCCCCACCGCGTCGTGCCGGCTCGCCGCAGGATATCTCGGCTGCTGAACGAGGCGGCCGCCACCATCCCGACGGAGCCGCCGGCGCCGCAGGACGAGGCGGCCTTCGAGGCGATCGCCGAGCTGCGCGCAAAGATGCGCATGCTCGATGCTTGGCTCGGCGGCTCACGGCTGCCTGCGGTGGAGCCGGACCTTAGCTTTTGACGCGGGGAGAGAGTGAGTGGGTGTCTTTTGACAACGGTATCGGACGTCGCAGTCAATAGCATCACAAGTCACTGGCCGGCGCTGTTGAAGTCACAGGCTGTGGTGGCGGGTGAGCGTTGGCCGTTGCTGCGTTGGCACTGTGTGGAACGGGCTAGCTCAAGGTTGCCTTAGATTGTCATGGAGAATGGCCGCGTTCTCGCCCCTTTCCTGTACGCGTGGGTCTCAGAGGACGAATGCGCACCGGATCTTCGAGGTCTTCAAAGTCGGCCGCGCCCCACGGCTATCCCGCCGGCTCTCGAGTGTCGCAGCGCGACGCGCTTCACCCCCTCGACTCCGCGCTGCGAGTCGATCTGGAGACGACGCTCGGCCACCGCCAACTCCACCCTGACGCGTCGCACATGCGCCGAGTGTCCCCCCCGAGGGTGTCCTTGTATAGTATGCTTGGTTGCGAGTTAAAAAAAGCCCGTTCCGCACCCGCAGCCAGCAGCAGTACACATGCCGTTCTGGCGCCCCTCGGCTGGCCAGAGGACGACTCACAATGCAAAATCGGAAAGACATCACGAGGGGCCGTATAAACGGTGCCGCAGCGGCCCGGGACACTAACAGTGAGTTGCTGCCACTCGCCCGGCCTCCTCCCCCTCGGGCTCGCCCGGAAAGTGGGCTTGCGCACCGGCGCCCCCCCCAGCACGCCGACCCGAGGTGTACCCTCCGGCCACCTGGGAGGGGAGCGCTCTCCCTTTTTGGCCCATTGGCTTCACCATGATGGATACGGAGGTGGCCAGCCCTTGGTCGTGCACCTGCGGCGCGAAGAGGAGGTGATCTCGGCGGACGACGGCCATGCCGAGAGCGGGTGCAGCGCGGAAGAGGGTGCGCAGCGCGTCGCGGCCGCGCGCATGGGAGCCGGGGGGATGGCCGGAGGGGGCGGGACGCCTGCATGTCCTCGAAGCTCCCAGCCGCATACGCAAGCCGAGCCGCGAACGGCGGGGAGGGAGTTTTGGAGGGTCAGCCAAGGACGCGCATGGCGAGTGACAAACTACCGCAACCTCCCCCCTCCCTGGTTTCTCATCGTGGGCAAGGCGCGTGCGCGCGGAGACCGCGGTCCTCCACGCACCTCACACCGCGCAGGACGTCCTCTAGCCGCTCTCTAGGTCCTAGCCACGAGGATCTGCCCCTCTGGGGGGGCGCGGGGGCCCCCGGCCCCCACACCCCCATGGGCCCACACCTGAGGCCCACACCGCACACGCCGGTCAGAGTGTGTACGACCGATCAGGTTTTGGAGGTGTTTCTGTAAGGGTGTATTCTGATGATTGCAAATTCGTTGGATGGTCTATCTGTATGTACTCCTCGAGATCTCTCCAAATCTGCCCTCTATTTAACCGTATATTAATCGGGAAGTCGGTGCTAGTGGAGACTAGTGGAGCCGGAGCCCCGTTTCCGCACTGGTGCTGCGCGGCGCTCGGTGCCTCCGGGGGCCCCCGCTACCCCCCAGAGGAGTACACACAGATTCAGAGATAGACCCTCCAACCAAAGTGATAAGAAAACTCCGACCTGATCGGTCGTACTACGTACTGACCGCCGACTGATCACTCCAGACAGCAGACAGGCCGACGTCTGCACGCGGCCGGCCGGGCGAGAGGCTTGACACGATCCGACCCTGCGACCCTGTGACTGACGCTGTGAGCCTGACGCTGCTGCTCTAGCTATCAGACATGCACCGCTGACTGCTGCCACAATGTGCGACCTGTGCTGGCCCCACTTGGCGGCCTTCCCGTCAGTGGTGAGGCGCACTTCAGAGCTGTCGATGAAAGAAAGAAAGAAAAGAGACATTCCAAGGGAGGGATGGGAGGACGGCACGCCGCCACCACACAGGGATTTTAAGGAGAGAAGTGCGGTGCTAGCCGTCGCCCACGCTCGGGCGTCTACCTCTTTCTATCTCCCTTCGCAGTCCCTCGCCGATTCTCGCAGCGACCTTCATGCCACCTCGCGGTCGTCCCACTGAGCACTTGGACTTGGAGCACTTGGAGTGCAGTTATTAACCTCACATCCAGGGCCGGGGAGCTAAGAAGCGCACCCCGCGTGGGGATCGATTTTCTTCTTCAGTCTTGCCCAGCCTCCACCAGGGTTCCGGCTCCTACCCGGATAGGGGGTCTGTTGGGACTGACTCGTGCCAAAACGCCCTACCTACCTACCTATCCCCAGGCCGCGCAGCGAAGCGAAAAAAGATGAAAATTGGGGTACCTACCTATTGCAGGGCCCTTTTGGGCCAAACAAGACCAACCTACCTACCTATCTGGGAGGGGCCAGCCAGTCCCGACAGACCCCCTATCCGGGTAGGAGCCGGAACCCAGTGCTTCAGCGCCAGTAGGATGCACGCCATCTCGACGGCCGCATGCTCGTCTCTGCTGCTCCCGTGCAGCCGCGCTCACGTCGCCAGTGCTAGACGGCGCGGGCTCGACGCGCCACTCTTGGGCGTCCTTGGCTTCGTCTCCTGGCTGGAGACGCACTCTCCGGAGGCTCTGGTGGAGATGCCCGCCCTGCCTCGCGAGAACAGCGAGATCACGCCGCGCGACGTCGACGTGGTCGCCTTCGACCTCAACTCGCTCGTGCACAATGCGCTGCGGAACGCGCGCGACGAGGACCAGGCGATCGCGATGGTGTTTCAGATGCTGCACAGCGCGCTGCGGCAGGTCCGGCCGCGGACGACAGTCGTGCTGGCGCTTGACGGCGCCGCGCCGATCGCCAAGCTGGAGACACAGCGCAAGCGTCGCGCCTCGAGCTCGAGGCGCGACGAGCGCAAGAAGAGCAAGCCGGACACGCGCAACAACAAGCGGAGGCCCGCGGGCGTCTCCGCGCTGTGCGCGACGCCGGGCACGCGTTTCATGGCCAGCCTCGAGGGCGCGCTGACCTACTGGATCTGCGCCGAGCTGCAGACCTACCGCGCGCGCGGCCTCCGCTTCCTCCTCTCCGGGAGCGACGTGCCCGGCGAGGGCGAGCTCAAGATTGTCGACTGGCTGCTGTCGCGCGGCGGGTCGATCCGCGGCGAGGTGGCGCTCGTCGGCGGCGACGGCGACCTCGTGCTGCAGGCGCTGACACTGCAGCAGGTGCAGCGGCTCCTCGTCGTGCGCGAGCTGCCCACGCGCAAGCGGCCGGGCGTCGCCGTCCACGTGCCGACGCTGCGGCGGCGGCTGACGGCGGCGCGTGGCGTCGGCGTCGGTGGCGGGACGGCGGGGGAGAACAACCCGCACGGCGCCGCCGCCATGCTGGACGACCTCGAGGCGCTGGCGTGCTTCACGCTGATGGGAAACGACTACCTGCCCAAGCTGAGGGAGGCGAGCTTCGAGCGACTGTGGCGCGCGCTCTGCGCGCTGCGCCGCCACCCGTCGCCGTACCTGGCGGGGCGCCGCCTGCTGCGCGCCGACCGCTGCTTCGACGCGCCGCTGCTCGCCGCGCTGCTGGAGGTGGTGCTGAGGATCCACCGGGTCGCGAGCACGGCGATCGCCACCGACGTCGAGGCGGGCGTCGCGCCGTCGGCGGCGCGAGCGGCGCACGCGATGGACGGCCTTGCGCCCGCCGAGGTGGAGGCCACCGTCGATGTGGTGGTGGAGGAGCTCTTCGCGTCTTGGTCGATGGGCGGCGATGGCGACGTTGATGGCGGTGGCGGTGGCGACGGCGGTGGTGGCGGCGGCAGTGGGAGCGCGGCGCGCTACTTGGGTGGCGTGCTGTGGACTGTGGCCATGTACACCGACGGCGTCGCGGCCGACTACTCCTACCGCTTCACCAACCTGAATGCGCCCGCCGCCTCTTCGCTCGTCGCCTACCTTCGCAATGGCCACCTCGCGGAGACTGCCGCCGCTGGCACCACCACCGCCGCAAGCGGGGCGCCGTCGTCGCTGCTGCCATGTGTGCCCTCCTCGTCTGCCGCGCCGCTGCCCGCGCCGCTCGTATGCTCAGCGCTGCTCCCGCTGGGCGAGCTGCGCAAGTTGGCTGACCCCGTGCTGCTGGCGGAGCTCGAGGAGGGCGGCAGCCTCGCCTTCCTCACCGCAGCCGAGCGCGAGCGCGCCGCCGCCGCCGCCGCCGCTGCCGCCTCCGCCAGCGTCGACGGCGAGGAGGAGGAGGAGGAGGAGGCCACCGCGCCACCGAAGCTGCCGCCCCTCGACTACCCGCGCACGCTCAAGGCCGCGGCAGCGCTGCCGGAGGCGGTCGTCGGCCGCTCGCTCCGCCTCTCCGCATCGCCCTCTTGGCTCGACTTCACCAGCACGCGCGCACACGGCCGTGGGCGGGGCCGCGGACGCGGTGGCCGTGGCGGTGGCCGTGGCAAAGGGGCGCAGGCAGAGGGCCTCCCGGAGTTGCCCGCGATGCCTCCCGACCCGCCCACCGGGTCGAGGTTTCGCCCGCTGCAGGCTGGGGAGGTGTCCGTGGGATGGCTGCCCGCCAGCCGCACGCCGCGGGCGCGTCGCTGGGCAGACGTACCGTAAAAGAATGCGCCCGCGGCCTCGACCCTCGCTCGCTACATCATCGACAGCGACCGCAGCCGCGGGGTCGCCGCCGCCAACGCTGCCGCAGCCGCAGCCGCAGCCGCAGGCAGGCACGAGGGGAAGGGCGAGGGCGGCGGCTCAGCTCCGGCCGTGCCCACCTCGTCCGCCAGCCCGCTGCCCGCGCCGCTGGTGGCGACCTCGCTGCTGCCGCTCGAGGAGCTGCGCCGCCTCGCGCCGCCGTCGCTCGTGCGCGAACTCGACGCAGGCAGCGGCCGCCCCTCTTCCACTCTTCCCCCTTCCGGGACACCTCCCTCCACACCCGCCCTCGTGTCACGCCCCCCACGCCGCGACGCTAAGGCGGATGCCTCGCCTTCATCCCGGAGGCGCTCGACGCCGAAATCGCCGCAGGGAACGTCAACGCGACCATCCACCCTCTCGACTACGCACGGACGCTCGCCGCTACAGACGACCTGCCCGACGAGCTGGTCGGCCGGTCGCGGACCGTCTCCTCGACGCCGGCGTGGCTGCGTTTTGGTGCGGCCGCGCCTGCTCGCGCCGACTCGCGAGGTCAGGGGCGTGGGCGAGGTGGGAGAGGGCGCGGGCGCAGGCAGGGGCGTGGGCCGCCGGGGATTGACCAGCTGCAGGGCATGCCCACGCTGCCGGAGCTCCCTCCAGAGCCACCGACGCCCAGGATGAAGCCTCTGCGAGGCAGGGGTGTCGCAGTGCATTGGGTTCCTGCAAGCCGGAGGCCGCGTGAACGTCCTTGGCTCAGTCAGCCAAACTCCCACTGCGCCGCTCGACGGGCGCATGCACGACAAAGTGAATCATTCATTATGCTACACGTATCAGCACGGTCATGTCTGTCTTTGCACCTTCTGTGCATTTGTATCGATTTGTTCCAAAGCGCGTAGTCGCGTGTGCGTGACGACCTCAATACTTCAGTAAAGCCGTACGCGGCTTTTAAGTGTTTTATTCCCAAAAAAAAGGTGGGGTGTAAAATGAAAATTACGTATTGAGTGTGTACGTACATCGTGTACTTTGTGCTCTTCATGTGCGCTCTAATTTTCTTATCGCCGATTTCGCAGAGTCGGCCTAGGATCCGCTATAGAGCAGCAAAGCTCATCGCGGGAATGGGGCAGGCAACGAAATTGGCGCCGGCTGGCGCCGCCGCCGGCGCCGGCGCCATTCCCATTGGTGGCGTAGCAGACGCTTCCGCGGCAGGGGAACGGCTGCCTCTCGGGTTCTGTTGGTCGAGAGGAGTAGGTGCAGGAGTGGAGGTCGACCTCAGCAGCTTGATGCAGCACCTGAGGGTCACCGCGTCAAGCCCGATCGCGTACACGAAAAAGAGGCTGTACAGGATGAAGAGCGAGAGGTCGTATCCGTTCTTCATCACGTGCTGGTAAGCGTTGACCATGTACACACGCTCGCCCTCCGGTCGCTGCACGGTCCTCGCAACGCCCCCCTCGGCCAACTTGCCGAAAAAAATAGTTCGCATCAACGGGTCGCCGCCCGTCCTGCCGTCGCCGAGCAGGATGCTGGGGTCGACCATGTACAGGATGAGGCAAGTTAACGACGCCAGCCAACAGGTTGCGCCTCCAATAACGTAGGCTATAACGCGCCTGTAGACGCTGCGCCGCGGATGTGGTCGCGATCCGATGATAGTGCCGATCGCGACCCCGTGCAAGAGACCGCTCGCCGTGAAGGCCATGCCGAAGAGGGTGTACCTAGGGAGATCGCGTGCCACGTAAGGGATCCATGTACGAGATGTGAAGTTTAACACCATATGAAAGCGGGTGCCATGTGAAGGCCAAGGACGAGATGAAGGTCGGGCCGAGGAGGTCGAGCGCGCAACGCTGCAGCTTCGTCTCATCGTGGTGCTCCCGCTCCCGCCGCTCTGTCTCCTCCTGCAACTCGCGCTTCCTAAGCTGGTTCGCCTGCGCGATCGCCGCAAGGTCGTCGCGCGTGAGCCGGCCGTTTCCGCTCTCGTCCATTCGAAGAAACTGCTCGACAAAGGGAGCATAGTCGTCGTGCGAGATGATACTCAGCTTCTCGAGCATTCCCAGCACGAACTCAGCCTTGTCCACTCCGTCACCGTCGGTGTCGAGGCTAACGATTAGCTCCTCATCGAGCGTCATCGAGAGGAGCTCCGCCTTCTTCTGCGCCTTGACCCGCCTGCAAAACAGCGACGTCCCTCGAGCTGTGAATCTCTTCCTGCCTTCTCGCGCGCGAGCATGCTCGCGCAGAGGGCATCCGCGGCGGTCGGCATTTGTTCGCGCGCACGGCAGCGGGAGCAGCGGATCGGGAGCAGTCGGCACGGTGGGCGCTCAACTCCCACCATATCACGAACGCACCGCTTCAGGCCATCTACGACCGTCGAGAGCAAGGAGCCAAAGAGGATTGCCGACAGGACCATTTGGATGATGCCGTAGAGCCGCCCGCCGTACGACGTCGGCGCGATGTCGCCGAGGCCAATCGTCGTCGCCGTCATGATGCAATGGTACAGCCCATCCGCGAAATCCCAGTCCTCCAGCACCGCAAAGATCCCCGCACCTGCCGCACGCGCAATCACGAATGTTGAGTAGCAGCGGGGCTGCGGCGAAGCAGTAGCGGGGCTGGGGCAAAGGAGCAGCGGGGCTGAGATGTCGCCTGCAAAGTTGAGCACCACGAACGCGACGTAGTTGAAGTAGAGGCCGCGGCCAACGTAGTAGATGTCAGGTGGCCTCCACTTGGCCACGGCCACGCGTGAAGCGTCCACCTGGTCCCGCGAGCGCAGTCTGCGGATCGCCCCTTGCGCCCTCTTCTTTCCCGCCTTCCCTGCCTTCTTCAAATTGCGCAACAAGGTCCCGACTGCCTCCACCAGCACGCCGCTGCTCGCGCCGAAAATGAAGAGTCCATAAAGGGCCCACACCATAGTGAAGCAGCGGTCGATGGGCGTCGGAGGCGTGTACGAGTGACCATAGCCGACGGTTGTGATCAGCACGAAGCACAGCCACAACCGGTCGACGACGGACCGCTCGCCGTATGCATCCCTGAATGCGGGCTCGTAGCCTACCACGCCGACGGCGAGGAACTCGGCAATGCCAACTATGAGGAACAGCAGCACTCCGGATGGCTCATGTGCAGGGTCTGGCACCCACCACCAGCGTAGCTGGCCTTGACGAGGCCCGACTACCCCCAACAACATTCCATTGTGTAGGCCAGTGAGGCTGGCGGCGATGATTGAGGTGCCCATCGACCTCTTCTGCAGGACGATGAGCGTGGCGGCCAGTCCGATGTGCGCAAGCGTGGTGAGCGCTTTGGTGAGCTTGGTTGAGGTCATGGTACACCATATACAGACAGTCGCTTCTCGTCAGGCCGCAGGCTTCCGCGGGTTGATTGACTCCGAACTTGGCAGCAGCACTTTTTCTTTTTTGCGTTTGAGTAACGAACCGACCGAAGGTGGACAGTGAGATGAGAGGGATTTTATTCTCCACACCTCGAGTGCGTGCCTTTATCTGCTAACAACGAACCTAAACCTCGAGACCATTGTGTTTTCGCGTGAAGCCATCTGAAGCCCGGTCGTAGCTGAGAACGAAGGTGCCCGCCGTGCCTCGCGCGACCCTTCAGCGGCCTTTCAGCAGCGTATGGCCGCGCTGCGACGACCCCGTGAACGCGGGCTGCTCTGTTTGGCTGCACTCCTCTGTGCCGTCTGCCAGCAGGGTGCTGACGCGCAGCGAGAGGCCCCCGCTGGCAGGCTGCTCAGCGGCGGCCGCCGCTGGCGGGGAGGCGGTGGGGGCAGCAGGCGCACTCCCACCAGGCTGGAGGAGACTGGGTCGCCTGAGTCGATAATAGATACAGGGGCGCGGTGGCGGATCCGGGTCGTTGGCTCTGGCCGCTTCCTCTATAAGAACGGCATGTCCATCATCGGCACCAAGCAGTTCTTCTCTCTCTTTGAGCTGCGCCGAGCCGCCTCGGGTGCCGAGAAGAAACACCTCACACACACCCAGCACCCGCCTTCACCCCTGGACCGGGCATGGGAGTGGCTTTCGCGAATGCGCCCCGCGCTGTCCCGCCAGGCGCGTACTTCATCGCTGACCACGCCGGCGACTGGCTGCGGCTGAACTCGCTCGAGGGCGCAGACGGCTTTGAGAGGCTCGAGGCGATTAAGTACAGGCCGCCGCCGCCGCCCGACCCGGCCTCCGACGCCGAACATAGTGCGGTGGTGGAGGTGGAGCAACGCTCGACTGGCGTCGCAGCGAGCTCTGGGCCGACTCCGAGCCCGTTTTGGCTCACGCGGCACGCGAGCGGCGCTTACATGGTGCAGGTGTCCGCGGATGGGCGCTGGTATCTCTGCGAGCACGCGGCGGACCCTCAGAAGCTGGTGGCCGCCGCCGGTGGCACAGCGGAGGGTGTCAACACAAGCGCACTCTTCGAGCTGCAGCGCGTGGTTGCGCCGGAGAAGGAGCGGGAGCAGGAGGCGGCTCCGCCAGGCGGCGCTCTCTCTTTTGTCGAGCGCGCCAAGCGGTGCGTGATGCGCAAGGGGGGGCGTGACGTGGTGCTTGCGACGTACCACAATATCGGCATGATGGACTGGGCCTCCCTCTTCTGGGGGTGGCTCAAGGCGAGCGCGATCGACCGCTTTTTCCTCCTCGAGCTCGACGGGCTTACCTGCAAGGCGGACCGCCCTCTCACCGCCGTGCAGCCTCCCTGCTGCCTCGCCCTCCCCTGCTGCTTCCCACTCCCCTGCTGCCTCTGGACCCCTTTCATGCACCACTGCTACCTCACTGCGCCTGCTGCCCCCGCCACCCCAGGCTGCGCGGGCGCTCAATGTGTCTGTGCACTTCGAGTGCGCGACTGCCGCCGACATGATGCTGCCGCCCGAGCTGACGCACATCCAAAAGGCGAGCGCGCTGGCCGACTGGGGTACGACGGCCGAGTCGGCCTACTTCAAGTTTCTGCGCTGGAAGCTGCGCTTCGTCGAGCTGCTCGCCATGCAGGATGGTTGCCCCTCCCACGCCCGCCTGATCCACGGCTAGCTCGCTGCCCTCGCCGCCGGCGCCCAGCGCCACAGTGACCACATCGCCGCGCCGACTGCCACGCGCGGCCTGACGGCCTACGCCGGCCCGACGCACAGGGCGTCGACGTACTGATGGCCGACGTGGACGTGCTTATCCTGTCGCCGCAGTTTGTGCCCGAGCTGGTGGACATGAACGTCGACCTCGTCATCTCGTCTGACGCGAGGCAGGGCTCGTACGACGACAACGTGCACTGCCCGTGCTCCAACGCAATGTACCAGCGCTACACCTTCGACTGGGTGTGCGCGGGCCTCTTCTACATGCGTGCCACCCCCGCCGCGCTCTGGTTCATGCGGCAAGCGCAGGTTGGGCCGCACGAGTGGTTGCCTCTGCCACACCTCGCCCGCATTGTCTGCACCTCGGTTGCATAGGAGATGATGGACGAGTACACCATCACTGACCAGGACGCGATCCAGGCCGTGCTCACGGGCCACACTCAGGTCGCAATCCCGCAAGACAAGAAGCGGGGCAACGTGTCGGACGGCGTCTCGGGCGCAGCTGCCCGCCGAGCGGGCTCGTGGCTCAAGCCGATCTGGCTGGAGGGCCTGGGTGCGACAGAAAACCTGCGCAACATGCGCGGGACGCAGCCGCTCAACGCGCCGATGAAGGAGCCGATGTGGCTACGGCTGCTCTCGGCGCAAAAGGCCAAGGGCTTCACCTGGAAGACCATGCCGCTCGAGCGCTACGGCAACGGACCCATCTTGGTGCACCACTGGGAGAGCATGTTTGGGCGGAGCTACGGGGAGGGGAAGGCGCAGCTAGGAGACGCGCCCGGGATCGGCGGCTTCCGCTCCATCCACGCCAACTGCAACACGAAATCGTGGCTCGCGCAAGACGTGCGTAGCCGCTCCTTCTTGCTGCAGCCAAAGCCGCTCAAGTAGGCCCGGAAAATGTTAAGGGTCCCGGACATCACGCGACCGGCGAGGCATCTGCGATCTGGCCACCTTCCTCACGAGATTCCTCGTAAATGCGACCAGCGGCGTCATCAGATCTAGCTGTGTTTGTTGTTTGTGTCGCGCAGCGCACACATGAACGACAAAAGGCTCCGAGTCCTGAGAGCCCCCATGTGTGACGGAGTCCCCAAATAAATAGATAAATAAAAACGGACACTAGAGCTGTCAAACGTTAAGAGCTGAACAGTGTTGCTAGTGTTAACAGTAACAACAGAACAACAGTGGGGCTCCCCAACAACAGTAGCTAACGTTAGGCCAGCTGAACAACAATAAGGAAGGCCTGGCAGTGACCCACGACGATCTCCAGCGTCCAGTGCGGGTAATACCCGAAAATACCCGGAAAAACCCAGGTATTTTCGGGGTTTACCCGGGTTTTTTGGCATTTTCTGCTTGCTGACCACTGAACAACAGTAACAACAGTAACAAACAGTAACAGCTTGGGCTGGGGGAGAACACTTGAACAACGTTGAGGATTTTCAGCCAACAATAGTGCAACTGTTAGGCCCAAAGTTAACGTTTGACAGCTCTAACGGACACCTCTATACACTGTGACGGAGTCCCCTGTGCCTGTAGCGTGTTGCTGTTGTGTTTTCTGTTTAAGTTTCTCCGCTCTCGGAACTCGCTTGGCAACACACACCGGTGCCGGAGCGCCGCACGCGCAGGCGCAGCTCGCGCCGCGGCGCGCTCTCTTGTGGCGTGTTGCGACCTGATGGGACCTCTCCGTCCACTCTCCGCACACACGCCGCATTCCACCGCAGCGCGAGGGTATCGAGAGATGAGAGCAGGTTCTCTTCCGGAACCAGGACTACGATCGGATGGTATCACCTGTTCGCGACCAGCGCCAAGACCACGTTCCACACGAGCGCCACGAGCGACGCGAATGGCACGCGAAGGGGAGGCGGCATCAGCGCAAAGTTTACGAGCTGTGGTGGGATCCAAATCTTCCAGTTGGAGATCATCGTGCCGACATACTCGTTCTGCAGCTTGATCACGACTGAGCTCACGAGAGCGGCCAGGCTGAACGGCTCGCCGGCGAAAGCGGCGGCGGAGAGCGCGCTCACGAGGCCGAAGCTGCAGAAGAAGCCGAGGACGACGATTGGCGCGTTGACAAACTGGTCGAAGATGAGGCGGGCGGCCGTCCCAGCGGTGGAGCCGGCTCCAAGGCGGAGCTTGCTGCCCACCGCCCATTCGTTCGCCGCATACGTCGCGCACAGGAAGGGCGTGACGTACAGCACGTTCACGGCGACGAGGTTCAGCAGGCGGCGAAGGGCGAACGAGGTTGAGCCCTCCAGAAGCTGAGCAATCAGATCGCCGGTGGCGGCGAGCACGGCGCCGGTCGCCATCTTCGTGCGGAGCGGATTGTCGTCAAGTGCGCGCATGTACCTCGCCCACTGCGACTGGACGATGCCACCACCTCCATCTTCGGCGGCGCTCGCGCTGCCACCGCGCAGAGCCGCTATTGGGCATCGTGGAACGCGGTGCACCAGGCCTTTGTGCGATGCAGAGGAGCGCGCGCCGAGCGAGACTGCGGGACGCTGGCATGGCAGCGACGCAGCGAGCGGCACAAGGAGCAACACGACGAGGCGAGGAAGCGACATGTGCGTGTCGTCGAGCGGCGAGACGCGAATAACGATTTTTTTCCTCCCTTTTCTTCTTCGCACATCTCCCGCCTTTGTCCGAGAGCCTGCGAAAAGCCAACCGGCAGCAGCGATGGCTCGCAAGCGCTGGGACTCCTCGATCCACAACCTCGAGCTCTATCGCGCCACCAAGCTCGAGCGCGAACGACGCCGGCAGAGCCACCAGTCGCAGAATGCCGAGGCGGCCCGCAAGGACCTGCAGGCGCGCCGGCTCGGTCGCTTCAGCAACATCCTCAACGCGCTCGACAAGCCGCGGCCAAAGCGTCCGGACGAAGCCGACGCGGAGGAGGGAGCGGGCGAGCGCCACGCGCCCTCCTCCGCGCCGTCGCGCGACGATGCCTCCGCCAGCGGTGCTGCCGCGGACTCTGACCGGCCGGCCGACGGGCTCGCGAGCCTCGAGGCGGCGCTCGAGGAGGTGATGGAGGAGGCGGGGCGGCGGCGACCCGCCTCCGTCGGGCGGGCCTCCGCGACGAGGGCCAAGCGCGGTGGCAGGGCGCGCAGGCCGGCCGCCCTTCCACCGCGCGCCGGTCCGTGCGACGAGCGGACGGCGGCGCTGATGGCGCGGCTCGCCGACTGCTTGAGAGAGGCGGAGGCGCGGCGGGCGGAGCAGGCTCGCCTCTACGAGGCCACCCAGGAGGAGGTTGCGCGGTGCCGCGCGGAGCTCGAGGAGAGGTTGCGCGGCGAGGTCGCTGCCCTCCGCGCCGAACACGAGGCGGCGGAGCGGAGGCACCAGGCGGAGCTGAGAGCCGCCACGGTGAGCTCCTTGAGGCTGGGTGCGGCCGCCGCCCCGCCCTCCCCGGTCCACCTCCCCCCCCCCCCCCCCTCACCCGAACAGCTCCTCCGTCGCAGGAGAGGCTCGCTTCGCTCGAGGCGTCGCGCAGCGAGGCGCCGCCAGCCCAGAGATCTCGGACAGATCTCGGACAGATCTCGGGCGGAGCTCGGACGGAGCTCGGCCAGATGTGGGCTAAGCTCCTCCTCCTCCTGCCACGAGGCGCACCTGCGCAACCTCCTCTCCGGCCTAGCCGAGCTTGGCCCCGCGCTAGCCGAGGCGGGGGCAGGCAGGGCCGCGGAGCGCGAGGGCGGCCGGGCGGCGGCGGCGCCGCCCGCCTTGCCACACTTGGCGCATCCGGCGGCGAGGCTCTTCACGCCCCTCGCGCGCCGCGGGTGGGGGGGCAGCCCCCTCGGGCCGGAAGGACACAGCCCCGCAGGAGGGCCGCCTGAATCGCCAGAGTCGCCTCTCGCGCCGCAGCACGCCTCCTGGCCCGCCGCCGAGGTGGCGCCGCCGCCGCCACCGCAGCAGCAGCAGCAGCAGCAGCAGCAGCAGCAGCAGCAGCAGCCCTTCGGCGGCGGCGGGGGCGCGGCTGCGGCGGACGGCGCGGCCTCGTCGCCTCGAGGTTCGGCCAGAGGTGCGGCGGGCGAGCCGGAGCCGCAGCCGACCTTTGCCGATCTTCCGGCGGCGCCCACGGTCGAGAGGGGGCTCGGGGCGAGTGGGGGCAGCTGTGAGCAGCGTCTCTTCACGGCTCTCGCTGTGAGCAGGTGGAGAGCCTCGCGCAGTGGGGCAGCTGGGGGCGGCGGATGAGCGACGACCTCAAGCCGCCGCCGCGCCCCCTCCATAGCAGCCCCCTCCACAGCAGCAAGCCCGGTCTACGGGGCGGGGTAGGCTGGGGGGCGTGGGAGGACGCGGAGGACGTGGCCGCCGTCGCGACGCCGCGATCCACCGTCCCGCGGCCCACGTGCGATAATGTGGCGGGCGGGGAGACATCCTGTGCCCGGGCATAACCCCCCCCCCCCTCTCACACACACACACACACACAACGCAGACGTCGCCTCACTCTTCAATGCCCCAACATGAACATCTCGTCCTAGAGGGCAGCACCTCTCTAGACACACATCGGACATCGCCTCGCGTCCAAGTACCAAGAAATTCTAGGAAAGATGTTGCAAACCAGAGGAGACAGGAGAGCGCCGAGGGAGCGGATCTTCTGAAATATGATGTCTCTCACGCACTCTCTCTGATGTCTGAAATCATCCCCAGGGCCTCCGGGGCTCGCACCTCAACCTCTGATAGACTAGCGCGCACACACACTTGGAGGCAGGTGATCGAGTATTTCTTCAATGGGAGTTGCGTTAGTGAAATTCTTCAAGATAAATTCTTTCTCAATAGGGAGTTCCGTTGCAAAATTCTTTCTCAGGTGTACCTCTCAGGTGTACCTGTGTTAGTGTTGTGCGAGGGAGCTTTCTTGTAAAATTCTTTCTCAACACGATGTAACAGGTCTGAATCGGTTACAGGTGTCGAATGCCGCCCACGTCCTTTGACGAGGATCTAGCCCGCGAGTTCACCGCGGACGCCGGCGAACCCTTCGCAGACCCAGAAGGCGCGCTGCTGCCACCCGTGCTGCATGAAGCGGCCGCGAGCTGGGAGCGGCCAGCTGGCTTGCTCACTGAAACGCTCGCGGCCGGCGCTGAGCTGTGTGTGGTTCACCTTGCTGGCGCACCGAGGGTGGCGTCGTGCGATATTGTTTGCGAGGCGGCGGATGCCGCCGCCAAAGCGGCTGCCACGGCGCTCGCCTCCGCAATGCACCTCATCGCCGACCACGCCGAAAAGTTTGACGACGGCGCTTTTCTGTGGGAGCTAATCTGGCCCAGGAGTGAGGAGGGCCAGCCGGTGGTCTCGCCTACGGGTCGGTACGGCGTCAAGCTGTGGGAGCACGGCGCCTGGAGGTTGGTGACCATCGACGACCGTGTCCCGCTGGACCGTGATGGGAAGTGCCTCTTGCCACTCTCTGGTAACCGGCTTGAGCTATGGCCGCTGCTCCTCTCCAAAGCCCTGCTCAAGCTCTCGTCGGGCGGACAGGGCGGACGCGGAGAGCACGAGCTCGCGCTCCACCGGCTGACGGGCTGGATGCCTGCTGTCGCCCCCGTGCTCCCAACGGTGCCCGCCGCGACGACTTGGAGCTTGGTGGCGTCCATGCTTGCCCGCGCGGATACCATCGTCGGCCTCACGCTACCACCGTCGGGAAGCGAGGATTCTGACGCGCTGCTGGAGGAGAAGGGCCTCATCCGCCCAGCGATGCTCACAGTCTGTGACGCGCGCGAGGTTGAGGGCCGTCGGTACATGCGGCTCCGCTCAAGGTACGCGTCCTGGCGGGGTCCGTTCTGCGACGTGGACGAGACTTCCTGGACGCCTGCTCTCGCTTCTTCCCTGGGGTGGAGCCGGATGCAGAGGCTGCGGATGAGGGCCGCCGGCCAGACGCTCTTGGACTTCTGGGTGGACGAGGCCTCGCTCCTCTCCCTCTTTGGGGCCGTCCATATGTTGCACAGACCGGCGGCGTCGACGGCGACTTCTGTAACTGAGCTCGACCGGCAAAAGGGTGCTGAGCAAGTTCGGCTGCTCGTGCTGCCCGCGTCTGATGAGGCGGGAGGTAGCAGCACGCGAGTTCAGATGTGCGTGCAGGCGCCGGGCGCGCAGGAAGTGGGCTTCTCGCTCTCGCGCTTCGAGTGGTCCTCCTGCACCGCACCTGCGCCTCTTCTCAGCCTCGTCGTGCGCGACGTCTGGACTGCCGAGCTTGACTTGCGTGAGGGCATCTACCACGTTGAATTCTTCCTCCCAGCTGAGGCGAGTAAAGGACCCCTTTTGAACAACGAGACGACCTCCGAAGCTTCGGTGGGAGCCTCAAACGGCATGAGAGGCGGGTCTATTGCGGCAGCGGGGGACGGAGAGGCAGAGCTTAATTCAGCGGAGGCGGAGTCTGTGGCGAATGGGTCAGCTGAGGCGACAGAGGCGACAGTGGAAGCAGAAGAAGCAGACGCACCGCCACTGTCGTGCTCCCTCTTTGTCTCCCACGCTCAGCCGGTGCAGCTTGGGGAGGTGAGAGACGTCCTTCGCGACGCCTTGTCGGTGCATTCACAGACCGTCTCTGGCACGACGAAGGAGGTGCCTCCTTTGAGCTGGGCGGTCGCGCTCGCGGTGACTCTCAAGCCGAAGGCGTCCGGGACCATGTGCGTGACGATACGGCCGCCTGGTAGCCTCCCAGCGTCGTGCTGCAGGCTGCATGCAGTAGACGACGCCACCGGCGAGTCGACGCGCGTGGTTGGCTTCTGCACCGGCCCAGTCGCCTGCTCCGACGCGTCGGGCGTGACCCTCCTGCTCGACGTCAAGGCGCCAGCCGGCAAGACGCCGCTGAGCGCCGGCGAGTGGCACGCAGATATCGTCTCCGATGTCGAGGTTGAGATCTCCGCCGCCGAGCTTGGGGAGGCAAGCCTCCCGCTGGAGCAGTACTCGCCCAATACCGACTACCGGCTGTTTCGCTCCACGCTCAGCTCCAGCGCCTCGTGCAGTGCGGTGGTGCACGTCGCGTGCGAGGGCTTCCCCAGTGCCAAGCTGACGCTCCGGCAGCTGCGGGTGGATGCGGAGCCGGCCGAGGCCGGGCTGGATCGCGCGACGTCGGTGATCCGGGCTGTCACGGGCGTCGGGTGCGTCACCATGCATGGCCTACTGCCCGACGGCGCTCCGGGCGGCGCCCTGCTCGAGTGCGTCGTCGACAGACACTGCGCGGCGCTGCTCGAGTTGCCGAACAGGCCCGTGCAAGGCTTGGTGGACGCGCCGCCCACCGCGGCTGACGAAGAGGCGGGCGAGCCGGGCGAGGACGAAGAGGCGGGCGAGCCGGGCGAGGACGGGGCAGAGACCAAACCAGCGCGCGGCACTACTGACCTCTCGTGGAGGCTGCTTGCGGTCGCGCCAGGAGGTGTGACGGTCGAGAAGGACGCGGCTTTCTACCAGTCGCTCGACGCGCTCAAGTCGACTTGGGAGGCGGCCGAGGCGGGAAGGGCGAGCCGGGCGAAGAGCATGCGCGAGGCCTTTCTCGCACATTCGCGCGATGACGCGCAGCCAGCCTCCTCCGCTGCAGCACCCGTTCGGCGGCGACCCCTGAGCGAGAGTCAGAGCGCCCGTGTGCTCTCCGCGGAGGATTGGGAGGCGGCCGCGGCCGGAACGAGCGAGGAGCGGGTGGAGGCGCACAAGAAGGTGTGCGAGGCTGCCGCAGCGCTGCGCGCGCAACTCCTCGAGCGCTCCTCCGCGGCGAGCCTGGCAGAGCTCGCTGCGGCCAAGGAGGGGGAGGTCCGGCTGAGAGAAGCCTCCGCGCGCTCTTCCTCGCATTGCGATGGGCTGGTGGCGTCGCTGCTACCCGCCGCGTGCACAGCCCAAGAGGCTTGAGGCCCCGTGCGAGAGCGCTAGATAGGTGTGTGTCCGAAATCGTGAGACCCCCAAAACGCTACTGAGGTCGGCGGGTGAGGGGCAAACCCCTGCAGCGGCGCGCCGGCCGCGAGGAGTCTCGAGCCCTCGCCGCCCTTTGCGCTCTGGACGGCCGCCGCCCTCGCCGCCCTCCCCCTCGTCTATAGCGTGTGATTAAATACGCGAGAAAGTGTTTGGTCATCGCGCTTGCGGCCGCGCCTTCTTTGCTCTTTCCCCTCCTGCGCAGTTTCAGTTTCCGCTCAACACAGGGACAGGTAGACTGAATCGGCACCACGGCCTGAGGTGAAGCCGTAAATCAGAGGTCCATGTCTTCCGCCTCAGATCCGAGCCTGACGACCTTCGACACCTCGGGAATGTAGTGCCTCACCTGCAAAGGACCGGCACGGATAAGTGCACGCACACGAGATGTCGCAGGACTTGGTGTGTCGCATCTGAGTATCGTACACAATTGTTGATCATGAACCGCATCGTGATTGTCGAGCTCGGGCAGTCGACGCAAGCGCCAGAGAGAGAAATGGTCAGTACGCCGCTGTCGTGATCGAACCGCTCGTAGTGGACGTCACCGCCGTCCGCCTGCACGGCGGGCGCCACCTTTTCTGCCAGCAGCTCCCGGATCTCCGCCTCAAGCTCTGCAGGCGTGCCACTGTAGGAGGCAACGTCTGCTGCGTCTGTGGTCGGTGGCTCGCCGCCGCTGCTGCACACCCGCGCCTGGCCGACACGTTGTAGCGCGGGCCGACGAACCCGCTGGTCGAGCTGCAGCCGGAGTCGTCGCATATACATATGTGATGTCAATTGCGTGCGTCCCACCGGGCGAACGTGCGTCCCTCTGTGCGGTGAAGAATAGAGAATTTTACAACCTCAGAATAGAGAATTTTAGAAGCAAACAACAAAGCTCCCTTGCACGACACTGGGCACGGGACTGGCGCGTACTATAATAGAGAATTTCACAATCTAACACTCCCTCGCACGACACTGGGCACGGGAATTTTACAAGCAAGTGCTCCAACCAAACTCCCTCGCACGACACTGTGGTGTGTGAGTGTGTGTGAGGGCACGGGATAGAATAGAGAAATCTCCGCCGCGAGCTTCGCGCTCCCTCCCGCTCCCTCCCTCCCTCCTCCCTCCCTCCCTCCCTCCTCTCTCCCTCCCTCCCTCCCCTCGATCGGAACTCCAAAAAATAGAGCGTAGGGATGCGAATCGGAGGACGCGACCCACCTCTCCACAGACGGTCCCGCGCCTCGCCGCTAAGATGGGGACACACCCTGCACCGTCCGCTGTGTGCCCGTCTTTGTCCGGAGTGAATACTCCAACGCGCTCGTCGGTGACGGTGTCCCTCAACCTGCGCCGCGCTCGGCGAACCTCTACAGCGCCTTCGGTGTCATGCAGCTCTTTGCGCCTGAAGCCTGGAGTGAAGCTCCTCTGCTACTCACACACTCTGCACAGATGGCACAGCCTACTGTGCGGCTGCCACAGCTATGACAGCGATGGGCTCGCCCTCACTGGCCCTCAGTCACTTGTGCTGCGGCTTGTGTGAGCGACACTGCTCGGCGACTGCCGGCACACTGTGAGACCATGGGTGTGAGGTAAAACCACGCTACCAGCGCTTGGTCACATCGGCCCCGAGGTCAGATCCTTCTACTCTGTTGATGACAACACTTGTCTACTCGCTGGAGCCGAGCAGGAGGGCCCTACGCACAACCCCCCTGGTCAACTCACGGTCCACACCCCGTAGACGAGCAAAGTGGAAGTGCACCTATCTCCCCTCCCCGTATGCCGCCAGCCCACCCGCCGCCGCCAGCCTCCCCGCCGCTCCCGCTCATTTCGCCACAAATGGCGTCGCCAGCCATGGCCCCGACTTTCTGCAGGTCATATTGCAGTCGAAATCCGAACTGGAAAAGGAACCTCGTCGGTGCTCATGGCAGGGCTGTGGAGCCTGCACCCAATGCGTAACGCTCTCTCCCCCCTGTCAGAGAGAGATTGAATGAAAATGTATTATTCCTTTCACTTTTTCTCTCATTCTCTCGTGCAGAGTTTTTTCCTTTCGCGCGGCAAGCGTTTTACGCACGATTTCTCTCGAGGAAGGGATCACCTCTCACCTCTCACCACTCCTCCTCATCCTCTGTGAAACCGTAGTACGCCATGAGAGCCTTCACCTGGCTGTTTACCCCCACGCACTCCTCCAGCTCGAGTGCGCCGTCGCACAGCTCCGCGGCGAGCTCCTCGACGCGCCCCACGTCCACGTTCTTGGGCAGAAAATAGCCCACGTTCGGCGCCACGCGCAACGACGCACGCAGGATCTCAGCGCCATCGAGCCTACAAGTGCGTGGCGGCCAGGTGGCCCCTAGAAGGTGCGAGCCTCTGAAGGTGCTGACTACGAGCCGCTCGCCCGCCCATCATCGTGTCGAGGTCGAAGACGGGCGCGGAGGCGTAGTCCGGCCCGCCCCACGGAGGCGAAAGGAAGACCTGAGGGCAGACATAGCTGAGAGGTCGCCGAGGTGCAGCCGAGAGACAGCCGAGGCACCAGCCAAACAGACCACGTCGGCGGCCAGCCGAGGCGCGAGGGCGAGGAAGTCGCCTGGGGACAACAGAGGCGAGATCGATCCGAGATCTTGGCTCATCCCGGCTCATCCCGGCTCATCTTGGCTCATCCCGGCTCATCCCGGCTCATCTCGGCTCATCTCGGCTCATCTCGGCTCATCTCGGCTCATCTCGGCTCATCTCGCGCCGTGGATGAACTCGATCCGGTCGGCGACGCCGTAGACGGCGGCGTTGTGCCGCGCGAGCCGCAGCCGCGAGGCGTCGATGTCGATCGCGATGACGTGGCTGCACGTGCGCGCAAACTGGATGGCGTTGCCTGCCCACAGACGGAACGACCTTTGCGCCTCGGTGCGACGAGCCACCTCCGGCGCTCGGCTCTAGTCGACGGGCTGGCGCAGCGCCTGGAGGCGCCGTCGCTTGGGCGATGCAGCCGCGCTGCTCTGTTGTGAAGTGTCGCTACGTCCGCCAAGCGTGTGTGTGCATTAGGCCTTGGACTGGGACTGGTGCTGGTGCTGGTGCTGGTGTTGCCCGTGCGACACGGTGCAGTGCATGGTGGGACGACTCGCTCTCGCTCTCGCTCTCGCTCTCGCTCTCGCTCTCGCTCTCTCGCTCTCGCTCTCGCTCTCGCTCTCGCTCTCGCTCTCGCTCTCGCTCTCTCGCTCTCGCTCTCTCATCTCATCTCGCCTCCGACGCCTGCGTGGGGAAGGGCAGGAGGGGGTCGAGTGGGGAAGGGGCAGGAGGGGGGCGAGGGAGGCGTCCTCTTCCTCTCCCTCCGAGAGCCGGTGGCGGGTGTGGCGCGGCCGCGTGTAGCATGCCGTGTGAGCGGCAACCACACCCGGGGGGGAGGGGGGGGGGTCGGAGCCAGGTGTCTAGAGCTGCTGCGCCGGTGAAGGCGTCGATGATCACGTCCGACTGGCAGCGGCGGGCGATGTGGCGCGCGATCGCCTGCGGGGCGAGTCGAGATCCGTCGAGATCGGCCGAGATCCGTTGAGATCGGTCGAGATCGGCCGAGGTCAGTCGAGGTCAGTCGAGGGGCTGCGCCTGGGGCGTGACTGAGAACCACCCCTCGCGGTCGAGGAGGACGCCCTTGTCGAAGGACTTGAAGAGGTGGTACCGCTGCTTCCAGTACTTGTGCGTCTCGCGCCTGCGGCGGGGCAGCGCGGCGGCGGAGAGAGACAGTGGAGAGGCGGTGGCTGCTGGGCCTGCCTCGACGCGGCTGCGGACGAGAGAGCTCGTGTGTGGATGCGGTGTCCGCGCGGGTGCAAGAGACGGCGGGGTCGGGCCGCACGGCAGTGAGCGGCACACAGGTCTATGCTCTCTCGCCTCCGGCCGTCCCATTGCTCGTGGCATGCGCCGCGGCACGCAAGCAAGCGGCAGGCAACGGCGGGCGCCACGGCGGAGCTGCGCGCTTCATCGGCGGGCGCCTCGCTCGCTGCCGGCGGGCACACCGCAGCGGCCGCGGCGCGCACCCAGGCCGTGTGGCCGCCGCTGTCGGGCGGCGGCGGTGGCGGGAGCGGGCACTCGAGGAGCCAGGGCCGCTCGAACTCGACGGCAAGCACGTCGGTCGCGCGCACCGTGGCGCACGGGTATGTGCCGATGGGAGTCTCCAGCTGCCGGACGTGCAGCATGCTCTGCGCCGCGTCGACGGCGGCAATCGCGCCACGGGAGAGTGTGCTCTCCCGCATGCGCAGCGTCACCTCCTGGCCGGCAGCACTCCACCAAAAGTCGAGGATGCGCCGGCGCAGCTCATACGCGACGGAGGGCGTTGTCTCCTCGTGTTCCATCGGCCGCTGCTGTGGAGGCAACGCCACCGAGAGGCTTGCGAAGCGTGGCGGAGCGGAGGCCTTGAAATAAGAGAAATCGCGCGCCCAACAACAGAGGCACTGTCTCACATGCATGACAAGCGATCCCACGACAGCGATTGGGGGGACTACATGATCCGTACGTAATAATAATAAATAAAAAAGACACACACACACACACACACACACACACACACACACACACACACACACACACACACACACACACACACACACACACACACACACACACACACACACACACACACACACACACACACAGAGAGAGAGAGAGAGAGAGAGAGAGAGAGAGAGAGAGAGAAAGCGGATACGAAACAAGAACACAACGCACTCTCTCACATGACAAGCGATCCCACGTCAGCGATTGTGGGGACTACATGATTACACGAAGGGTGGGGGGGGCCGTCCGCAGAGCTAGGCGGCGCGGGCACCCCTCACTGGGGCCGAGCGTAAGAAGCCGTTTGCCACTTGCTTGTTCTTGACCCAATTGGCACGCGCTGGGGAGTTGAGCCAGTCTTTACGCCCATTGCGCGCCTGCTTGTTGATGTTCTCGGCGTCGCCCGCCACCGCCGCCATGGAGATCTGCTGCGTGTGGTGGACGACGAAGGAGGAGGCGCTCGCCGACGCCGCCCCGTACTCCGTCCGGTCCGTCTTGCTGCCCGCCGCCTCCTTGGCGAACACGTGGAGAAACTGCTTGGTGGGCGGTGCAATGCCACCCAAAGTCTCAACGAGCACCAGCCGCCTTATGGCTTTCTTGACCCACTTCGCGTCGTAGTACTGCGCCCCCGTCCACTTCCTTGACCCATTCTTCTCGACCCATCCGTCTCCATACGCATGGTCTTTGACCCATCCCTTTCCAGTCGAGTGGTCGAGAGAGAGAGAGAGAGAGAGAGAGAACGCGTCCGAGGACAATTCGGAGGAACGGCGGCGTCTGACCGAGTGATGGCTTCTCCGCTCCTCCGCCGCTGCGTGCAGATCGACGGGCTCAAGTCTCGCCCCGAGCTCAACGGCTCCTTCGGTAGCGCGCTCAACTTCGACGCGCTGGCGAACCGATACCAGGTCATCGTCGGCGTGAAGCGCAGCTTTGCCATCAAGGCCGACAACCTGCACGACGTGGCCTCCGTGCGCTACCGCGCCCTCGAGGAGCGTGCCCAGAAGCGCGTGGACACGGTGCGTGCGATGCTCGAGGCGGGCGAGGAGGCCCCGCTCGAGGACGTTGCCGAGGGCTCGAGCGCGCTGCAGGTGCTTACCCTGCTCTCCGCCGGCTGGGCGTGCGCCGATTCATTGCTCGCCAACCAGGCGGTCTCTCGCCTGACGGCGATGGGGCCGGCCGGGCCGGAGAGCGCGGCGCTCCAGCCACTCGTCGCGTGCGACGCCGCCAGCCATGCCGGACTGTGCGGTCTCGTCGACGCGATGATCGTGCAAAAAGTCGGCCGCCTTCCGTTCCGCGCCATGTATGATCTCCTGTGCGACATTGCCTGCGGCTATCAACTCAGCAACATCGCAGGCAAAAGCGGGCTCGCGGGCGTCGACATGTTCGACTGCACATCGATGCAGGGCATGGACACGCTGATGCAAAAGTGCGCCGGCGACCCCAAGAAGATGCTCGAGATGCTCCAGACCAGCATGGAGGTCTCGAAGAGCGCCGCCGCGTGGTCTACTTCCGCGGCGGGGCTCGCGTGCAAGCGCATGCTCGGCGCCGTCGGCGCGGTGGACCTGGCCGTGCGCTACGTCTCCGAGTACGCCGCGCTTCTCGACGGCGGCCTGCTCGACGCGACGCGCGCCGAGCACGGCGAGGAGGCCGCCAACAGCGTCGAGTTCTTCATGCGCTTGCCCGCGTACGCCTCGTGCAACCTGCTCAAGCTGCTGCTCGTCAGCACGCCGGAGGACGGCGCCAAGCACGAGGAGGCGGCGCGCGCCGCCGCCGCCGCCGCGGGCGTCCTCGAGGCTCTGATCGAGCTAATCGCGGTGCTCGGCCGCCCGGAGGCGGAGGACGCCGCCGCCGGCGCGCGGCGCCGCGACGCGCGCTGCACGCGCACCGTGTCGGCCGAGCGCGTCGGGACCGCGGCGCTCGCGCAGCAGACCGTGCACCTGCTCGTCAAGGAGCGCCTCGCCGCCGAGGCGCGCAAGGAGGCGGGCGAGGAGGAGGAGGCGGACGCGGCGGAGAAGATGACGCCCATGATGCTGCAGGAGTGCTTTATGGCGCTCGCGCGGCTCGCGCTGGGCGACACCCCGGCGGCGGCCGACCGGCGCGCGCGCATCCGCGCGCTGCACGGCATCCCGCTCGTCGTCGACGCGATCGCCGCGCACTACACGCCCGAGACGTTCAAGTGGGGCCTCGATTGCTGCCTGCACGTCGCGCACGGCGAGGACGAGTACAAGATGCAGTGGGAGCGCTGCCTCGCGCAGCACCCCGACCTGCAGGAGCGCGCGATGCGCGACGCAGTGCGCGCGCGCGGCGCGGAGGGCACGGCCGCCGGCACGCCGCTCCCGGCGCAGCTCGCCGAGCTCCTGAGTGGCTTCGTCAAGTAGCGCCGCCGGACCGACGAGCTTCGAGGCGAGGCGACGCCCCGAAGTGTCAGTGGACGCTCGGGCAGACGTCATGCAGCAGGAGCTGACGATTCGCGTGGCCATCGCGTGGAGGCGGTCGCCAGCGCGGGTGCTGTGGGTGGGCGGGGAGGGCGACGGGGCGGCGGCTGCATCGAGCTGCGAGCGCGTGATGGGTCTGTACAGCCGTCATGCGTTGCGTATGCGTCGCTGGGCCGCTCGTTCGGCGCATCGCGCGCCTTGTGCAAAACGTGTGTGCGTGGGAGCAGGCGGCCGGTGCGCAGGCGGGTCGCGAGACGTGTCGCTGTCGGGTGGTGTGGGGTGGACAACACTTGCACGGGACTGGCGCGTGGCGCACTGGCACTAACGAATGAAGTTGAAGAGTTTCGATCGGACCGTATGTGCGAAGGTCTGTGCGTTCGGAGCTCACAGCCCCATGACGAGTCAGTGCGTGCTGGAGGCCAAGAAATCGATAACATTATGGCGCAGCGGCGGCGGGCGGGGCCGACGCGACGTATTACTATTATGGCGCGTGGGGCACACTGCGAAAAGTCGAGCCGGCCGTCGAGCGATGAGATTTGAGATGAGGGCAGCGATGTCGATGGGGCCGTCGAGGCGAGAGATGGCGCGCAAAGAGGAGGTCCGTGGGGAGATCGAGGAGGCGGGCGGGCGGCGGCGTGTCTGGCGAGGGGGCGGCGGCCGGCGGTGGAGGCGGCGGTGGAGAGGCGGCGCGAGCGGCGGCGCGGCAGCCAGGGTGGACACGCGATAAAAAGAAATCGCGGTGATTCAGAGATGCTTTGTACTGCAAAGTGGAATCAGGGCACAATCCTTCTTGGCGACCGTATCCTTCTTGGCGGTAGACCCCTGGCCATTGAGATACATCGGCCAGAACGGGAAGCCGGAGAAGAATTCGTACCACCGTCGCCCACCTTCGGCGAGGCTATGCAGGCGACGGAGTCGCTTTCGACCGACTCAAAGCCCATGCTAAGCGACGTGAGGTGTGGCACCAAGACGGTGTGCAGCTCTACGTCTGCCTCGAGGCGCACTCCGTCCATTAAGTTGGCCACCAGATGACGGTCAGGGTAGTCAGCCAGATTCTGCCGCAGGAAGTCCAAATTGAGGTGGGTCTCCAACGGAGCGTGGAAGTCGAGGGGCGTGCAGCAGCGGCTCCGGCAGTCCCAAACCACGCCCCGAGCCCAATCGTGGAGACACCCTTGCCCTATCGCCAGTGCCCTCGGGCGGCGACGCTCGATGCTCGCCGGCTCGGCTCCGTTCTCGTCGCGGATGTGGGTCAAATCCGAGAGCGTGTCGTCCAGCCACTGGCCGACGTCGCTCAGGCACCGCTCTAAGAGCATATCCATGGCAGAGTCGATGCACGCAGGGGCTCCGGGCGGCGCTTGACCTTGCACGGGCGGAAGCGGGAGCCAGGGTGCTGATCGGCTGATAGACCGGCGCTAGTAGCGCCACCCCGAGGCGCGGGTCGGAGTAGTCCACGAGCGAGTCGAGAAGCTCGGGGGGATATCCTCCGCGTCAAGAGGCCGGATCAGATCCCTCCAGCCGTCGAGGTCGTACTTCACTTCAACCGCCGCCAACGCATCCGCCAGCTGTCGACCGCTGCGTAGCCCTTCCGCCACGGCGCGAGATCGGCCACTGCGCGGGCGACTCGGGGGCAGGGAGGAGCTGCTCCATGGCCGGAGCCATCTGCGAATCGGGAGGGGTGGTCATGCGGCGGGTGGACTCCTCAATCTCACTCGCTCGCTCCTTCACCTGCCACTCGTGCGCTTTAGCGTGATATGATTATGACGCCGTTCACAGGAACTGTGAAAAACATAAGAAGATATTTTAGTCTCTCTTTGATCAACTTCGTCAAGTCCCGAGGCTCTCAGAAGTTACAGAAAACGACACGTAAGATATGATTATGAACGCCGTTCACACGATAAAGAATTAAACACCACATATTTTGACTATTCACACATTAATCGTTTTCCAGGCTTGTTTCATCTCCCCACATCCGTCGCACTTGACGCAGTCTAGAGCTCTACAAGATTGTGATTGCCCGACCCAATTGCCCGACCCAATTGCCCGCCACCTGTGCGCCCCACCCGCCGGGCACTTTCCATACCTCGACACCGCAAACTCCTCCTCCGCCTCCAGCTCCGCCAGGCGGCGCGCTTTGGCTTGCTCCGCCGTGGATTGCCCGGCCTGCCGCTGGATGCTTTCGCGCAGTGTGAGCAGCTCCTTCCGCATGGACTCTGTCGTTGAAGTGAGCATTGCCTGGTTCCCCGCTCGCAGCTTTTCCATCTCAGTGCACATCTGCTGACTTGCTGCCTCCGCTTGCGCGCGCAGCCGCGCCGCCTGCTCTTGCAGGCTGCGCTCATTTTGCTGCGCTTGCTCACGGAGCGCATTCTGAGATCGCGCCTGCACTTCCTGGAGCAGCCTCTCGTTTCGCAGCCGCTCTTCGCGCAGCAGTTCCTCGGATGCCTCCACGCGGCGCGTCAGCTGCTCCACCTGCACGAGCGCATGCCCGAGTAGGTCGGCCGTGCTGTCGGCCATTCGCTACGCTCGCTCGGTCGACGTCCGTCCCATCGCGCGATTGATCACCGGCGCGTGCAGTTTCTTTTCCGCGGCTCTTCGTCCTCAGGTAGCCCCGCACACGCACGACTCTTCGTTCTTTAACATCCTCTGCATTTCTTCAGAACCCATCGACCACACGAGCACAAACCTACTCGAGCTTCAGCATCCACAGCACCACCACACGCCGCTCGTCATGCACGCAAAACTCGTCGAAGATGCTATTGCGGTGCTGCGTGCTAGGGCCCGCGTGCCGCGCGGGGCTGGCGAGGTTGTACCGGCAGATAAACATGAACTTATTGGCCGAGCGGCAGTACTGGAGCGACTTGCGCGGGTCCGGCGCGCCGTACAGCCCGCGGCCGAGCATGCCATTCGCCGCAAAGCTGAGCAGCAGGCCGGTCGCCTGGACGTTCGTGGCCGCCTCCTGCGGGAGGCCGTGGAAGAGGAGCGTGTCGCCCTTCCTCCGGAAAGCCTCGGCGGGGTCGATGTAGAAGCTGCCGCTGGAGTGGAAGTTGGAGAGGGTCTGCGCATTCTCCACCTTCACCACGTTGCTCACGCGCAGCTGCGGCCCACCTTGGCTGTCGCGCTGGCGCCGGGCGAAGAAGGCGCGCACCGCGTTTTCTGTGTGCACCTCGCCCGAGTACGCCCCCCACAGGGTGAGTGAGCGTGCAGCCACCTCCTCGGCGACGATCTGTTGGCGCCGCCGCTCGAGCTGCGCCCGGCTTGTGGCCACTCGTCGCTCCTCCGCCTCCACCGCAGCGCGCTCGCGCCGAGCCTCCTCTTGCAGCCGCGCAACCTGCTCGCGGCCGGCTGCAATCTCGCTGGCCGATCGGCGTTGCTGCGTCAGAGCCTCGCTGACCTGCTCCTCCTTCCGCTGAAGCTCTTGCCTCTGCTCCTGCACGTGCGCCGCCTCTACCAGCTGCTCCGCCTCCCGCCGTTGAAGCTCTACCAGCTGCTGCTCGAGGGCCTTCTGCTGCTCCTCCGCCCGCTGCGCCATGTCCCTCTCTCGCTCCGCCGCCTCCCACTCCAGCCTCCTCTCCTCCGCCTCTCGCCGCTGTCGAGCGGCCGCCTCCTCCCTTCCAGCCAGCGACATTGCGGCGGCGGCCATTTCAGACTCGAGGCGCGCCAGCCGGATCTCCTCGCTCGTGTCGAGAAAGGGGTGCAGCAAGACCTGCGCGGCGCGCACACCGTTAGCTGTGAGCACACGAGGGCTGGAAGTGTACGGCGATCGAAGGCACCTGCTTTGCGCTCAGCCGTCGAGCCAGCGCGTCCATCACACTCGTCGCCGCCGGTTGCTCAAGGTCCAGTAGTGCGTCGAGCAGTGCAGGCAGGTGCGGTCCGCCCGCGCTGCTTGCGGCGTCGCGACTCCACCCGCGCAGCTGCTCGGCTGCGTCAAAGACAACCTCGCCCTCTCCCTCGCCATCGCAGCACGCGAGAAGAGCGCAGACGCCGTACGCGTACATGTCGCTCGCCGCAGAAGGTTTGCTCATCCCAGGCAGCCCCGAGCGCCGCTCGGGCGCAACGTACCGCATCGTGCGCACGCCCCCGCCGGCGCTGCGGCTCGCGCTGCGCACAGCGCTCGGCGCGGGCTCCTCTCGCACGCTCTCAAAGTCCGCCAAGTGCGCGGTGGCTTGAATCGACATGAGCACATTCTCTAGCTTGACGTCCCCGTGCGCGTAGCCGTGCGAGTGCAGGTGCTGCAGCGCCTCGGCGAGCTGCCGCAGCATCTTGCGCCGCTCGTCGGTCGACGGCGGCGGGTCGCTCTCCAGCCAGTGGCACACGTCCCGCTTCTCAAAGTAGGGAAGCTGCAGGTATGCCAGGTTCTGCCCCGCGCGGGCCTGCTGGAAGACGGCCTGCACCTCGACGAACCGCGGCGAGTCGGACAGCTTGGCGAGCACCGACACCTCTCGCACCAGCTTCCCCCACTCCACTCCCTCTCCGTCGAGCACGTACTCCTTGAGCACGCACGGCACGCCGCGGCCGTGGGCGTCGAGCCCAAACTCGCCGCGTAGCACGCGGTGGCGCGCAGAGAGCAGGTCCGCCAGTACCTCGAGTGAGCTCGCGCCGCCAGGCCCGCTATACTGCTCGAGGCTGCGCTCCACGAGCAGGCCGCCCCGCTGGAAGAGCTCTCCCTCAGCAGCGCCAAGCTGCAGCAGCGGCTCCTTGACGGCAAGCTCCGGAAAGTGCGACGCTGCAATGCCGGAGAGGCGAGCTCGTTCGGCGCGGAGGCTGCGCTCCGACTGCTGCACTGCACGGGTGGCAGCCGCGAGCTGCGCTTGCGGTACTGGTGGGGGCTGCGGTCGGCCCGCGCGGACCCTCGTCGGCCTCTGCTCGAGCAGCTTGTCGAGTGCGTCCTCGGCCTCGTACCAGGCGTCACGAAGGCGGTGGAGAAGATCCCGGCCCGGAGCGCTGCCGCCAGCTTCCTCGAGCTCCGTCAGCTCGTCTTGCAGCCGCGGCACCAGGCCAACCCATTCGTCGAGGGGTGGCACGAGCCGCTCGCGGAGCATCGAAAGCCGCACCTGGCCAGTGAGGCCCACTCCCATAGCCGCGGGGCTAGGGGTGGTTTCTAGCGTCTGCAGCTCTGCCAGCAGTCTCGAGTGCTGCGCTGCTGCGGCAAACCGTTCATGCTGCTCGAGCGAGGTGCGGAGCCGCTCGAGGTGGCCTGCGCGCCTCTCGTCTCGGCTGCGTACCGCCGCGTCGAGGACTTCCTCGCTAACGCCTGCTCCGTCGGAGGGTACTAGAGAGCGAATGCGGCTTTGAGCCTCGTGAAAGGAAGATCGGCTTTGCTCAAGCTCTCGGATGAGCCGCAACCAGCGCCCCGCCCAGTCGCAGTCCCTGCCCAAGGCTTGCAAGTGCGCACGGGCGGCGGCCCGGCGATGCGCGTCTAGGGATGCAAGCGCCGCGCTCACAGCGCTGCGAACGGCAGCGCGGTGAGCGGCGTCTGTCGCGATCGCGGCTGTGGCGGCGGAGACGAAGTCCATGGCCCCGATATCAAACTGCCGCATGGGACGCACGTCGTCGGCGGGGGAGATGTCGGACGCCAACACCTCGGACCTGCTTGGCCATGTGCTCGTGCAGGTTGAGCAGCTCACGCGCCGGGCGGAGGCCTCAGAGGCGGCCTTGCGTGCTGAGCGGGCGCGGAGCGAGCAGGAGGTGAGAGATCTGGCCGTGAGGAATGAGCAGTTGCTGCGCGAGCAGGCGGCGAGGAACGAGCAAGTTCTGCAGGAGCAGGCGTCTCGCCTTCGGCAGGCCACAGAGGAGAAGGAGGCTAGCCTACGCAAGGAGTTCCAAGCGTTGAAGACCGAGAATGAAGCGCTGCGTCGAGTCCCGGCGGCTCTGAAGGCACTGGAGTCAGACGTCGGAGGCCTCCGCGATGGATACTCTCAGCTCTGGCGGCAGCAGCGGCAGCCACCCGAGTCGGAGGAGCAGGTCCGCCAGCGCCGCAAGGCTGAGCTTCAGGCGGAGAAGGAGTTTGTTCTTGCGGGCACGGGACGATGCGAGGCCTTCGTATGCAATCCGCACACAGATGAATGGGACGACGAGCCCGTCCTCATCAATGGCGGGATCCACACGTGGGTCGACGTGGACGCCTACACGGTCCGATGCACCAATTGTGTGAGGAGGACTGTCCCATGCCCGCCCAACAGAAAATCACGGTGTGGGGGTGAACCAAAACAGCAGATAATCTGCTGCAAGTACAGCAACTCACAGCAAGAGGAATGGGAGAAGCAAATGAATGCGAATGAGAGATGGCAGCATAGACGTCGTCAGAACCTAAACGAAGAGTACAACGGGCCAATGTTTCGATGGCGTACGAAGCCCGCTACACCGGCTCCGAGACCACATGGCAGCCAAGGATTCTCTTGAGGCTAAACGGCGCTCACATGACACATCCTCTCGATCAGTGCTCATAACCTCGACGGTTGCAGCGTCAAAGGGTCGGATGAGAGCGCGATCACTGCCGCGCCTCACCCAACGTGTTTAGATGTTCTCATCACCCACCATTTGTTCTCTCTTAGCGCGTTATAGCGAGTTACAGGAACCAAAGATTGCAGTATGTGTGTTGGAGCGCGGGCCCCCAATATCTTGCTTCTATGAACACACGCACGTGCGGGAAGTCGTGCGGGATTTATTTTGATTTTGGAGGGTGCTGATTACTGTGATTGTCTTGTTGGGTGCAGATACTGCCGCTCCGGGACTCCAGACTGCGACAGGATGACGCTTTCTCTGGTAGGACGGACGAGAGATGAAAGAGTAGGGAGTAGAAGAAAGCAAAGAGGAGCCCCGCACGAGACTCCGCAGGGACCCCTCCCCAAACAAGAGACAGGGAGAGGTGCGAGGTGGGTGGGTCACAACAAGCGCTCGTTGCCGTTGCGCCTCGCATGCAACGGCAGAAACCCCTCCCCAACAAGAGACAGGGAGAGGCGCTCTACACAGGCGAACGACAGTTGCATGTTTTGTCGCCAATCTGCAGCGGTTAGGACCTCGCGATCGGCTAGGTAGCCGCCCATCGGATCTGGCCCTAGCATTACCCGCAACTCCCACCTACGACCCAGCCCACTCCACAGGCCTCCTCGATCACTGCATCGCCTCGATGAGCCCGCTCGCCGCCTGCAGCGGCGGGCAGCCGGGCAGCACCGCGGCGAGCGGCGCGAGCAGCGCCTGCACCCAGCCGAGCGCGAGTGGCAGTGCGTGCCGTTTGAGCGGCGCGTCCCAACGGCTCACGGCGCCGAGGAAGGCCTGGATCTGGTTCGGCGAGAGGGAGGCTGGCGCGCCGGTCGCCTCGGCCCACGTGCGCAGGAAGGCGACGGTGGAGGCGCGGTCGTTGTCGTCGCCGAGCAGGCCTTGGGCCTCCGCCCGCCCCTCCTCTTCGTCGAGCCTCGCAATCAGCTCGAGGACGTCACCGAGTGGCAAGCGCATCTGCGCCACGCCGGTCGCCATGCGCGTCCCGTGCTGCTCGTCGAATTCATACCCGTCGATTCGCATCTGAGAGAAGGATGCGTACGATTCCATGATGCAGTACGCGCGTGCAGCGCGGCTCTCCACGAACTCCGGCCGCAGGACGACAGAGAGCGCATCCTCCAAAGTGACTGCGAAGCCGTTCACGAGGTCGCGAAGGTCTAACATGGCTGACTCTGCGTCATCGAGGCTGAACCAGCCGGCTCTCAAATACCGAACGAACGTCAGGAACACCTCGGCAATGTGTTCGGCGGTCCACTCCTGCGCGCGGCGGCACTTGGCGAGCTGTATAGCGAGCGCGTCGGGGCCATTGTTGTAAACAGCAATGTCGACGAAAGAAAGCGGCAGCTGCGGCACCTCGGCCTCGACGATCTCCGCCGCGCTCTGCATCGCTGTGTACAGCTCAATGCACTCGCGCGGCGTCTGGCAGCGGCAAAAGAGCGCCCCAAAGAGCTGATGCAGAGGCTCGCTGGCCCCGTAGTCTGCGTCCGCGTAGTAATGCCGCCACTGGCGCACAGTGCGCACGGCAGCCTCGACCGCGCGGTGCCACGCGTGGCATGTCAGCGCGAGGCGCGCGAGGCCGTGCAGCGGCACATGCGCCAGGATTTCGGGATGAAGGTCAACCGGGAGGCTGTCGGGAAGCTGAAGGTCACGGCCGCAGCCCTCCATAGCACACCAGCGGTCGTACCAGCGATCGTGCGATCGTGCCGGCGTCGGCCCATTCGGACGGACGTAAGATACCTTTCGTCCTTGCCCGCCGAAGGTTGTAAACCCACCTATCACGCAGTCGAGCCACGGTAGTCGGCGTTTGCTCGTCCTCTCATCGCATTCCTTTTCGGGCTCCAGATTCTTTTAGTACCTGTGTTAGTGCCAGTGAGAGAGAGATTTTTAGCAATACCACTATGTGATGTTACAGGTAGGTGGGTTAAGAGGGAGATGTGCGCGAGCTGCGGGACCGCCGGGACGGCGGGCGGGTTATTGCGACGCGCCGCCACTTTTGGCGACTTTTGGCGACTTTTGGGACGCGCGTCGATCGGCCGAGATTCGGCATGGCAGGCGAGGGTGTCACGGCCATGATCGTGGCTGCTGACGCCGGCGACAACCCGCTGGCGGACCGCCGCGAGGACCCGAAGGCGGCGGCAGAGCGGGAAAGGAAGGCCAAGGTGGCGAAGGTCGCCTCGCAGGCGACGCGATGGCGGCAGTGCGGGCGCAGCTCGATTTGCGGGAGAAGGGGGCAGCAGACAAGGCGGCGAACAAGGCCAACGACCGACGCGGGGGCGCCGGTGGGGCGTCGTCTACGATGCTCAAACGAGTGTTCGCTGCCCGCCTCGACGATACCAAACATATCAAACAAGTGTTTTGCTCGTTTGAGAGAGAGAGAGAGAGAGATTTGGTACCCACGAGTTCGACGCCGCCGCTCCCAGCGCCAGGGGGACGGCGACGCTAGTGGCTGGGCTGCGCCCGAATCGAAAGGTCATCGGGGCCTCCCCGTCCTCCGCCGCGAAATCGGCTAGATGGCGCACGGGGCCAGCGTAGGCGGCAGTCGCCGCCAGTGCTCGCGCTGCCGCGTCCGCTGACGGCGCGCCCCGGCTAGCGCCGCGAGCGAGCACCAGACGAACGTAGCGCCAGTCTGGAGCAAGTTTCGCCTCTCGGAGGAAGAGCGGCACACTTGCTGCGCGAAGTTGAGAGGGGCAGAGAGGAGTCGGGCACCCCCGACGTATTCGCCGACCATGTAGGCGTAGTGGTGGACGCTGGTCGCCAGGTTCGTCACGCCCTGAGCCCAGTCGAGGCAGCTCGATCGAGTCGGCGTTTGGGGGTCCGGATCGCGCCCGCGGCCGGGCGTAGACGACGCGGGGAGCTCCGCGCCGAGGACCGTGAACCCGTTGACGTGGGCGTACACAATCGGGGAGGGACGCAATGCGACTATCATCAAGATAGCCGCCGCCGCCCCCGCCCAGCGCAGGTCGATGGTCGGCAGTCTCGAGGCCAGCATGTCCGCCGCCGCTCGGAACGAGGGCGGTGCGGCAGGCGGGGGCGGCGCTGCGTCTTGACCGAGCCCGACGGCTCGAACTGCTCGACCGTCTCCTGCACAATGGCTCCTTGGAGAAGGCCGGCCGTGAGTCTCGCGGGGGCTGCCAGGGGCAGGCGGGCCGCCCTTGTAGCTATCGGTCCCAAATGGAAAGAGAGCAGCGAGTACAGAGCAGCAGAGGCAACTCCCCGCCCGCCTCGAGCGCGCGAAGCGGGAGTTGCGTGAGGAAGACCAGGTCCTGCGGTCCTGGTACGGCCGGCACCGCGGCCGCGGCTGGGCCCCCTCGGCCCCCTCGACCGCGGCCCCGGCCTCTACCCGCGACCGGCGCTGGGACGGCGGGCGTGTCAAAGTCTTCACCGACCGAGAAAGATGTCCGAGTGCGAGACCCTCCAGCCCCCTGTGTTGGCCATCGCCAGATCGGCGAGCCGCTGGTGTAGCACGCCGATCTTCTCCATGGAGGTGGCGAAGAGGTTCGCCGCGTCCAGAGCGGTCAGAAGCCGCGACCAGAATGCCCCATTGAAAAGCACATGTCGACAAGGGCCAAAAGAGCGAGAGGCATATACTCCCCCCCCCCCCCCCCCGCCCCGCCGCCGCCACCAATCTAAGGTCAATCAACATGCAAGAGAACCCTGACATCCAAACGCAGCCAGCCTCCGGTGCGCGACCCTGCGCGACAGCATGTGTGTACACACCCTGCGGCGCCTAGTCGTCGAGCTTGGCCTTGATGGCGTCGAGGGTCTTCTTGGCGTCGCCGAGGAGCATGTCGGTGTTATCCTTAATAAACACTGGGTTGTCCGCGCCCGCATAGCCCGCGCCCATGGAGCGCTTCATCACGATCACATTCTTGGCCTCCCACACGTGCAGCACGGGCATGCCTGCGGTGTCGAGGACAGGGGGCGGGACCCCCGTGGGCGGTGTGCGCGCGCGGCACGGGCGCGCGCGCGCGCGCGGCGCGAGCCTGCGATGATCGAGTTGGGGTCCTCGATGGCGGCCGAGTTGACGGTGTCGTTGGCACCGACGACGAGGCAGATGTCGGTGTCCTTGAAGTCGTCGTTGATCTCCTCCATCTCGAGCACGATGTCGTACGGCACGCCCGCCTCGGCGAGCAGCACGTTGAGCTGCCCCGGCATGCGGCCCGCCACCGGGTGGATGGCGAAGCGCAGGTTGACGCCCTGGGCGCGGAGCTCCTTTGCGATCTCCGCCATCGCGTACTGCCCGTTTGCGACGGCGAGACCGTACCCCGGCACCACGATCACCTCCTTGGCCGCCTTGAGGTTCTCGACCGTCGCCTCGACGTCGGTGAAGGTCGCCTCGCCCTCGAAGACCATCGCCTCGCCGCCGCCGGTGGCCGAGGTGCCGTACCCGCCCAGCAGCACCGACACGATGTCGCGGTTCATGGCGACGCACATGATGTGCGTCAGGATGGCGCCGGACGAGCCGATGAGCGCCCCCACCGTGGTGAGGATCGGCTTGTCGAGCATGAAGCCCTCCGCGCAGAGCGCCCACCCGGAGTACGAGTTGAGCACGGTGATGACGACGGGCATGTCGGCACCGCCGATGGAGGCGGTCATGTGCAGCCCGAGCCCTGCCGCCACGCCGCGCCGGGTCGGCGCCGTGCAGCGTGGGAGAGAGCAGACACAGTGCGCGCGCGCGAGTGTGTGTGTTTGCGTGTGCGTTGAAGGAGCGGGGCCGCTGCGTGCCAGAGGGAGGGCGCTCCACGGCCGGCACCCCATGCATCTCGGCGAGTCTCGGTCGCACCTCCCGAGAGCACGCCCATCCCGGCGAGCGCAACCATGCCGGCGGCGGGATGGGAGTGGCCCATCGTCATGAGCAGGCCCATCATCGCGACGGTGCCGGCGCCGGCGGCCATGTTGATCTGGTCGCGCTGTTCGAGCTGCAGCGGGGCGGAGGCGAGGTTGCCGTTCAGCTTGCCGAAGGCGATCACCGATCCCGTCGTCGTGACGCCTCCGATGACCGACGCGAGCGCGATCGACGTGAGCCTCACGCCGTCGAGCATCTCCGGCGAGTGGGCGGCGTGCTCGAGGTAGTCGGCCGCCGCGGAGAAGACGGCGGCGAGGCCGACGAGCGAGTGGAAGGCGGCGACGGTCTGCGGCAGCGAGGTCGGGTCGACCCGCTTCGCGATCTCGTACCCCGCGAAGCCGCCCCCGCCGAGCGCGGCGGCGAGCTGGACGTAGGTCGACGCGGGCCACGAGAGCGAGCCGATGGTCGCCGCAATGCCGATCGAGACGCCCGACATGCCGGAGACGAGGCCCATGCGGGCGGTGGACTGCGAGGCGAGGCCGGCGATCCCGCCGATGCAGCCGAGCGCCGACGCGGTGGCGGCGATGGAGGCGGCCTGCGGGAAGCCGAGGTTGATGAGGCCGAAGCCGCCGATGAAGCCGGCCGTCGGGTAGGCGTACAGCTCGTAGAACTCGGGCGGGTCGGTCGGCCGCTTGAACATGTCGAGCATCTTCTTGGTGACGAGGAAGCCGCCGGTGATGTTGACGGCGGAGATGGCGGTGGCGGTGAAGCCGAGCGTCTCCGAGAGGGTGGAGGGGACAAGGCCGCCGCCCATCGTGTACATTCCTCCGACGGCGGTCATGCCGGAGACGGCGTTGGTCACGGCCATCAGCGGCGAGTGGAGCGAGTGCGCGACGCCCCACACGACCTGGTAGCCGATCACGCCCGAGAGGGCAAACGTGGTGAACATGTTCGAGAAGGCGGCCGTCGGCGAGACGAGCCCGACCCCGAGCATCGCGGCGGCGCCGTAGCCGGCCTTCTTGGCCGACTCTGTGTACATCGCCTTGTAGTCCTCCTCCGTGAGGACGACCTCCTCCTTGGGCGGCGGCTTGGGCGGCGGCGGCGGCGGCGGCGGCGGCGACCACGGCCACATCATCTCGCCCTGCTGCAGGACGGTCATGCCGCGCACGGCGACGTCCTCCGGGTCGAGCGCGAAGACGCCCTTCTCCTTGGTGGTGGTGGGGCCCGCCGCCGCGATCCACTTTTGCTGGTTGTTTGCGTAGAGCGACGAGGAGGTGGAGGCGAGCCGCGAGTTGAGGTCCGTGTAGCCGATGCACTTGACGCCGTTCGGCGTGGTGATCATCTCGTCGGGCACCTACACGCCTCACCGCCCACGAGTCCTCACAGAGGCGGGCGGTGCGAGACGACCCCTCCTCGCATCTCGCACCGTCGTCTCGACGTTGCCGCCGGCGGACGCCGCCAGGTCGACCGTCACCGAGCCCGCCTTCATCTTGCCCACCATCTCCTCGGTCACCATGACCGGCGCCTTTTTGCCCGGGATGAGCGCCGTCGTGATGACGATGTCGACGTCCTCGCACTGCTTGGTCAGCATCTCGCGCGCCGCGGCGTGCCACTCGGCGGACATCTCCTTGGCGTACCCACCGCCGCCCTCGCCCGACTCCTCAAAGTCAACCTTGAGGAACTCGGCGCCCATCGACTTTGCCTGCTCCTCCACCGCAGCGCGCACGTCGAACAGCTTGACGATCGCGCCCATGTTTTTGGCCGTCTGCACCGCCGCCAGCCCTGCGACGCCGCCGCCGAGAACCATCACCTTGGCGGGGGGCACCTTGCCCGCCGCGGTCATCTGCCCCGCGAAGAAGCGGCCGAACACGCCCGACGCCTCGATCACCGCGCGGTAGCCGGCGATGTTTGCCTGCGACGAGAGCGCGTCGAACGCCTGCCCGCGCGAGAGGGTTCGCGGGATGCAATCCATCGCGAAGACGGTCGCCTTCTGCGCCTGCAGCTGCTTGACGAGCGCGTCGTTCTGCGCGGGGAAGACGAACGAGAGCAGCATCCGGTCGCCCACCAGCTTGGCCTCCTCCTCCGTCGGAGGCATCACCTCGAGGGCGGCGGCGGGCGGCGGCGGTGAGGGAGGGCGGCGGCGGTGAGGGCGGGTGGTGGGGCATGTCGAAACGAGGACAGCAGCGAGGAGAGGCGGCGGCGGCGTGTACGTCAGTTCTGTGGGCGGCAGCGTTGGACACGGGCGGCAGCAGTGAGGGCAGCAGCAGTGAGGGCACCTTTGTGACGAGAGAGGCGCCCCAAGCCTCGTCGCGTGAGACGACGCTGGCGCCGGCCTTCTCGTAGGCCGCATCGCTAAAGTCGGCTGCCGCGCCCGCGCCGGCCTCCACCTTGACGGTGATTCCTTCCTTGACCAGCTTGGCCACGCTCTCCGGCGTCTGACCCACGCGCTTCTCCATGCTGGCGCTCTCCTTTGGCACGCCCACGCTCAGCTCAGAGTACGGTACGCTGTAGATGGACCTGCTGCTGCTGCCGACGAAGGCTGCCGGCCCCAGCCGGGGCGCGGCCACGCGCGCCAGCAGCCTGGAGCTGCTGCGCATGTTGGGTGCACGGCACCCCGATGCGGCGCCTGTTTCGCGATGACGATAAGCCGACGCGTTTCTTTTTTGAGGAGAAATCGGGTTTTTTGCTTTCTTGCAGCCCCCACAGGCATACCAAAAGCGTTGAGATAAATTAAAGAAAAAATGACTTCACTCGGCGCGGGACCTTCGAGACTCGGACGTGGGGTAGCGGTGGGCGGCAAACACATGGCGACGCGGGAGGGCGTCTCGGGCGCGCCTACGCTGAAGGCGGCGCCCGTCGGATGCTCGAATGCCGTCTGTGGGCTGGTCACGGCTAGTGAGCCCGTCGCCGGCAAGAAGGTGCGGCTGACTGTGGACGTTGGAGAGGAGCAGCCTCTGACGGTGCTATCGGCCGCGTCGGTCGACACAGGTGCGCGGATCATTGTTGCGCTGGTGGGCTCCTCGATAGGGGATACCGAGGTGACGATCCCAACCATCTGTGACGCTGCGATGCTCGGGTGGGACGGACGGGGCGCCTCCGGGCCCGCGACCCTGCCAAAGGCGTTCAGCCCAGGAGACGCGGCTCCGTCCGAGAGACCGAAGGCTGGGCGTGCGGCAGCCGCCGAGGTGGACAAGTTGGGCAACGTCGTCGATGGCGCCGGCGTCGACGCGCTGTTTGTGTCCAAGCCCAAGCTGTCCAAGGCGGAGAAGGAGATGGCCAAGCTCGAGAAGGCGGCGGCCAAAGGCGACACGAAGGCCGCCACAAAGCTGCAGCATTTGCGCCTCCGGCAGGAGATCGAGGCGAGGCGCGCTGCCGGCGAGGAGGTGTACACAGACGAAGAGCTGGAGAAGGCGGGTCTAGAAACTCCCTGAGGCTATGACTCTACCCGCTATACATGCGCGTGCGTGTTACGCTTACGACATGTCGTTTTACGATTGATGTGTGTCCGTGGACGTGGCGGCATGCCGGCTCCGCGCTCGGAGACGGAGTAACGTGTGTGTGCCCGAGTCTCGACCCCGGCGGCGCCCGCGCGGGTCTTCCCCCCCGGTGGCGGTGCCCGGAAGCCCGGACGCGGAGCGGACGCGGCCGGGACGCTGGAGGCGGGTCGCGGGAGACGCGCGAGAGCCGAGACGAGAACGAGCGGTTGACACTGGCAGTGGGGCACACTGGCTAGTGCCATTTCACTCTGACACGCTAATCTTGAAAACGTCTCCAACGGAGCTCCGTGTTGCTTCCAGCGCCCTCCCCCGCGCTCCCTGCGGCCATGGCCGATGCTCCTAGAAAGAGAGGTCATCTGGCTACCGCGAGAGCGACCCAACTCGTCGACATCGTCCGATGATGGTGCCGCAAAGTCAGCCTTCGGAGGCTATCGTGGGGTCGAGCCGGCAGTAGCCGTGACATGTGGTTCCACCACCCCTCGTAGGCTTTGCCTCTGACCGCCACCGTTCCCAGGCTGCCTAATTGGATGGAAAGGAAGGCTCGGCGAGCGTATAGAAGCGTGCTCGACCTCGTCGTGGCAACCTGCACGGCAGCGCTGGTAGGCGCGATGAGCGTCGTGCCACCTGACCCGAGACGGGTCGCAGGCGTCGTACCGAGCGCGTCGAGACCGTGTCCTGATGTGATCTGCACGGGTGAGTCACGTCGGCGTCAAAGGAGCGACGTGCGACCTGTCAGAGCTTGATCTCCAATCTCAGCGGCGTCGAGTCGTCTCCGGCGGCGATACTTTTGTACCTCCCCAGGACGCACAGAAGCAGCTGCGACCCCGCCGAGTGGACGGGGGCACTCCGCGCCACCTGCCGAGTGCCCCCGTCCACTTGGCGGGGTCGCAGCTGCCTCTGGAAGGCACCGAGAGGGACAAAATGGCGCAAATGGTCAAATCAAGGTTTTGTAACGCGAGCTGTGCCACAGTGAAATGGCACTAGCCACTGCTCTCTGGGTGGGGGGTCGGGGTCGATTAAAGCCGGAGCCCGAGACTAGGTCGCGAGCACACAACTCAGCAAATCTCCAGAAGCGAGCACACGGTCGCCCACATGACAACAAGAATGACCCCTGTGAACCGCGGGAGAGCCAAGAGCGTCCACTTCTACGTCTTTCTGGTCCTTGCCCGCCGGCCCAAGCCGCCTCTTCGAATCGCGAGCCTACCCCCGCTCTACTCGCCGCCGCCGCCCTCCTCCTCGCTGCTGCTCCCCTCTCCACCCTCGGCCATCAGCTGCGCCAGCGGGTCCATGGACGCGCACACCTTGGCCTCCTTGCCCTCCTTGCCCGCGCCCTCGTCTTCGCCCTCGCGCCGCCGCTTGCCGGCGGCGGGCTCGGGCGGAGCGCTGCTGCTGCCGGCCGAGGACCCGGCGCCCGAATCCGCGCCGTTGCCGGCCGCCGCCGCCTGCAGCCCGCTCGCGAGCGCGTCCGCGACCGACTGGCGCGCGCCCTCGCGTGCAGCCTCGAGCATGTCGTCGTAGGCGTCGTCGTCGAAGCGCTCGATGGGCGGCGGGCCGGGCGCCTTGCGCGAGGCGGCCAGCTCCTGCTTCTTGCGCTCGCGCTCCGCCGCGCCCGCCTCCCACTCCCTCAGCCGCGCCTCTGCGTTGACGTGCCGGAGCCGCCGGCCGTTGAGGTCGCGGCACGCGTCAAAATCGGTCGTCTTGACGCCCTGCTTGCCGGAGGAGCGCAGCATCGCGCCGAAACCTCCCTTACCACCCTCCAGCCGCAGCAGCAGCCGCACCGGCAGCGCCGCCAGCTGCGCGACGTCGAGGGGAGCCGCATCCGAGAGGTCGCGCGCCCCGCAGGCGAGCCGGAGGAGCGGCGCGGGGATGCCGGTGAGCGCCGAGGCGCGCGCGCGCAGGTCCGAGACGCGCCCCCCCTCCACCTCGACCCATCGCGTGCGGTTGGAGAGGTCAACGAGCTCCGCGACCGTCTTGCCGACCATGGACTCGAAGGGGCACCGCCCGCGCCGCTTGGTGCGGCTCGAGTAAGGAAGAAATCCGACTATGCCAGAAAGGGGCGCCGGTCAAGGTTGCAGCGAGATCGGCGAGAGACTGCGAAGAGAGATAAGCAGAGGCGGACGCCCAAGGGTGGGCGACGGCTAGCGCATCACCCCTCTTTAAAATCCCTGTGTGGTGGCGGCGTGGGCGCCGTCCTCAACCATCCCTCCCTTGGGTTGTCTGTTTTCTTTCTTTCTTTTTCTACCTGATTTCTCTCCTGTGTGGTGGCGGCGTGCCGTCCTCCCCCCCCCCCTTTCTTTCTTTCTTTGATTTCTCTCCTGCTGTCATCTGTGATCACGTGGAGGAGCAGACTGTGAACAAGACTGAGAGAGAAACAAGGAGCGGAAATGTCTAATAAAGTGGAGGCGGAAGTTTCGGGAAGAGCCCGGCAGTACGAAACCTCCGAAGGCCATGGGCGCCGAGAGAACATTCCCTCGAGAGGACAAAAAGAAAGGCGTCGCACCCCCTCCTTGGGACCTTGCGCAGTGTCCCCCGCTATGTGTCGCCGTAATCGGGGCACGCTATCCTGTGCAGGGGTCAGGGCAAGCGGGGCGGGGGGCAGTCCCATCTCTCCTGTGTACGGGTGGGTTCTGTCTCCAGTCTGGGAGGGGGGCAAAAACAAAAGATAAGAATATCTGTGATTTTTTTCAAGCGACGGCAGCTCAAAGCGGGAGGGAGCGGAGACAGTCGGCAGCGAGCGAAGTGGGTGAGACTGATGATGCTCCTTCGACTTAGGGAGCGGTTCAGCTGCTGGGCGGGCTTCAGGGTGGTGCTCACGCGAAAAGGAATCGACGCGATGTACAAAGTCATACAAAGCATACAAGAAGAGGAGAAAGAAGAGGAGAGGCGCCAGTGATGACGAAGCAGAAGCTAGTGCAGACGAGGGCAGGGCAGACCCGGGGACGGCGGAGTCGGACCAGACGGCATCGGCCGCCGAGGGAACGTTGGGAAGAGGCACGAGGAGGGCGGCGACCGTCAACCGACTATGGAGGACCCGTCACCAGACGACGCAGGGCAGACGACGGTGAGGCGGAGCAGTCGCGCAGGGCGAGACGAGGGAGGGAGCAGGACGTTGCGGAGATCAGCAGGAGGATGTACGAACAACGAAGAGATTAGGAGCAGCAGGGACCCGAGGGACCATGTGGAAGACGGCTAGTGCTAGTCCCCCATCTCGGGAGGACGACCCCGGCTAGTCGCCGACCACACCCACAAAGAACCCTGCACAAAGATCGCAAGGGCGGGGACCTATTCCTTTTTACCCATCTCACAGTAGAGGTGTCCGTGTTATTTATTTATTGAGAGCGGCCTGCTTGGCACGCAGCTGCGTAATCGTCGGCCCGCGTGCGCGGCTCTTCACGGCTGTGCCGGCGAGTTGGCGTTCACGCGCTGAATCATCATCGTCATCGCTCTGTCTGTGGTGCTGCTTCTCGCGTGCGTCCTTGGCACTTGTGCCCGCCTCATTCACCCACGAGCTCGTATGCCACGTCGCCGCCTGTGTTTGGGTTTGTATGTTTGCGATTTGGAATTTGCATTTGACTGTCTAGTTCTTTGTTTTTATTTATTTATGATTTTTTTCAAACATCAAAGCAGGACGAGCGCCATTCGTGTGCCGGAGCCGTCCTGCGGACTCGAGTAAAGTCGAGACGGAAGTGCCCACGGGGTGTGCAAGGAGAGTGCAGCTCCTGCCCCCCCCCCCCCCCCCCGCGCGCGCAAGGCTTCACAGCAGGGCGGCGCCATTCGGTGTGCCGGAGCCCTCCAGCGCCGACCGCCGGACCTCGTACCGGCTCTTTGGGCGGAGGCGCGAGGGGCCCCAGTAGTTGACATCCCAGGCCAGGCGACTCGCGTGCAGGAGGCCCACGAAAGCGTGGCCGGGGCAGTCTCCCCACTTGCCCGGCCGGACGGCGAGGCCGGGGTAGTTGTGGTGGTGGTCGTGCGAGTCTTCTCCGACGGCGGGCGAGATGAAGAGGGCGACGGCCTCGAGGAGGAGGTAGAGGGGCCACTCCTGCAGCAAGCCGGCAGACGCTGGGTCGTCGACGGCGACGCACTCGCTGCGTGCCGCCTCGTGCTTGCCCGCAGGCTGCGCGAGGCCACCGGCCGCCTCCTCCTCCGCCCGCCTCGCCGCCTCTCCGAGCGGGTGGTTGCGCACGTTGAACCAGAGGGTCGAGGCGAGGCCGGTCCACGAGGTGGTGAAGCAGACCTGTCTTCACAGCCAGGCGTGTGAAGAGGCACCCCTCCTGCGCAAGCCACGTGCCCGAGGTGGCGAAGCACGCCCACAGCCCGGCCGGCCCGAACGCGGCGTATGCGGCGGCGAACTCGGCCAGCGGCGGGAGGAAAGCGAGCGAGTCGATGAGCCGCATCCCCCAGCTGTCGATGTGCTTGGGCACAAACCGCTCGTCCACCGCCAGGTTCGAGCGGACGGCGTCGAGCCCCTGCCCTCCCACGAAGAAGGTGAGCGCGCAGAGGCGGCCGATCAGCTGAGGCGAGTGCGGGTCGAGCGGCGACGTGTCGCAGAAGCGGTGGTGGGCCCGGTGGCGCGACGCCCACCACAGCGGCCCGCCCTGGAAGGCGAGGCAGCCGACGGCGGCGAGGACGAGCCCGGTGGCGGGCCGCACCTGCTCACATCGAGGGGCGTGAGCGGCGCCTCTGGAGGAGGAGGAGCCCGGGGGCGGGTGGGTACGTGGAAGGCGGCGTGGGCGGCCCATCGGTGGAGTATGACGGACATGCAGACGCCGTTCTTGAAGACGAGGAGGGCGGGCAGCGCGAGCAGCGCGAGGAGAGGGTGAGGCACCACCGCCGGGGAGGCGAGGCAGGTGAGGGAGGCGACTTGGAGCGGCAGCAGCACCGTCACCATCGTGAATTGGTACCCGTTCGGCCCGCGCGAGTAGGGCGTGTCTGGCGCCCGGGCCGCCGCGCAACGCACGTCCTCCGCGCACATGCGCCATGCACTCAGCGAGAGGAAGAGGGCGAGAGCGAGGGCGGCGGCGAGGTTCGCCAGAGGGAGGAGGGCGAGGAGAAGGCAGGCCGGAAGGACCATCGTAAACGGCACCATGAGGATGTAAGGGCGCAAGCCCAGCAGATAGCAGCGCGGCGGCGCGAAGCCAGCCTCTGTCAACGCGACGGCAGCCGGTGGGTGGCGCTCGCGTTCCACCCAGCCTCGCTCCACCAACCGCCACCGCGCCACTGCCCGCTCGAGCAGTGCGCTGTCGTTGAGAAGGAGGTTGACCTCCCGGTGCGTCACCTCGGCCGGATGGTAGTCTGGCCTCTTTGCCGATGGCACAAGCACAAGCGGATCACTCGAGTCGGCGCTGCCACCCGCATGCAGCGCGTCGATTGAGTTCGAGGTAGCATCGCCCAGTGCTCGTGCCAGAACACGGCGAACGAGGTCGGCGCATCGCTCGACCCTCGCGGCCATGCGATGTGAGGGTTGAGCCGCACGGGGCGAGATGACAGGGGCACGAAGGAGGTTGGGCTCGGGCTCCACGACCAGCCCTTCGCCACAAGGTCGCGTGATGCGGTCGCAGATGCCGCACCCCTCTCGATCTGTTTCTTTTCCTGGGTCTTGGGCAACGATGAGGCGCAGAAAAACGGTATGGCGGGTGGAGTGCTCTCTACTGCCGCGGCGCCCATGTCGGTTCGGAGGCGCCCGGCGGCCGCGCGCTTGGTGCCGACGTCGACCGGCTGCTCTCGCGGCGCCGAGGCGTGCGTGCCGCTTCGGTCACGTCACGCGCGCTGCGAGGTGTCTTTTGGCTTGTGAGCTTGTTTGTGTCTGTGTGTCGCTCGTGCGTGTCGTCATCATCTGTCCCGCGTCCACCCATACCGCGCTGGTGTCCAGTCCGAGCCTGGCTGTTCTTCACCTAACCTAAGGCAACTCCACGTCTCCACCAACGGGGGGCGCCGGGATTCTTTTTCGTTCCTTCGTGGTGTGTGTACGCTGTCGAGAGGTTTCTATTCTTCACCAAGACTGCAGCAATTTCCAACTACCTCACCGCCCGGCGCAGCTCACCATTTCGATCCAACGACCCCTACGACGACACAAGGCCGGTGCCTCCTCCGAGGAGAAGCCGGTGATCGATCTGGATTAGGGTTGTTTCCCCCAGGATTAGTCTTCTCTGCCTGCGGGAACACCCTCGGGCGGCCGGGTGGGGCTGCCGCCAGCAAGCCTGTCGCTGGCGGCCGCAGTTTTCTGTGACCCACCCACCTCTCCCTTGTGTTTTGTCTGGGGAGGGGCTTCTCCTGGCTGCGGAGTCGTGCGTGCGCAGGGCTCTCCTCTTTGCTTTCTTCTACTCCCTACCACCCGATCTCGTTCCCGCGTCCCGCTACCAGAGAGAACTCTCCTGCACGATGGCCAGCGCGCAGCGCCAGCGGGGCCGGCCTGAGAGAACTCTCAGTCTCACCACTCCCGCGACCCGCCGACGGACTCACCTTTCCCCCCAGTATAAGTATAAGTTTGCGCGTTGCGTGAGGCTGTATATAACGGTTAATATCACGAGTGGTTGTGAGCTGCTTCGTGGCGCCTTTTGCAAACAAAAACATGCGCACTCCACACGTAACATAGTCACGCAAGATGAGACGCTCCCTCGGCGCAACTCACTCCCAGGGGCCGCCCCAGAGAGCTAGCCATCTGCGGTCACTCCCAGAGGCCGCCCTGGAGCTTTCCCGCGCGGCGCTTCCTCCGCTCCGATCGCTCGCCCGCCGCCGCCGCCGGCCGGACCTGCCCGGCCGCGACGCCGCCTCGCCCCGCTCCGGCCCCCGCCCCGTCCTCGCCGCCGCCGCCGCCGCCGCGGGCAGCGGCCTCCGCCTCGCCGGCGATGACCTCGCGCGCCTCCATGAGCGCCCAGCCGAGGATGTTGCTGCCCCGCCAGAGCGCCGGCGTCTGCACCGAGGCGTGGCCCTCGTCGAGGCCGATCCCCCAGTGGCGGTCGTTGGACGTCGCCTCGGCGATGAGCGCGCGGCCCGTCTGCAGCAGCGCGGCGCGAAAGTGCGGCACGCCGCGCGCCTTGGCGGGGAGGGGCGGGGAGGGGGTGAGAGGCAGGGAGAGGCAGCACGGGGGCGGGAAGCAGCAGGGCGAAGACAGCGGCGGCGGCGAGGAGAGAGGCAGCGGGGAGGGCGGCAGGGTGGCCCCCGCCTTTGCGAGGACGATGGCGTGCGCGACGGTGCAGACGACGCGCGTCCACAACCGCTCGTCCCACGGCGAGACGCCCCGGCCGAGCCGCTTCGCCTGCGGGACGTGCTGGACGCGTCTCGGACGTGACCTTCTCGGGCGGCTCGAGCGGCCGACCAGCCGCATCGCCTCCGCCGGAGTGCGCGCGCGCGCGATGGCGTCGAAACTGGCGTAGTCGCGCATCGCGGCGGCCTTGCAGAGCATGATGAGCTTCTCGCCAAAGGTGGCCGTCAGCGTGGCGGAGCGGCCCGACGCCTGCAGCTCCGCGCGACCGCAGCAGCGGGGCAGCTCGCACGAGACCTGCGGGAGAAGTTCCGAGAAGGCTCGGGGAAGGGGCCCATCCGTCTGCCGCAGCGCAGCGCGGCAACTCGCACGCCTCCGCGTGCTCGAAAAAGTTTGAGAAGCTGCGGTGCGCGCCGCGGGCGTGGCCGTAGAAACCGACGACCGGCTGCGCCTGCGGCGGCATCTCGCGCCACCGCGTCGAGAGCTGATGCCCCGTCACCTGCAGCCGGTCGTCCTCGTCCTCGCCGCCGCCGCCGTCCGCGCCACCGCCACCGGCCGCATGCCCAGTCGAGGCAGCGGCCGTGCCAGCGCCACCGGCGTGTGGCGACTGTGCTGCGGCGGGCGTGCCGCTGGCTCCGAGGAGCTGCTGCGCGACGCCGTCGCCGCAGAGCCGCGCGAGGGCGGCTGTGTCGCGCGCCGCCATCGCCTCGCGCGCGCGCGTGGAGGAGGCGTCGGCGAGCGAGGGCGGGGCGTCGACGAGGAAGGCGTCGCGCCCGAGCGTGTAGCCGTTCTTTGAGAGGCTGGCCGCCTGCTCGCAGCTTCAGCCGTCAAGACACGCTGTCACGCTGGAGCCCCTCTCCGCACAGGCGGGGCCGCCGCTTCGGCGCGCTCGCCCGCGCGCGCGACGACGACGAGCAGGCGGCCGGCAACGCGCTGGCGAGGGTACCTGCGTGGAACGGTTCCGAGAAGGTTCGGCGGTGAAGATCTAGAGGCGCGATGCGCTCGTGGGGGCACCGAAGCTGCACGTCGCTGCCTTGCACCGAGACGCCTGCAGAGGCGCGCAGAGGAGTAGGCAGGAGAGGAGAGGAGAGGAGAGGCGAGGCGAGGCGAGGCGAGGCGAGGAGAGGAGAGGAGCAGGAGAGGAGGGGAGGGGAGGGGAGAGGAGAGGAGAGGAGAGGAGAGGAGAGGAGAGAGGCCAGAGGACGCCTTGCATCACCACAGCTCGCTCACATCTCGGCTACCTCGGCCAATCTCGGCTATGTCTCGCCGAGGATGCCGGCCCCAAAGTTGAGCTGTTTCATGAAGCGATCAGCAGAGTGCGATGCGGACCCGTCGGCGGCGCGCAGCCATTCGCAGCCGCCGTCGGCGCAGGCGCGGCGCAGCAGCGCGAGTCTGAGCGCGTTGCTCAGCGCGTGGGCGCCCTTGCGCTCGATGTGCTGAGTGCTCGTGATGGCAAAGATGCCGCCGCACACCTGGTCAGGTGCACTCACGCATCACCAGGTTACCATCGTACAAAATCGGACCCGATGAGGCACGCGTCCATGGCGCACGCGTCCATGGCTTGTCGCATCTATTGAGACCTCGTGGCCGGCCGCGGTGAGCGCCTGCCTCGCTCGAATCATCATCTCGAGGTGGCCGAGGTGGACGGGGTTGAACGAGCCGTGAGAGACGATCACAATCTTCATTTTGGGGAGCGTAGTTGGACGATGAAAGCGCCGGCACCCCAGCGTAGAGGGCGTCGTTTAGCCCTCCTTTTGGTGTATATATAAAGAGGTCCTCGGCCCGGGCGGCGTGCCGACGCGCGTCCGTGCCGGGTCCGTGCCGGGGCGCTTGGTTTCTCTTTCTCGAAATCCCGCCTAGTGAGGGCCGCATCGCCTCCACCGCCACCTCCGCCCCCTCGCCAAGCACGCCGCCGCCCGCCCGCCTCCTCGACCTCCCCACGGACCTCCTCGTGCGCGCCTTCTCTCGCTGCGATCCCGTCGACATCGCTCGCGTCGCGGCCGTCTCGCTTCTCTTCCACGCCTCGCTCGCGCTGGAGGGCATCCGCTTGCGCCTGCGAGAGGCCAGATTCGAGCCGCCGGCGCAGCCAGGGGGCGAGAGCTGCGCCGTGCGGTGGCTGTGCTTCTATGCCTTGCTGCGCGAGCGGGAGGGAGGCCAACCCGCCGGCGAGGCTTGCGGCGGGCGAACGGCACAGCGTTTTCATCGACGGCGAGGGGCGGCTCTCGTCGTGCGGCACGGGAGAGGAGGGCGAGGAGGGCGAGGAGGGCGAAGAGGAGGAGCTTCCAGGCCTTCTCGGTCACGGCGAGGGCGGTGCTGCAGCTGAAGAAAACGACCAGCCGCATCGCTCCTCGGAGGCGAGCGCGCGATTGGTGTGGCGGCGTCAGGACTTTTCAGCCTCGCTCTCTCCGCGGACGGCGCCCTTTGGTCCTGGGGCTGCGGCGGGCAGGGCGTGCTGGGCCACGGCGACGAGCAGTACCAGCTTCTGCCGACGAAGATCGAGGCCTTTGCTGGCCAGCGGGTCGTCGCCGTGTCGGCGGGAGGCGACCACAGCCTCGCCCTCACCGCCGACGGCGCCGTCTGGAGCTGGGGCTATGGATATAGGGGCCGGCTGGGCCACGGCGACGAGCAGCAGCAGCTGCTGCCGAAGAAGGTCGAGGCCTTAGCTGGCCAGCGTGTCGTTGCTGTGTCGGTAGGGGAAGATCACAGCCTCGCCCTCACCGCCGACGGCGGTTTCTTTACCTGGGGCCAGGGCGGACTCGGCTGCTTAGGCCACGGAGAGGAGCTGTCGAACCAGCTGCTGCCGAAGAAGATCGAGGTGTGGTCGCGGGAGTGAGAGGGGGGCGAGGGCGCGTGGCTGATAGGAGTGCGACCGGCTCGGGAGAGGCTAAGATCCGGATAGGGTGGGGCCAGCTGGCCAAGCGCTATATTTAGAGCTACATGTGCTGCGCATTTGGCTTTCTTTTTGCTTTTGGCCTTGCCTTTTGTAGTGCCAGTTCGAGCCAGTCTGCTGTGAGAGGGGCTGGCGTAGAAAATTCTTTTTGCTTTGCCCTGGCCACCAGCGTTGCGTTTTTTCTCAGACCACGTGCCTCTGGACCGCCGTTCTTGATGTGAAAAAGTGGGTGGGTGGTAAACGCTTCGTAGGCCCCAGATCGCGGGTGGGTGGGTGGGGGGTGGGGGGGGGGGGGTGAACGCATCGTAGGTCCCGGATGGTGGGTGGGTGGGTGGGTTGGGTGGGGTCACGCGGGCTGGTTTTCTCTTCTCCCTTCTTCGCGCACGTCTTCGAGGCACACCTCTCGTCGTTGCCACAGCATGTCGTTCCTCGCACCGTGCCCACGCGACGGCACCAGCTGACCGAGATCGCGCTCCCCGACGGCTGCCGCGTGCCTTACGGGGGCGGCTTACGGCGCGCTCAACAAGTCATCCGAGGGCGGACTGCTGTTACGCTCGACGAGTTGCGCCGCTCTAGCAGCTCGAGGGGTTCAAACGCGAGGCGACCATCGTCTCCGCCGAGCTCGACGACGAGGCGGCCGTTATTATCTCCTGCCCTCGGGAGGGCGGCGGCGGCGGTGTAGAGTCGGCGGCGCGCTCCCCCGATGACAAATAATTCGCCTCACAGTCCAACACGGCTGCTCACCCCAGCCGTGCTCTGGTGCGTCGCTACCCTTGGGTCGCCTCTGCCACCGAGATGTCGAGGCCGGGGCGCACTCTATTCGACTTCTCTTGGGCTATTATCTGCCCTCGGGAGGGCGGTGGTGGCGGTGTAGGGGCGGCGGCGAGCTCCCGGCTGCAAATGCTCGCCTCACAGTCCAGGATGGCGGCTCGCGCCCCCAACCGTGCACCAGCGCGCCTCTCTAGTCCTGCCTGCCAGCTTGGCCCAGACGTACATTTCTTGCCGCAGGAGGGGACATTTCTTTCATTTATTTCTTGCACATTTCTCTCGCGGCTGGGCGATATTTCGGGAAATTTCTTCGCTCACTGAATAGTTGCGGCTCACAAAGTCAGGTATTGAGTACGTCATTTTGGCGGGGTCTTCATTTTTCCCGTTGTCACGGTCAAAATCTCGATTTTTGCCGGTCACGGCGGTCGTCTTGGCGCGCGCAGCGCGCGATTTTTCAAGGATTTGGGCTTTCGGGCACCTGAAATCGCAGGGGCCTGAGGGTCTGAGCGAGCCTACATGAGCCTGCTGGGCGATATTTCGGGAAATTTCTCTCTCCGGACCGGCGGGGCATATTTCTCAAAAGATTTCCGGAAATGTACGTCTGGGCCAACGCTGCCACCCATAGACCGAGGGCTGGGCGCACTCTTCGACTTGGGCTATTATCTGCCCTCGGGAGGGTGGCGGCGGCGGTGTAGGGGCGGCGGCGAGCTCCCGGTTGCAAATACTCGCCTCACAGTCCAAGATGGCGGCTCACACGCCCAACCATGCTCTGGTGCGTCGATTGGGTCGCGTCTGCTGCCCGTGTCTCTGTCTTATCGGCGCGACGACAACAACCTACCCCACACCCTAACCCTAACCCTAACCCTAACCCTAACCCTAACCCTAACCCTAACCCTGACCCTACTAATCCTAAACCCTAACCGGGGAAGAACTCGCGGAGCGCATGGTCACCGAGAGCTCGCGTCAACGGACCGCTGGTTCCTCCATTCCGACCCGAAGCGGCCCGTTCTTAGGAGCTGCACAACGGCTTGAACTCTCTGACCCTAACCCTAACCCTAACCCAGACCCTAACCCGAACCCTTGGCTGTGCTGTATAAGGCGCGCGAGGCTGGGCGCTTTGCTACCTTGCTTGTGTCTTCCGTGGCCGGGACGGTTGGTTGGGTGGTGGGGTGTGGGTCGGTCGGTGTGGGTGGGTTTCCTCGCCTCATCAGCCGGGCTGTGAGGTGGGTGGGGCTGGGGGTGGGTGGGTGGTTCCAAGCCTCAGCCGGGACGTGAGGTGGGTGGGGTGGGTGGGGGGTGGCTCAAGAAGATAGAAGAAGCTCGTGCAAGTGAACGGAGGTCCACAGGCACGTGAGAAAAACGCCACATCTTCAGTCTGGTTCGGTCTCTTGCTCGCTTTTCGGGCGTCGCCCCACTGCCTCTGCAGTCGTTTTTAATGTCTCTTCTTCGGAGGCGGCCCCTCCGCCCCACCTCCGTCGGCTAGCCCCGAGGGAGCCGACAGCCCGGGTGGGGCCTCCCCGGGCGGGAGCGGCGGCATTGTGTCGTGTCGCCACCCCTCCCAGGGAGGTCGAGCCGGCTCTCCCTGGTCGGCGAGTCGCGCCCGCATCCGCGGCCTCTCTATCTTTTCGGCTCGCCCTCCCCCTCCGCCGGCTCCTCACTTAGCTCGGAGAGGCGCGGTTTGTTTGTAAAATTCTTTTGTGCCAGTGCGCGCCAGTCCCGTGCCCAAAAAAAAACAAAAAACCCAAGGGAGGGACCAGAAAGAAAGAAAGAAAACAGACAACCCAAGGGAGGGACCAAAAAGAAAGAAAGAAAGAAAACAGACAACCCAAGGGAGGGATGGGAGGACGGCACGCCGCCACCACACAGGGATTTTAAGGAGAGGTGTGTGGTGCGCTATCCGTCGCCCACCCTAGGGAGTCTGCCTCTTCCTATCTCTCTTCGCAGTCTCTCGCTGATTCTCGCTGCAACCTTCATGCCACCACGCGGTCGTCCCACCCTCGTCGTTCTCTCCCTTGTCACTTCCTCCTCTGTCGCGTTGTTCTCTTCTGCCCCGTCCTGCGACGCCGCCGCCTGCCGGTCCCTTGTTCTCGCGGCTTCTTTCGCCTGTCGGCGCAACTCCGTCCTCCTCGCGGCGTATCCTGGCCCCTCGAGTCTATCGAGCTCCCCTCGCGCAAGGACCACATTTCTGACTCCCACTCCGATCATTTGCCTACAGGTCATGTTGTTGCTCAGGTCCACTCTCTCTTCGAACACTCGTGCCTCTACGGATGATGCCGGCGCTGGGGTCCCCTTCGGATGCATCGTGACATCTGACAACTGGATTTCCACTGGTTCGTCCTCCTCGGAGTCATCTTCCCCGTCCACCTTCCGCTCGGCTCTTCGCTCGGTACGTTCGGTGTGGCTCACCCTCCATGCCGTGAACAGGCGCTTTATCCACCCTATATTCTTCTCTCGTTCCTCTGCCCGTGCCTTGGTCTTGTCGTTGTTTCGCACCCATGTCTGTATGGCAATCGAGGCTGCCTTCCCCACTACCTGTAGTTCACTCGTCACCTCTCCCGCGAGCTCCCTTCTCTTTCTTTCGGGTATGGAGTCCGTGAGTGCGGGTAGCGTGCAGGCAATCACGGGCGCTATTTTGTCGTACTCCTCTTCGGCGAGCGCTCCAAATCTAGACCCTTTCGCCTTTAAGGAGGCTGCCCTCGCTCGTCTCAGGAATGTGGCGGTGTCTTTTGGGAGGGACCAGTGTTGTGCGAGGGAGTTTGTAAAATTCTTTTTGCTTTGCTCAGAAAGCCTGGTCGGGGCCGGCATGCAGCGCTCTGTAGATCTATCTGCACGGCACACAACATGCCGATCATCCTCGCCCGGCACGCGGAGCGCCTCGACTATGTCGAGCGCGACGCGGGCCGCAACTGGATCGCGTCGAGTGCCCAGCCGTGGAACACGCCTCTCACGGGCGCAGGAGGGCTGCAGGCGGCCGCGCTGGGTCGAGCGATCGCGAGGCACATCGAGTCGCACCGCCTGCCGCCCGTCACCCGCATCTACTGCTCGCCGCTGCTGCGGTGCGTGCAGACCGCCGCCGCGGCGGCCGCGGCGCTCGCCTCCGCCTCCGGCATCGGTATCGACGCCCGGATAGACCTTTCGCTGATGGAGCACATGGGCGAGGCGTGGTACCGGTCGTGGTGCATCGGCGGCGTCAGCGACTCCACCTGGGGCGGGCCGGACGGCCGCAAGGCGTGGGGCACCCCCGTCGACGAGGCTCTCATCCACCCGCTGGCAAAGAGGTCTGCGTCCGAGCTGCTCCCGCGCACCAACGCCGAATTCCTCGCCTCGCTGCAAGCCCGCGGCGTCGCCTCGTCTGAGGGCGCTAGCTCACTCTCTGCCGATCTGGTCGGGGAGATGGAGCTGCTCTTGCGGGCGCCAGGCCAGGGGGGGGACACGGGAGCGGGCACCGTCGTGGAGGCAGACTTCAGATGGGGCGAGTTCGAGACGCATGCGCGGGAGGAGGAGCGGGTGACGCGGCTGTTTGACTACGTGGCGAAGGCGCACCACCCCGGCGAGACAGTGCTGCTCGTCTCGCACGGCAGCCCCACCTCGGCCCTATTTCGCCACTCGCAGAGGAACCGGCCGCCGGACGGGGCTGGGGGCAGGTGGCCGCGCCTTGCCATTTCTGCGTCGAGGAGGAGCACGCGTGCTCACAGGCCCGCGTTGTCGGCAGGTGGCCGCCCTGCCAGTACTGCGGCCTGTATGTCCTCGTCGCGCCGCGCGAGGATGGCAGCTGGGAGGCGGCCGCCCTTGCGCGCGGCCGGCCGACCGATCGGCCAGCACCCTCGCGAACGGGCCTTCTCTCTCGCCTTTAGGCGCCTGTGGTGGCCGACTCCAGCCACTGCCTCGAGGTGAAGGGGTCGACGCTGAGCGGCAAATCAGACGCAGCCGAGCAGAGCCGGTGAGGACTGATCGAGAGGAGAATATGGAAAGCGCAAGTAAAAGATAGGACGGGGTCCTGGCCAGGGTCCACAAGCAAGTCGGCACGACGAATGGAGGGCCGCCCCCCCTTGGGGGTTTGTCTGTTCTTTGACTTTTCAGTGCGCGCCAGTCCCGTGCCCAGTGTTGTGCGAGGGAGTTTTGTTGTAAAATTCTTTAACTTTTCTCTCTCCCAGTCCCACTTTTTATTTTGAGAGAGATAAAATAAATAAAAACGGTAACGGACACCTCTCTACTGTGAGATGGGTAAAAAGGAACAGGCCCCCGCCCTTGCGATCTTTGTGCAGGGTTCTTTGTGGGTGTGGTCGGCGACTAGCCGGGGTCGTCCTCCCGGTGGGGGACTAGCACTAGCCGTCTTCCACATGGTCCCTCGGGTCCCTGCTGCTCCTAATCTCTTCGTACATCCTCCTGCTGATCTCCGCAAAGTCCTGCTCCCTCCCTCGTCTCGCCCTGCGCGTCTGCTCCGCCTCACCGTCTTCTGCCCTGCGTCGTCTGGCGACGGGTCCTCCATAGTCGGTCGAGGTCGCCGCCCTCCTCGTGCCTCTTCCCAACGTTCCCTCGGCGGCCGATGCCGTCTGCTCCGGCTCCCCAGTCCCCGGGTCTCCCCTGCTCTCGTCTGCGCTAGTTTCTGCTTCGTCCTCACCGGCGTCTCTCCTCTTCCCTCTCCCCTTCTTGTATGCTTTGCACATCGCGTCGATTCCTGTTCGCGTGAGCACCAGCCTGAAGCCCGCCCAGCATCTGAACCGCTCCCTAAGTCGAAGGAGCATCATCAGTCTCACCCACTTCGCTCTCTGCCCACCGTCTCCGCTCCCTCCCGCTTTTGAGAGAGAGCGCCTTCGTTGTTAATACTTTTTATTTTGAATTTTCTCTGGAGCAGGGTGGCGAAACATATACTACATAGTCAGCACAACGCATACCGAGGGTGCTGCGAGCGAGTTCTTTACCAGGTTGCAACCCTAGTCTCGCACCGTGCTGTGAACAGAGCACCAACCAACAGCTCTCAGGACCCCCCGGTGCTGGGCCTGGGGTGCTGCCAGCAACCAACCAACTCGCCGGCGAGCGGAGCGAGCCGAGGGGCCAAATTCGCGCTGTGAACGTCGTAGCTCACTGAGTGAGGAGGGAGGGGAGAGAGAGATTTTTGAAAACGGAGGGAGTGCGGAAGTTGGAGAGTCCGCGCGCGGCTGAAGTACCACGCCTGCCCGCCGGGACCGCGTGCAGAAAGCCCCATCGCCAACGCCGCAGCAGCATCGAGCGGCACCATAGGTCGTCCGCTTTGCCGACGGGCGACGTGGACGGGACACAGGCAGGGACGGGCGAACCACGTACCCCAACAAGCATGATCCAGAGAACGGGGCATTGTACTACATAGTGCGGGACCTGGGGCAGCAACCAACGACCTGGATGGGGACGGGGTGGAACCGACGCCAACCAGCAGCGTTCACAGCGCAGTGCGAGACTAGGGTTGCAACCTGGTATAAAAGAACTCGCTCGGCCAAGCCGCGGTGCTGTCTCACCTCTCACCCGCTCATACACTCCATAGAGACACCTTACTCACCGGGTTCTGGACGGTCCACGGAGCTGCAGCTGGACACCTCCCTCACGCCGCCCTCGATCCTGGGTATCGACGCCCGGCATGGCGCGCTCCACGCGCAACCTTCCCGAAGGCTGGGGTCGCTCGACCACGTCGCGGTCTAGCGCTGCCGAGCGCGCGGAGATGCGAGAGTTCTCGCGCACGACGGAGGACGTCAAGATATCCCGTGCGATGGAAGCCATGCTGCGTGCCGACGAGTCCGGCGACGCAATGGAAGCAATGACGGCAGCGGCTCCATTCTTGCTCGATGAGCTGCGGGAGGATGGCCCGTTCTGGCCGGCAAAGAAGGCGGCGGAGGTCGCCTTCAGATCCGGCGACTGGGCGCGCTCGCTGGAGCACTACACGGCGTGCGAGGCGCAGCTGCAGGCATCGCCCATCCAAATGCAGAGACCGGATGATGGTGGCGCGGCGCAAAAGGCGCTTGGAGGAGAGCTGGCGAAGCTGAACGCCAACATCTCGATGCTGCATCTCAAACTCGACCATGCTGACCTGGCGGTCGCTGCCGCTGCCGCTGCCATCTCCAACTGCGCCAGCTGGCCCAAGGCACATGCGCGGCACGCTGAGGCGCTCTCCGCCTCTGGGCAGCATCTAGCCGCCGCGCAGGCCTTCAACATGGCAGCCTTTCGCGCCGAGCAGCAGGGCGCGTCGTCATCTGCTGAGAGCTGGAGCGCGCGGGCGGAGGTGGAGGTGCAGCGCGCAGAGGCCGCCAGCGCGGTCGTGCACGAGCGAGAAATGCAAGCGGCGGCGGCGGAGTTCGACGACTTTTTTGCGCGTGCTCTGCAGCTGTCGGCACTGACTGAGGCAGACCTCGACGCGCTGACAGACGACATCGCGCGTGGCGCGGCGTCGGAAGCGGGCCTTGTGGTGAAGTGGAAGCCCATGGTGCGTGTCAAGGAGGCGCAGCGCAACGCGGGAATCTTCCAGGTGCTCGACGGCAACGTCACGGAGGAGGTGCTCGCCCTTTTGCGTGCCGGTGAGCTGGCGCGCATGGAGCAGACGTGCCGCTACTTCTCGGGGATGCTCGACCGCGCGGCGCAGGAGCGGCTGCGGCGCACGACCCGGTGCAAGGCGCTGCGCGCCCTCTGCAACAAGCCGAGCGCGCCCGAGTCCCTCCGGGCGATACTGCCGCACGTTGCCCAGTACTGCGTTGAGCAGCTCGACTCCGCAGACGACGCGGTGCAGCGCCTCGTGGCGGCTTGCGCTCCCGCGCTCCTCGATTCGTGCGCACAGAGCCGCCACCGCGCATTCTCGGGTGCGCTCTTCGCGGTTGCCTATGGGATGCCACTGGTTCGAAAGGAAGTGTTCATGCGTGCATTCCTCAGCGCGCGGGCGGCGTGGCTCGCGACGCAGTCGAGCCAAGAGCGGTCGCGTCTTCATCAAGACTACGCATTGAGCGGCGACGGCGACGAGATCTGGGCTGCCCTCCGCCTCGCGCGCGAGGAACGTGGCGTGCTCTCGACAGGCGCACTGCTCACGCTGTTGCACACGCTCTGCGAACGAGCGAGCTTCACTGACGCGGATGAGCTCGAGTCCGAAGAGGAGACGTCGACGGACGCGTGGGTCTCGGCGTACAACTCGCTGCGCGAGCTGGCTGGCGCGGACATTGAGGTGCTGCTCACTCTGCGAAAGCACAAGACAGACCGGCAGTGGTACGCCCCGTCTGATCCCGAGCTCGCCGACTCGTGCTGCAACATCATCCAGAACGTCTTCCGCAGCACCCGGCGCACCCTTGGCATGTCGCCGCTACGAGAGCCGATGGGTCGGCACCTGATGGAGTTCCTGGGCATCTTCAACACCGGGCCAAACCGATTCCCCGCGCGCGACGTCGACGTCCGCGTCGCAATGCGCAACGCGCCACTCCTCACGGCGGCATGGCAGTCCATGCTCACCAGTCCCCGAGCGAACGCATGGTTGAGGCGGAGCGAGAGTTGGGGCTTCGCTCTGCACTTACGTGCGCACCAGCTCCTCCACGACATGTTCGAGGACGAGGGGGTCGATGTCGACTACTGGAGCTTCCAAGCGCTCCTCGTCACGCAAACCTTGATGCGTGGCTCTCACTCGATGGTGCGCCAGTTTGAGACGGTTGAAGGTCTGAGCACGTTCATCGAGGATCTCTTTGCGATGGTAAGCGCCTACCAGGTGGCCGTGCCAGCCACCGACCAGTGGTACCAGCGCATCATGGCGCAGCACCGCAGGATGATGAGTCCGCGTCAACAGTTCGGACACGAGATATGGAACAACACGATGGAGCTGCCAGGGCCGGGCTCTGGCTTCCTCGACTGATCTGAACCGTCCGCCTGCCTGCGAGTAAACTGCTCTGTGTACGGTGAGGCGTTGAAGGGGGGGGGGGGGGGGGACTGTCCGTCTTGCGAGTTTCCTTTCGTTTTGACTACCATGGCGCTCCTCCGTCTGAGCACTGAGGCGCGGTGCCCGCGAGCTCTCGTCGAGCGCGCTCGGCACCTGCCTGCGCCAATCTCGCCGAAATAGTTACCTGAGGATCGAGCGGCGACACACGTGACGGATGGTTCCTGGCTGCCACCGAGCATTACACGTGTTTGGTGTTAGTCGTTGGACGGGTTCACAGCCTCTGAACAAAGGATAGCTGTTCCGGCTGGGAAGGGTAGCCCCCACCAGACCACCACCTACCCGTGAGGCGTGAACAGAAATAAAGGGAAAAGGGATACAGGCAATTCCGCGATGTGTTTTCTTCTTGACTGATGATTCCAGAGAAGCGGGCGCGAAGTCCTGACCGCTCCGACAAAGGTTCCGATGCGCTGGTGCGTTGCTGTCCTGGTGGGCGTACTCGCGGCGTTCGCCGCTTCCTCCGAGGTGTCGCTCCAGGATCAGGTCATCGAGGATGTCGAGGTGATGCAGGAGATTGCCGAGCGGCAGTTTAAGCAGCGTGTGCGTGCGGAAGTGCTGTATGGGAGCCGCGGCATCCAAAGGCTGGTCAAGACGGCGGGCCTCGCCGTGGCTGGATTCGGGCCGGAAATGCCGTGGAAGCCTCCCATCCCCGAGCCACCGCCGCCGCCTCGCACCCTCGAGACGGTCGCGATGGTTGCGGCGGCGCTGCTGGCGGTGCCCACCCGCTTCCACCCGCCCGCTGCCTGCTCGCCCGCCCGCCGCCCGCTTGCCATCTTGCCTGCTTGCCTGCTTGCCGGCGCACTTGAGCGAGCGCGCGCTGCAGCCTTGTGGTGAGACTGTCCTGCGCCAGTGAGCTTGCACTGCCGCGCGGTCGCAGGTGCTCGGCCTCTTCCTGCTCTGCCGGCCGGAGCCGCTGCCATCGAGCCCGTTCGACGCGGGCGGCGACCCGCTCGTCGCGATCGCCTTCCGCCTCTTCAACTCCACCGCCGACGGCCGCCTCACCCTCGCGCAGCTGAACGACGGCGCCGCCTCACCACCCTCCGCGCTGCTCTGCTCCCTCCCCCTCGCACAGCAGCTCCACGAGCCGTCCCTGCCACCTCCTTCCCGCCTCCCTCCCGCCTCCCTCCCGCCTCCCTCCCACCTCCTTCCCACCTCCCTCCCGCCTCCCTCCCGCCTCCCTCTCACCTCCCTGCCACCTCCCTGCCGCCTCCCTCGCCCAGGCGCAAAGGCGATCTGGGACGTGGCTGCGCCGGCGCTGGGAGAGATCCTCGGACTCGGCGAGATCAAAAAGGGGTCGATCGAGGAGACCGCCCTCCGCTCCCTGCGCGAGAAGGCCGTTGCCAAGGTCTTCTACGAGATGGACGACGACTCGGACGGCGCAGTGACCGAGGCGCAGCCCCGCACCTGTCTCGGGCCCCACGGCGCGAGCCCTCCCCGACCCGAGTCTCAAGCCCTCCTCAGGCCGAGTTCCACCGCTTCGTCAAGGGCGTGCGCTACCGGCGCGACCCCGTCCTGACGGTGGCCTTCAACCTGATCGACATCTCCGGCTCGGGGACGGTGCTCGCAAGCCAGGAGCAGCGCCGCCTCCCCCTCCCGCTCCACCCCTCACGGAGCGTGTGCTGACGGCGCAGGTCTCGCTGGAGGAGTTCGCCGCGGCGGTGGCGCCCGTGAAGCAGGTCGCAAAGGAGGCGGTCCTCCGCGCTGCCGGCGTCTCTCCTGCCGCAGGCGCGCGCACACACACGCAACACACACACACACACACACACACACACACACACACACACACACACACGCTCGCACATGCACACGCACACACACACACACACACACACGCACACGCACGCACACACACACTCCTACCACACACACACACACACACACATACACCACCCCTCGCCTACTCCATCCGTCCCCGCTGCCTCTCCGCCCCAGCCCTCCCACCCTGCCTCCGCTCCACACACCACTGCAGTACTCTCCTACTCCTGCCCGGGCCCCCTCTCCCTCCTCCCAGTCGAGGGCCTCGCAGACAGCGCGTCGGACGGCATCGCCCGCCGCGCGATCGCAAAGAGCTTCCGCATGATGGCGCGACACACGGTGTAGATGCGACACACACGTACCGCCGCTCCTCCCCGTCTCTTTTCGGCGGGCACCGCGCCGCGTGTCACTGCCCCGCCCCTCTGCTTCCGTCTCCTCCTTGAGGGCGCCGCGTCGCGTGCCTCCGCCGCCAGCCAAGCCTCTCTGGCCAGCCAAGCCTCGCTGGGAGGGCCACGCCACATGCGCAAGCGCGTTTTCTCACCGCCGGCCCCTCTTGGGCCCCACGCCGTTGCAGGACCGCAACCGCGACGGCGCGCCGACCTGGACGAGCTCCAGACATCTCCCGGACACGTCCGAGACGTGTCCGAGACCTGTCGCTTAGGCGCCGTCGACCTGGACGAGTTCCAGATGTTCTTCCAGGCACTGGCGCTCAAGGCGTCCTGAGCGAGGCGGCGGCGGAGGCCGACTTGCCAAAGCCCAACGGCGCGCGACGAGGGAAGAGGAGGGAGGGGCGGGGGCGTGTGACGCGGAGCGGAAAAGGGGAGGCTTGGGGGCAGGCGCTCTGCAATTCTATGAAGGGGGTTCGCGTGAGCCCCCTCGTCTGTGTGCTGTGGGGAAATGGTGTGTAGCCCGCGCGCGGCGGTACCTGTTAGTAGCACCCATCAGGGGCGTCGTGTGTGCAGAGACGGCCTCGATCCGCGCGTGTGGGTGGGGGAGCCCGGGGCACGAATGTACAGCATGTTGTTTCTTCTCGTCTTGTTCGCTTGTTCGTTGTTGTGGTTGCCTCAAACTTATTTGTTCGTAAATAGGCCAGAGCCGCATATGTCTGATGATTCTAAATGGGCGCTCGAGCACCGCCGTGCCGCGAGCGCCGTGCGCACACGCCGTCCGCCGTGTCGCGCGTGTCGGGCGTGTGTGCGCCACGGGCGCGGGGTCCGGGCGACGGGGGGGCCGCAGGCGCACGCGCCCGTGTCGCCCCTCGCCGACCCTGCCTCGCACGTGTGTATGTACGTACGCGCGCGACGGAGGGGGGGCATGACGGGGGGCCAGGCAGCACCTCACAGACTGACGACGCTTCCCCAGCCATGCGCACAGTCGAGGTGTGTGCGAGAACTGCTGAGATGCGTCGGCCCCCACGCGCGTGGGGCGTGAGAGCGCTGACGGCCGAGCCACGTGTCCCGGCAAGTGTCGGCAGGTGTCCGGCCTGCCTCAGCCTGCCTGCCTCTCAAGCCGGTGTGCACAGCGGTGCTCTGCGTCTGCTGTGTCGAGAAGCGGACCCGACCGACGCGCGCACGCAGCCCCACCACACGCAGTTCATGCGAAGAGTAAACAAAGCGTTATGATTCTCGCGCCTCTCACTCCCTGCTCGCAACCTATTAACGTAGCACCGTGTGTACAAAGCGTCTCGTCTGCGCAAAACAACAATAGACTCGACACGCGCGCTCCTACGCGCACGTGCAGTGCCACGCATGGTTCCTTTGCCGCCTCGTGGCGCGCGTCCGTGTGGAAGAGAGGGCGGACATCCGCCCCTCTCTGCTTAGATACTCCTTCTCCCCGGTCCATATGCGCAGCGATTTGCATAGAGGGTCGCTTGCGCCGTCGGAGAGGTTGCACATGCACGCCGCGGGGTTCGACCCTGCGTGCGCGCTCGGTTTACGACGTGTGTGAGGAAGCCGCGACGCCGTCTTTAGCTGTTTAGCATGCGGATGCGCCGTCGGTTGGTGTCACCAGCAGCGCGAGTGGGATCGACATTGACGGCACCGGAAGGAGCTCGGAGACGAGCAGGAGCGCCCAGATCGGAGGCGCCGCCTTTGCGCCGCCGCTGAACCACTGCCAGGGCCAGGGGAGGTCCTGTGGAGGCGGCGACGTCGGCGGCGGCGAGGGCTGAAAGAAAAGGTAGGGCGAGCCACCCCACGCCCATGCGCTCGGGGTCTCACGAACTGGCTCGAGAGGGAAAGCGAGGGGCGCTGAGTCGAGGACGAGGCCTCGGTCGGGCTGGAACTGCGGCGGCTCGAGGCTGAGCTCCATCACGGTCACCGGGCTGCGGGGGCTGGCCGGGCCGTCCGTCGACTTCGACTCACCAGAATCGACCGCCTCGCTGGCGAGCGGCTCGGTCGTTCGCACGTTTGCAGATTCGGAGGGGGCGCCCTCAGGCGCGCAGTCGTTTGAGGCGGGCCCGATGCACAGGTGGCACTCGCTGTACGCGGAATCGGAGCGGGTAGCGGCACCCTTGCGGATGAGAGAGGGCTTTGACAGCCCCTCCTCGACATGCATCATCAGAACGAAGTACGGCACCTCGGTCGCCGTGTCCTGTGGTCCGTGCCTGAACCTGCGGTGCACACGGTCGCGAGCTGTCGCGTGAGCGAGCGAGGCCCCGGCGATCGGGGCGAGTACTGGATACACACAAGAGCGGGCAGCGCTCACCAGCACAGGTCGCCTTTGGAGCACTGGCCGGCCTTCCACCTGCGGGCCTCCATCGAGTGACGTCGAGGACAGGCGAGGGCGACAGGGCGACGCAAGGGGAGCCGTGATGGCGACAGGGGTGACCGAGCGAGGGCAGGCGAACGCCTGTCACACGGCGACTGCTTGTACTTGTCGGGGTTGAAGTTGGAGCTCCTGTTCTCCTTCCCTCCGCCGTGCCCGCCGTGCGTCTTGACGCCCGCAGACGACGCCTTGGCGTGCGGCTTCCTGGGCGAACCTGCCGCCGCTGGCGGCTTTGTCGGCTCCAAGGGCGCTCGTCCGATTTGTGCCTTGGTCTTGGCGGCCTGCCTAGGCGGCGGCGTTGACGGCGCTTTGGAGGCGTTGAAGCGGAATTGGCGTTGCTTCTCGCGAGGCGGGACCGGCTGGTACTTGGATGCCATGGTTCGGCGCCGTTGCAAGAACGACGAAGGTCTGCGGTGGGCGAGAGGCAAGAGGCGAGTAAGCGGAGAGTGCCATGGCTCGCTCGCTGGCGGTGCGAGGCCGGGCTGCCGGCCGGCCGTCGAGGCGGCACCTGCGGCGGAACGCTCTGGCTGGCAGGGAAGCGACTGCTGCTCGGCCCAACACGCCGACAAAGAAGATTTTTTGGGGGTGACACAGTAAGGCCCTTTTCCTTCCTGCCGGCCTGCGGCACGCGGCACAGCCTGAATGAATCCACTGACTCACGCGGTCTGACTAAGAGAGAGATTTAATTAACGGAAAGGAACTTGTGTTTTTGCGCTGCTGCAAGCAAGGCGGGCGGCAGGGGTACGGGGGGACCTTTGTCGCGGCGGGTGAAGGAAGGAAATCTGCGCACCTCTCGCCGTGAGACTTCGCATCTCTTTAGTGGGGCCGCACTTACCTTGTCACCCCCTAATGTCACGTGTTGTGACATCATGTGGATGCGTCCCGAAAGTTCAACGTCTTCGTCCGTCGTTCCAAAACAGACTCCATGCCGGAAGCGTCGACGGGCAGTCGGCTCGAGGTGAGTGTATTTGGACAGATCGTTGGCGCACGGCTGCCCAGCGGCGCCATGTCGCATGCCGCTGCTGCCCTCGGCCTCGGATCGTCCGCTGCACACTGCACATACCGCCTCTCTGCCGGTGACGGCTGGGCCTGTGAACGCGGAGCCGCAGCAGGGTCATCGCACACAGACTGGCCGGCGTCGGCGGGGACGTTCGTGTGGGAGCAGCCTGTGGACGCCACCTTTGTCGGGCCGCACCTCGGGGGCTGGCCTCGCGTGGAAGTGGAGGTACGCTGGGTGGACGTGCATGGGCGGTCCGAGGTGGCTGGGTACGCGGCTCAGCATCTGCCAAAGACGCCGGGCACTCACGCGCTCAGCTGCCGGGTGTGGCGGCCGCGTGGCTCACTCCTCGAGCGACTATCAGCCTTCTTCGTCGGCGCGTCTCCGCAGGCGCCTTGCATTACTGCAGCGTGCTTTGTGAGTCGCACTAACATCAGCCCTGTCGCCTGCACGCAGCTCACCAACCCGGAGCAGCTCGTGTACGGCCGGCCCGACGCACGCTCACTCTCGCGCTCCAATGGCCGCGATCGACTGACAACGGTGCGCGAGAGACCTTGCTCACACAATACGGCGGGACTCGCAAACGGGGACGAAACCCTGAGTCGGTGGGCGCGCAGGTGAGCGAGGGCGAGGTCTTCCTCTCCCTCTCCGTGACGGTACGTGAGGCAGCGGCACCCCTGGAGGACGAGGAAGCTGGAACGGCGCCGTAAGAGGCGGGAGAGCAATGCCAGCGGCGAGCGAGCCGAGACACACACTCGGCCGCGCGTCGTGTCACCCGCTCAGACACGTGTCACGAACACGATCCTGTATCCTGAGACCGCTGAGAGACCACAGAGAGACCGGACGTAGAGAGACCTGACGGTGACGGTGACGCTGACCCCTATACGCTCTATAGCCTGTTCCTGGATCCTGCCGCGCTGGGACCCGCGCTGTGTGTGAGAAAAATTCCCGAGAACGACGACAAGTCGCCATCTTACGTTTCACTTTTTATTCTACACTGGAGCGTGACAAGGAATCGCACAAGACCTGGTCCACGACGCACGACTAGGGGAGCCGCACACGTATACGACCACGTACCGACGGAGAGAACAGAGACAGTCACGTCGCCGACACATCTCTACCTACCACACACCTCGTCATACGTGAACTGTGTCAGCTCATAGAGGGTAAAGAATCCGGTTTGCTGCGCCGGCTGCAGCACGAACCCGTCCTCATTCACGAGCACACCGCCCGGGGCCACAACGGCGCGCGTGAAAGAATATGATCGGCCGGTCAGGTTGCCGTGCAGCTGCGGAGCAGACCATCCCGTGTGATGATCGAGCAGCGCGACCGACATACGCGAGCCAGGCTGGCCATTCCACTGGCCCGAGCCAGGCTGGCCATTCCACTGGCCCACTGCTTCGCCGGAGCTGGCAGCAGCGCGGTGGCGCTTCTCCTTCGGATCAGCGCGAACGTCGTCCGAGCGTTCGCGCTTCATCGCGATCGGATCGGGAAGTGGAAGCTGGGATCGGTCCACCATCGCCCGGTCCCACATCGGCTCGTCGAAGGGCATTAGCGGCGACGCAGAACGAAGGCGCTGAACGACGTCGAGAGCAACCGCTGCAGCGTTGAACCCAGCCTCTGACCCCTAAGTTTCTTTCTTCCCCCCGCCCGCCTGCCTTTCCATCTCTCTCCTATATCCCCGACGTGCAAGCCCCGCAGAGGTGCGGGCGAGAGGGCGGCCCGAGCCCGAACGAAAGGGCCCGCCCTCGGTCTTGCTCTACATGGTAACGGATAAGAAGAGAAACACCCCCGGGATATGGACCGGGACACACCCCCACCTCCGAACGCCTGTCAACGCTGCGAGAAGCTCGAGCCGTCGAGCTCAGGCTTGTTGCTGCCGCTCGGCGCTGCCCGCTCCGGCGGCGGCGCCGCGCGGCCCGCTCACAGCAGCAGCGGCGCGGCCGGCGGAGGCGGTTTGCGGCGCGGCGGCAGGGCTCGCGTCGGGCGGCACGTAGCAGCGGGCGGCGTGGTCCCACTCGTAGCCGGGAGCGGAGTCCAGCGTCTCTGGCAGGAGCACGTCCTCTGCGGCGCCTGGCGAAGCGACGGGGAGGGGGCGCCATCCAGCAGAGTGTGGTTCCCGCGGGCGGGCGGGCGCCGGGTGGGGCGGGGTGGTGCGCGGACCCAGCAGCAGCGAGGAGAAGCCGAGCGAGTCGTCCTTTGCGCGCGTGTCGAGCGCCGCGCGGAACTTTTTGCCGCGCGGCTCGCCTGCGAGGCGGAGGGGGAGGGGGAGAGGCGGTTGAGACAGGCCGCGTCCCCCCGCACCGGAGCCGAGCCTGACTGCCTGCAAAGAGGTTCAGCGCCGGCGCCAGCACGAGCCGCCGGATGCGCTGCGGCGTGGTCGCCTCGATGGCGTCGCCCCACGCGGCGTACTCCTCGAGCAGCCGCCGCCTAGACACTTCCTCGACACTTCCTCGACACCTCCTGCACACGCGGCGCACTCCTCGAGCAGCCGCCGCCGGCTCTGGGCAGGGTCCGCCGCTGCTCCGTAGAGCGTCGAGTCCGCCTGCACTGACACGCCGCGCACGCTCACGCGCGTGTCACGCAACTGCCCCCCGTGTGGCCGGCTGCAGCGCTGCCGTCGCCCACCGCCACGGCCGGCTCACCACCGCGCGCCCGACCATGACGCCGCTCAGCCGCCCGTCCGAGGGCGAGTCGGCGCCGGCGAGCAGGATCGCTCGCGCCGCGTCGAGGTCCTGTTCACTCACTGCCCGAGTCACCCGACACTGCCCCGAGAGGTCAGGCGGCAAAGGCTCGCCGCTAGAGCTCCTCTACGCCGCCGTTGAGCGAGAAGGAGAGGTGCGGCAGCGCCGCAGCCAGCCGCTCGACCACGCCGTAGTGCAGCGGGGGGACCTGCCGGTTCTGCGCGGGGGAGAGGCCGCCGAGCACCGCCTGCCTCGCGTGCACCGCAAAGTGGGAGACGCCGCCTCGCTCGGCGACGGTGGTGACAAAGCTCGCGAGCTGCTCGAGCAGCTCGTCCTGCGCACGAGGGCGAGGGGTGAGCTCCAGCCGCACGTGGGCTCTCGCGCGCCCGCGCAAAGGCGGCTCCCGCCTCGTCGGCGCCGATCGCCTCGGCCGCCGAGCCGACGACCCCGATGCGGCACTTGACTGAGATGGGCACGCCCGGCGCGCCCTCAGACATCGCGGCGCAGCAGTCGCCGACGAGGGACGGCTCGCGCATGAGCGCGGCGCCGAAGCATCCCGAGCCCGCCACGCGGTCGGAGGGGCAGCCGCAGTTCAGGTTGATGGCGTCGTAGCCCCACGACGCACCGAGCGCCGACGCGCGCCGCAGCATCGCCGGGTCGCTCCCGCCAATCTGCAGCACAACCGGGTGCTCGTTGTCGCCGTCGTGCTCGAGGAAGCGCGGGAGCTCACCCGGGTCGCAGTGCACGAGCGTGTTCGCCGTCACCATCTCGGTGTACAGCGTCGTCCGCCGCGTGACGCGCCGCAGCAGGTAGCGGAGAAAGCGGTTCGTGTAGTCCATCATGGGCGCCACCGACAGCGCCCCGTCGCTGAAGGCGGCCGTGCTGACGGGCAGTGTGCGCACCATCGATGCGAAACGGTGTTTCGCGAAGAACGACGCGAGCGAGCGAGCGAGCGAGCGCGAAAGAGAAAAAACCGGGCTTACACGTCGATAGGCGCGCGACTGGCGCGCTGGCAAAAGAACGCATGAAACCTTAGGCAGGTCGCGCCCCCAACCATCGAGCGGAGCGCAATAGTACCAAAACACCTATGACGGGCTCCGTCGCCGCGCCGGCGTGGCTCGCTGCGGGCTGCGAGATCGAGGTGCTAGCTGACGAGGATGGCCTGCGCGGCTCGCGCTACGCCGCCTGCGTCCTCTTGCCCCCCAAGCAAGGAAAGGTGCGGCTCCAATACGCCACCATTCTGTGCGCGGACGGGCAGTCGGCGCTGCGCGAGGCGGTGGACGCCACTTGGCTGCGTCCGCCGCCGCCGCCGACGCCGCCCGACTTCTTCGCCAGCCTTCAGACCGGCGACCCGCTCGAGCTGTGGCACGGCGACGGTTGGTGGGAGGTCAACCTCACCGACGCGGGAAGGGAAGCCAGCGACGGTGCCGGCAAGCTGTACGCGGTGCGGTCCCCGCACTACGCGTCCGAGTACCGTGTCAGCGCGCAGCGGCTGCGGCCGCGATGGACCTTTTGCGGCAGCCACTGGAAGGCGGAGGTTTTGCAGCTCGCGCCGCGATGGCCGCTGCCATTGCCATTGCATGCTAACGCGTTGCACGACTCCCTTCCCAGGCGCCCGCTGGTCTCGTCGTGTACGAAGGCGCCGCCCCCGACGCGTTTGCGGGGCCGCGCGAGACACCGACCGCGGCCCAGGCGGACGCGCTGCGCGAGACGGTCAGCGTCCTCGACGAGTCGGGGGAGAGCATCCGCAAGGCGTTTGGCGGCGCGCCTCCCGGATCGGTCGCTGCGCTCCTCGCCGCGATCGCGGCGGCGCGCAACGTGGCGCAGGCGGCGAGCGCTGCGCACGAGGCGGCGGCTACGAAGGCCAAGCTCGGCGAGGACGGCTATGGCAGCGACGCGAGTGACGGCGTCATGCATGTCACTTCTGTCGAGGACGAGGAGGCGGCCGAGGAGGGGGAGGCGGCCGAGGAGGGGGAGGAGGAGGGCGCTGAGCACGCGGCGGCGCCCGCCGCGGGGAAGGGGGTTCGGCGGCGGCGGTGCGGCGCGTGCGCCGCCTGCCTGGCGGAGAATTGCGGCGAGTGCTCCGCTTGTCGGAGCATGGTCTGCTTTGGCGGCTCCGGCGCAAGCCGGCAGGCGTGCGTGCGCCGGCGCTGCGTCGCGATGAGCGCCAGCGGGCACGCAGCAGCCACCGCGCCCTCGGCCGGCCGAGCCGGCCCCAAGCGCCTGATGCCCCCCCTCCCCCCCGCAGGCCGAGCATCCTGCCCGTGGACCTCGGCGACCCCGTCGAGCTCGAGCGGCGGCGCGAGGAGAGCCGGAGCGCTGCGTTCGAGGCGCTGCGCCGCTTCATCTGCGCCTCGGGCGGAGTCTCGTCGATGTTGGATGGGTGGACGACCAGTGCCGAGGTGCGGCGGGCGGGCGACTCGGCGGGCCACGTCGACGTCTACTTCCACGCCCCCGATGGCCGCCGCTTCCGCTCGCGCCTCGAGGTGGCGCGCTTCTTCGAGCTGGCGCCGCACGCCGAGCAGCCCGCCTGGGACAGTCGGCCGGTGGGCAGCCGGTCGGGACGCCGCAACGGCGACGCGCGCCCCAAGCGTCAGCTCGACGCGGACGCCGTAGTTTAGATCAGACCTTAGCGCCGGCACCAACGCCGGGAGCGTGGGAGAAGCCGCGTGCCCCCAAAGCATGGATCAGCGTGCCGGCCGGTCGACCCGGCTCTCGGGCCGCCCCTCAAGCTAAAGAGTCTGTGGTACGTGCGGTGGAAGGGCGCGCATGGACCCGAGGCGCGAGGGCGTGATGGGACAGGCATAGCGCTATGGCATAGGCAGCCCTCTCCTAGGCTCGATCACGGAGCGCATGATCTCTCGAGACCTCGTGCGTGAGAAGTGAGACGGATGACATGGAGAAACGCGGCGTGGTGTGAGCGTATATGTTTTATGAAGAACTGTGTTGATGCGCATACACATATTTAGCTTACATCAATACACGATAGCATACACACACGAGACATATGGAAATATCGGCGCGCGCGCCAACACGGGCGGGGACCTGTGTTCCTTTTTACACCCACAGTGTCCGCGAACAGTAGAGAGGTGTCCGAACAGTAAGGGGAGGGCTCCCAGGGCTTCGAGGTTTTCCCTGTGTGTACGCTTTACGTACAATTACACACATATTCGTGCCGTCACACTGGGTATCGCACACTAGACTACGACTAGATCCCAAACAAATCCCAAGCGCGTCTCTCAAACACAAGATGCATGCTCGGGGCGCGGGACGAAGTTCTTCGACGCGCTCCGGATCATCCGCCTCATCCGCCTCGAGAAGAGATCGCGTAGAGGATACCCGTAGAGGTCGCGGATCCTCATCTCTTCCCTCCCCGATTCGCTGTCCGCATTTGCATGCAGTGCGCGGCAAGAGTGGCTTGAGGGGCTGCTCTCCCCCGCGGCTCACAATCTCTCGCAAGCTACGCGACATGGGGAACCGCATGTGCGGGTTGGGGCACGAGGGCAATGAGGATAGCATGCGCCAGCCAGGCGCCGCCTCATCTTCAAAGCACTGATGCGTCATGAGACGTCGCCGCACCGTCACGGCACCGCCCACCAAGAAGGTGGCGCCATGAATCTGTTCGCCGCCGGAAGTTTCGCCGCCGGGAAGTGCACTATATGACCAGACCACCCTCATGCCCGCCTCACACATCGCCTCCGCCTCCGCCCTTGTCGATGCCGGTCGCGCCCCCTCTAGTCGTCCCTGTCGGACATTGCAGCTGATTGCGGACGTGCGGGGGCTGTCACGGCCGTCTGACCAGAGACGGCACACCTGCCGAAACACGCGAGCCTCCCAAAGGAAGCTGCCATCAGGCGGGTTGTCGAGCATGTGCATGTACAGCAGGACGATTCGGTCCCGGTCGTGCCACCAGTAGCTGTGCGGCCACGCCAGAGGCGCGAGCTCCGCAGCTGTCGGCCTCCGAGGTCTCGCCCCCCACGGGCCGCCGTCTTCGAGGTCGAACAGCACATCCTCACGATGGGACGGGAGGTACTCCTCATCGTAGTCGGAAGCGTCCTCATCGCACCAGTCCCCATCCCACGGGTACCCCATGCCGTCCACACCAGCCTGCTCCGCGAACAACCTCCTCGAACCATGCTTCCTGCTGCGCCCGGCGGGTGGGGTCTGGCGACCAGAAAGGAAGACTGTCCTCGTACTTGCTCCAGCCTCCCGCCACCGCCGCCGCCAGCTCGTGTCGCGTTGGGCGGCGAGCCTGCGTGGTGTGTGTGTGTGGGGGGGGGGGGGGGGGCGGCGGCGAGGCGGCGCCGCGTGGGAGGGAGCGAGTACCGCCGCTTCCGCCTTGGTCGCCTCGGCCTCCCTCTCCGGCGCGGCCACCATGTTCATCTTGATGGCATACAGTGCGCGCTGCCGCTTCGAGGCACCGGCCGGCAGCTCGCCCGCCACCGAGGCCGCCAATGCCAACGCCGCCTCTCGGCACTCTCGGCATCGAAGCCGGCAGCGAAGCCCCCATCGAGGCCTCCGAAGCCGGCAGCGAAGACAAACGTCGATGTCGTCGCCGGCGGCGACCTGCTCGAGACAAACGTCGCACGTGCCTTGCCCCGGCGCCTCCCTGCTGGTGACAGTGTGGCCGCATTCGCAGCAGCACGGCTCCTTGCTCGGCGCGCCGCCGTCGCATCGCCGCAGCTGGGGGCGCCGCCGTGCGCAGACGTGCCGGCTCCCGTCGGAGAGACGGACGTGCACGTCGCCGTCCAGGGTGACCCGGGTGTATCGGCTCGGACCGCGCTAATACCGTGAGCTCTCCCCCCCCGTCCTAATTTGGGGCGAGTATAAACAATATCAAAGATCATGGATGCGAATGGATGATCATCATCTCACAGAACCCCATCGGGCCCCCAACCACTCGCTCAACGCTTGAGCGCACCCACTGCCAGCGCAAACGCGCCGGCCGCCACCGCCAACAGGGCGCAGCGCGCTGCGGTCGTCTTGACGATGGGTGGCGTCTTGGCACTCTCGGACGCGATGCCGCGGCATGCCCACGCTGTGGCAGCGGCGTAGCCGAGGGCGGCGGCCGGACAGCCCGCGAGCGAGAGCGTGACCGCAGCGCCATAGGCCGTGAGGGCGCCAACGAGGACGGCGCCCGCCTCGGGCGTCGCCAGCGGCTGCAGCGGCGGCACCTGCTGCGCAACGAGCGTGAAGGCGATCCCGCTTGCTGCAGCCAGCCAGCCCGCGTTCAGACCCGTTGGAAAATCAACGACGGCGGCGCCGACGAGGCCGTACGCCGGCGCACCGCCGACGAGGGCCAGCGCGCCGCCGAGCATCTTGACGTGCGCCGCTCCGACGAAGAGGGCGGCGGGCGCGAGCGAAGCGAGCTTGCGCCCGGCAGTTGCGCCGCCCTGCGGCACCGGCAGCACACCAAACACCGCCTGCCAGAGGCACTCGCCGAGCCACGTCGTGACCCAGGGTCCGGCCACGAGCGCCATGCGGGAGGCGTCGCCGCCACTCGCGAGCACCGCCGTGCCCGCGCCCTCGAGCAGGAAGATGGGCCCCCAGATGGCGAAGGTCGCACCGCTCGGAGTCACGTCGGTCGGATAGGCGGCCGAGATCTCGGCGTTTGTGCGCACGCCGAAGAGGCCGCGGCCGTAGACGACGTTGACGGCGACGAGGCCGGCGTACGAGGCGGCGAGCACGGTGGGCGAGACGTCGGTCATCATAGTGTGGAAACGAGCGAGCAGGCGCTGGGTTCCGGCTCCTACCCGGATAGGGGGCTCACGCCGCGCCAAAACGCCTACCTCCTATCCCCAGGCCGCGCAGCGAAGCGAAAAAAGATGAAAATAGGGGGTACCTACCTACTGCAGGGCCCTTTTGGGCCAAACAAGACCAACCTACCTACCTATCTGGGAGGGGCCAGCCAGTCCCAACAGACCCCCTATCTGGGTAGGAGCCGGAACCCTGACCCTCGCGTAGAAGAAACCGTCGCTACGCGCACGCGCGTGCCATCCTCCCATCCCTCCCTTGGGTTGTCTGTTTTCTTTCTTTCTTTCTGCATATTTGCCCGCGCTAATTCTTTTATTCCGAGGGACGACCGACACACTGAAACGTACGTCGGCGTTTCGATCAACGGCCACGCCGACCACAAAAAACCTCTATGTCGCTCGACCCGGAGCGCAACCGCGCCGCCGGCCTGCAGGGCCAGGTGGAGAATCTGTCAAAGGAGAACAGCGCCGACTTTTGGGCCGAGCTCTCGGCGAAGCTCCCCTCAGGCAAGTCGGAGGAGGACAAGAAGCAGCGGAAGCAACTCTTCAACGCGTTCGACGCGAATGGCAACGGGTGCCTCTCCCTCGCAGAGGTGGACAAGGGGATTGGGACGGTCATTAAGAACGAGGCCCTCTTCTCCGCAAAGCGGCCCATCATGCGCGCCTTCCAGGCCGCTAAGGGCCTCTCGCAGTCCAAGAAGCCGCTCGACGACGACACCATCAACCGCAAAGAGTTCCAGGAGCTGCTCGGCTACCTGCGGCAGTACTTTGAGGTGCGCGCGCGCCGCACCCGCACACCCGATAGGTGCCCTCTCCGCATGGCACGCTCCCTTGCCCCGCAGCTCTACGTCATGTTTGCTGTCGTGGACAAGTCAGACGACAACAAGGTCTCGCTGGAGGAGTTCAAGGAGGCGCTGCCGCGGCTCAAGGAGTGGGGCGTCGAGGTGACAGACGCGGAGGCGACATTCAAGGAGATGGACGTGGACGGCGGAGGCGCTGCCATGTTCGACGAGTTTGCAGACTGGGCGTACAAGAATAAGCTCGATCTCGAGGTGGACGACGACAACGAGGCGCCAAAGCACCGCGAGGGAAACCTGGCGAGCAACAACTTGGGGGAGAAGAAGGGCGCGCTGCCCGCCTCGCAGCCCAGCACAGCATCGTCAAACGGCGGCGGCGGCGGCGGCGGCGGCGGCGGCGGCGGCGGCGGCGGCGGCGGCGGCGGCGGCGGCGGCTTTGGCAACCGCGACCGGTCCGCTGGCATGGCTGGGCAGGTCGAAAAGTACGCCAACGGCTCCATGTCGAAGGAGGAGCAGACCGAGTTCTGGGCGGAGCTGAGCGCGTCCCTGCCGGCGGGCACGGACAAGGCCTCGCAGGCACTCCGCAAGAAGCTCTTTCGCCAGTTCGACTCGCAGGGCAACGGCTTCCTCTCGCTGGCCGAGATTGACAAGGGGATTGGCGAGGTGCTCAAGCTAGACGTGCTCTTCTCGGCCAAGAAGCCGGTGATGCGGGCGTACCAGGCGGCGAAGGACGCCTCGCCCTCCAAGTCGGAGCAGGGTAACGACTATGTCGAGCTGAAGGAGTTCCGCCTTCTCCTCGTCTACCTGCGTCAGTACTTCGAGCTCTACGTCATGTTCTCCGAGATCGACAAGAGCGACGACAACCGCATCTCGGTCGACGAGTTCAAGCAGGCGCTGCCGGACATCGCACGCTGGGGCGTGGCCATTGAGGACCCGGACAAGGCGTTTGCGGAGGTGGACTCCGACGGCGGCGGCTTGGTGCTCTTCGACGAGTTTGCGGATTGGGCCTTGCGCAAGCAGCTCGACCTGGAGGCGCGCGGCACTGCGATGCCCTTCCAAACGCGTGTCGAACGCGACTTGACCCCCGCTCCTGCTGTGCGGCGCAGGTGGACGACGACAACGAGCAGCCCGAGTACAAGGCCGGAAACCTCGCCCGCAACAACCTCGGTACGAAGAAGGGCGCCCGGCCCGGGCCGTCCGGTGCCGCGCCAAAGCTAAAGGCTTCGCGCCCGGCGAGCGCCGGCGCAAGGTCGAGCGCCCCTAGGGCCGCCGCGGCGTCGGTGCAGCGGCGGCCAGCCACGGCAGCCAAGCGGGGCGAGGCCAGCGTCACATGGAGCGCCGAGGACGACCGCGCCCTACTTGTGTCTAAGCACAAGGGCAAGACGTACGAGGAGATCGCCGCGGAGCTGCGCGCCTTCACGCCCGAGCAGGTGCAGGCGCGGTACGAGAGGGCGCCCGACTTTCAAAAGAAGAAGACGCACTTCGACAACCAGAAGCGGATGAAGGCGGCGGCGGCGAACGGGTCCAACTGGGGCGTCACGTCGCGCACCTCGCCCTCCGGCACCATGCCCTTTATGAAGGCGCATCGTATCCCAAAGTCGATGCGCAACATGTACGCGGAGCCTCGGCCCGCCAGCGGCGGCAGGGCGGCGCCGCTGGCGCTCTCAGGCGTGCCCGAGCAGGCGCAAGCGCCGGCCTCGCAGCCGTCGAGGCCCGTCATGTCGGTCAAGAGCGGGTACGCCGAGTCGACTACCCGTTCGCACCGCTCTACGCTGCTATCCGTGAGCTGAAACCTGAATGAATCCCGAGGGGGGGGGGGGGTCAGTTTTGGGCCGCGCGGGGACACTAGACGCGTGAGAGGTGTCCGATACTCCATGCAGCATGCTGTGTGTGTGTTTGTTCGCGCGAGATATACCCTCTCCATATGTTTAATAGAAATAGACCAGTCGGTGTGAGGTGTCGTTGTTGGCAGGAAAAGAGAGCCCTCTCACACAAGGTCAAGGCAGCTCCTAGCCTACCTTGCCGCTGCGGCAACACATTTCCTGCATGGGCACTTCGGCGGCTCGCATTGTCTTTGCAATGTCCCCGAATTCGGCGCGTCGTGCGAGCGTGAGTGTCTACGCGTTGCTGAAGAACTTGTTTGGTGACGAGCAGACATGTACAAGCGAGAGAGAGTAGCGGGTTATCGGCTGACTGACGTCCGCGTTTACAAGGTGTCGAGGCTGAATAAGGTGTGGCATGAAACATTTGCTTTTCCAGCCGAACGAAAGAGAAAGATGTGGCAGGGCCAACGCAGCGCGAACTCGCCGTCTGAGCCTAGCGCAGCGCGAACTCGCTCCCGTTCGCTGCGCAACCCTACCCTAGCTCCATTTTTTGGTCAGACCCACGTCCTGAACCGTGGGATTAGTACCTCATAGTCTGCTCATAGTACTCAGCTGCTCCGCTTATGCCTACCTGTGAACGAGGTTCTTGTTTCTTATCACCCTACTGTGAACCTTCCTTAGGTCCGCCTCTCACACCCTCGCTGTCTGCGATGTGAGCTTCTGAGCACTTGAGCACTGGATAGGGTCGATTCCGCGTGGTACGGGACCCCTCGATCGTCTCGCCCTCCCTCTCTGGCGTGTTCATTGGGGGGGTCATAACAAACACGGTACAGGATCGAGGTGCACGCTGCCGAAGCAGTGTCGTCCCCCCTCTCCCCGACGGCGATGGCGGTGTGTGACCGATCGAGCTACAAGAGGAGCTTGTTCAGCAGGATCCGGGATAGTCAGATGCACTACCTCAGCACTGGGCCTGAGACCATCGTACGACAGCATCCCGTCACCGTCTCGGATTTATGTGGGGTCGAACCACTCCGGGATGGGCAAGCCCATCAATTACCATCTGGTTAAGGTTCTTCGGGCCAGTTTGGGGGGGCAAACCCTGCCCGCCCCCTAGCGCCCCAGGTAAGGCCCAGGTGTGGCCTAGGGCTTCAGAAGGGACCAAGAGGAGTCCAGTCTGAGCCATAGAGCCCATGTCTTTGCCCCCGAAGGTCGCGTTCAAATGCCCGGAACGGACGTTACAGTGGTGTCCGGCCGGCGCGATCACCGAGCTGTGACGCTCAGGGAAGACTGATGAGGTGCTAGTTCTTTGGCCAGGCCTGGCCTTCCCCCCAGGCTGGATCAGCTGAGCAAGGTTTGGGGAGAATCCTATAGTAGGATCTTCAGATATTTTGACGGATGACCGAAATCACCCCGTTTTTGCCCATTTCATAGGAAGCAGAGACTGCGACCAGGCGCTGTGGAACACATTTCCGCCGCCCGCGCCGCCGCCGCCACCGGTGCAATGGTGTCAGAACCCCGATGGTTGCGGCTGGCATGTGTGTGCCTCATTCTTGGGCGAATATCCTACTTTGTACGAGCGGCCTTGCATCCCTGAGGACAGATACGCTGCGGACAGATACGACTATCGCCAATGTTGGAGCCGAGCTACGCTTTATGTCCCTTCTCGTGTTTGTGCTCGGTACGACTACAGTCCGGAATGCAATCACTGTGCTGGATACTACCGAATGCAAGCGGAAGAACTCCCCTCCGCGCGACAGGAGCAGCTTCTCGGAAACCTCCTACCGGCGGGCGTTGCCGCGGCGCTGGGCTTAGGCTTTGCAGCTGCTGGCTTCGACTGCTGCGCCCACACCGTTCCGCGCCCACTGCGCAGCTTGTCTGAGCATGACTGCTGTGTCGGAGAAAGGCGCAGGATCAATGCAAACGAGAAATAAGGCGAAGGCGATGACGGATCCTGATGAGCTCCAAAACTAGACCGGTGAAAGTCGGGCGAAGCGCAGGTAAACGAGTGCGCGGCCCAGGCTACTGGAACATGTGAGACGATACGAGGAGAGGCACTGCAAGGTAAACGGAACGCAGCACAGTATGAGACGCACCCCGGCTGGCGGCACACTCATGATCACATTCTCTCACTCCTTACGGCTTTAGTACGGTCTGACTACGGTACAGTCTAGACAGAGAGAGAGATGTTATTTGAAAGGATATGCAATAATATGTACTTGTTCATACATGTTATAGCGAGAGTGACTCCTGCTGAAAAAAGTGCGCCTTCGGGCTCGCGCGCGGATATCAATCTCTCGGTTACGTACGGCTTTAACCTACCGTCGTATTCGACCTCGTGCACGAGCCGGCCGTCCACGTCCGCCTCCCGCCCCGCGATGGTGGCCGGCCACCACAAGCCCTGCTCGCCCAGGATCTCGACGTGCGTTCCCGTCTCCACGATGGTGTGCCCCGCCTGCTTCGCCGTCTCGTCCACCCGCAGCCGCTCCCGCCGCTCCCTCTGGCCCTCCCTCGCCGTCGGAAGGGCGTAGTTCGGGCCGCTCTCCTCCACGCCGGCCAGCACGTCCGCGGCGCTCACCGCCTCGACGTCCATCGCCTCCTCCGCCGCCGGCTCGGTCGTGCCGCCCGCTGCCTCGCGTTGTCTGCGCTGCCGCTCGCGCTCGTGGTGTGCTGCTCGGCGCTCGACGCCGCCGCCCTCGTGCACACACGCCGCCTGCGGTGCCATCTCGCCGCAGGGCGAAGGCCAACCGCAAATTTCGCACAAACTCCGTACAAAGCCCCTTCGAACGCGCGAAAGCGCCGGCTTTCGAACCTCGGCGCCCGCCCTCTTTCTGGCCGCGTCCCTCCCCTGTCCGATCTTCTGCATTCACTCTTTACATACATAAATAAACTCGGAGTTGTCGGGGCTCGGCCTCGGGGACGCGCGAACGGCTAGAGACTAGAGTTCGATAGAGTGTAGTCTGTAGAGTCTAGAGAGCCGTACTCTAGCTGCCGCCTGGGGGCTGGGGCTGGGCGCTGCAGGGTGCAGCCTGCAGGCAGGTGGTGGTGGTGCTGGTGGATTGGTGATTGCGGGCTTAGGGGACCCCTAGGCTTAAAAGGGTGGGCCCTGGGGCGCCTGCGGCTTAAACGGCTTAAAACTGGCCCGGGCCGGTTTTAAGAGCTGCTGGGCCGCCGATTCCTTAAACGGTCTTAAACGCTTAAACGGTGCGGGAGAGCTCCCGAGGTCGATGGTCCGGGAGGCTCCCGGTAGACGCCGGAGGCCGGGAAGCTGGCTACAGTCAGCTAGCACGCGTCCCCTATGCGAGTATGGCTCCTACCAGTGCACCAGACTTACAGATGTGTCTTCAGAGGCGGGTTTGTGCCTAATAACGGCAGTATTGGAGAAACCGCTAACCGGCGCGGACCGAGCGACGCGTGCCGGTGAGGCCGATTTTCTTAAACGGTCTTAAAAGAGTGACCCCCCGTGCCTGCAATCTCTTAAATGGCAATTTAAGCCCCCAAACCTCCTCATTTCTTAAAAGCGCTTAAAAAATCCGGCCCTCAGAACCCTAGGGGTCCCCTAAGATTGCGGGCCATCCATACAGTCGTGCTGCTGTACATGCTGGTGTGCCGCTGTCGTGCCCACCGATCCGTCGTACCCTCCTCAAGTGCACCTTCCCATGATCTGGGAAGTCCGCTGCCATTCGGCCATATCACTAAGTTGGCCCTAAACCTCGCACACTCTTCTGACACAAATCTGAACAGGGCTCCAGGCCCCAAATGACGTGTGAGTGTTAGAGTTGTTTGGTATTGCTCCCGCTAACGGATCTTAGACCTCCCTCCACACCCACCGGCTCCCGGTGACGCCAGGTGGCCTTCTACCTCGCTTGGATCTCGATCCGACTGATCTACTATACTCAAGTACCCGTACCTGTTCGTCGTGTTCACGAGCCAGTCATCTTGCTTGTCTCTCTCCTTTCCACCTCCCTCCCTCATACACCCTAACCCGTTCGCCCCGTTGAAATCCGAATCCGCATCGCATAAACGTCCCGCGCCGATTCTTGTGATGATGACGCTCATCCTACTCAGTCTCTCGCTAGCGCACGGCTATGTCGCAAGAAACTTCAACAGACCGCGGCGCATCGCCGCCGTACCCGCCATGCAAGCGTCCTCGCATTGGCCGCCCCCTCTAGATGACGAAGCGGTGGTTCACGTGTTTGATATTGGCTTTCGGAATGGGAAGGGCGAAAATGTGCAGATGGCGCTGACGCAAGTATCCAACGAGAAGCGGGCGGTGCTCGCGTTTTGGCGGTTCGCATACGAGCAGGAAACGGGAGGCGAAGCCAGCAAGATAACCCGCGTGCAAGCTGAGCTCCGGGCACAGATGGCGCTTGCCGCGAGCGCCGGCGCAGCTGGCGTGACCATGGGGGCCTACCTTCATGGCCTCGAGAAAGAAGAGCACGCCATCGCCCTCGTGCGCTTTGAGAGCGAAACCACAGGCTTGGAAACGGGTGCCAGTGCGAAGGTGATGTTCATCGACACGGTGTTGGTAACTCCCACCGGAGTGCCGGTGCAACTGCGAGCACCACTGCACAAGGCCATGGTAACATCACTCCGCACGCTCGGAGAGGCCAACGGCATGACCGTGCGGCTGTGGACGGACTACAACGCCTGATGCGTACCTACGGCGAAGCACACAGCCGCTGGGTGGAAGCAGGCGTCGGCAACCATCTGTACCTTGCAGGGGTTGTGACGCTCAAGGAGTCCGACACCCTGCTTTGTCCACACCGTCGCGCCCCGCGGGGTGGGCCCGCCCGACCCACAATTTCAGCGAGTGTCGGGAGGACGCTGAAGCGTCTCTAAACACACAAAGTGGCAATTCGCGCTAGTACGAAAAGACGAGTTTCCCTCCCCGGATCTGGAGACATGTGCCCACCATTGTGCTTTGCAAACCGACACAGAAAGAAAGAAACTTGGGAGACACAGCATCGAGGATCGAGGATCGAGGAGAGCACACAACAATAACAATCAAATACTACGACGTCGAAATACTACAGTGGGACCGCTCCCTCCAGGTAGGTTGACGCTCAAGCCGTCCCCCACTCGTAGAATGGAAGTTGGAACGCTGATCACCCGCCAGCCGAGTCCGAACGCCCGGCCGGGCAACTAGGTCATTGAGGCCCCGCCCCTCTCTCCCGGAAGACGCGCGCCGGCCCGGGTGACTCGCTTGCGAGGTAGATCCCGTTCCAGCCAGAGGCCGCGTGACCACCACAGGGACGGCTGGTCGAAGGAGGAGAGGTCATCCGGATGTGGGCGGGACGCCCCCGGGCACCTGGTTGCTCTCCTCTTCCAGAGTCCCTCCCGACGGGGACCGGTCTTGGGCCATTCCAACGGCCAGGCCGCTCGCTTAAGGCTGATTGGCTAGACGAGCGGTCTACCTCCAACGGGGCGGTCCGGGAACGCGTGGAACCTGCCCACCTCGGTGGGAGGTGGTTTGGCGCCGACGGACCGCCCTCTCCACCACCCTCGCCCAGGGATCTACAACGCTGTCTTAAGGTCCGACAGGTTCGGCACCGGGCACCGCCTCGGTATACAAAATGCGCCTGCGGGCGGACCCTCACAGATCACAGATCACCCGCCAGCCAGCCGCCGCAAGGAGGCGACGCTTGAGCAGCGTCGGCCCATTGGGTTTGCGCACGCCCCGGCTGTCGGGCAACAGGATGAGAGGGGCCGTCCACCTCGATCGCGACGCGTGACGAGGGCAGCGCCAGGTCGAGAGAGTAGCCGGTGCGCAACTCCTGTGCGAAGGAGTCGCTGATCACGCGCGGCAGTCGGCAAACAGCGCCTGGTGATACTGGTCCGCCATCGCATACGCCCACACAGTGTTGGACAGCGCCTGCGGGCTGAAGCCGGCCAGCCCGCCGCGCACCGCCGCCTCTGCCACCGCCGCGTACAGCGCCTCCGCAGCCACGCCCGCCGTCGCATACGCCCACACAGTGTTGGCCAGGTCCTGCGGCTTGAAGCCTGCCAGCCCGCCGCGCACCGCCGCCTCCGCCACCGCCGCGTAGAGCGAGCGCACCTCACTCACTGGCAGCCGGCACTTGGCCGCACCGTGAGCGATATTTGCCAGTGCTCGCGCATTGCACGACGAGACGAGGACGAGCGTGCGCTGCACCAGCCGCTCAAGCTGCTCCTCGTGCCGCCGCTCGTTGCGCTGCTTGCCCAGTTTGTTCCACAGGTTCGCAGCGTGGATGTGGTCCAAGCTCGTGCTGTGGGCAGCAGAGAGCGTGAGCAGTGCGTCACGCGTTGCTAGCCTGGCTTATCAAAGCGGTGCTTCCGAGGGTCGACCTGACCACTGCCATCAGCACAGTGGCTAGACGAGGGGCGCTCATTAGGCACTCGTGCGTCGTGGCTCTGCCGGTCGCGTCTTCGCTCATTGAGGATCGGCGGACCCGCCCTGCGATCGCTGTGCTGAGGCTGCCCCTGGTTATAGGTGTGCCTGAGATTGTGGGACCGGTCATCGCGCTGATCGTAGTAGTCGCGCTCGCGCTCGCCTCTGCGCCGACGATCGTCGTAGCCGCGCCGCCCGTGGCATCGTCGTGCCACCCGTCATCGTTCCATTTCGGCTCATCGCGCCATTGCGACTCGCCCCGCCATCGCTGCTCGTCGCGTCCGCATTCGTCGCGCCGTTGCGGTTCGCCGCGGCGCCAGCATCGCTCGGCTCAGATCGTACATTGTTTGCGGACGGACGAGGGCTGGTTGCCGGCGTCCACTTTGGGGGGGGGGGGGGGCTTTTTGACCCTCGAGACCGGGGTTGGCGTTGGGGGCTTTGTACCCGGTCGCGCAGCGCCGCATGCGCTGCGCGCGTCGCGTGCCCCCACTGCAACATCAGGCTCGGCCCGATGTAGTGTTTTTTTCACTCTACACTTTTCGTTGCTACACCGTCTCTCAAATCGAGACTCACGAGAGATGGGCAGTCCCCGATAAAGAGCCTACGCTCTAGCTGGCGCGCGCAAACTCGTCGAGAGAAGGACTCATGGAGTCGAGACGACTGGGACTGCCGTGCCGGGTCGCTGCCAGCGCGCCAGGGGGCACAGAATATGACACACGTACTACCCTCTGCCTCGGACTCACGCCAGCGGGTCGTGCTTGAAGTGGACTCCCTTGAGCCGAGTGAAGGCCTTGAAGCCGTGCGCCGAGAGGCTGGCGCCCTTGCCCGACGCCTTTGCGCCGGTCCACGGCAGCAGCGGGTCGAGGTAGTCGCACCGGTTCATAAAGACGGTGCCCACGTCGACGCGCGCCGCAAAGGCCTCGGCGCGTTCGACGTCGGAGGTGAAGATGCAGGCGGTCAGGCCAAAGGGCGAGTCGTCCACCGCCTCGGCCGCCTCGGCATCGGAGGCGACCTTGCACACGCCGAGCACGGGCCCAAAGGACTCGTCGCGCATCAGCGCCATCGAGTGGTCGCAGCCGTCGAGTAGCGCCGGAGCGAAGAAGCGGCCGCGCCCCGTCGCGGGGCACGCCGTCTCGACGCCGCCGCACAACAGCCGCGCCCCCTTGGCCGTCGCGTCGAGCACCTGCCCGCGCAAAAAGGCGGGCGCGGAGGGGAGAGCGAGCGGGCCGAGGCTGGTGGCGCCGTCGCGCGGGTCGCCGAGCCGGTACGCCCTCACGAGCTCAAGCGCACGCGCCACAAACTCCTCGTGTACCGTCTCGTGCACATAGACCCGCTCGATGGCGCAGCACGACTGCCCGGCGTTGTAAAAGGCGCCGTCGACGAGCGACGCGGCGGCGGCGGCGACGTCCGCGTCGGCAGCCACGTACGCGCCGTCCTTGCCACCCAGCTCGAGCGTCGTGTCGATGAAGCGGCGGCTCGCGGAGGCGTGGACCGCGTGGCCCGCCTTGACCGAGCCGGTGAATGAGACGAGGCCAACCTGCGGCAGCTCGATGGCCGCGTGCACCGCCTCGTTGCTGCAGGGTAGCGCCTGTGGGGAGGGGTGGCGAGAGGGCGGTGAGGCTTGTGGTGGTGCGGTGAGGCTTGTGGCGGTGAGAGGGCTGAGGGCGCGACTAGAAAGGGCCCTCCAACGGGCTCGCCTGCACGAGGCCCGCCGGCGCGCCGGCGGCGGCGAAGGCGCGCTCAAAGGCGTCGGCGCACAGCGGCGTGCGCGGCGAGTGCTTGAGCTGCACGGCGTTGCCGGCGAGCACCGCAGGCACCACGCAGTTGACGGCGGTCAGCAGCGGGTAGTTCCACGGCGCAATGGCGAGCACGACGCCGACAGGGACCTTCTCGATGCGCCGCGTGAAGCTTGGCTTCTCGGGGAGCTGCTCCGGCGCGAGGGACGCCGGCGCGAGCGCCATCATCGCCTCGGCGCGCTCGCGGACCCCGCGCACCTCGCCGCGGCTCGCCGCGAGCGGCTTGCCCATCTGCGCCGTGATGTCGGCCGCGACCCGATCCACGTCCGCCTCGAGCGCGTCGAGGAACCGGCCGCACAGCTCCACTCGCTCCGCGACCGTCGTCTCCGCAGCCCACTCGCGCTGCACCCGCGCCGCGGCGACCGCCTGCGAGTCATAGGCTGAGGCTGCTGACTGCTCGTGCCGACGTGTGCGTGTGCGTGGGTCCTCTGAAGGCTGCCTGCGCGACCGCCTCCGACGCCCCGAGCAGCCGCACTCGCGCCGCCTCGGAGCCGTCGTACGGGTTGTCGACCACAACCTCTCCCGGCCTGGCTGCCGGCGCGCCCAGCGGCTCGCCCAACCGCCCCGCCGCGCCGACGAGCTGCGAGCCGGCGAGGCCCGGCGGCGGGTAGCGTGCCTCCGCCCGCGGCCCGCGCACGTGGTCGAGGTCTCGCCGCCGCTGCGGCAGCACGAGGTGCTGGAGCCAGTTCGCTATCTCGCGGGCGCGGCGCGCGGGGTCGATGACATCGTCGCCGACGGCGAGCCGGCGCCGCAGCTCGAGATTGGACGGGTCGGCGGCGAGCGCCTCGAGGTCGCGCGAGTAGCGGAGCAGCTCCTCCTCGCTCGAGTACTGCGCGCGGCGGCAAGAGGCGCGGCGGTGAGAGACGGCGTGGCGAGGGGTGGCGGTGAGGGGCGGTGAGGGGCGGCGGCGGCGGGGAGGGGGGATGGGGGGATGGGGGGGGGGCGCTGAGAAGGAGGTGCCGCCGCACCTCCCCCTGCTCGACCAGCAGGCTGCGCGACGCCGGCAGCCGCATCAGGCGGGCAATCTCGCCGAGGTCAAGCTCGGGGTGGTACTGGACCGACCAAAACTCGCCGCCGTCGATGCGGACGGCGAGCCCTTGCACCGGCGTGAAGTCGTTCGACGCGAGCACCTCCGCCTCGACGCCGGGCCTGCACACGGGCGCCGCGGCCCAGCTGGCCGCGACGTGGTCCGTGTGCGCGGCGCAGCCGTCAAAGGTCTGGAGGCAGCCGTCAAACATCGGGTGGCGCCGCCCCGACCGAGTGAGGGCGATGCCGCGCGCGATGCCGTGCTCGCGCCCCCGCGGGTTGGGCTCACACGGGATGCCCGCCGCGGCCGCCGAGATCTGGAGGCCCCAGCAAGAGCCGTACTGCGGCACGGCGGCCTGAAAGCAGCGGCGCGCGAGCTCGATCTGGCGCGTCACCTCGGGCTTGTCCTCGTGGATCGTGAGCGAAGACCCCGTCCCTGCGCCACCGAGCGTGCTAAGGCGAGCGAGCGAGCGGGCGGTGGGGCGGGCGCTGCGAGAGGGCGGTGGGCGGGCGCTGCACTCACAGACGACGCCGTCAAAGCGCGAGAGTTCGCCAACTTCAGCGAGCTCGTGCACCGAGTCGGCCGGGTGGCAGTACGAGAGGCGCAGCTCGTGATCTTCGGGGCAGATGCGCGAAAGCAGCGCCGCAAACGTGTCTGACGCGGTTGTGCAGCCCGCAGAGGTGAGGCGCTCCCGGCCCGCGCGATCATATGCCTCGACGATGAGCAGCCGGAGTGGTGTAGCGGGCGTTGAAGTGGCAGTGGTGGCGGCGGCGACGGAGGACCTGGCGGAGAAGGCTCGCCGCGGCAGCCGAATCGAGAGCGGCGGCCGCCGAGCCCGCGGAGGCATTGGCCGCGTCGGCAGATATCGAACGGAGAACAGGGGGGGGGACGGGTGGCGCTCGCCAAATGCGGACGTTTGGAATTCTGTTACAGATTCTTAATTAGATTCTCGGATGCGGGGAATCTCAGATTCTCGCTTTTCAGATGCATCTACAAGCGCCCCGCCCATGGTTCATTGGCAACCGAAAACGTCCGTTCCCCCAGCGAAGGTCGTAGCGCCCCCCCGCTGCATTTGGCGAGCGCCACCTCCTCCCTGCCGACGATGAGGGCGCTGCGAGGTGTCAGCCGCCGTCTATCCACGCCGGCGCTCAAGCCACCGTCCGCCCACGCGCTCGGCTGGCGCGTCACTCCGGTCGCCCACGCCCTGGGAGCCGAAATTGAGGGCGCCGACCTCTCTCACATCGGTGCCACCGAGTTTGCGGCGGTCCGCGAGGCGCTCCTTCAGTACGAGGTGATCTTCTTCCGCGATCAGGCGTCCTTCGATCCGGCAGCGCACCGCGCGCTCGCCCAGCTCTTTGGAGGCGTGCAGACGCACCCCGCATACGCCACCGTCGAGGGCTTCCCAGAGATCACGATCCTGGAGAATGACCGCGAGCGGCCGTCGCTGATCGAAAAGTGGCACACCGACATGACGTTCCGACCGCGACCGCCACTCGGGTCGATCCTGCACGGCATCGTCATTCCCGACGGCGGGCGCGGCGACACCGAGTTCCTCTCGATGTCGGCGGCGTTCGAGGCGCTCGAGCCGAGCCTGCGGCGGCGGCTTGCGGGGCTCGAGGCGGAGCACTCGTTCGAGCACGGCTTCAAGGAGAGCCTGTCGCAGCCGGGCGGGCGCCAGCGGCTGGCGCAAGCCCTGGCCGATAACCCGCCGGTGACGCACCCAGTCGTGCGGACCCACCCAGAGAGCGGCCGGCAGAGCCTCTTCGTCAACGGGCTCTTCACCACGCGCATCTTGGGGCTCGGCGAGGGCGAGTCGGCGGAGCTTCTCGGCTTCCTGCAGGAGCACATGGAGCAGCCGCGCTTCCGCTGCCGCTTCCGTTGGCGCCCCCACTCGGTCGCCATCTGGGACAACCGGCTGACGCAGCACCGGCCGGTGAACGACTACTGGCCTTCGCACCGAAAGCTGCAGCGCATCACCATCGACGGCGACCGCCCCTTCTACCGCGCCGCGGAGGCGGCCTAGGAACGGCAGCGGGCGGTGTTCGTAGAATCGTCGTAGTCTAGTAGGCCGTGCGCTGACCGCTGTTGCGCGTCGGCGTGCCCTGCGCCCTTGTGGAGCGCAAGTTCATGCGTAGTGTCGGTTTTCTTCTTTGGTGTACCTGTGCTAGTGCCATGTCCCGTGCAATATGGATCAAGATTCTTTGAAAAGCGTCGATTTTTGCCAAGAGGACGATTTTTTAGCACCTTGACGTGCATTTCAACCACGGGCAAAGGCCAAAAGTTTTGAAAAAAGAAATCAGCGCGCCGACACGACTCGGACTCGCCTCGGGGCAGGATGTCCAGCGCGCTGAGCGCCTACGAACTCCAGAGGCTTGACAACATCCAGGCGAACCAGCGAGCGCTCGCTGATCTCGGCCTCCCGGACGCAGCCGCGGCGGTGCGAAAGGTCAAGCCACGGGTTGAGCGCTCGAGGCCACCGCCAAGGCCACCGCCGGAATCTGTGCGCAAGTCGTCGCGGGTTCAAAACCTACCCAAGCGCGACTACACTGAGGTGAGTGAGACATCCGCTCTTGAACCGCAGCTCTTCCGCAAGAAGTTTCGGCGCGTGGACGCCCAGGCCGTGCGCGTGCGCGATGAGCCTCCGCTGAGGGGCGCGGCGGGCGCGGCGACTTCGTCGGCGAAGGCTCTCCCGCCGTCGCAGCAGCCCTTCTCCGCCGCGCGACGTGCGCTGCGGACGAGCCGTGCGCGGCTGAGCGCGCAGCACCGGGTCACGCTCCCCGCGATGCGACGGCTCGCGCGGCGTGGAGGTCTGAGGCGGGTCACGAGGCGGGAGCTAGGGCCCTCTGCGCCGTACTACGCTGCGCCGGTGGTGCCGCGCGAGGGTGGACTCGACCTGCGCCTCTCCTCGCGGTCCGCGACCGGGTACGAGGGCGTGGTGAGGCATTGCGTTAACGGCCGCGTCTCGTTCAAGGCGCAGGGGCCGTCCGACGGGGGGAGGCGGAGACATGGACTCCCTCGCCGCGCCCGCGACACGCTCCCACGGCGCGTGGCACGTGCCCGTAGGAAGACGCTCGGCTACTTCGGGACCGCCGTCGAGGCGGCGGTGACGTACGCGCGGCACTGCGCCGAGCTCGAGGCTTCGTCGGGACTTGGCAGCGGGAGCGGTCCGGGGGCGGGAGAGCGTGGCCGGCGAATGCGCGGACCGTGAGATGCTGTCACTGCAGGCGACGTGCAGCGGGAGTGGCGGGGGCGGCTCTTGCGCCTCAGCCGCAGGTCGAGCACCGGGTACCTGGGAGTGTACCGCTGGGCGGAGGGGCAGCAAGGCAAGCCCTTCAGCGCCTTCTCTCCGCGCCAGGGAGACGGGCGCAAGATCTGCCTCGGCTCTTTCGGCAGCCGCAAAGAGAGAAGAGAAGAGAGAGGGCGGCTCTCCGAAGTGGTTGAGTCGGAGGGCTGAGCCGTCCGCCCGGCTGCTCGCCCCTCAGGCAGCGCGCTCGAGGCTGCGGTTGCGTACGCGGACTTTGTCGACCCGAGCCCGCCCAGCAACGCCGGCGAGCCGGCGAGGGCCGGCGAGCCGGCGAGGGCTGGAGAGGAGCCGTCCGACGCCAGGGCGAGGGCGAGCGGGGGCACGGCAGCGGAGCCGGCGGCGGGGGCGAGCTCTCCGCCCCCTCCGCCTCGCGCGGCTGCTGCTGGACGCGACGCCGGCGGCCGAGCCGAGGCCCGCGTCCGCTTCTCGGACGGAGTCATTCTCCACTGGAACGAGCGCAACTCGACCGGCTACGAGGGGGTGGCGTACGTGGCGTGGCGGCGCTGTCGAGGCGAGTCGACGCGCGACCAGGGGAAGACGAGGCGCGGCACCGCTCTCTAGGCGAGGCTGGCCAAGCCGTTCCGCGCCGTCGCGCCGATGGTCGACGGCTTGCCAGGCGCGCCTCTCGCGCGGCGTTGTGCGGCGTCGGCTGCAGCGTGAACTTTTCTCGCTGTGACCGCTCCTCCCCTCTTGGAGCAGGTCCGCACCTCGGCTACTTTGGAACCGCTGTCGAGGCGGCGGTGGCGTACGCGCGGCACTTGCAGGCGGCGGGCGGCAGGCACATTGGCGGCGGGGAGCGGGAGGAGGGGGGCGGAGAGGGGGAGGAGGGGGAGGAGGGGGAGGAGGGGGAGGAGGGGGAGGAGGAGGAGGCAGCGGAGGAGGCGCCGCTGCCGCAGCTGAAGCGTGACGAGGCGCCCCCTGGCTTCGTCGGCAACGGCGAGGCGCGGAGGCGCCTCAGCTCGCTCAAGGACGCGTCTGCGATCCTCTCCTTCTCCGAGCGCCATCCGGAGGCGTGCCGCAGCGTGGCAGGCAGCGGCGGGGGAGGGCCGGCTGCTCCTCGGCTACACTTCGGCCGCACCTCGGCCGACCCTCGGCTGTAGGCGCTGGCGGGCGAGGGCGGGCGCGCACGTACTACGACGCCGCCAAGCTGGAGGTTTGGCGGCTCGAGCAGTCGCGCTCGCGGCGGCGGCCGCCGGCGCAGGAGGAGGAGGAGGAGGAGGAGGGGAAGGAGGAGAAGGAGGGGTCCAGGGATGAGCCGCCGCCCGACTCGCCCGCCGAGGCGTCGGCCTCCGCTGCAGCGCCGGCGCGCCGGCCTTCGCGTGCGTCCGCTGAGGCGCGGGCGGCCGCAAAGGCGGAGCAGGAAGCAGAGGGGGCGGCTGCCAAACGGAAGAGGAGGCCCGCACCGCCCGCGGCCGAAGCCGTAGTCGCCGTGGCGTGGGTGGGCGGGTGCAGGCGCACGGAAGGTTGCGTCAAGGAGTTCCGTCACCGCGGGCGGTGCAGGGTAGCCGCCTTCGAGGAGGTGGACTACGAGGTGGAGAGCATCCTCGAGGAGCGATGCGAGGCGCGGCGGACGCAGTTCCTCGTCAAGTGGAAGGGCTGGCCGATCAGTGACGCGACGTGGGAAGACGAGGCGTCTCTGAGCGGTGCGCCGGAGGTGGTGCGGAAGTGGCGTGCCAGGTGTTTGAAGGGTGAGCTGTGAGCTGCTTGAGAGATGGGGTTGGCCGATTGTGAACACACGGGGACCTCTCCGGACGCTGTCGAAGCACGTGGGCTGGGTGCGCTGCGGGTGGGGTCTATCGAGCACCGTTTTTTTTTCTTGGAGAACGCTAGTCTCCCGCGCCGACGCGCGGTGAGTCTCATGAGCAGTCATGTGGTGAGGTTGGCAGGTTCGTGGTGTCGACCCCCCCGCGCCGGCGCGCGCCCGCGCGCGCCCCCGGTGTGTGAGAGTCAGATAACACAGAATAATTCCGTCAAAAAACGAGAAAAGGCCCCGACGCCGCTCTCTCGTCTCTGCTCTGTGCTCTCCGCTGGAGCGCTGGTCTCCCTCTTAACGTAACACCGGGACCACGAAAGTACCACAGTACGATTGTCCTAACACCGGGACCAAAAAGTACACACTACGAGTACGAGCCTTTAGAGGCGAGAGAGGAGAAGCAGAGCGCATAAAGTAGTGTAGAGCGTACAGGAGTGAACGTACAAGTAGAGCGGCGACGCACAGCTCAGTGCTCAGACCATTTCCATCTGCCGCCAAGAGACGCCGCTGCAGCGGTTCCAGAAGCCGTCGCACATCGCCAAGCACTGCATGGCGGCGTTCGAAGAAGGCCCCGCGGTGATTGCCGCGTCGCCCTCCTCCTCGCCTGCGCCCTTCGGGCGCCACTCCCGCGGGCGCTGCCACCAGAGGACCCAGCGCGCGAAGGCGCGCGGGACGGGGATGCCCTGCACCTGGAGGTCGTCGGTCCGGTAGCGCGGCGCATCTTTGCGGTCGTGGAGGAGGTAGCGCCGCGACGAGCAGTGCGGGCTGAAGAGGATGCTGTAGTCCTTCCGAAAGCTCGGCTGGTCCTCGGGCGGGAAGAAGAGGACGGGATGAGCGGAGTAAGAGCGGAGGACGCGCACAAAGTACAGCATGTTGTCCTCGCAGACGCGGGGCGGGATGGTGAAGAGCGGCGCGCCCGCGAGCGGGTAGAAGAAGTTGGGGAAGCGCGACGCCTCGGCCTGATCGCGAAGTGCACCCTCCACATAGAAGGAGATGTCGACCTTGCCGATCTCGTAGCCGGTCGCCAGCACGACGAGGTCCGCGCGCAGTTCACGGCCAGAGGCGAGGACGACGCCGTCGGGCGTGTAGGCGCGCAGCGGGTCGGCCTGGCCGTCGACCACCGAGATGCGGCCATCGATCACCGCAGACCGGAAGCCAAGGTAGTCGAACGCGCGCCGCGTGCACTGCACCGGCTGCCCCGGGCTGGGCTGGCACGCGGCAGGGAGAGGCGCGCGGAGCATGTAGTCCCGAAGCCACACCCACCACCGCAGCACGAACTCGATGCACCGAGCGCCGTCGAGCAGGGTGATGAAGTCGTTCCGCAGCTCGTACACCCACCGCCAGAGCGTGTAGAGCCAGGCTCGCTGCGGCAGAGCCACCTTTGAACGCACCGTCATGTACGGCATCGTCCGCCGCAGCACGGTGACGGAGCGGGCGACGGGCGCGACGGTGGGTGCGAGCTGAACCGCCGTCGCGCCGCAGCCGACGATGAGGATACGCTTGCCTTTGTACTCGGCCAGGTCGCTGCCGCACTCCGACGAGTGGCGGATCACGCCGCCAAAGCTCGCCTCGTTGGCGATGCCGTTCGGGCGCCTCACAAACTTGGCCGAGATGGAGGCTGTGCAGAAGATGATGAAAACTGCGTGGAATCGGCCCTGGCTCGTGTCGAGGGTCCACTCGTCGCCGCCGAAGCGGAGGGCGATGACTCGGCAGCCGAATCGGAACTTCTCGAGCCCGACGTACTCTGCTGCCACCATCTCACAGTAGGATAGGATCTCGTCTCGCCGTGCAAACTGCGAGTGGAAGTTGGGGCGTGGGAGAAAGGTTGGCAGGTACGACGGGACCTCGGTGTCTGTCCCGGCTCCTGGGTAGTCATGGTCTCGCCAGGTGCCGCCGACGCCATCGCCATTCTCCTCGAAGACGGTGAAGTCCTCTATGCCTTGCTTGCGGAGAAATGCGGCGGCCGTGAGGCCTGTGATGCCGGCGCCAAGGATGGCGACGGTGGGAGACCGCAGAGCGGCCGTCGAAGAGCGGCGCATCGTCCTCGGCTGCTCAGCACCACCAAAGGCCGCTCTGCATCGTCCTCGGCTGCTCAGCACCACCAAAGGCCGCTCTGCGTCGTCCTCGGCTGCTCAGCACCACCAAAGGCCGCTCCCTGCGTCGTCCTCGGCTGCTCAGCACCAACCAAAGAGTGGAGGGGGGGACGGACGCGCGCAGGTTTGATTTCTTTTTACTAAAATTCTTTTTGGCAAAAGATAAAGAAAGCAAGCAGTAGCAATGGACAAAAATCCGAGAACGAGCCCCAACACGGCCGTATCGGAGCCTCTCGGGCACTCTTTGCTGTCTCGTCTAGTAGGGGTTGTATTTTCGGGTACTTACGGACAGCCCTCTCCACCACCCTCGCCCAGGGATCTACATTTCTCTCGGCACACTGCCACCGCGCCACCGCCGCACCGGCGACCGGGCACCGCCTCGGTATACAAAATCTGTCTGCGGGCCGACCCTCACCGCTCACCGCTCACTAGGCCCCTCCGTAACACGCCCAGCCCCCCACGCTACTCGAGTACCGCCCCCTCACTGCAACGACGACACGACGAGGACTGCACCATTCGCACCTGCCGCAGCCAGAGTGTCGGGCTGCTGCGGGTTGCGTCCCCGCGCCCTCCCTGATCCCTCCCTCCCTCCTCAAGCTCCCAGGATAGCCCGCGCCGCGTGCGGCTTAGCAAGCCAGCCCTTGGAAGGCCGCGGCCACCTCCTCCTCGGCGCGCCCGAGAGGCGTGGGCAGGCTGAGGGGCGACACGCTGCGCGGCGCCGGCGAGGGCTTGAGGGGCGGGCTCCTCTTTGGCAGCTCCTGCTGCGGCCGGGCGCACGCCTGGCAGCTCGACCAGCTCACCGCGAGCGGCATCACGTACGCGAGCCACACGTCGACAAAGGCGCCCTGCTGGGCCTGCTGGGGGGCGGCGGCGGCGAGGAGGTCCGCCAGCTGGTAGCCGACCAAGCACAGCTGCACGGCGTGCCCGCGCTGCCTCGCGCCCCAGAGGTGGTGCGTGTCGGGCGACCACGGCTCCGCCGCGCGCAGGATGATCTTGGCGGCGGGGACGCGCGGGTCGTCCACGTGCTGACGCGCGAGTTCGGCGGGCGACAGGCACGCCTCCGCCTCGGAGCTAGCCTCGGAGGGTGGCAGAGCCGACGGCGAGACCGCCCCGGGCGAGCCCTCGGGCGGGGTGGCGGACCCCTCGGGACGGGACGGGGCCGGGCGGGCGTGGGGCGAGCAGCCCGCCCGCAGCAGCTCGACGGCGCGCTGCGGCGTGAGGACGCGCACGTGGTGCAGCGGGAGGTAGCGGTACGAGGCTGCGATCCACTGGTGCAGCTCCCGGTTGCCCGAGTCGCGTGCGAGCGTCTCCGCCTCCGACGGCCGCACGACGATGCCAGTGGCGTCGAGGTAGTCTGGCCCGCGTTCGGCGCCGTACGAGGAGAGCAGCATCGCGACGTGAAGGTGCCCGTCCTGCGCGGCGACCAGCATCGGCGAAGCGCCGTTCTGCGTGCGCGCGTTGACGCGAGCGCCCGCCTCGCACAGCAGCGAGGCGCATCTCAAAGAGCCTAGAGTGCCGTCAGCGGGGTGAGGCGCAGGCGTCTGCGGAGTCTTACCTCCGTCGCGGGCTGCGAGCCGGCGCACGCGGCGGCGTACAACGGCGTCGCGCCCGGATTGTCGCCAGTCATGGGCTGCTCAACATCCGCGCCCGACGCGAGCATGAGCGACGCGCACTCGGGCTGGTCGGCCAGGCAGGCGATGAGGAGGGGCGAGCGTCCATATGCGTCAACGGTGGCGTGGTCCGCACTTGCATCGAGCAGAGCCTTGGTGATGGCAACGTGGCCCCGGGCGCAGCTCACGTGCAGCGCCGTCTCGAGATCGGGGCCGCACCGGGCGTCGAGGTCCGCTGTCGCTGTCGCCTCAACCAGCAGCTCGGCGCACCTCCTTTTATTGTGCATGATGGCGAGGAGCAACGGTGTAGGCTCGCGCGTAAAGAGCTCGTTGGGGCCGCTCAAATACCGAACTGGTCGTGGGGCAGTCAGAGCGCCCGCTTGGATCAAGAGCCGAAGCTGGTCCGCGTCGCCGTGCGTGGCGGCGGCAAAGAGTGAGTCCCGGACGTTCTTGGGTGTGGGCACCGCGAGGATGGGCTCTGGACGGAGCTCCTCGGCGGGCTGCGGCATGGGCTCTGGACGGAGCACGGATGGCGACACGCAGCACGATTGAGCAGAGCTTTTGCACGCTCGTAATTTTTCTTCTTTCCTGCTTTTTATACTCCCTTCCCGCCGCCCTCCTCAATGTCCTCACGCTACGCCCACACACTCTCCGCCCACTACCTCGCCCTTGGCCGCGTTCGCGTCGGGCTCGGCTCCTCCGCGCGCGCCCTTCCACTGTCATAGGCGGCTCAGGGCACTCCCCTCGGACTGCACGCGCCGCAGCCTCCCGCCACTGGAACTAGCGCCCGCCTCGAGCTGGCTCTCGTTGAAGCTCACCAGGCTCCCCTTGGAGTGCGCTTGCCTGAGCCGTCCCGTCGCCACCGCCGCCTTGGCCGCCGCCCACTTGGTCCTCTCCGACCGCGGCGACCCGCTGCCGCCCGGCGACCCGCCGCCGCCCGCCTCCCTCCCCTCCGCCGCCCGCCCGCTGGAGGAGGGCGTCCTCGGCCTCAGCCGCTCCTCCCTCGGCATCGCCTCGAGGGCGCGGACCACGGCCTCGAACTCGGGCCGCTCCGCCAGCTCGGCCGACCAGCCCGCAGCTACCAGCCCGCGCAGCTGGGCCGGCCACGCCTTGCCGAGAGGAGGCCGGTTGCCTCCGCGGCACGCCTCGCGCAGGAAGACCGAGGGCGTCATGAACTCGAAGGGCTTGCGGCGCGAGAGCATGTGGTACAACAGCGAGGTGAAGGAGAAGACCTCCGCCTTGTGGTTGTACGGCTGCGAGAGGGCAACCTCGGGCGCCATGTACCGGAGCGAGCCCGTCATGCCGGTGAGCGGCCGGACGGCGGCGTCGTCCTCCGCGTCCTTTTTCCAGAGCGAGAGCAGCCCAAAGTCGGCGAGCACGACGCGGCCGTCGGAGAAGACTCCAACGTTGTTTGGCTTGATGTCGCGGTGGAGCAGCCTGTTGCAAGCGGCGGCAGGGAGGCAGCGTGAGGCACGGGGATGCGGGGGGGGGGGGGGGGGCAAGACGAGTCTCGGCGGTGACGCACCTGTAGCCGGGCAGGAACTCATCGTGGGGCTTCAGCTCGTCGTCGCTGATGGTATATGGCGGCGGCGGCGGCTGCTCGCCCGTCCCTCCGACCGCAATTCCGATCCCGCCGCGCTCGCGGGAGGTGGCGCGCCCACCGCGGCACGGCCGTGGCTGCGCATCGACTTACGCTTTTGTCTATCTGAAGGATGAAGTTACTTCAGGAAGTAAGTATATTCACTGCACTATAGCACGGGCTCGCACCCCCCAGCCGCTTACTAGGAACCCCTCGCCTTATTGTTTGGCCCCCCCAGGCCACACACAGACCTCTAGACCGGTCACTGGGGCCGACAATTAGGGTTCAAACACGCCCGGGAGACAGCCCAAACACAGTTACTTCATAGTTACTTCTGCGGCATTCTCGCGCACATGTCGGCCGAGCGCGCGCCCCCTGCTGCCGGCAAACGGTCTCCTGAGAGCCCTCCTACACCCTTGCCACCCCCCCAGCCCAAGACATCATCGAGGTCCGGAATGCGCGCGCCGTCAGGCTGCTCGTCGTCGTCGGGCTCACCCGCAGCAGCAGGTGCAGCCGCCGCAGGAGCCTCCGCAGGCGAAGGCGCAGCGCCCTCGCCAGCTGAAGCCCCACCGCTACCGCTCTGGCGAGTGGCCACTCCTTCGCCTCGCGCCGCTCCGCAAAGAAGCCAACCTTGCCAGTCGGCAAGAGCGCGCCCAGCGGCTGCGAAAACATTGTGAGGCAGCAGAAGGGCGACCCGTCGTCAGCGATGCCATGCGCGACGAGGCGAATGATGTGTGGGTGGTTGATCCTCGTGAGCACTGCCACCTCGCGTCGCAGATCTGCTAGTCCTATTTTCTCGCGCTCCGGCGCCAGGTCCTTCCTGAGGCGCTTGAGCGCGACCATGCTGCCGCAAAGCGTGGCGGTATGCACCGTGCAGAAATCGCCTGCCCCGAGCTCCGAGAGCGGCTTCAGCTGCGTGAAAGATGTTGCTTCGCCGAGCGGCCTTTGCAGGTCGAGGTCCTGTTCGAATACCGAATCGGGCGAGAGCGAGGGCGGCGGCGCCGCCATATACGCGGTGCAGGTGCTGGGAGTGATGAAGTGCGATAGGTTCTTGGTGTGGGCTTACACGTATTCTTTTTTGCTGGCCGCCTTTGCTCCCCCACCCCCTACCTACCTACCTGCCTACCCTACTTATGGTAAACTAAAAAATAAATCACTCCGTAAGTGAAGTGGGGTACTATACCAACTTAAGGTGAGGGTTGGTGGACTCTCCTGCAACTATGACATGGCAGGCCACTCTCTCAACACTCAAGCCCTACAAGCATCAGATCACCAACTTGGGGAGGGTTGACATCGTGATTTCAACCGAAAATTCTTCTTCTGCTCTGTAAAAATTCCGGCTTGAAGACCGAGGGGAAAACGCGACGGGAAGGGCCCAGACCTAGCCTACCTACCCCGGCATGGTGTACGCCCAAGCAAAAAAAAACCGGGGGGTCCGGCCAAGCAAAATAAGAATACACGGGTGCGGGGCTCCCCCCGCGGCCCCGCGGTGTCTACGTATGGACACCTCCCTCGCCTCAAGCACACCTACACCTGCTAGTGCACATCGCACTTGCACGGGTAGCCCTTCGCCTTGAAGCCGAGGCAGCATGCCGAGAAGGCGGTGCCGCAGTCGCCACAGCCTGCGCCCGCGGCGCCCGACCCGTCCTGAAGGTGGCAGCCGCACGGGAACCCCTTGGCGGCAAAGCCGGCGCAGCACGCCTCGTACGCCTTGCCGCAGTCGCCGATCGCACTGCACGTGGCCCGGTCCTCCTGCTCGATGTTGCAGCCCTCGTGTGACCAGCGACAGTTGGCCGCCAGGCACGTCTGCTCGGATGGCCGCGACGTGCAGCAATGGCCGGGCAACCTCGACGCGTGGCAGTCGACACCCGCCGTCACCGCAGCAACCGCTTCAGCCTCCTTGGCCTCGGCCGCCGCGACCGTGGCCGCCGCCGCGGCCCGCCCGCCATCCCGCGCCTTGCCTGCGGTGATGTTCTCGTACCAGGGAAGCACCGGCAAGCCGGTTCCTCGGTCGTACAGACTGAGCATCGGCACTGCTCCCCAGCCGTACCGCGAGGCGAGGGGGGCGCCGGCGGAGGCGGCTGGCGCGGCTGACGCGGTGAGGGTGAGGGCGCTCCCGCCGGCCAGAGAGAGGGTCGCGTTGACCCACGACCCGTCGGCGAGAAGGAGCTCGGCCCACGCGCATTTGCCCGCCTGCGCGCTGCAGTTGAAGGCGCCGCCGAGGTAGTTGAAGGGGTAGACGTCGTCGCGCAAGCCGGCGGCGCTGACGTCGGAAAGGGAGATTTTGATGGAGGGTGGCGCCGCCGAGGCGACCTGCGACGCGAAGGAGGGAGAGCGCCAAGCGACGTCCCTCCCATACTCGAGGGCGAGCGCCGAGTTGGCCAGCCGCTTGCCGCAGTACTGCTTCGGTGGCGGGTCTGCGCCGGACAAGCGTGGGGGGCAGCGCTCAGATGCGGGAGAGGCAGGGCGTTGGGCCGTTCGGCGGCTCACGGATGTTGCAGCCGGCGCCGTGGTCGGCGTTGGTCGCGTAGCCCACCTTGGGGAGGGCGAGCGCTGCCATCTGGCCGACGGTGCGCATCTCGGCGATGAGCTCGCCGTTGCCGCACCACGTGGAGAGCTGCACGAAGCCAAAGTAGGCGGCGGGCCGCGCAAAGGAGCGCCTCCACTGGCGGATCATCCCGGGAAAGGTGCACGCGTACCGCGCCGCTCCCTCGTCGCCGCGCCGCTCATCGACGTTGGCCTCGCCCTGGTACCAAGCGAAGCCGACCAGCGCCATCGGGCCGACCGTGTACGGGTGGATCATCGAGTTGTACAGGGTGCTGTCGACCGTGCTCAGGTTGCAAGACCGGAGTACCTCCGGGGTCGTCCAGCTCTCGACGGGCGTTCCGCCCCAGTTGCTCGAGATCAGGCCGACGGGCGTCTGGCCGCCGAGCGCGTCGAATACCTCGCGACCAAAGATCCAACAGACCGCAGAAAAGTAGCCGAAGCCCTTGCTGTTGGCGACCGTCTTTGCGCTCGCGACAGACCAACTCTGCTCCACCGTCTGCAGGTCGGGCAGCGGCACCTTGGAGCTGGTCTTCTGGCCGACGGTGAAGAGGCGGACTAGAGGGTACCTTCACGGGGCCAGCTGAGGTGAGCACTACGAGAGGGCGAGCGCGGGCGAGCGCGGGCGAGAGAGAGCGAGAGAGGGAGAGGGAGGGAGAGAGAGGGAGAGAGAGGGTAGAATTTTCACCCATCGGCACGCGCAATTTCCTGGGTCGAGTTCTCAATCACGGGCATCGAGAACTGCATGTTGCTCTGCCCGCCGCACAGATACACATCGCCAAAGAGCACATTCTCGATTGCGGCCGTCTCGCCAGTGGACGCTTTGAAGGCCAATTTGTGAGGCGTTGGCGAGGCGGGCACTGCTGGGAGCGCCTGTCTCCAGATTCCGTCGCCGCCCGCCACGGTGGTGAGCAGCTGGTGAGCGCCGCCGCCCGTCATGGTGGTCGAGACAGTCGTGCCAGCGGCAACGTGGCCCCACACGACGGCACGCTGTGGCGCACGCTGCAGGACCATGCCGGAGCCGAGCGTGCGGGAGAGGAACGACGTGGTGGGCGGCGCGCTGGAGGCGGGCTCGCCGTAGGCGCTTGGCGGTGCGTCCGCCGTGTGGGATGGGAGCGCGAGCAGGCAGAGTAACATCGCCGATGACAGCGGATTGGGTTCGCAGCAGGCCAGTCCCTGGGTAGAGTTCGGAGGGGTAATAACAAGGCGAGCGGGGGCGCCAATTTCTTTATATCGCCTTCCCCTCTCTCTTTCCAACTGATGAAAGCTGACGTGTCCATAGAAAGAGGTGACGCTTTGTGTATCTCGAGACCTCGAGAGAAAGCCCTCCGATTTTATGAGAAGAGAACAAAGGGAGTGGTGGTTGCAGCGCGACAGAGTCCGCAGCGCGGCGCCAGCGGAAGGCGAGGGACGCCTGCAGGGGAGGCGCCCAAGACGGCTCGGGGGAAGCTCCGCGCCGCGGCGCCAGTGGCGAGCGGGCGCACGCCTTAGCGCGGTAGAAGAGGCGGAAGGGCGACCGCTCGGCGCGCGCCTTTGCGGGGAGGGGAGGGGGTGAGGGTGGAGGGGGTGAGGGGAGCGACTGGGAAAGGGTGGCCGAGAGCCGCAGCGGGGGGGGAGTTTGGCGGCCTCGCGCCTTTGCGTTTGCGCGCGTCACGTGCTCGTCGAGCAGCTGGTTGAGCTGGTCGGCGCACCTATGCCGAGTGGTGAGGCGTGATGACGCGCCGCTCGCCTGACATGTTGCTCATATCTCGGCTGTATCTCGGCTGTATCTCGGCTACATCTCGGAGCACTCGCGGATCTTCTTTCTGGCCCTTTTGTATTCTCTCTTCTCTCTCTCTCTCTCTCTCTCTTTATGTTCTCTCTCTCTCTCTCTCTCTCTCTCTCATCTCGAAAGGAGCGCCGCCGCCCACCGTGCCCGCGATGATCGCTGCTGCGCTCATTTCCACTCTCGAGCCGCGGCCACGATCTCCACCCCACCAATCCTTCCCGCTGCGACCTCCACCACAATCTCCACCGCAACCTCCGCCGGCCCCGAGCAAGGCCACCACAATTGACAGCCCCGTGGCTCGAGCTGGCCAAAGTCGGCTGGCCTCCATCTGATGCAAGGCTCACGCCGCTCCTGGGCCTCCGAGCAAGGCTCACGCCGCTCCTGGGCCTCCGAGCAAGGCTCACGCCGCTCCTGGGCCTCCGAGCAAGGCTCACGCCGCTCCTGGGCCTCCGAGCAAGGCTCACGCCGCTCCTGGGCCTCCGACAGAGTGTCCATCAAAGCAGGCTCGCCGCCGCCGCCGCCGCCGCCACCGCCGAACAAGCCTGCTCTGTCCTCTACCTTGCGCATTATCCTGCTCGCCGCCGTCGCGCTCACCGTGTTGACAGTCGCCTTGTTAGCTGCAACCGCTGTGACCATCTTGCTGCTTCGGGACGACGCAGTGGAGGTGCAGTCGTCAGATCCGCCAGAGCGCGCCTACGCAGTAACCTTCAACGTAACGGTCGCTGGAGATGTGGAAGACTTTGACAGCGCCGCGTTCCGTGTTGCCCTGGTTGGCACACTGAGCTTGCAATCCGTCTTCGACGTGAATCTCCGCGTGTCCCCAGGGAGCGTTCTGGTGCAGGTGCAAGTCTCAGTGGAGACGAAAGAAGATGCTGACGCCCTCGCCAGTGAGCTCATGCCGTACGCCGAGGACGTGGCGCTTGCCTCAGCCTTGTGGGAGCTAGCCGTCGAGACTGCGTCGTTGCCACTTGTGGTTGAGCTGCTCACTTCGACCGCTCCGCCATCCGCACCGCCACCGGCGCCACCCTTTTCACGCTCGCCTCCATCATCTCATCCTCCCGCACCTGGATTAGCTGCGCCACCAAGGTCGCCGCCGCCACCGCCACCCACCTCGCCACCGCCGCCCTCGCCGCCACTGCTACCGCCGTCCTCCCCAGCACCGCCGCCCTCCCTACCGCCACGCTCTCCGCCCTCACCGCCACAGCTATCGTCGCTGCCGCCGTCGCCGCCGCCACCGCCCTTCCCACCTTCTCCGCCGCCAGGGCCGGACGTCATCTTGGACACAGAGTACGGACTACGCGACGGAATCCCATTCGTCATCTCCCGTGTTGAAACGTCCATCCGTTTCTCTGGTGATGGCATTGGCGACGGGTTCACCGTCGTGTTTCTCCCCGCGGGGACCGACTCCTGCTTGCCGAACCCCAACATTGGTGGCGTTGGCGGCGCAGCGCAGGTCTATGGCAATTCCAACTCAAGAGACCAGTGGGCCGTGATCGAGGATGGCAAGGCACGCTTCACGCTGGGCGATTGCAGCGACGAGGACGACACGGCACAAGATGGAAGTGTTGCAAGAAGGATCTTGTGTGCCAGTAACGCGATCTACAAGGTCTGCATCCTGGATCGGAACTGCACGAACTCTGAGGAAAATAGCGGCTGCGAGGTCGACGCCAGCTACACATACACCAACGCAAAAGTGAGCGTCAACGGTGTCCCTCCATCGCCGCCGCCGCCGCTGTCGGCGCCACCGCGGCCGCCGCCGCCGCCCTCGCCGCCGCCACCCTCGCCACCACCGGCCTCGGGGCTGCCGTCGCGCTCACCGTCTCCTCCTGATGCACCTCCTTCACTACTCCCATCGCCGCCGTCGCCTTCGCCGCTTCCCTTCCCACCGCCGCCCTTGCCGCCCCCGCCACGCAGGCCGCCGCCTTTCCCCTCGCCGCCACCGCCACCGCCACCTCCGCCGTCGCCGCCACCGCCACCGCCACCGCCACCTCCGCCGTCGCCGCCACCGCCAACGCCACCGCCCCCTCCGCCGTCGCCGCCACCGCCGCCGCTCGAGGGTCAGCCGGTCAGAAGCGCAGGATGTGGATCTTCTCCGTCTCCCGGGTCTGGCGAATACGATATTGACGTCGGTGGAACGGCGCGACGCTTCCGTCTCAACCTGCCGTCAGACTACGACTCGAACCTCCCTCACAAGCTGCTGATGGTGTGGCACGGACTTGGAGGGACCGCCGATCAGACCGCTGATGGCTACTTTGGTCGGGGGCCATCGTATCAAGGTCTCTGGGGCCAAAGCGATGGCCGCGCTATCTTCGTCGCTGGCCAGGGGTTGTCAGCGAACGGCGGTGGCGCCGGCTGGCCCAACAGCGGCGGACGGGACATCGCCTTTGTGCGTGCCATGCTCGCAAAGCTCAAGAGCGACTACTGCATCGACGAGACACGAGTCTTCTCGACGGGCATAAGCTATGGTGGCATCATGTCCAACACGGTTGGCTGCCAGTTGGGCGATCAGGTCCGCGCCATCGCGCCAATCATGGGCAACGGGCCCTACTCCTTTTTTGGCGGTGCCGGCTGTACCGGGCAGGTCGCGGCGTGGCTCACGCACGGAAGCGCAGACGCGATCGTCTCGTACGCCTCCGGGCAAGCCTCTCGTGACCACTGGAAGGAAGCGAACGGCTGCGCAGACACCAGCGTGGTAACTGGCATCGACGCGTGCGTCGAGTATAATGGCTGCGACGAGGGATACCCGGTTGTGTGGTGCCCGACAAGCCTCGGACACTCGACGCCAGCCTTTGCCCCTTCCTCCATTTGGGAATTCTTCGACCGCTTCTGAAGTGAGCCCCTGGGGTCGCCCCCGCGCACATGCGCGGCGTGTATGCGTGCCGGCGGCGACACAGTGCAGCTCAGAGTGACTCGCTCTCTCGATCGACGATCCGGTTTTTGTGCAGCATGTAGAGCTCTATACTGTGTACTGACGTTTAAACACAGCACAGTGTAACAGTGTACCGTGTCAGTAAGTGAGACACACGACACGCGACCCCTGTGGTGACTGTCTGGGTGCAATAAAATTAAAGTGCTGTTTAGTTTCTTGGGAATGCTGTTTACGCCTCAACCCCCACCCAACAGCAGGTCACCCGCGGTACTTGTGCGACGTCTGGTACCCCTCGAGCAGGTCGGCCAGGATGCGCTTCCCGACGGGGTCCGAGTTGGCGTGCAGCTCCTGCAGCTCCACCTGCGTGCACATGCCGATCAGCGAGTACACGCCCGGCATCAGCTCGGCCTGAGCCGCCGCGCCGAGTGGCCGGTAGCGGAGCAGCGCCACCACGTCCGACAGCGCGTATGCGCCGTACCGCACGAGAGAGCGCTTGTGCGCCGCAGTCTCCTCGAGCAGCCGCCGCGCGTGCCGCGCGCAATCGAGGCCCATCGGCTCGCGGGCGGGCGCACGCCCCTCCAGCGTGGGCGGCGCGGCGGCGGATGTGGCAGCGGAGGCGGAGGACGCGGCGGCGGTGGACGAGGCGGTGGCGTCCGCCCATCCGAGTGCAAACAACATCCCGCGCACAGCGGAGAAGTAGAGCGGCGCCGCCGTGTGCACGAGCGCGCCGCGCTGCCGCAACAGCGCGAGCAGCAGAAAGTAAGCCGCGCCTGATCGCAGCCACGGGCGTGAACAGAGAACGCCACTTTCACTTTGCGCGAGGACGCCAGGAAGCAGGCGGCGCCAAACGTGGCGGCTGACGGCAGCGTCGCCGGCGGAGAGCGCAAGCTCACGTGGGCGCAAGGCGCGCCCGCGGCGCGGAGGAAGGCCGCCGCGTCGATGAGCTCGAACCTGTTCACAAGCGCCCGCCTCGTGAAGACATGCCCTTCGCAACCACAACTCGGGAGGCGAGACTGCGGCACCGGAGCTGGCCGTTCGTCAGCAGCGCCGTCAGCGCTTGCACCGCGAGTCGGCGCGACACGTCGCTAGCGGCTGAGGCGGCGGAAGTGCGCGGGGAACGGAGCGGCGAGAGGCGCTGCGGCGGGGAGACGGCAACCTCGCATAGCTGCGCGAGCAGGCGCGGCGCAGAGGCGGAGAGGCGGGCGAGGTGGAGGGGCGAGGAGGCGGCGCAGAGCAGCGCCGCGCAGAGCAGCGCCGCGTGCAAGCGCGATGCCACCCCCTCCGCCTCCGCCGCCGCCTCCGTCGCCGCCTCAGGAGGCGTCTTTGCGGCCGCGGCCGCGCCGGCCGGGAAGGAGGAGGGGGTGGTCGAGGTGCTGGCGCAGGGACGCGCCGAGGATGACAGCTCCGACAGGACGCCGTCGAGCAGCCAACAAAACGTGGCGTCGTCTGCCGCGGCGACGAGCCGCCGCAGCGTGCCCAAGGGGGTGGCTGCCGCGGCTGGTGTCGGCCGCCTGTCAACGGACCAGCCGGTGTGAGGAGACGCTCTCCATGCCTGCTCCTCGCGTGTGGGCGGCGCCCCGAAGGGCCGAGGAGGCCCTCGACGGCGCCAAGGGGGCGGAGCAGCAGCGAGAGGACAGCGGCGAGCCGGCGCACCTAGAAGATGAGAGAAGGTGAGAGAGACGCTGCGACTGCCTCGAGGCTGTACTCCGGCAAAACATCGGCGGTATCTCTGCGCTTCTCGGCCGGCGCACGTCTTGCCGCTGCACGACGCGAGCCGAAGGCGCCGACGACTCGGCGAGAGCGTCCGCTGCGCGGAGAAGCGCGCCGTCGAGCGAATCAACGCCGCCGCCGCTGCCGTCACCACCACCGTCGTCATCGTCGCGGCCTGCACGGTCGGCGCGGAGAGGCGCGCGCACCGCGTGGGCGTGTCTCGCCTGCAGCTGCGCCACGACGCAGCGCACGAGGCGGTCCAGCGCGGGCGGGCGCGGCGCGGCCACGCCGTGCGCCGCCAGAGTGCGCTCCGCGCGCAGCCAGAGCGAGAGCGCGTCCAGCAGCGCCGCGAGGCCGCGCGCCTGCTCACAGCTCTTCGGGTTTCACGGTCCACCCACGTCGCCACCGCCGATTCGGCCGCCCGCGGCGCCTCGCGCGCCGACGGCGGCCCCGATGCGGCGCCGCGCCGCCCGTCCTCATCGCCGGCCGATGGCGCGCACGGGCGGAGCGCGAGGAGCGAGAGGGTCGCCGCCGCACCGCCGCACCCCTCCCCCGCCTCGCCGCCGTCGCCGCCAGCCCCGCCGAAGCAGGCGGCCACGTGCGAGAGCGCCTCGGAGAGGGGTTGGAGCGCGTGCGCATCGGCGGAGGCCCCAGCGCCGGACGGGTGCGCGCCGCGGCTGCGAGGCAGGGGCGGCGGCGGCGGCGCGGCGTCGAGCAGCGCCCCGAGGCGGGCACTCAGCAGCACGAGAGCGGCCGTCTGCCTCCACCTGAACGAGACGGCAGGGACGCGGCGAGTGGATACGCGGACGCGGCTGCGACGGGAGGGGCGGCGGCGGGGGGGCGGCGACACTTGCCTCACGCCGCTCTCGGCGAATCTCGGCGATCTCGGCTAAACTCCGCCGCTTCTCATCGTCGACGACGTCCCCCTCTGCGCCGCTCCCTCGCCCACCGCCGCCGTCCCCGCGCCCCTCCTCCCCCTTCCTCGGCCCCTTGGCGCCGCTCTCCTTGGCGACACTCTCGACCTCGTCGCCACGCAGAGCGGCGCGCAGCATGTTTGCCCATGCCGGCGCCGCGACCGCACCTCCCCCATCTGCCCCGTCGGCCTCGCCACCCTCGCCGCCCTCGCCGCCCTCGCCGCCCTCGCCGCCCTCGCCGCCCTCGCCGCCCTCGCCGCGTCCGCCCCGCCCTTTCGCGACGCCTGCGGCTGGCGTGAAGAAGACGATGGCCGCCTGCACACGGCGTCAAGCCGTGATGCGGCGCACCTCACACCGGGATGGGAAGCGCAACGTCGGGCGGCGGCTCACCGCGTGGTCGAGAGCGGCGAGCCGCGGCGCCTAGTGGTACGCGGCTCGCGATTCGGACGGGCCGCTTCCCGTGATCGCGAGACAGAGAGCCTTCTGCCGTGTGCGGCGCGAGCGACGGCAGCGCGTAGCACCAGCGCAGCACCGCGCGATGCGCCTGCCGACGAGCGACGAACCCGCTGAGTGGTGGAGTGGTGGGTCGGTCGATAGGCCGCGGGGCGGCGTGGCGTGCCTTGCGAGGCAGCGCCGCGCCGGCCTCCGGCACCGCCGCGCAGAGCGCAGCCACGAGGCCGAGCGACGCAACCAGCAGCTGCTCCTAGGAAAGGAAGGGCGACGCGCATGAGAAACACACGGGCGTGCAGCGGGAGCGGCGCAACAGCCAGCAACTCCTGCGGCGATCCGTCCGGCGATCCGTCGCCGCCGTGGCAAGCCTCGCCACGCCCGCCGCCGCGCCCCTCCATCGCGGCGGCGGCGGCGGCCGGCTGCACCGCCTGCGCCAGCACGAGTGCGGAGGGGAGTAGCCACGCCACCGCCTCGGGCGGGTGCGCCTGCGGTGGCAGTTCGTCGTCGGTGAGCTCAATTGGAATGCAATCTATTCTTGGTTTCGTTGGAGGACCTGCGGTGGCAGCCCCGCGACCGCGCGCAGCAGCCGCGTGATCTCGCGCGTGGCCTTGGCCTGGGAGTAGTCAGCGACTCAAGGAGTGAGACAATGCGAACTCGGCGAATCTCGGCGAGTCTCGGCGAGTCTGCGCGAGTCTGTGCGCCTTGAGGGCGAGAGGCTGGCCACTGGCGCTGCCGCCGAGAAGCTCCTCCCATCCGCGCCGCGCCCCCTCACCGCCGGCCCTGGCCGAGGAGGCTGCCCCCGCAGCCTCTTCCGTTTGCGCCAGCAGGAAGGCGAGCCTGCGGCTGGCCTTAGCACCGCCGCCCGCCCCCGCCGAGGAGGGAAGGCGCGCCTGCACCGCGCGCCACGCCGCTGGGAGCAGCTCGGCGCGCATGCCTGCAGGGCGGAGAACGGGGGAGGCGGGAGCGGGGGAGTGGAGCGGCCGGGGCGGCGAGGGCGCGGTGACGGCGCCTCTCATCCGCGATGACGGAAGGCTACTCCGGAGTGTCATCTGGCAAACACCTCCTGCACGTCTCGGGCGCATCTCGGGCGCATCTTGGTCGAATCTCACCGGGCAGCTCGTAGAGCGCGGCGCAATCCACCGCCGCGCGAGAGATCGAAGCGACCGTGACGGAGACGCAAGCGGCGCGTGCGGCCGTGCCGCCGGCGTCTGCGGAGTCGGCGGCGGCCGGCGGCGGAGGCGAGGAGAGCAATGTCTCGAGCGGACGGGACGGGACGGGCACTTCCGAGTCAGCTCCAAGACCGTTTTGAGGCCCGTCCGTGCAGAGGGACGTCCAGAGGAGGTCCGCCACGCGCCTCCGCTGCTCGCCTGCAGGTAGGTTCCGAGACGGCTCCGAGACGGCTCCTCGAGAGACGAGGCCCGCGCCGCCGCTGCTCGCCGGTGCCGTGCTCGTCCACCAAGGCCAAATGCTGTACGAGGAGTGACTAAGAGCCCACGAAATCTCGGGTGAGCGCGGGTGAGCTCGGCTGAGCTCCACCTCGAGCGCTGCGCGACGCGCCCACTGCGCCACAAGCCCGGCCTCGGCCTCGCTCCGTCCCTCGCCTCCTCCGCCCGCGCCCCCGCTGAGCGCCGCCGCGCCAAAGTCGGTGCCGTCCCACCGCTCCGCGCGGGAGACCGCTCGCCGGGCGAGAGGGGCGCGCCTAAGACTCACGGCTGCAGCTGAGAGCGGCGCCTCCTCGACGCGGCTGCCGTGCGCTTCAGCGGCGACGCGCCAGCGCAGCAGCAGCTTCAGGGCGCGCCGCACCGCGGCCCTGTCCTCCGTCCCGCCCGCCTCCGCCCCTGCACCACCGCCCTCCTCCTCTGAGGCATCCGCGGCCTCGCCCTCCTCGCCGCCCTCCTCGTCGCCGTGCAACAGCCCCTCCCCCTCCCCCTCGAGCCCCTCCCCCGACGCCACCGCCGGCGGCATCGCGCAGCGGCGGCGGGCCCCAAGCTCCCGCGCCCGCGTGAGGTCGCCCGCAGACGCGCGCAGCGACTGCGCGACCACGCCGAGCGCCGCGTGCCTCTCGAGCCCGCGCAGCTCCTCGGCGACCTTCTCGCGGCCCTCGCCCCCGTCGCCGTCGCCGCCCGCCAGAACCCGCCTCGCCGTGGCCAGCGCTGCAGCCACCGGCTGCCCGGAGCCCGCCGCCCAATCCCCCGGCTGCTCGAGCTGCGCGCAGGCAGCCTCCAGCGCGCCGCTCGCTCTCCACAGGAGCAACGAACCCGCCGCCCCTGCGCCAAACGCCCCATCCGTCGCGCTGCCGGCGCCGCTCGCTCCGCTGGCGATAGCCGCGACGGCGACGCAACACGTGCGCAGCGCGGGCGCCGTCGTCGGCAGGATGGGGAGCGAATCAATGACCAGCGAGGAGAGGGCGGCGAGCTCGGCCCAGCGGAGTGAGCCACGCGCCGCGGCGTGGCGCTCCCTCGCCGCGTCGCTCGCGCGCTGCAGCGCCTGCAGCAGCGGCTCGAGGAGCTCCGCTGCCTGCGCCGGCTCGCACGCCGCCACCGCCGCCGCGAGCGCCGCGCAGAAGTGCGCGCACCGCAGCAGCGGCCGCAGCCCGCTCGGGCGGTACGCCTGCGCGCAGAGGTCCTCGAGCAGGTGGTGGAGGCGGCGGGCGGCCGCGTGCGTCTCGACGAGCCGCAGCACTAGCATCACCGCTGGCGGAGGTAGCATCACCGCTGGCGGAGGCACCGCAGGCGCTAGGCGGGCCGACGCCTCGCCGCCGCCAAGCTCGCACGCCAAGCTCAGCGCGAGGCCGATGGGGCTCTCGCCCACTGCCGCGACGTCGCTCGACTCTGCCGCCGCGCCGCCGCCGCCGCCGCCAGCTCTCGCGCCGGCGGCGGTGCCGGTGACCAGTGGCTGCAGCAGGCGAGGCTCGAGGCGGAGTAGCGCCGCGAAGAGAGCACACGCGCCCGCGCCCGCCGCCGCCCGCCCGGCCTCCGCCTCGCTCGACGCCGCCTCGCTCGACACCGCCACAAGCGCGACGGAGGCGGCGCCAGAGCGCGCCGTCGCCGCACGCGCCACCGCCGTCGCCAAATCCAGGCAGCCGGCCAGCACACGCCGCTGCGCCCCCGACGCGTCCTGACGAGCGCGGTACGCCCCGCTGGCGGACATCGCGTCGAGGAGCGAAGCGGCCAGCGCCACAGCGTCACCGAGCAGCCTCGCCGACGCAGCCGCACTCGCCGCCGCACCTGCCGCAACTGCCGCAACTGCCGCGCCTGCAGGCGCGCCTGCCGCGCCTGCCGCCCGAGTGAGCGCCGGCGACGCCGCCGGCAGCAGCGAGGAGCCCCACGAGAGCGGCAGCGCGAGCAGCCACGCGCCAAACGCGAACGGCGCGCCCACCCCGTCCGAAGCCGCGCCCGACTCGCCGTCGCCGCCTAGAACGCCTCCCTCCGTCCGGTTCAGCTGCTGAGAAGACTCATGGCGTGCGCGAGCTGCGGCGGACCTTCGCGGCGCGCCCCGCCCCCCCGTGCCAGCGCCTTTGCGGTACGCTCGGCGGCCAGCGCCGCCTCAGCACAGCCGTGCGCCTGTGAAAAGAGAGACGCCGCGACTCACATCACAAAGAGCGGCTGGTCGAGCGCCTCCTCGGCAGGTGTGAGTGTGCCGCGGCGAACGCTGCGAGCAGCCGCGGCAGCCAAGGCGCGACGAGCGCTCCGGAGAGGCAGACGCCGTCGGCGGCGGCCGCCGCGTCGGCCTCAAACAGCGACTGCAGCGCGTCGAGCGCGCGCCCAACATAGATGGCCTCGCCGCCCGCCGCCTCCGCCGCCGCCGCGCCGACCTCGCCGCCCGCCGTGGCCGCCGCGTCCGCCGCTGCTTCGGCACCGCGCTTGCGCTTCTTGGCCGCCTGCGCCTGCGGGGGAGAGCGCGGAGACGGTACGATATTGTGGGACGCGCCGGCACGGCGTCGCTCTTTCGCGCTCTTCGCTGAATGGCGCCTTTGCTGCGGGCGGCGGCCTTGAGGCCGCGTCGGCGCCATCGGCGTCGGCGCTGCCGTTGGCCGCGGGAGCGGTGCCTTGGGGCGCGAGTGCAGGGCCGTACTCGGCGGCCGCAGCCCGGCGGGCCTGTCCACACGCTGAGGTGTGAGGACGCCCGGTTGGCAGAGCCATCCGCGTCTCGCGTCCTCTCGCCTGCAGCAGTGCCGCGTACTCGCGCGTGCTGCTCTTGTCAAAGAGCGACGCGAAGACGCACGCCGCCACCGCGCGAACCGTCTCGCGGAGCTGCGCCTGCGGCGAGGTGCGGCAGAGATGTGGCCGAGACACCACCGAGAGATGAACACACCATCGCACGAGGCTCCGCCTTAAGCGCCGCCGCCGCTACCACGTCCTCTGCCCGCACCGTCAGCGCCGCACCGGCCGCCTCGGCCGCCGACTCCACCGCCGCCTCCTCCCACGCCGCCTCGGCCGCCTCGGCCGCCTCCGCCGCCTGCACCCAGCGCCCCGCGGCGGCGGCGAGGTCGAGGAGCGGCCGCAGCGCCTTCCCCGCCACGAGCAGCAGCTGCAATCTCTTCTAATCTCATGTAATCTCGTGCAATCTCGTGTAATCTCGCAGCGCCTTCCCCGCCACGAGCAGCAGCTGCTTGCGGTGCCCGAGCCGGCGGCGCATGCCCGAGAGGGCAGACACTGCGTCTCTCGCCGCGGCTGCGACGGCGGAGGCCGTCCGCAGCTGCGCGCCTACACGAGGTCCCGAGAAGGCTCCGAGAAGGGTCGCAGGCGCTGATGAGGCCGCCGCCCGCGCCGTTCGGACGGCCACCGGCGGCGGCGAGCGAGGCGAGTGCGTGCGCCACAGCGGCGCCGAGCGAGCCGACGTACGCTGCGAGGGCCTCCGGCTCGGGGTGGAAGGCGCCGCCAGCCGAATCGGCCGGAAGCTCGCAGAGCAGGCGTCGCATCACCCGCTGAGCCGCGGCGGCGAGCGCCTCTCGGCGCGCCACGACGGCGGCCTCCGCCCCGTCGCAAGAGGCGGCGGAGTCGGGCATGCCGGCAGCCGCGCCGAACGCACCGCTCGCCGCCTGCAGCAGCAGCCGCGTGCTTTGCGCCAGTTGCGCCGCCAGGTCGGCTGGTGGCGACGGGATGGCGGTGGCTGTCTCGTCCTCCGCAGTATCGGAGCCAGCGATCCCGTCGACCCCAATCAGCTCGCCCAGAAGCTGCCAGCACGCCGCCTCTGAACGCGGCCGGGCGCCGCGGAGGGCGCCGCACAGCCACTGCAGCGCAAAGCGGCGGGCATGCGGAAAGAGGCAGCGCTCGCCGGCACGTGCAAGCCGGCGTGTGAGGCGGAGCTTCTCGGAGAGCGGCGGAGCGGAAGCGCCAGTGGCGCGGAGCGTGCGGACAACCTCAGAGCAGGAGGCGAAGCACGACGGGGGGGAAATGTCAGCGACAGGCTCCATCGCGCGAGCCGTGCCCAGGCGTGGATCAGCTCCGCGCACGTGCCGAGCGGGCGCTCGACCAAAAGAAAAAGAATTTGTAATTCCCCACACCTCCCGCGCACAACACTGGGCACGGGACTTTCTCGCACTGGCACTAACACAGGTACACCACGGGAGCCGCCTAAGCGACTCCTGCGAGGACGGCGAGGCACTTAGCTCCGTGCACTCGACCGCCCTCGCCGCAGGCAAGCTCATTCACAATCTGCTCTGCGATGGCCGTGCGTGTGAAGAACGACTGAGATACGCTGCTAACGCAGCACTAGCCAATTCTTGGTGGTCCAAGTCACCTCATCGAGGTATCGCTTGTTCTGCAGCGCGTTCGCCTTCAGCGCAGGCCCACATTTACAAAATAATGTTTGTAATGTTTGCGTGGCCTCCCCCGGGCACTGCTCTTGTCCGCCGCAGATGGGGTGCCAAGACTGCCACACTTGTTCACAACCTGGCCAAACCCGGTCCACGAACCATACAGTGGGTTGCGGGCATTAAGAAAACAGGACTTAGCGGTACGCCGCCGTTTCTAATCCTTTCCACAGCCCTCATCCACCCCACGCCGTGGTTTCTTAGCTCCGGCCGGGGCACTCAAGCCAGAGCGCCGGCCCGAAAGATTTTTAGGTAAGAGGTAAGCTGCGGTCCGCCCGCGAGGGCGATGCCAGAGTCTGCCGCCGAGTCGGCTCTCTGTCTGGATGACGGGAAGACGCACACACGCCTCCGTTCACTCCATCCACTCAGAACACCGCAGACTTGGAAAGTGACAAGCAAGTGCGCGCGCCGCAGGCGAAGAGAAATTTTGAGCTGGGCCTCCCGTTCACACTCGCGTCTGGCCTTTTCTCGGGGCCGCGCCTGCGGCGCGCCGTGGTTTCTTAGATTTTTGCGGAAATCGCAAGGTAGGATTTCTTATGGGACGCAATCTCACTGTAAACTGGCACGGGCTTTTCTGCGATCCAGCACTCTACAGACTCCGCCATTAAGTGCAGCACCAATTCTTGGAAGGGGGGCGAGCTATAAACAAGGCGAGTTTCAAGGCTCGGTGGCCGTTTATCTTGCTGCACAACGAGGCCGCGTGCCGCCAGTCAAGCCCGTACTTTGCAGCGGCTGCCCGCCCGCGACGCATTGGTCGCAGAAACCATAAGAACACAGCATCGCGAGTTCCCCTTCATGCAAGGGTCCTACGAGGCCACGAGAAAGTCTCAGCGCAGGCCCACATTTGGTCACGAAATAATGTTTGCGTGGCATCCCCTGGCACTGCTGCTCTTGTCCGCCGCGTTCGGTCTGTCTTGGGGTGCCAAGACCATCCACATTGTCACGAACCATAAAACTGGCACGGGCTTTTGCTCTGCGATCCAGCACTCTACAGACTCCGCCATTAAGTGCAGCAGCAGCCACGCAAATGCGGACGTGATCCGCCGTCTGGCGTCCAAGGGTACCTACGTCGTCAACTTTGTGCGAAACACGCATCGGTTGGTCGAATCGTCGTACGGCTACCACCGGCGCTGCCCCGAGTCGTGGACAAAGACACCAAACCTTGGAAGGGGGGCGAGCTATAAACAAGGCGAGTTTCAAGGCTCGGTGGCCGTTTATCTTGCTGCACAACGAGGCCGCGTGCCGCCAGTCAAGCCCGGCGAGTCGTACTGCAGATATCTGCAGCGGCTGCCCGCCCGCGACGCATTGGTCGCAGAAACCATAAGAACACAGCATCGCGAGTTCCCCTTCATGCAAGGGTCCTACGAGGCCACGAGAAAGTCTGGGGGCATCAACGTTTGCCTCGACGCCCTCACCTACACACCACAGCAGATGGGCGCCTTGTGGGGCAAGATCCTTTCCACCGCGGGATATCACTCCAACACACTGGGCCAGATAGAAGCAGTTGACATTTGGCATGGCAAACGGTTTCATTCAGGGAATCTCAGCGGACATCGCGACTTGCTCCCGATCATTGAAGACATCGACACGACAATGCTTCATGGAAATCTCTCCAAGATCTCCGCCGCAATGGGATGTACTATCGACGGGTCTTTAAAATAAACAGTGGCCAACCCTTTCGGGCACACATTTCGAGCGAGTGAACAGCAGTTCCTGAGCACGGCGCCGCAGGCGCCTCGCACGACACTAGGCGCGGGACTGGCGCGTTCTACGATGAACGTTACACAACACAAAACTCAGATAAACTCCCTCGCACAACACTGGGCACGGGACATCGGGACTGGCGCGCACTGGCACTAACACACGCGATGAAGAAACCACAGTGGCCCAAAGCTGCCTCTCACGACACTGGGCACGGGACTGGCGCCAGAAAATTGGCCGCTTCAAAACTGGTGACCTGTTGTTTCATACGTGTACAAGTACAAAACGCATACTGAGTTGAGACAGCCAATCCTTTGTGTTCAGGTTAGGTTAAGGTAGAAAGGAGAGAGAGATTTGTAGGAAGGTGAAGAACAGTCTGGCTCGGACTGGACACCAATCGCGGTATGGGGAGAGAGATCTCTCTCTCTTGGTATGGGTGGACGCGAGACAGAAGTGAGAAAAGAGGACGGCACGCGCGAGTGACGCACAGACACACAAAACTCACAAGACACTCAGCCAGCCGGGCTGCCACACATCCCGATGTGTTCGCACCGCAAGAGGTGAACAATCGAAAAGTTGCCCAAACCGGGCGGCCCAAAGAAAGAAAGAAAGAAAACAGACACGCCAAACGAGGGATGGGACGAGGACAAGGTCCCCACCTGCACGAGCAGGATTTTGGAAGGACGATCAGGGGGACAGGTGGGGCTCTCCTGCTCCTGCCGGCCCAAAATGGTGCCCCAAGAGGGTTGGTGTTTCTCTTCGCCGTGTCGCTGACACCGGTAGTGCAGCCGGCCCGCGCGCTCCTCGGGCGGGTTTCGGACACCATCTCCCATGTCCGGCTCGTCGCTCGGCCTCCTGGCTCTCGCCGCTGCCATGGTCCTCGGCCTCACGGCGCTTGCGTTTGCCGGCGGCGGCGCCGCGGGCGAGGCCTCCGACGCGGAGCTCGACCATCTCCGGCTCGCAAACACGGTGCTGCAGCAGCGGCTGCACGGCTACGAGCAGCTGCACGCCAAAATGGAAGCAAAGCTCGCATCGTGCACGAGCACGACTTCGCCGCTGTCGGCCGCGGCGGCTGCCGGCGCTCAGCCTGCAGACGCCAAGGCGCTTCTCGCCGCGCATGCGCACTGGGATTGGAGGAGCGTCGCGCGCGACCTGCTGCAGCCGTGGCCGAGCGTGACGCAGGAGAACCTCGCCTCGGCGGTCGCCGCGTGCAACGGCTCCGCCATGTACTGCGCCCGGCTGCAGGTCCACGACGGCCGCCTCTACGTCACCGACTATGCCGCAATCTTCTTTGACCGCCACTACGCGCCCGCGCGCATCATGCCGCTGCTCGCCACGCTGCGGCGCCACCCGGCGCTTGCTTCTTAGACGCTTCCGAGACCGCTGCCGAGACAAAGCCGAGACACTGCCGAGACACCTCCTAGACACCTCCTAGACACCTCCTAGACACGTCCCGGGACACCTCCTAGACACCTCCTAGACACCTCCTAGACACGTCCTAGACACCTCCTAGACACCTCCTAGACACGTCCCGGGACACCTCCTAGACACCTCCTAGACACCTCCTAGACACGTCCTAGACACGTCCTAGACACGTCCCGGGACACCTCCGCGCGCCACCGCCAGGCGCTGCCCAACCTCGACGTCGTCGTCGCCGCCAACGACGAGCCGCGCGCGCGCGCCGAGCCCGGCGACTTGCGCGCGTGGCGCCGCACCTGCCGCCGCTGGGGCGCGAACGCCGCCCCGCCCGCAATCTTTTCGTCGACGGTCAACGCGGCGACGATGGACCTGCCGTGGCTCGACTTTGCGTGGTACTTTCCGCGCAGGCCACACGGCGGCCGGCACTCTCCTGGGCGTGTCCGGACGCGTCCTGACTCTGCGCGGGGTGTGCCTTCCGCACAGGCCGCACAAGCTGCGCACGCCGCCGTGGTCCGTGCTCCACCCGCAGCTAGTCGAGGCGGGCGGCAAGGCGCGCTGGGGGGGACACGCATCTAGACCGCCCGAGATCGACCCGAGATCGACGCGAGATCGAGCCGAGATCGAGCCGAGATCGAGCCGAGATCGAGCCGAGATCGAGCCGCCCTCAGGTTCGGTGGGAGGACAAGCTCGAGATAGCGATGCACACGGGCAACGTCGGCTCGGGCTGGCGCAAGGCACTCGCGGCGGTGGCGGAGCGAGCGCCTCGCGAGGTGTTTGTGAATGAGCTCTTCATCGGCGATCACGGCGAGATGACGCCGAGACCACAGCCGAGATGCGGCCGAGATGCAGCTCCTCATTTCGGCGACCTCGGCACGGTGTTGTGAGCAGGCAAGATCACGCAGACGTGCAAGGAGATGAAGCTGCACGCGACGGGCGGCTACCAAAAGCACAAGTGCTTTATGCGCTTCGAGGACCAGTGCGGCTACAAGTACCTGCTCAACTCGGCGTCGATCGGCTACGCGAACAAGTTCAAGTCGCTGCTCCTCTGCGGCTCGGTCGTGCTGTACGTCCGCGAGGGGATGCGCCACAAGGAGTTTTACGAGTACGGCCTGCTGCCGGGCGTGCACTACCACGCGGTCGACACGGCGGCCGAAGTGCCCGCCGCCGTCAAGTGGCTGCGCGCCAACGACGAGTACGCGCGCGCCGTGGCGGAGGCGGGTCGCGCGCGCATGGCGTCGCTGGACGAGGCGGCGGTGACGGGCTTCATGGCGGAGCTGCTCACGCAGTACTCGAAGCGGCAGTCGTTCCGCGTGGCGCCGCAGCCGGGCGCAGTGCGGATCGACTGCGAGGACGACCTCTGGCGGCACTACGCGCTCTCGCACGGCTGGCTGAGCGGATACCTGACGCAGGACAACGCGAGCTGCCTCCACCCGCCGCGCGCCGGCGCCGTCCTCTCGCCGCCGGGGTGGGGGGGCGCCTACGCGGGCTCCAAGCCGCGCTGCTACGCGTCGCACGACCTCGGCCCGCAGGCGCAGCCGCACGCGTGCGACTTTGCGCAGCCTTTCTCGACCGCCGAGAGCTGGGAGCCCGACGGCGCATGGCCAAAGCCCCACCCCCGGGCGCGGCGCGAGTGGACATAAGTCTTGACTTTCATATAAGTCGTCTTTTCCGAATCCGTGCTGAGTACGTGGAATGTGGAATTCGCGTGCCCGTTTATCGTTACACCACATCATCGATCACATTTTTCACCACATCTATCACAGACAACCTTGATTAAGCACATTGCTCATTGGTCATTGCACTATCCACTGAAAGCCTGCTGTGTGCTGAAAGCTGTGCTCACAGGGTGTGGTTGAGGCCAGAGCTATCTCAGCTGTGTGTCCCACGCCACTTGCCTCCGAAGGCTCAAGTCCTCTCCATCTCTGCCATCCGCTGCATCAGCCTCTCCTGCGCGAGCCTCTCAGCCAATCTCTCGTCGAGCTCGAGCTCTCTTTCGGGCAGCCGCGACTCCGACCCCGACCCCGACCCCGAAGCCTATAGCACATGCACTGTCCGGGTCAGGCCGGTGACTGGCATGGTTGCGCCAATTGATTCATTCACCACTGCACCTCTGTCGGTGCTGACTCCTGGGGAGGGCGTCGGGCTTGCGACGTCGCGCGCTGCTGCGGAGATGGTGCCGCGTTCAGAGGCTGCTGCGCTGTACCGTGCGGCGGCAGAGACCTGCCGTTACTCGTCGCCGCCCCGGAGCCGGAGGCTGCGGACAGGGCGGCTGGCGCGGCATGTAGCGGTCGCCTCTGCGCCGTAGCGAGCACGCACTGCTGCCTCATCGCCGACTCCCTCGCCTTGTCCGCCTTGCTCCGCGCAATCATCGTCTCGAGGGTCTGCACCCGCTCCTCCGCCTAGGGTGTGTTTCCACTCCAGCATCACGCACGACTGTCAGCGTTGCGCGTGATCTGCACGTACATGGTTGAAAGAACTTCTCCATCTAGCCTCCTCCGCCTCGCGCCGACGGCGCTCACTCGCCTCGAGTGCAGCCTTGAGCCGCCTCCGCTCCAGATCCAACCCCTCTAGGCCCAGGCTGGCGCCGCGTCGCTCCAGTGCGTCCCGTACCGCAAAGGCCTTCTCCACACGCACCTTTGTTCACGTGACTCGGATTAACTTGGAAAGATCTCGGTACGTCTCCGGTCACATCTCTGTCACCACGCATTCCTGCCGCTCGCGTAGCTCGGCCGTCCGTCGCGTCGCTTCGATGCCCGCCTCGAGACGTGCTCCCTGAAGGGAGCACGGGAGAAAGGGGCCGGGTTGACAGCGTGTGTGTGAAAGAGAGCGTCTTATTGGTGGTCATCACCCGCTCGGAGAGCTCCTCGCGCGCGGCGTGCTCTACTCGCTCTGCGAGGGTGGAGAGCGAGTCGTGGAGGAGGCTCTCGATGCCTCGCCACGCGGTGCCGAGCAGGTCCGCCACCGATGCCTCGAGCGCATCGCGCCGCGCCTCAGTCGCAGCCAGCAACGCTGGCGAGCGCTCAAAGTAGGAGGACGAGCGCAGCAGCATGACTGCATCCTCCTCATCGAGGGCACGCCCTAGTCGCTGAGTGAGGTCGCACCGGCACTGGTCGAGGACCACACATGCGCTGTGGCGGGCAGCTGACACGAGAGCGTCGCGGTCCCAGGCCGCCCCGCGGGAGGCGCCGCTCGAGAGGCGCGCGGGCATCACCCAAAGACCCAGGGGCTTGGCTGTGTGCGCGAGTCCCACGCGAGTTCGTTTCGCGGCGAACGTCTTCTTCTCTCCCCGACCTCGGAGCATATCACATGATCCTCATCCTGTGGGCGGTGGCAGTGCCACCCACGAGTGATCGGTCGGTCACGAGTTGGAAGACCGCGAGTCGAAGGGTGTGAGTCTCGCACTCCGGCGCGTGTGGAATCTGCGGTGGAGTGCGCGAGCCGCGAGCAAGCAGCCTCGAGCAAGCAGCCCATTTTGCTCTGCGTGGCTGTTCGGACGCGGTGGATGCTCGAGGTGGCCTAGGCGAGGTGGACGGCCGGTGGGCGCCCGCAAAAAATCACGCAAAACACACAGACCGCTGACGCGGCGAACGGGCACAACCGCCAGGCGACACGGGCCCGAAAGCGAAGCCCGCGCCCTGCGCGCCACCCAACCGATTCTGACTCCGACCCCAGGGGCTAGGCGGCCCGCCTGAAATCTAGCCGTGTGTGCTGGCGTCCGGTATCCGTGGCGCGAACCGTGATTGATGCGACTTTGCGTTGTCCGCACACCACAAGACCAGAGTGCAGAGACCACGCTCACATCGCCCAATGCGAATCGGATTCGATTCGCGGCACCCTCCACAACGGTCGAGAGAGATAAATATCCCAGCCGTCCCGCATTTACTCGTCGCTTGCCTTGCGCGAAATCTTGGCTGCGGCACTGCATGTCGTCTAGTCTGACGGGGTCGGCTGCTTCACCTGCTTCTTGCGCTTGTCTTCAGCGAGTTTGAGATATCCGTTGAAAAAGTGCGCGGCCTCGGTCGCGTCGCCGTTCGTACGATAGGCCATATCTTCGTACTGGCGAATCGCGTTCTCCATGTCGCGCAGCTCCGCGCCCTCGAGCTCCTCGCAAATATCGTCCCAGCCGATACCGCGCATGTCCATGGGGTCGAAATAGTTGTCGTCGTCGGCATCGTACATAGCCTTGCCCGCTGCGATCGCCTGCTTAGATGTAATCGGCATGGTGATGGTGTGCTGCTGTGCTGCAGGTCGCTTCAGCAGTCGGACTCCTCACATTCACACCTGTGTCTCTGTGAGCTTGTGTGTGTCTGTGTGTCGCTCGAGCGTGTCGTCGTCATCTGTCCCGCGTCCACCATACCGCGTTGGTGTCCAGTCCGACCGAGCCTGGCTGTTCTTCACTTCCTACATACATCACACCCGCGAGAGTTCGGGGAGAGAGAGAGAGAGAGAGAGAGAGCCAGTGGCCCAGAACTCTTACTTGCTTAGAGTACTAGAGTTAGGTGCCGGGGTAGGCCCTCTGTCGCTGCTCCCCCGGACCCCGCCCCATGCAGCCGCCTCTTTTCATTGAAGTCCGGAGTGCATCGCGGCGGGCACTACAATAATGAAAAGAGGCGCTGATCGCGCAACGGAGAGAATCTGAGAGAAGAAGGCCGGTGCGATGTCAGCCGAGTACTACACGACGCCCCTCCCCACCGCGGTGCCCATGCGGACCGCCATTGCAAATCCGACTCGCGTCTCTACTCACATCATGGCCGGCGGCAACGACATGGGCAACGATGACTGGCAGCACCAGCGCAGCTGATTGACTGCTGCTCCGACAAGGGCTGCTTCTCCGACAATTGCCTCTGCCTCCAAACCTTCTGTTGCGCGCCGTGCGCGTACAGACAGCTCGTCAACCGGATCAAGACAGGAGTCCCCGGGGATTTTTTTGGGGACTCCTAAGGGGGGGCCACTTTCACGGGCTTTTCCTGCATTCCAAATTTGGGCGGGATCGGGGTTGGGGGGCACAGCCCCCAGTTCCGCAAAAAGTTCCGCGGGGGGTCCCCCCTCCCGGAGACCCCGTGGGGGGACGTTGGGGGGCACCCATGCTGCTTGTCCTTCGGGCTTTTTCAAGAGCCCAAGGGGGGGTTTGCCCGGCAGCCCCCCCAAGGGGTCCCTGCAGGCCCTCGTTATGTTGCCCACCCTGGGGCCCCGGTTCCCCCCCCGGGGGTTTTGATGGAGGAGAAGCTTGGGGCCCCCGAGTTCAAGGTTGCTGCTTTCGGGGGGCAGGTCCATGTTTGGGGTACCCCCTCCCCTAAGAGGGAGGGTCCTTGATCCCTTTGCCCATCGGATGAAAGCTGGAAGCTGGACCCTGGAGGGGTTTGGAAGCCCCCCCCCCCCCCCCCCCCGGGCGCCCCCTCCTCCTCCTCGTCGTCCAGATCCATCTGGCATGCTGGAGAACTGCCTTGCGAGTCCGATTCCCCGGGCAGGTTGCCCTCCCCCTCCATGCCGCTCGTGTCTGAAGCCAGCCAGGCTCGCCAGGCGCACACGTTGTGTGTGTATCGGTGGGTGCCGCGTTGCGTCGGCACACGCACACGGCACAAAACCAAATCTTGTGTGCTCACACCACCACACTGTGGGAGGCGCCCGAGCCATGTCGCGGGTGGTTTTCTTTTCGAGGCCAGGTTGCTGGAGCAGCCGGCGAGGCCAGTCTCGAGCGCGGCGCCCGGCTGACCGCCTCCAGCTCCGATGATGGACAGCCTGTTTGAAGACGACGACGAGCCGGCGCCGGCGCCGAGCGAGCCCGCCCCGCCGCCGAGCGGCAGCGCGTTTGCGGCAACGAGTGCGACCAGCTACGGCAGCTGCGGCGGCGGCAGCAGCTTCAGCAGCTACAGCTACAGCAGACCGCTGCCCTCGGGTGCCGCCCCTGGCAGCGCCCTGGCATCGGACCTCGGTGCTATCGGACTCTACACACTCCCCGCCGACCGCCCCACCACCAGCGCGAGCCCCTCCAGTACCGCCGCCGCACCCAGCGCTGCCGCTGCCGCCGCGCCCAGCGGCGCTCATGCCGCAGCCGGCGGGACCGATTCTCCAACCGTGGCCGCGCCTGACGCGGAAGGCGCGCCGTGCTCCGACGCACCCCGCCATTCCCGCACGCCACGACTGTGCACCTTTCTCCCCACGCCCTCGCCCTCGCCCTCCCACGTGCCACCCTCCGGCACACCCAGGCGAGGAGGAGGAGGGGGGCGGGCTTGCGGCCATCCTCAGCCGGCTCAACCGGTCGACCGCCGGGAACCAGGACCAGCCGCAGCCCAAGCGCCCAAAGACTGCGCGCCGGCCACCCGCTGGCCCTTCCTCCTCCTCCTCTGGCGCCGGCACGAGCGGCGGCGGAGGAAGGGGCGGAGGACGGGGCGGCGGGAGAGGCGGAGGAAGGGGCGGCGGCAGGGGCGGCGGCGGCAGGGGCGGCGCTGGCACAAGCAGCGCAAAGCGCGTCAAGCGCGACCAAGGCGGCGGCAGTGGCGGCGGCGGTGACGGCGGCGGGGCTGCGGCGGGCAGCAGCAGTGGTGGCGCAGCTTTTGGCAGGGGTGGTGCAGCTGTTGGCGCGCCCTCGGACGACGTGCTGTGGGAGGTGGAGGGGGAGGAGGAGATGGAGGTGGAGGAGGGCGTTGAGGCGGGGGCGGCGGGGGACGACGCGGGTAGCGCGACGGACGACGACGACGAGGGCGCGTGCGACGGCTGGCCAAAGCACACGCTTGAAAAGGAGGGTCCCGCAAAGTGTGATTACTGAATCAGGCGCGTGCGACGGCTGGCCAAAGCTCACTTCGGACCCGATCGACCCGACTGCCGGCCCGATCGAGCTCGGCGCCAGGCCGCGTCCCGCGCAGCTGCCGGCCGGAAGGGAGTCGCTCTACCCTCCCCGCGCAGCAGTGCCGGCCGCTATCAACCGGCGCGCCTCACTCGACCCCAAGGGGGGGAGGGGGGTGGCGTGGGAGTGCAGCTGCATGAACCTCCCATGCACCTTCCGCTAGGCGGCTCCGGTCGTACCAAAGGACCGGCGTCGAGTTCCTGTGGAGGCAGTACGCGCGCGGGCGGGGAGGCATCCTCGGCGACGAGATGGGGCTCGGCAAGACGGTGCAGACGATCGCCTTTCTCGGCGCGTCACGCCCAAAAGAGATGACCCGAGATTGAGAGATTCGGCGCAGCTCGCCTCTCTCGGCGCGTTGCTCGGCACGGCGGCGGCATTCTCAGATCACCCGAGATGATCCGAGATCGTTGGAGATTGCAGGCGCGGTCCTCGGCAAGACGGCGGCCGAGGAGGACCGGCAGAGGCGCTTCCCTCTGCCCGAGGACGACCACCGCGAGGCGAGCCGAGAGGAGCCGAGAGAAGCCCAGAGGAGCCGAGAGAAGCCCAGATGAGCCCAGATGGGCCGAGAGAGGCCGAGAGAGGCCGAGAGAGGCCGAGAGAAGCCGAGAGGAGCCGAGAGGAGCCGAGAGGAGCCGAGAGAAGCCCAGAGGAGCCGAGAGGGGCCGAGAGGAGCCGAGAGGGGCCGAGAGGAGCCGAGAGAGGCCGAGAGGAGCCGAGAGGGGCCGAGAGGAGCCGAGAGGGGCCGAGAGGAGCCGAGAGAGGCCGAGAGAAGCCGAGAGGAGCCGAGAGGAGCCGAGAGGAGCCGAGAGGAGCCGAGAGAAGCCCAGAGGAGCCGAGAGGGGCCGAGAGGAGCCGAGAGGGGCCGAGAGGAGCCGAGAGAGGCCGAGAGGAGCCGAGAGGGGCCGAGAGGAGCCGAGAGGGGCCGAGAGGAGCCGAGAGAGGCCGAGAGAAGCCGAGAGGAGCCGAGAGGAGCCGAGAGGAGCCGAGAGGAGCCGGGAGAAGCCGAGAGGGGCCGAGAGAGGCCAAGAGGGGCCGAGAGGAGCCGAGAGGGGCCGAGAGGAGCCGAGAGAGGCCGAGAGAAGCCGAGAGGAGCCGAGAGGAGCCGAGAGGAGCCGGGAGAAGCCGAGAGGGGCCGAGAGGGGCCGGGAGGGGAATCAGCGAGAGGGGGTATGAGCAGGTGCTCGTCGTCGTCCCGATGTCGACGCTGGGCAACTGGAAGCGCGAGTTCCGCACCTGGGGCTGCTTCCGGCTGGCGGTCTGCCACGGGGCGGAGAAGGAGGCGGCGCTGCGCGCGCTGGCGAGCCGCGAGTGCGAGGTTGTGCTCACGACGTACGAGACGGTGGTCAACTGCCAGAGAGACCTCGCGGGCCACCCGTGGGAGGCGACGGTGTGGGACGAGGCGCACAAGCTCAAGAACCCTAAGGCCAAGGTGACGGAGAGCGCGCAGCGGGTGGCGTGCCCCTCGCGCTTCGCGCTGACGGGCGCGAGACTAGCAGCCGAGACTAGCCGAGGCTAGCCGAGGCTAGCCGAGACTAGCCGAGGCTAGCCGAGATCGTTGCCGTCCGCCGGCGTCGCCGCCAGCGGGGGCTCTCTTTTCCTCGCCCACCCTCCTGGTGCGGCGAGCAGGCACGCCGATGTCCAACAACCACATGGAGCTGTGGGCGCTGCTCGATTTTGTGTCCAAGTCGCACGTCGGCGACAAGAAGGACTTCAAGCAGTACTACGAGAAGGCGCTCAAGGCGGGCATGAAGATGGACGCGTCGCAGCACGAGCTGCGCCAGCGCATCCTGCGGCAGGCGGACCTGCGCCGGCTGATTGACGAGTGGATGCTGCAGCGCACCAAGGAGGCGCTCTCTCGAGAGGCGGGAGAAGAGAGGCGGGAGGCGGGAGAAGAGGGGCGGGAGAAGAGAGGCGGGAGAAGGGAGAAGGGAGAAGGGAGGCGGGAGAAGGGAGGCGGGAGAAGGGAGGCGGGAGAAGGGAGGCGGGAGAAGGGAGGCGGGAGGCGGGAGAAGAGGGGCGGGAGAAGAGGGGCGGGAGAAGAGAGGCGGGAGAAGGGAGGCGGGAGAAGGGAGACGGGAGGCGGGAGAAGGGAGAAGGGAGAAGGGAGAAGGGAGGCGGGAGAAGGGAGAAGGGAGGCGGGAGAAGACGGCGCGCCGAGACGGAGCGAGAGGAGACGAGGTGACCCGCGGCCCCCCCGAGGCCAGGTGCTCTCGGGCGAGATGCCGAAGAAGACGGACAACATCGTGTTTTGCAAGCTCGCCGACGCGCAGCGCGAGGCGAGCCTCGGCCGAGATGAGCCGAGATCAGCCGGGATCAGCCGAGATCACCCGGGATCACCCGGGAGATCAGGTGTACGCGCGCGTGCTCGACTCGCCCGACTACGTCGCCCTCCGCAACATGCACAAGAGGCCCTGCTACATGTGCGGGAACGAGGACGAGTGCTACTCGAAGTGCTGCAAGCTCGACATGGACGGCGTGCTCGCGCGGCACCACCACCCCGACGGCGAGGCGTGCAAGTGGTGCCCGAGCTGCATCGGCATGCCGGCGATGTCCTTCCTGCTCAAGGTGTGCAACCACCTCGAGATGCTCAAGCCCGACCCCGACGAGCCGATGAAGCCCGGGCAGCGCGCGAAGCAGCAGGACTTTGCGGAGATGGCGCTCGGCGCGGGCGCGACGACGCGCGACAACACCTTCCTCTCGCGCGGCAGCGTCGACAAGTGCGGCAAGATGCGCGCGCTCAGAGGGCTGCTGAGCACGTGGCGGCTGCGGAGTGCAAAGGTGCTCCTCTTCTCGTACTCGACTGTCATGCTCGACATCCTCGAGGACAGCGCCTCGCGGGCGGGGGGCGGACATGTCCGGGACACGTCCGTGACATGTCCGAGACATGTCCACAGGACATGGTCGCGCGGGCGGGCTACAACTACCGCCGCCTCGACGGCAAGACCTCCGCAAAGAAGCGCGCACGCGGCTCGTGGGGCGAGCGCGTCCCAGTCTCGGCGCATCTCGGCGAATCTCGGCGCGTCTCGGTAGGCGCACGCAGCTCGTCGACGAGTTCAACACCCAGGAGTCCATCTTCGTCTTCCTCCTCTCCACAAAGGCGGGCGGCCTCGGCCTCAACCTCGTCGCCGCCACCGTCGTCGTCATCTTCGACCCGAACTGGAACCCGTCGCACGACATGCAGGCGCAAGACCGCGCCTACCGCATCGGCCAACGGCAAGCGCCGCCCGCCCGCCGCCCGCCGCCATCAGCCTCGCACGGCCGCCCCCCCCAACCGCTCCCCCCCCCCCCCTCGCCGCAGGCACGACGTCAACGTCTACCGCCTCGTCTCGTCGGACACGCTCGAGGAGAAGATGTACCTCCGCCAGCTGTACAAGCAGACGCAGGAGAACGTCGCGCTGCGCGGCGCCGATGAGGCGCGCTACTTCAAGTCGGGAGAGCTCGAGGGCTTCCACAACCTGCTCGAGAAGCCGGCTGAGGACGGCTCCTTCTCGCGCACGCGCGAGATCATCAACCGCGTCATCGGCCAGAAGGGCGCACTCGATAATGATGAGGAGGGCGGCGGCGGCGGCGGCGGCGGCGGCGGCGGCGAGGGGGACGACTACGACATCGCCGTGGACCACCGCGACCTCGCGGCCGCGCGGGCGGCGCGCGGCGCTGCGGGCGGGGCGTTCGACGAGGACGACGAGCAGGGGCTGGCCAAGGAGTTTGGGGAGGAGCTCGGCGAGTTTGCAGCGCACGTGCACCGCGCGGCCGACGTCGTCGGCAAGGCGCCCGACGCGAAGCGCGAGGCGGACCTTTCCAAGACGCGTCCACGTCATGCCCGAGACATGTCCCATAGGCGCCCGACGCCGTCAAGGCGAGCGAACGCGGGCGAGACTTTGACGTGGACGACGGCCCGTCCCACCCCGCCCCGCCGGCCGGCCCGGCCGCCGGCGGCGGCGGCGGCGGCGGCGGCGCGGCGGCGGCGGCGGCGGCGGCGGCGGCGGCAGCAGCGGCGGCGGCGGCGGCGGCGGCGGTGGCGGCGTGCGTCGGCAGCCTCACCACGCTCAAGGCCTTTGAGCAGAAGCTGCAGATCTCGCCCGAGCTCGCGAAGGAGGTCATCCGCTGCGTCGATGCGGGCCACGGGGAGGCGCTCGCCGCAGCGGTCAGCCAGCTGCAGGCGCCAGGCGGCGGCAACGGCGGCGGCGGCGGCGGCATCGGGTCCGGGGGCGGAGGCGGCAACATCGACGGCGCAGGGCCCGTCGCCTACGCTCCCACGGGCGACACCACCGACGAAGGTGAGAGCGAGTCGAACTACACCGATATCGACTGATGAAGCAGCGCGGGATCACAGTACGTACATGCATCCGTGCGGGCGAGGAGCGTAATTTTGAGGCGAATGTTTTGTCGTACGTGTAGCGCGCATGCATGTCTGAGTGCGTTTTGTGACTGAGAGAGGGAGACCCAGAGTGGGCTGGTGGCGGGGCGTCCAGCGCGAGGCGGAGAGAGTCTCACATGACACATCGCGTGTTCGTGAAGGAAAAATGAGGGTGTACGGCTTTATATGCCTCCCCCAGTTAGTGGGGACTTGTGTGCGCGCCGTAGACGTCGTCGTCGGGGTGGCGTGTAAAAGAGTCCATCTGCGCTGGCACGTGGCAGTGACACGCAAGAGATCAAAAGACGACACGGAACAGCGCGGCACTATTCAGTGACACTGTCACTGACACTGGACGTGGAGAGCGCATGTCTGATAGATAGAGTGTTGACACGCAGAGAGAGAGAGAGACTGTGGGCTCTGGTGGCGGGGCGTCCAGCGCCACAACAATGGCCAACTGGCACATCACTTGCAGAGTGGCTCCCTGGGCGCCCAGCGGCCCACACGGCGGGGAGGCACGCCCCAGAGGCCTCACGTGGAGCCGGCCGCGTCATGCGCGCCTAAAAGCGGCTTCGACTCCCAGTTTGTTGGCTCGATCTTCCCGTTCCTCACGTCACAATGATCGCAGCCTCCGCCTCCTCCATGGAGACCGCACTATCTAGATACAGTTCACGATCGATACTGTATGTGCGCAGTTGGGAAGGCCTCACTGCCAAGCTCGATGGAGGCGCGTGGGGGCACGGTGACGCGGATGAGGGACGGGGTATTCATGAAGGCCCTTTCGCCGATGGACTTGAGACCGTCATTAAAGTCGGCGCGGGCGAGAGAGGTGCAGCCGTAGAAGGCGTAGCTGCCGATGACGCGAAGAGTCTCCGGGCAGGTCACAGAGACGAGAGCTGTGCAGTTGCGGAACGCGCCGTCCGGCAGGTGCTTCATGCCGTCCGGCAGCTCCACATGCCCGTCGGTGACTCTGACTTGCTCGCCATCGGGCAGCTCTACATACCCGGAAAATGGCTCGGGCGGGGCAAGCGGGCCACGCAGTGCAGGCCGCTCCGCCGCCGCCGCCGCCGCCAACGACTGCTGCTCGGCGTTCCACTTGTTCAACAGCTCAACCTTGTCTGGGCGTGTCACCTCCCCGGCATCTGCCTCTGCGGTCACCTCGCCCGCCTCCGTTGGCGGCGATGGCGGCGATGGCGGCAGCAGCGGCGGCAGTGGTTCCCGCGAGGGAAGCGGCGGCAAGATTCGACCTCCACTTGTTGGCTCGACCTTTCCGTCCCTCCACGTCGCGATGATTGCGGCTTCCGCCTGCTTCTTCGAGATGTCCGCGCAAGGTTTTAGGCGCCGTGCCAGGATCACTCGGTCGTACCGGCTCTTGTTGTGCGGCAGCGAGAGCACGTGCTCGCAGAATGCCGAGAAGTTTTGCCAGCCGTTGCTCGAAGGCGAGTCCTCGGTGAAGAGCCACAGGCTGCCCTTCCTGCAGTTGGCGAAGATGCGTTGGAAGTCCGACTGCCCGTGCGCGTGCTCCATCGGGTTCATGCCGTCGCAGTCCTTGACCTCCCACGGCAAGCCGACCACAAAGCCGTCCCTGAGCCGAAGCTCAGCCTCCACATCGCTAGATAGGCGCTGCAGCACGTCGGCTATCACGTAGCGCGAGTCCCTAGCGCCTGGCGCGTAGAGCCGTTTCTCTCTGCACACCGCCGAGGCACCCAGGTAGCTCAAGCAGGCGTGCGCTTGCGTGCGCTCGATCGCGAGCCGCTCTTTGATCGCGTTCTCTTGCTTGCCTGTGAGCTCCTCGTTGTCAAAGAGCTGTGCCCGCACCTCGCTCACACGCGTCGCTGCTGTCGCTGCCACCACTGTCGCTAAAATACTGTCGCTGCCACCGGCGCTGTCGCCATCACTGCCGCGATCGCCACCGCCGTCGTTGTCGTCACTGCCGCCGCCGTTCGAAGACGAAGACAAGTCGCTCGGCCCTGCGTTACCAGCGGGCGCAGTAGCAGGCGCCGCGATCGTCCAGGCGATCTTGCCGTCGCTCGAAGTCCACGTGGCAATGATGGCGCGCTTCGCCTCCCCTTCCGAGATACCGTCGTAGCCGTTGTAAGGCGGCCCGAAGCGCCGCGCCAGGATCACTCGGTCGTACCGGCTCTTGTTGTGCGGCAGCACGTGCTCGCAGAATGCCGAGAAGTTCTGCCAGCCGTTGCTCGAAGGCGAGTCCTCGGCGGTGAAGAGCCACAGGCTGCCCTTCCCGCAGTTGGCAAAGATGCGTTGGAAGTCCGACTGGCCGTGCGCGTGCTCCATCGGGTTCATGCCGTCGCAGTCCTTGACCTCCCACGGCAAGCCGACCACAAAGCCGTCCCTGAGCCGAAGCTCAGCCTCCACATCGCTAGATAGGCGCTGCAGCACGTCGGCTATCACGTAGCGCGAGTCCCTAGCGCCTGGCGCGTAGAGCCGTTCCTCTCTGCACGCCCCCAAAGTACCCAGGTAGCTCAAGCAGGCGTGCGCTTGCGTGCGCTCGATCGCGAGCCGCTCTTTGATCGCCTTCTCTTGCTTGTCTGTCAGCTCCTCGTTGTCGAGAAAGAAAAATGCGGGATCACGGAGGCGGTCCTTCAGCTGGCTGACCGTCGAACGCTGCGCACGCACAAGTCCTGACCTTGGCAACCATCTCGCTTTACCAGTCGATGCATCGGCACCGATGTCTCCCTCCATGTAACTTTCTTGAGCTGGTCTTCGCGGTCAGGGTATTGCTCGATGGCGAGAGCCTCCTCCCGGGCAGCGAAGTCCATCTTCAAGGCCTCATCAGGAAACTGCTCGTCAAAGTAGTCCTTGAGCTCGTAAAATGTGTCGTCGTAGCGCTCAGCATAGGCGATGGGAAAGATGTCCGAGACGCGCCGCACTTGAGAGTGGTGTGCTCTGTCCTCGTGCGAGCCCGGCACGAACCACTTCGGGAGATCCTCGTCCTTGAGCCTATCCCTGCGCTTGGGCTTGGCCCCGCTGCCGCCTCCGCCGCTGCTGGTGCTGCCACCGCCATCGCCGCCGCCACCGCCCGTGCCACCACCACCACCACGAACACTACCGTGAGACGCCTCGCCTGCCGCTGCGCCGCCATCGCCATCTCCAATGCCCAAGGGTGGCGAGCTGTCCTCACCACCCTTGTTTAGGCCGTACTCGCTCAGAATGTTGTCCTTGAGCATCGCATATTGAGAACCGTCGGTCCTATGGATGAGGTGCTTTGCCACCTTCTCGATGATATCCTTCAGGTACTTCTTCTCCGTCTCGCCAAAGGGATGGGAGCGCGCCTTGAAGCGCGCCTTGAAGTGGTTGTAGAGCTGGCTTAGGGGGACGGGCCCATGCTCGTGCAGCCACATCACCACGTCACGCTCGCTCACCACCAGCTGCGCCGCCTGCGCCTGCTGCGCCGCCGCGCCGGAAGCTTCCTGATACGCCTCCGCCATCGGCAATTGAGAGATGCGGCTGTCGGCATCGGAGCAAGTTTGTAACCGATTTGCACGCTCGTCCGGGACAAATTGTGCTCGCTTTCTCGGATTTCACTTTCCTTTGATGAGCCTCCCGCATTGTACTTGTAGCTCTGCTCGGAGTTCAGATCACAGCAAGTGGAAGCACCAATCAATCAATCATGCTAGAAGAGAGATCATTCATGCTTGTTCTTGACCCATGAATGACGATCAGGGGGAAGAGGGGGGCGCAAGCTCCTAGAGCAACAGGGGCACAGCGGTCGGCCGAAATGTTCGCTAGGTGGGGTGAAGTCAATACAAGAGACCGATCCGTCGCAGGTCTCTTGCGCTTCGGCGGTTAGTGGTGCACTAACCCCGAGAAACCCTTCGCTGTCGCTCCTGATCGCAAACCCCGTCAGCAGTCCACCTTACGTTCCTCACGCGCGCACGAATTCTTCTTGGCCTTGCAATAGCAACGGCACGGTCCGCAAGTGTGCTGGAACGCAACCTCTTGTCCACCGCATCCATCCACGCTGACGCTGCTGCTCACCGCACGAGCTCCGCCGTCATGCCGCACCCAAACCAGGCCGGCCTCGCCTTCAAGCGTGCCGTGCCCACCTCCATCGACCGCGCCTCGTACGCTGGCTGCCGGCTCTATGGTTGGATGGCGTCGCCGTACACCGCAAAGGTCCGCTCGATGCTGTCGTACAAGCGGTTACCGTTCACCGACGTCGTTCCGTCGGCCATGCAGCTGCGCCTGGCCGTCAAGCCGGCGGTTGGCCGCGTCATCATGCCGGCGGTCAGGCTGGGCGACGGCAGCTGGCGTCAAGACAGCGCCCTGATCTGCGACGAGGTGGAGCGCAACCACCCCGACCGACCGACCCGGCCTCCCGGCGCTACGCAGCGGCTGGCAGCCTCGTTGCTCGAGCTGCATGCCGACGAGTGGCTGCCGATGGTGGCTCTGCACTATCGGTGGAACACGGGCAACGCCGACTGGGCCGTCTCCGAGTTTGGCCGCTGCGCGTTCCCGATGTTGCCGTCGTTGATCGCCTCGCGGCTCGCGCAGCCGGTGGCCGACCGGATGCGGGCGCTGTGCAGGGTGCACGGCGCCGTCTCCCCGGCCCTCGCCGGCATCGAGTCCTTCACCGAGCGGTGCCTAACCCTAACCCTAACCCTAACCCTCACTCTCACTCTCACCCTCACCCTCACCCTCACCCTCACCCTCACCCTCACCCTCACCCTCACCCTCACCCTCACCCTCATCCTCACCCTCACCCTCACCCTCACCCTCACCCTCACCCTCACCCCAACCCTACCCCAAGGCTCATCGGCACCCTCGAGCGGCACCTTGCCGCGGGCAGCGCCGCCGGCGGAGGCCCGCAGCCGTACCTGCTCGGCGGCGTCCCCTGCCGCGCCGACTTTGCGCTGTACGGGCCTCTGTGGGCGCACCTCTACCGCGACCCGCACTCGCGTGCCATGTTCGACGGCGCGCCGCACGTCGTGCGCTGGTTCGAGCGGCTGCACGGCCACGCCGCCGACGCCGCTTTTCCGCAGCTGGCTGCGCGCAACGCCGCGGCGGCGCCAGCCTCGACGTCGCCCGACTCGGCGAGCGGCTCGGCGGCGAGGTTCCTTCCCGACGACGAGGTGCCCGAGACGCTCGACCCGCTCTTCCGCGCGCTCTTCGACGAGCAGTGGCCCTTCTTGCAGCTGGCCTGCGCCGCCGTCGACGAGCACGCCGCCGCGCACCCGGACGCGGCACGGACGCCGCGCGCCTTTGGCTACGCGCCCTTTGTCGCGGGCGGCGTGGCGGGCGAGCGGCGGCTGCTCGCTTACTCGGCGTGGCGCGCACAGCGCCCCCTCGACGAGTACTGGGGCCTCGCCCTCGCACCGAGCCGCGAGCTCGAGCTCCGGAGGGTCGACGCGTGGCTCGCGCGCCTCGGAGTGCGCGACGCCTTCCGCGCGCTGCAGCCGGCGGTGCGGCTGGAGCGTGACGGAGAGCTGCCGCAGCCGTTCGACGTGCTCCGGCCTCGGGACGGCAGGCGGCTGCCGTTCAACGCGTGGCATTGAAAGAGCTCCGGGTGTGGCTGGCGCACCATTGTTTTGGGGTTCCCGGGTGTGGCTGGCGCACCATTGTTTTGGGGTTCCCGATTCGTTGATCGGATTCCAGTTGCAGTTTTCCCCCTGTTGCGGTGTTAGCTACCGAGTACCGTGAACCAAAGGTAACCTCACAGTTGTAAAGTTAGCTTGGTACCAAAATTTACTATAATGCGCTTCCCTAGCGCTTCCCCTGATTAAGTATTTTTTTAGTGTGCGGCGAGTCGCGCGCCTACGCACCTACTGGTCGCACTTGAAGATGTTCTTCGTGCGATTCATCTGCTTCATGAAGAAGCCGGTCGAGTATCTGCGATCCCTCAGGTTGCCCTTGATTTCCCCGTGGAACCTCGCGGCCCAATCCGGCTTCGGCGGGCATTTCTGCTTAGGGTATGTGCACCTCGTGAGGTACTCCTGCGCCCTGGACGGTTGGTACTTGTCCGTCACCTCAAACGCGACCTGCTGGCTCTTGGGGAAGACCCACAGGAGCTTGAACAGGCCTTTCTCGACGAGTGATCGGTACACGAACCCGGGTACGGATTGGATCTGGCTGAAGTTTGCGCGCACCGCATTGCTGCACGATTTGAGGGGCATGAGAAAGTCCGAGAAGAGCACGACAGACCCCGGACGGAGCTTGTTCCACACCGCGTGTGATTGTAAGACGAGCTGGTGATAATCCTTTGCCGAATCGATCATGAACAGCCCGACCTTCTTGTCGTTCCAATCTGCGCTCGCACCGCCCACTCCGGTGCTTCCGATGAACCCCGCATGCGAGTGCACTCGCTTGGACGGGTACACCTGCGTCACGATCTCGTTCCACATGGCCTCGTAGCGGTGATCCGGCGATTCGATCAACGCCTTCACGGGTGGCACGTCCCTGGCGACGTGCAGCTTGTGAAAGTTTGTGTTATCCCTATGCTTGGAGGGGGGCATACTGAATAGATCAAAGGCGTGGTATTCCACAGTCGAACGCGCGAGGCTCAGGCCCGCGGCAGTGCAGACGCTCGCGGCGCCCAACCACGTGCCCATCTCCACGAGCGCGACGTCAGCTCCGGGATCGCCAACGCTCGCGCCCAAGAGGATGTGAGCGATGCAATCCCCCTCCGAGAGCATGGACGGGAGAGGGCCGTCGTACCCCGGGTATTTGTCGAGAGGGGCTCCCCACCACAACTGTTGGATGGACGGGCCTCGCCCATCCGAGTACGCCTTCATCAGACACTTCGCACGGGTTGACGTGCATAGCGCGCGCGGCTGGAACAGCGCGACCGGCGCCCGCGGCGGCGGAGGCCACAGCGCGACCGGCGCCCGCGGCGGCGGAGGCCGCGACAGCCGGCTGGGCTGCAGCACGGCTGGGCTGCAGGGAGTGCGGCACGGCAGCACGCGGCAGCGCGGCGGGCGGCGGCAGCGCGGCCGGCGAGGCGCGCTCCGCGCCGGCGGAGTGGGCCTGCGACCGGGCCTGCGCGTCGGCGCGGCGGCGCAGGGCCTGCTGCCTGTTCTGCTCGATGCCGTCTCGCGTGCCCGGGGAGAAGGGTGGCGCATGCAGAGAGAGAGACCGCGTCGAACTCATCGGCGCGGGCTCTCTCGGCTACGGGGCCGGCCCCAGCTTCGGCTGGGTTTGGACTTTCTGCGGGGTATGGTATGGTACACTCGCGCAAGCCACCTCGAGACCATACCCCCCGCCTGCTGACAGACCCAGCCTTGGTAGTTGTTTCGGGCCATCAGTCCGACAGGAGAGGGCCAGCGGTCGCCTCCTTGAGCTGCCCGTGCCTTCGCCGGTTTGGAGTATCGTCGCCGCCACCACCATGTGCGCCCAGGAAAAGGAGGGCTCCCCACTGAGGACGGTCTGCGGGGGGAGCCGAGTCGCCAGGAACGACCTCCTGGTGGGAAGGCGAGATGAGGCGAGATGAGGCGAGATGAGGCGAGGTGAGGCGAGATGAGGCGAGGTGAGGCGAGATGAGGCGAGGTGAGGCGAGATGAGGCGAGGTGTGAGGCGAGATGAGGGTTGAGGCGAGGTGAGGCGAGATGAGGCGAGGTGAGGCGAGATGAGGCGAGGTGAGGCGAGATGTGAAGCGAGGTGAGGCGAGATGAAGCGAGGTGAGGCGAGATGAGGCGAGATGAGGCGAGACTAGGAGGCGAGATGAAGCGGGATGTTGTGTGGCTGCTTGTGCTGCCAAGCAGGCAGCACAAGCAGGCAGCACAAGCAGCCATACAAGTGAGCTTTTGGGTTGTGTGGCTGCTTGTGCTGCCTGCTCATGAGCAGGCAGCACAAGCAGCCACACAAGTGAGCTTTGGGAGCTCTCGGCGACGCCCAATGCGTGCGCCGGTAGCAGCTGGGAGGCGCAGGCTTGGCTGGCAGGGCTGCGCGGTGGGCTGCGGCGTGCTGTGGGTGGTCGCGCGCCTGCCTGGTGGTGTGCGGCGGCCGCTCAGCCCGCCCGACCGGGTCGTCGGCGGCCCAGGGCGCGGGCATGCGGTCTGCGCTGCATGTGAGGCTGTGTGCGCGGCTGGCGCGTATGTTTCCGTGCGGCGAGGGACGCGCGTATGTGTTCACGCTGCGGGCGCGGGCGGGCGCGGAGGGCGGCGCGGTCTCACCGCGGTCCGACGCCCGTTGGTCTTCTGCGTGACGCGCGGGCGCGCAAAGAGGCCTTGCCGCCATCGCGTTGCCGCGAAGGAAAAAGAATTCTTCACCACCGACCACGGAATGAAGCGCAGGGTAGAGCCTACCACTGTTGAGTCGACGGGTATCACCAGTGGCTTTGCGGGATCGGGGTGCTGCTCGGCCGGAATGCTGAGCTCGGCGGCAGTGAGGTCTGGCATCGCAGCGCCGGTCGTCTCGTCGGGGGCTACCTCTCGACTCTACTCCCGTGTCACAACAACGAGGCACGAGAGCGTGCACGACAGAGCGACGGCGCAGCGTACCGCCGTCCAGCTAAAAAGCGGCGGCCGACGGTTGCTGCGCAAAGTGATCAGTTCTAAAATAGGTGCCGGGGCCCAACGGATAGATGAATCGACACTGCCCGCCACGACGACGAGCTGGGAGTCCTGTGAGCGCCTCTCCCGAGGTCTCGAGAGACAGGGCTACAAGAGGTCTCTTATGTACCCCGCCCCAGCCGCAGCGGTGCCTTGGCAAAAATTGGAAAGGCAATTCGAATTGGTTTTGTCTTTCCCTGATCGACCGACGCCCGTGCGAGGTGTGCGTGTTCCCGTCCACCCGCCGCCGGTGATCAATCTCACCACCTCGAGTCGCCCCCTGAGAACTCAAAGCGCACCTCGCCGCGGCACTCCGCTCGGATCTTCGCCACCGCGCTGCGAGCGCCCTCCACCATGCTCGCCGGCCCGCAAGCTGCAACCACAAGCCGCTTCGCCTCGAGCCCCGCCGCAGCAGCGCGCACCAGTGCATCGAAGTCCGGCCGCCCGGCGCAGACACGCTGGCCCGCCTCGTCGCCCGCCGGCCCGCCGGCGGGAGCGAAGCCGCCCCGCTGCCGCTGTCGCGACGCCGCCAGGAGGGGGTCGTGGCGGCGTGGGCTGACGGGAGCCAGCTCTAGGTCGCAAGGCTGACAGCGCCCCGCCGCGAATCCAAAGGCGCGGCTGCAGACCGCCGTCGTCGCGGCGATGGACGCAACGATGAGGAGGACGGGCAGGCACCGCCGCGACAGCGTGTAGCCAACCAGGCTGTGGTGCAGCCAGCCAGCGTCGAGAGGGAGCTCCAGCGCCTCCGCCACGTACGCCCACCCCCACTGCCCCGCAGCCAGTCCCACGAGCGTCGCCGCGAGCGACGCCGACACCAACGAGCCTGCGGAGGAGTGCGCTGCGCGCGTCGAGCCCCACGCTCGCTCGTCGCCGCCAGACCTGGCGATGCCGCCTCCGCCGCGCCCCGCTTCCACCGCGGCCGCGGCCGCGGCACGAGTGATGTAGACAGTCACCTCGACGCCGCCGTTGCGCGGCAGCCGGTCGGCGAGCGCGTGGTAGTCGGCCTCGTTCTGCACGCACCAGACCAAGCGGCACGGCCGGCCCTCGCTAGCCGCGGCGGCGAGCGCCGGCAGCCAGCCGGTGACCCCCGTGCCTCCCGCCAGCAGCAGCAGCGCGGGCTCACCTCCGCCGCCGCCGCCGCTCAGGGACCAGGGGCCGCCGCCGAAGGGGAAGGGCCCCGCGAGCTCAACCTCAAAGCTGCCCGTCGTCGCGCAAAGGTGGACGAGCGCCTTTGTCCAGTCGCCCCCCCGCGCGGAGACGAGGGCGGAGAGCCCCGCCGCGCGACCGCCGGCGCTGGTCACCGAGAGCGGGTGCCACTCAGTGCCGAGTGGGAGCGCCTGATGAACGAGTGGGGGCGACTGGTCAGTGAAGAGTCACTGATCGGACGCCAGCAGCCACTGCCGAGCGGGCGCCCGCAGCGACACCCACTCGCCGCGCGGTGCCGCGTCGTGGCCCAGCGCCGCGCCGCCGCAATGGATCGTGAGCTCTGCCCACGGTCCCGACGTGCCGGGCAGCAGACGCGCCGTGGCGGTGAACCGCCGCAGCGAGCAGCCCAGCACGCCCTTTCGGCCGCCACGCCCACGCCACTCTACGTACCAGAATGCGATGCCCGGCACCGCGAAGGTGAGGATTGCGAGGTCGTGCAGCGCGCAGCAGGTCACGAAGAGGAGGGCGACGGGCATGTGCAGGCGCTGGAAGGCGTGGTAGCAGCGCCGCCGCACCAGGGGCAGCGCGGAGAGCGCCAGCGGCCCGCACACCGCGATGGCGACCACCCCCATGAAGTTGACGAGCCCGAGCCGGTTGAGCGAGCCGTCGGGCAAGGGCGCGGGGAAGCAGGCTTGCCAGAGGGAGGCGGCGCCGCCGGCGCGCAGGTAGAAGAAGAAGTAGGCGAGCGAGTGCAGGGCGGACTGCCCCGCGCACCACCACCCCGCGGCGCGGTGGAGCGGCTGCGCCTGTGGGTCGGGAGGGAGGCGAGCGTTCAGGAGCGGCGGGGCCAGGGAGAGGGCAGGGAGGCGAGCGGCCAGGCTGGAGAGGGGAGGAGGGGCGGTGTGCCGAGGGTGGTGCTGCTGGAGAGGGGAGGAGGGGTGGTGTGCCGCCCGAGGGTGGTGCTGCTGGAGAGGGGTGGTGTGCCGCACGAGGGTGCTGCTGGAGAGGGGCCATGGTGTATCAGGGTCCAAGATGCTCGGGTCCGAGGCGGGTGGAGCGGGCGGCCAAACCTCCGAGTATCCCAGATGCCCCCCGGTGGCGTGCAGCACGGCCGCCTCTCCACGGGCGGCGAGCAGCAGGCAGACGCCGAGGTCGAGCCGGGCCAGCCGCGCGGAGGTGAGGCCGACCACGTCGGCGAGGATGGACGGCATGTCGCACGGCCGGCCAGGCGCCACGGGGCAGTTGTCGGACATCGTCAAGTGCAGCGCAGCGACCGCAGCCGCGATGGGAGCGGTGTTCAGCGCGGCCAGCACACACGCGGCCGGCAGCGGCGGGCAGCCGCGACCGACGCCGGCGCTGGCGCCGGCGAGCACGGCCAAGCAGGAGAGCGCTGCGATCAGGAGCACCTGCTGCACCGCCCAGCCCTGCAGCACCTTGCTCGCCCGGAGGACGGGAAGTGGGAGGAGCTCTCCGGTGCACAGGTAGGCAAACACGAGGAGCGCCGCGCCCTGCAGCAGAGGGAGTGGCCGCGGAGAGTGAGCGCCCCGTCGGACAAACAACGAGTCGAGCGCCGTCTGGAGCAGCATGGTGCACGAGAGCAGCAACGAGCGTGACAGTACGAGCACACGACGGGCACCACACAAGAAGAAGAAAAACGGGTCGTCGGATGCCGTCCAGCCCCCCCTTCTCCATTTGTCGCACCTTGTTGGCCGCGCATCTGGTTCGCTGTCGTACATGGCAAACACTGCCATGGCGTCGGCGAGATCTGCGAAAGCTCTACCAAGCACCTTTGGCGGCGTCAGCGACTTCAAGCAGCTTCGACGCCTGCTCTACACGGCTGACCAGCGGCGGTTCCACCGCACCATCTTTTTCGCGGCCGCCGCGTCGGGCGACCTCCAGATTCTGCACGAGCGCCTGCGCGCTGGCTCGCCACGCGTGGACACCCGCGGCAACTACGGCCGCACAGCGCTCTGGCTCGCGTGCGAGCGGGGGCACATCGACTGCGTGCGTGCACTCCTCGCAGCGGGAGCTTCCGTCGAGCTGGGCGAGTCGGGTATGGACAACAATCGGCCGCTGCACGTCGCAATCCTCAACGGCCACGCGCTAATTGCCTTTTTGCTGCTCGAGGTGCGGGCGCAAACGGCCGACAGCCGGCGTGGCCCCCCTTGCCGGGAGCCCTTCTCCGACCCTATCTTAGGCGGGCGCCAATGCAAAAGCCGAGAACTGGTACGGCCGCACACCCTTCGAGATGAGCTTCTGCCGCCGCGGCCTGGCCGACCTCCCGCTGCGCGAGGCTCGCACCGCCGCCTCCCAGCCCTCCTCGCCTCCCAGCCCTCTCCTCCTCCGCCCCTCGCCTCTGCCCGCCGCCTCCGCCCGCCGCCTCCGCCCGGTGGTTGAGAATGGTCTTAAGAACGAGTGGTTTCCGGCGTGCAGGCAATGCAAGAGCTGCTCACCGCGGCGGGGGGCGGCCGCATCGCACTCGGCTTCCCGCTCCTGCAAGGCGTGGCGCCCTCCTCGCCCACCGACGCGGTGGCGATGGAGGCGGTCTCGGTGGGGGCGGCGGCAGAGTCGGCGGAGGCGGCGGCGGCGGCAGAGGAGGCGGCGGTGGAGGAGGCGGCGGCTGAGGCGGTGGCTGAGGCGGCGGCGGGGAGCGGCGGCGATGCGGCCGGCGAGGGCTGCGCCGGCGAGGGCGATCCCGTGTCGCAGGACAGCGAGCAGACGCTGCTGATGACGGCTCCTCCCAACACGCGGCCTCGCCTTCTCGGAGCCTTCTCGGAACTGTCTCGGAGCCTTCCTGCAGGCGCCGCCCAACGCGCGGCCGGGGGAGCGGCTGCTGGTCGCGTACAAGGACGGAGGCGTTAGATGCGGCGTGCACAACTCGACCCCTGTCCTCGGAGCTAGTCGAGATGTACGCGAGCTAGTCGCGAGGGCACGCACCCCCGCCGTCTCCAGCCCTTCATTCGGTGGGAACCACTCGATGCCGTGTCCCCCCCGCCCTCAGCTCCTCCGCCCCACCCCCCCACGCCCCCGTGCTCCAAGGACGGAGGGACGTACGAGGTAATATTAACTGCTAACTAACTGCTAATTAACTGCTACCTACAGGACGGAGGGACGTACGAGGTCCGCGTCCCGACGACGCTCGAGCCCGGCACACAACCCGTAGATGCGGAGCACAGACCCACATCTCCCCACATCTCCCCACATCTCGAGCCCCCAGATGCGGAGCACAGACCCACATCTCCCCACATCTCCCCACATCTCGAGCCCCCAGATGCGGAGCACAGACCCACATCTCCCCACATCTCCCCACATCTCGAGCCCCCAGATGCGGAGCACAGTCCCGTACTCCGGCTGGCATCGAGACGACACGCCTTCAGCTGTCCTCGGGGCTGCTGTCGCTGTGTAGGAGTAGCCCGAGTTCGTCTCACTCTGGGCACACTGCGCGAGACCTGTCCTCACGCCCTCTCTCCACGACCCAGGCGCGCAGTTTCTCGTCCGGCCGCGGCCACGTGGCAGCCCCGTCGCGCGGCTTGTCCGCGGCGTCTCGCGCCGCTCCTCCTCCCGCGCCGCCCCGACGGCGGTGGTGGACGGGAGAGAGGCGGCGGCCGCCGCGGCGGAGGGCGGGGACGCCTAGATGCGAACTACGGCCCGGGTGTTCCAGCAAGCACTCCCGACGTATCTGGCTGAGTTCAGTTGCACCATGCGCCTTGAAGAGGGGTGCGGGATGGCGGTGCAAGAGACCGCTCTCGAGCCCCTCACTTGCGCGCATGGGTACGCTAGGCGGCCTCACTTGCGCGCTGAGCAAGGCGCTCGCGAGCAAGCCTGCCTTCGGGCGGCCGGTGGGCGTGCGGGTCGGCACGCTCGACCTTGTGGCAGACCACGTCATCGCACTCGACGACGAGCCGGCGGACGACCTCGCGCGCGTGCGAGACCTCTCCGCTTGGCTCGTGGCCCTAGATGCGGAGCACGCGCACCCGACCGGCGCTCGGGGAGACAGACACTCGGCTGCGCCTCCTCCTCGCGCCCCAGAGGCCCTGCACACTCGCACGCCGCGCATCCACGCGAGCGCACCGAGCACACTCCACCGAGACAGGCTTCGCACCCTGGACCTTGGTGTGACCGTGGTGCTTTCACCGAACAGGTTGCGGGCGACCCTCCCGTCGCTACCGCAGAGAGAGGCGCGGTCGGCGGCCGTCGCCTTCGTCGCTGCGGGGCTGCGCACTGCGGGCGAGGTGCGCGCCGCCGCCGCCGCCGCCACTGGGGAGGGCGAGGCGGAGGGCGGCGGCGCGGGGTGCTGCAAGCCGCCGCCGCCGCAGGCGGCGGTGCTCGCGGCGCGGCTGCTCGCGAAGGAGAATGAGGAAGAAGGCTGCGCGGAGTGATGCTTGCCAAGGGCGCCGCTGGGCGGCGCGTGTGAAGAGATCGCACTCTCGGCGGCGCGGTTTAGCTCTTGCGGAGGAGCACCTTGTCTGTCTGTACCAAATGATCTCGTCAGCGAGAATGATGTGGGTGTGACTACGTGATTAGCTTGACTTCGGTCGGTGTGCGTACTCCTGATGTTTTGTCGTGTTCGTTTTGTCGTTTGTCGCATGCGTCTATGTGGTAAGTGCCGCGCCCGCGCTGCATGTCTGTTCTGGTGTGCGAGCTGTATTTGTCGAATATCTGATGAAGCATCGCTGAGGTACGCTGCGGCAGCATGGGGCATGATCATTTTTTCTTTGTGCGATTACCTTGTTGCGATGAAAGGACGAGTTTGCCTGCTCAAAGAGTGCAACATCCTCCGCACACCTGCGGGCAATGAGCGACCGAAGCGTTGCGTTCTGCCACTGAGGGAGGCTATCGTAGGAAAACTCCGACGAACGGTGTACGTACGTTCTGGTTCGTTGCTTTCTGGATGTAGAGTTTCACGGGTGGCCAGCAGCGACCTATGACCCAACCGCATATGCCAGCGCAGAATGGAGGTAAGGCGTTGGCATCAAAGCATCGTACTCATCCGCAACCTCCTGCATCGTTTGCCCTGGTTTGCGCATAAGTGCGTTGACTTGCACACTCCCAGAAGCACACCACTGAAGGAGGTGGTCATCGAGGTCGCGACCATGTTGCCATTGATACCAGGTGGACACCGCGTGATGGAAAGGCTCTTGGACTGTGGCGATCTTTGCAGCCCCCGGCAGAACGGCGTCCGTCAGCTGGTTGAACTTCAGACCGAAAGAATCATGGCAGAGAAAGAGCCCTTCAGGTTTGATTCTCGAGTGCTGCATCTCCAAGAGCACTTTTAGCGCCCTTGTTTTGATACAAGCCCAGCTCCTTCGCGAGCTGGGCCATCATCGGTATCATCGTAGAGGTGCCTGTTTTTGTCGCTGCCCACATAGATCAGCCGTTGTGCCGAATGCAGCCGACAGAGAGTGCCCTCCGGGCTGTCGAGACCGCTGCAGAAGCAGTGCACCACAAGGAACATCCACAAACACAGGCGATCGCGATCACGGCGCAGCGCGACCATGAAGTCCTGGCTGCCACACTTGAAGCCTACCCCCCCCCCCCCCAAATCTTTTTGTTCCACTTCCCGTGACTCGGGCTCGCACGGGCGGCGACTACTCCCGCGGCTCGCGTGCGGTGCAACGAGAGGCGCTGCACCGCCTCATGGACGAGCAGACGGGCAACCCCATCGTCCGAAAGACGTTAACGTGCCTTCATCGCGAGATCGATTCCTCGATGCCAAACATGACGCAGCCGTCCGACAGCGAAAGCGATGACGACACGGAGAGACCAGAGGGCCGACTCGCCCACCCGAACGCGTTCATCGGTGCCGCGACGACGTCACTGCCGCTCGATCCGACGGCGCACAACCAAAGTCTCTCACGCGCGACCCACCGCTTGGAGACAAGCGTCTCCGCGACGGCGCCCTGGTGTCGCAGCCGCTCGACACCGACGCTCCTGAGTCGAGCGCAGGCAATGCGACGCACACGGTGCTGCTTCTGCCCGTCCTCTGGCTCTCGATGTCGTTGCGCAGGCGACGCAGATCCTCTTCGGTCATGGTGTCGTCGCCGGCGCCGCGTGCAGCGGCGCCGTGTACAGCATCGACGTCGCCTTCGTTGACAGCGGCCATCACCGCCTCGTGATTCTTGAGTCGCTCACGCATCGCCTCGCGCTGCTCCGTGTTGCGCAATCGCGCCTTTGCATCCTCCTCCAGGAGCTGTGCGAGGCCTCCCTCGCGGAGAATGCCTCTGACTGATAGCTCCTCGAACATCGTACCGGTGATGTTGGAGTCAGAGATGAAGCTGCTGGGGGTGGAGTCGCGGAAAGACGTCTTGAGCACGAGCTGTTGGTAGAGATAGTGCTCGCCGTGCTGATCCGGTTCTAGCCACTTTGATTGCCACCGGCTGTGGAGCATCGGACTTTGCTTGGCGCGGGACGACGTATCGGGCACTGGGGATGATGGCTCCACCACACCGAGGTCGGACTGAGGCGCACGGGGATGGGAGTTGGGAGTGGAGGAGCACGAGGGAAGGAGCCACGATCGTCTATCGTCGGCTGACCCTCGGTCTGAGCACGGTGGTAGTGGCTGGAGGTCGGGGCAGCCACACAGTGA